CGTCATAGTCCCGGGGACCACGGCTGTTGCTCACAGCCCGCTCATCATTCCGAGCAACGCGGCGGACTTGTTCAATGTCCTGCCCCGCGTCATGGCCATCGTGCCATCGACGCAGAGGTATCTTCCGTCGACACCAAGGTACCGCAATGGTACTTCATCATGGTGTGAGGTGTCTTGCCCTCTACCACCAGTGGTTGCTTCATCCATCGCGGCGACCAACACCAGGTCAGTGTGCGTGATATGCAGCATAACGCACAGTCCATACCAGGACATGACTGTGCACAGGGGCACCACCCCGTACACCAAAGGCACGTCGTGCACCTCGTGTACCACGACTGCCATTAGTGCCTCGTGCACATCGAGTGCCACGAGCACGGCAAGTGCCGCGTGCACTGCGAGTACCTCGCGCACACCAAGTGCCCCGCGCACAGTGAGCGTCACGGTCCGACGGCACCGCGTCTACATCACAAACATATGTGCCACGTGCACGCGTATAGCTTCGCGCCTTACAGGTGCGGCATGTGCCGCGCCAACTGTGAATATCTGCAAAGGCAACACGTTCGGGTTCTCCCCTCGTGGGCAACACCCATGCTTGGGACTGATAGCTACCTGGCCGGCAGAAGTGCCGCGCCCAGCGTAGCAACAGCCTGGAGCTTTGGCGTGGTGCTGATGGCTACCTGGCCGGTAGACGTACCGCGTCCAGTGTTGCAACAGCATCACGCTGCGGCATGGTGTTGCGTATGTACACATGCCATCGTCCGCGGACCAAGCCGCAGACTGGCTGCCATGTCTTTGCCTGACAGAGGCACCCTTCCAGCAGCGAATGCGCGCTCCATCTTCGGCCCAGCAGCGACAGTAGCCGCTGCCAAGGTTGCTGGCCATCGGTCACCATGACCATGGGACCTGAGCAGCGATGCATCAGGTCCAGCACCTTCGTGCAATACTTCGTGAGTGGCTACACCATGCAGCCACTGCACTGGCTTCTACGACGAAGCAAGTCTCATGTCAGAGACCTCGGGAGGAAGGGCACTTCCGATCCCCTCCCCCACTTACGATTTGAGCCCCGGCGGGTCAGGCGCCAGCCGGCCGCCTAACCTCGCGCCGCCCTGCAGCACCGAGTCACCGTGCCAGCAGACTCCGGTGGCACGGGCAGCTACCCTTCTTTGGCTCTGGGTCAACATCGTCGACCAGGGCTTGGCATCTACCAGCCTGGATGCAGTTTGAGTCTGCGTGACTTGACGTGTTATCTGTTACCCACGTCTTCGGGCAATGACACCCATGACAGCGTACGGCTTGTCCTGCATTCAGAGTAGCTGCATGGCATGCACGCATACTCAGACTCAGCCATCTCGGCACCGAGTCATGGGCACTTGTTGCCCCTACGCAGCACAGTGCTAGGCGCGACAGACCGTACCAACGATCCCTGCCGCGCAGCGGCCTTCGCCTTCAGACCGAGCATGCTCCTGCATGTGGTCATTGAGGTGTCGCCCTCCGGCAGACACGTTCCAGTCGTGATCGACCATGCTCGCCGAGTCGGCGGCGACGCAACATGCATCGCCGCAGGTGCGTCGTGTACCCAAGCCACGTCTTCTGTGCGCTGGTCGACACCCAGTCGAACATCATCCATGATGACCGGGTGCCAAGCCCTTGGAGGATGGAAGTGCTTCCGCGCACTCCTCCCCCGCTTAAAATCGAAGCCGCGTGGCGCCTTCAAGAGGACCGTGCGGCTATGACATCGTGACGGTGTCACGAGCCTCTTAAACTCCGTGTGGTCATCCACCACACGCGAGGAGACCCAAGTGACCTGACCACTAGTCTTGGTCATACTGACCGTGCGTGGAACTAAGTTACTCACGCTGAAGTCGCTTCGAGCGACTCCTTCCGGCTCATGCGGAGCCTTACGGCATCGTGTGGAACTACGTTACCCACACAGGAAGCGCATCATGTGGCTTCACAACCCGTTACCGTCTGAGTGACGCGTGTGGAACTATGTTACCCACACAGGAAGTGCATCGTGCACCTTCCTCATCAGTTTAGGTCTGAGTGACCTGGTGTGGAACTGGGTTACCCACACAGGAAGTGCCTGCAGCACCTTCCTCTTCAGTTATGGTCTGGACGACCGGGTGTGGTACTTGGTTACCCACACAGGAAGCGCGTGCAGCGCGTTCCTCTTCAGTTAAGGTCTCGGCGACCGTCCGTGGTACTTGGTTACCCACGCCGGAGGTGCCTTGAGCGGCCTCCTCAGCATTACATGCTCTGTGCGGAACTAAGTTACCCGCTAGTCAGTGGTCCTTGGTTACCCACCTGGTGGTGTCATCGAACACCACCCTTGTCAATGCTCATGCCGAGCAATGACTCTCAGCACTGGAGTTGCTTGTTGAGGCAGCTCCACATGCCAGGCATAACAGCCCTCGGTTGCAGATACACTACACTTTCTTCATGGAGATCAGCATGTGAATGATGCCTCCCTTCTTCTTCGTCGTCTTGTCGGACGCATCCAGCGCCCTGGCGGTCCCATCGGACGCCCTTGTGTCTGTCCAGAGGTGGGAACATGACTCACCAATGCTCTGTCAGACACAGAGGGCCAACTTAGCCTCAAGGCGTTGTCGCGCTACTCGACCGAGAGCCTGTGCAGCTGGCACGGCGCACTCAGGGCCAAGTCATACTTGCTCAAGCCGAGGGCATATACGGTTCCATGCCCAGGGCCGGCTTCGGCACGATGTCCGGGACGATGTACGGTTCCATGTCCGGGACCATGTGCGGTTCCATTGCTGTCAGCGCCCTCGAGTGCGGCAGCCAGGGTCACAGCGGACCCCAAGGTTCTTCTTCGGCCCAGCCTCAGTCAATGAGACCTGACCTTGTGCTTAGACTCTCTCGCAGAGTCTCAGCACTTGTGTCGTTATTCCAACCGACACATCTGGCGACGTGCGAACATCCACGCGACGTCCCAGACTCAATCATGTCTAGGGATACCATTACCCCCGCACACTCACGTGTACTACCGACAACCCACCGTTGTCCTTCACCAATGCGAGCGTCAGTGCTCGCAAGGAACCCCGGATCTCTGTGGTGTACGCCTTCCGTACACCCATCACAAAGACTCGGGCCAACCCCAGCAAGGCCCTCGTCCTTACTGGTGGTTGTGTCCCCCTTGAGCACCTGACGGTGCATGGCGTCGGCGCCCCCTTGACCCTCTGGTCTTCGGGTAGGTCTTCTTCCCAGACCCAGGCGATGGGCAGACTCGTTGATAGTGTCCTAGTCCGCCGCAGCCGTAGCAGCGGGCTGAGTACTGCTCAGCCGAACTCAGATCCATGGGTTCTGGTTCGCTGTCAGCGACCACAGGCTGTACAACAGCCAGAGCACCAGCCTGCTTGTGGCTGTACTCTTCCTGGAGGGCGACTTGGATCGCCTCCTCCATTGTGGCGGTGCGCACGCTGAACAACTGCGTGCGCGCAGGACCGACCTTCAGGCCGTCCACGAAGACTGTCATCTTGACGTCTTCCGACAGTGGGTTCCCCACCAGCGAGGTTGCCAACGTGCGCATCTCCTGTACGTACGCGTACAGCTCGCGCTCCCCTTGTTTGCAGGCAAGGAAGCGCGAGCGCTGGCGGAACTCGTTGTTCGCCGGGAGAAAAGCGGCTCAAGGCTGCTCACACAGCTGAGCCCAGGATGTGAAACATCCAGGCGACATCGCTTCGCGCGTATACGCCCAAGTCCTGGCACGTCCGCAAAGATTGGAGAGCGCGAAGGCGACTCGAAGGTTCTCGGCCGAGATGAGACCTGGGCTCATTGCGATCTCGGTCTCCCGGATCCAGAAGTGAAGGTTCTCACCTTGCTTCCCTTCGAACGGAGGCACAGCTAGCCGTAGAGGCTTAGGCTGCACCCGTTTGGGCTCACTCATCTGAGCCAGCAGGTTTCCCTGCACATGAGCGATGAGCCCGCGTTCGTACATGTCAAACGCGCTCACCGGCTCGACCTGCTCGGCTGGCGTCGCCGCCGCCAAGCTCCGGAGGGCATCTCTTCCGAAGATGCCCGCCATCTTCCGCACCGACTCGAACTGCGAGTCAGTCAAGTGAGGAAACTCACTTCGGTCCATCGTGGCTCACAGACCTGAGCCACCGAGGATTCAGGTAGACCAATCTACCCGCGTAGGCGTAGGATTGACTACAAGTGCTACCAAGTGTGACGGGGTCACACAGCCAGAGGAAGTGCGTGCGGATATTACTATCCAGGTGAACAGCAGTTCACCAGTTCCCGGCCTCAAAGGGAACGGTTTGCTACAAAGGAGTAGGTTATAAGACTGACTGTATTTTGGTAGAGGTTAACTTGGTCGTAATACAAACTACAAGTTAACTATACAAAAGCCCACACAAACTCAAATGGTTGGCTGGCGGAGCTACTGGTACCATGTACCATGTACTGGGGAGAGTGACACCCGTCACTCTTCATGTAATGGGTACACTTGATTCTACCCCGTTACAATTTCGGTGGAGCGTCATGCTTATCAACCGGTGGGAAGCTTGCTGAGCTGTATCAATAATAGAGCTAGATACAGCCTGCAGAGATGTGTTTTACGCTGCCCTGCGAATGGTAGCAACAATTCCAATCGGTAGGATGATCTGCTGCTGTTTCTAAGCATGAGCCGATGGCGATTTCTCGGGTTCTTGTTTGCTGTTTGGGAATACAAAATTGAAAACAAGACATTGTAAAATAATAGCGTTGAATTAATGTATTCGGGAGTTCCTCCCTATATGTGAGCGAAGCTACCGTAGTATCAACTCTGACTTCGTGTTCGTCCTGCCAGCATGCCCATCGGAAATCGCGCTCCTGGTGTCCTATGCTGTGAAAACCTTGAGCACGCGTTGGTCGGCCGCGGAATACCGGTCGCGCACGTAAAGGACATTATCAGCGGCTTCTGCAATCCCCCAGATCGAGTTAAACGGGCCGCTCGCGACGTACGTAGTGACCTCCTTGGTAATAAGACTTAGTCTGCGGATGCATTAGTTTACTCTGTCTGCAATGTACAGATAACCATCTGAACCAATTACCAGAGAATCGGGGGTCTTAAATCGTGCACTAGTACCAGTGCCATCGACAAGTCCGCTTGAGGTGGATCCGGCCAGCACAGTCATCACACCGCCCGACGTAAATTTAATCACCCGATTGTTATCCTTGGCGTAAATGTTGTCAGCTGAATCGATCACAATGCCAGCAGGGTTGGATAGACTGGTGCTGAATGTGCTGGACACGCCCGTCGAGGTAATCGTGGTTATCTTGCCATTGTAGTAATCCGTGACGTACAGGTTTCTGCTAGAATCTGCAGCAATCCCGTGAAAACTCAATGGGGACGGATCCGTGTAGAGCGTACTGACCGCGTTTCCGGAAATTTTGCGCACTTTGTAATAGTCACAAGCGAAGAGATCGCCGCTGCTGCTCACAACAAGGGCGCTAATTGAATAAAATCTCGCGTCTAGCAGAGCGCCATCCACGTACTTCATATTATCACCACTACCAGCGTATAAGGTAGGTTCACTGTCATCGCTCATTTGGAGGATGCGGCTACCATCGCTCAAGAAAATAGCTCCGTTTGGTGCCATAGCGATTCCCCCGTCGGTTGTTAAGTACGAGCCAGAACCCACGCGTATCGATACTTGCACACTCAATCCGGAAGAATCGGCGCTTGAACTCTTACTGGAAGATGAAGAGAATAGACGTGAGCTAATACTCGAGTCAGTACTTGAAGAGGATAAATTTGATCCGTAAATCTTGCGCACGTGTTGATCGGACGCTGACATGCTGTCGCGCTCGTAAACGAGATTGCTAGTGGCGACTGTAGTTGCCCAGATTCGCTGGAACGAGGCACTCGTAGCGACACCGTCTGTGGCGCCGCTGGACGTGCAAGTGCCAGCATACGTTGTAACCTCTTTGGTGGTAAGGCTAACTTTGCGGATACACGTCTGCCACGTACAGATGTCCATCGGAACCAACAGCCAGAGAGCGTGGGTTCTTAAAAAGCACAGCGTTACCATAACCATCCGCATATCCGCTTACCCAGTACCGGTACCCGGCCAGCACGGACATTGTACCGTTAAAGGTGAAACTAACCACTCGATGATTATCCGAGACGTAAATGTTGTCTGATGAATCGATCGCAATGCCCGCGGGAATCGATAGGCTGCTACTGAAGGTAGAGACACCGTTCGAGGTAATCTTGGTTATTATACCATTATTGAACTCGGTGACGTACACGTTCCACCCGAATCCACAGCAATTCCCTGTATGTTCGACGAGGAGGGAGCAGTGTAAATCGTACTGACCGTGCTACCTGTAATTTTGCGCACTTTGTCGCCATCACGAATAAGGAGATCGCCATTGTTGCTCACAGTAAGAACGCCAAGTGAAGAAAACCTCGCGACGAGGAGAGGACCATCCACATAACGTGTCGCATCAGCACTCCCAGCTTATACGGTAGGCCCACTGCCTTCGGTCATTTGGAGAATGCGGCTACCTTCACTTAGATAAATAACCCATTTGGTGTCACAGCCATTCCTCCCTCGTGAGTTAAGCTTGACGAAAAAGCGGAGTTTAAAATCGTCGATACGTGCACAACCGCGTCGGATGAGTCAGTATCCGAGTTGTTACTGGCGAGTGAGGCCGACCAGTATGAACCACTGCTCGAATTGCTCTTGCTGACAGGAAGACCAATATAATCCGCTCGAGTCACGACTTGCTGACGAGGAAGACCAGTATGAACCACCGTTCGTTGCCGACGAAGAAGACGACCAGTTTGAGCCACTGCTGGAGTCACCACTACTCGCCGACGAGGATGGCAAAGGTGGATAAGTGGCCGAACCACTACCGGTAGTGTCCGAGGATGTTCTCGACTCGATAGTTATTCCAAGAAGAGTGCCTACAACTATCACAACAGCTAGAACCACAGCTTCAATCAGTTTATAAGATCGTGGAATTGTTGGAGACCTTGGCTTCGATGGCTTCACTGGTGTTCCGTCGGGTGAACTCGGTTGCACTTGATTTTTAGCGACGCGCTTGTTCGCGATAGCATGGTCGAAGTGAGGGCCAAGGCCGTGGATACCAGCCGCCGCATTAACTAGGTCTTCGATGCCTTGCAGGTTGTCTGTGTTTCCGACGCGATCCACCGGATTACCTGTTGACTGCTCTCTAATCAATGATCTTAACTCGACCATAACCTTTTCCATGGTTGGCCGCTGATCTGGAACAGCATTGCAGCATTGAGTGATAAGTGCCCAGGCGCCATCACTCATCAACTTCTGGTCTCGAGGCGGAAGTTCGCCATTCAACTTGCATGTCCGTAGTTCTTCGTCACTACTAATATCGGCATACGGTGACTCGCCAACCAATGCGTGGTAGATGGTCATTCCAAAAGCATAAACGTCAGATTTGGTGCTCGGCAACATTCCGTTCACACACTCCGGTGCCAAGTAGCGGACCGCATCCGTGATTTCAATCCCTGCAGCCGCTGCCGTACCATTAACGAGGCGCCGATCCTTCATTGCACTCCAGTCGAAGCTGCGATCGAAATCGCAAAGTTTTGCCTGGGCGTTCTCCGAAACCAGAATATTGTCGCACTTCAAGTCCCCGTGGACGATGCCGACCGAATGCATCTTGGCGACCGCTTGGGCAGCTTGTGCGAGCACATCGAGACTGAGTTTGTAGCGATTGATCTCATCATGTCGTAGAAATTTATCTAGAGGCCCGTTGTCGCAATAGTCCATTAGGACAAAAGGTGTCGCCGTGAAATAGCAGGCACCACGAAGGCGGCAAATATTGTCGTAGCGGCTTATCCGCTCCCATAGATTCGTCGTGTAGAAGAACTTCCGTTTTGTCGTGTCTGACTTCACGTTATCGTCGAAGATTTTGACCGCCATGAGAGTGCCATCTCGCAGCATTCCTTGGTATACCTTAGCGTCCCCACCAAATCCAATGATCATTGACATATCGATGTCGACTTCGTCCTCCGTCATGTACCAGTCTGGGAGGTTGCTGATCTCGGTTCGAACGGGGCGACTCGAGCTCGCCCACAGTTTTTCCTTCACAACGCTGACAACGCGGTCCTTAGCGATTTTGGAGTCCTGCATTGTGGCGTCATCGCGACGTCCCATGCGAGAGATAGTTGCGAGTATTTCCTTCTGGTTGTCCGGGTCGCTCATGGCTGCCATTGCTTCAGGAGAGTCGACAAGGTTCATGTACCGCTTGGCTCGATCCTCGACCTGGCCGGCGCTACGGTAGGTGACGCTCCCATCAATGGAGCATTCTGTAGTGAGACGCTCCACCAGTTTTTCTTTGGTTTTCTTTGCATTCGCGCTCGCGTTGTCCACTTCCTGGTGAAACACGAGCTGCTTGAGGATGTTCTTCTTGGAAAACTTGTCCACGACACGATCTTACGTTTTGATCTCGGTTTCGAGCCTCGTGATGAGTTTCTGCAGTCCGTCCGTGAGTTTGGTCTGGTTCTTGACGCGCTTCAACATGTCGAGGGCCCAGCGGAACTCCTCCACGTCTTCTTTGATGTTTTCCTGCTGCGTCTTGATCGACGAAGCCTTTCCCTCCATCCCGCTGAGCACCTTACCAATCTGGAAAATGACCTTGGAAAGCTCAAACGCGCTGTTGACAAGAGCGCCGGAGCCAGGAAGGACGACATTGGCGGCGACGACCACAGCGCTTTGCACTGTTTGCATCTTAGTTGCTGTCTACTGCGATGGCGTGGAAACTAGTGCTCGAAGAGATGAATGCTACTGAGATGGATGCAGTCCTCTATCGATGGCTAGACATGGGACATCGCAGTGGTTACGGAGGTCAATCAATGCGCACGAACCAGTCTGCGTTTCCCTGCGTGCACGGACTTGCCATTTATGTGGTCGGTTTCTGGTTAAAAATGACCATCGAGGTTAACACCTCGACGCTTCCAACATGTAACGTTAAATGGGAATTTTTGTCCAACGATTCAAAGTGTTCTGGATATTTACGTACCACATTCTATTTGTTAACACTGACTGAAGCGCCTGAATGGTACGTCTTCACCTAATTTACAAAACAATGCTAGTGTCCCAAAGGAAACCTGAACGTAAAAACGAGAACGCAAGCAATTCGCAAATGCCATATTGTTTTTACCCCAAGTGCATTCATGTAGGTCTATCAATGCGCTTGCGGCCTTGCGGGAAGCGGCGAGAGTCTGTCGGTAGTGCATCTTGCTGCTTTTGGCAGTAGAGGCACCAGCGACAGCAATTGTTTCGCTCGGCGCAAAGCCTTCTACGTCTCGCAATCTACTTGCGGTCTGCTTACTTGGAGGCTGACGACTCCAGCGCGATGAAGGCGCTGGCAGCGGCGAAGGCCTGCTCAAAGTCGGCCCAGATCACCTCAATGTCCTCCTGGCCGATCGAAATGCGAATCAGGTAGCGGTCGACACCACAAGACTCCACGAAATCCAGTTCCCCATAGTGAGCAAGCAACGTGTACGGGCAGCTAAGCGTGAAGTTGGTGCCGAGGCTCGGGCCCTTGGCACTCGTCAAGGCGTTGTAGAATGCCGTGGCCGGCTCGAGTCCGCCCTGCAGCAGGATCGAGAACACCGGCCCATAACGAGGCTTGTCCTTGTCCTCGGACGGGTTCAGGAACGGATCGTACAGGTTCTTGGCGTCGCCCTGCGTGGGGTAGTACACTTCCTTCACAAGTGGGTGCTTCAGCAGTCTGTCCACAATCTCAGCAGTGGTCGCGTTGGTCTTCGCGAGACGTTGCGCCAGGTCCTTCGACTGCTCCAGCAGCTCCTTCACATCGTCCTCCACCGCAAACGAGTCTCCTTCAGGGTCGAAAATGGCCTCCAGCTCCTCGAACTTGGGGCTGTCTGGGTTCAGCACCACACTGCCCCCCATGACGTTGCCCGTGCCGCCGAAAATCTTCGACAGACTCGTGACCACCAGGTCGGCGCAGCCGTGCTTCATCGTGTTCACGTTGTACGACCCCATAGTGTCGTCCACCACCAACACAGTACCATTGTCGTGGGCACACTTGGCCAGTCGCTTCAAGTCGGGCATGGACAGCAGCGGGTTGCCCGGGAACTCGGCCCAGATGCCAAGCGCCTTCTCCTTGGCCACGATAGCCTCCACCTCCTGCATCTCCTTCTCCCCGCACGTCGGGAAGAAGTGCACGCCACGCGCGCACCACTCCTTCCTGCTCAGGATCTTGAGCGTGTCGACGTACGGGAAGCCCACCAAGATGCTCTTGTAGTCCGGGCCACGGAACTTCTGCAGCAGCCTCACCGTGGCGAAGATGGCCCCCATGCCCGTGGGGTACAGAGCCACTTTGGACGGGTCAGCAGAGGGCAAGTAGAGCCCCGCGACGCGCTTTCGAAGCGCCAAGTGGCTGTCCGTGTGTCCCAACGCCGGAATTTCGACATCGTCATCGCCCTTGAGCAGCTGCAGCAGCCGCTCGGCGTGGCGCGAGGACACGATCTCCCCCGAGTGCTGCCAGAACTGCGACGCCGTCTTGCCGAGGCGGCGCGGGAAGCGCACGACGTGCACGGCGTTTTTGACAAGGTGCACCGAGACCTCGTCGTTTTTGACAGCGTTTTCGACACCGGAATGGCTGGCCACTAGGAAGTGTCGCAGGCGCTCGGCTGCGGCGGAGGTCGGTACCGGCATGAGCTCCCACGCGTCCTCGTCATCCTCGGGGAACAGCTGAGTCTGCACTTGGGCGGTGAGCGCCACCACCAGCGGGTGGCGGAAGAAGCGCGGGTAGCCGCAGGCCATGGCGCCCAACACCTCCGGCTTACCCTCCTCGTAGCCCACGACGTGCTTCCAGTCCGGCATGGACACGGATATGGCGTGCGTGTCCTGCGGCGGTAGCGACGTGCCCAGCGGCTGCGGCGTCAGAGGCGACATCGGCGGAATCGAACGTGATCTGCTCGGGCGCAAACGCGGAAGTGGGCGGTTCTGTGTCGAAATGATTCTTAGACGGAATGTGGTCGGTTAAGTACGAAGAGGAGCGAGTGGCTGAACCGAGCAAAACAGGAAATTGCATTTCGGGGCAGCGACGAAAAGGTATACGAGCGGTTTAATTTTTATGTAAGAAATGACAACACTGGACTAACGTTTTTTTTTACTATGCACAGGATACGTCACAAAATAAAGGCAATTTCTTGAGATTGTTCAGTTCATGGCACAGCACGCGCCATCGTTTTCTCGCGCAATGTCCTTAGCTGGGGAAAACGCTGTGTATACATCGCCCCAAATTCAACGTGAACTGATCAAATGTGCGGCTGATGTTGTTCGAAAGCATATTATGGAGGTCGAGATTGCAGATGGATATTTTTCTGTTCTGGTGGATGAAGCAAGCTGATGGTTTTGGCTATCGAGCGTGATCTTACAAACAGCATCGACAAAGACTCGGTCCTCGAAAAGTTTAAAGGGATGACAAAAAGAAGAATCGAAATGTAGGTTGTGGATTTTACTTTTAAAAAAATCTATGCCCCCCTCCCATTTTTTTAAGGCTGGCTCCGCCTCTGCCGACGCCAAGACGAGCTCAGAGCCCAAAGCAACCAGGTTGCCACCGAGAGAAACATTTTTTCCGTCGTCTCGCACAGACCCGAGCCCATCCTCCCAAGCGTGTGTCGCAGGACCCTGCGCTCGGGGGACGGACTGTTCGCCTTGAGGCGCCAGACGAGCTGGCAGGCAACTGGGATGGCCCGGTCTACGCGACGCTGTCGAGGGAGACCAAGCTGCTTCAACCGACTGACCGCGGACCGTTTGTTGCTGAGGATGACGGCCTCCGCCGGCCCGCCTAGCGAGCGACTCTCACTTTTTTGAGGCATGCACAGTGCCGTGACGAGCCTCCACGCGCGCTGCAGGAGCACGTGGACGTGCAGTTCTGGATCCCTCACTGGAGGCTGACGCTCCCAAGCCGCGACCTCTCGGGCGAGCTGCTGGAACGACCCCTGCTGTCCCTCTTTCGCTTCGTGCGGGTGTGGCATCCCCCAGCTGCGACACCAAGTTTGTGCGTCAAGTCGCCGCAGGCTCCCTGTGTGGGCAGGTGGTGGCGTACTCACCTGCCTCTTCGCTCGTGCTGGTGGATGAGATTGACGTTCTCCTGGAGCCTGGCTCCGGGTTCATCTGCTACGTGGCCATTCGGCACTTCGTGAGTGAAGCCCGGCAGATCGTGGTGGTCCCTTTGGACGACGTGCGCGTCAACCACATCAGCTGCGCCGAATACGTGCTCGGATTCCGTCACCGGCGACCTCAACCTACCTCGCCTGGCGAGTTTACGAACCTGTGGAATAGTATTCCTGCGCTCAGTAATAATGATGCATCGACGGTTATGCAGCATATTGCCGCAGCTTTTCCCTCTACTGTGTCGGACCTTTGCGCCGGCCGGGTCGCGTTCATTTCTCCACGGGGGAAGGGGGGGGCTTCGACTACGGTGACAAATTTCGTTCTGGACGCCAAGCGCCTTCCTGAAATGGACGTCGACCAGGAGAGCCTCCCACCGCCAGTCCTCCCTCTGTTGACATCGGACGAGACGCGGCTGACCCCGATTGACGAGCTCTCCCTCTTGGCCAGGCCGAGTGAGTCGGTTTCATCAGATGCGGATCCGAGTTCTGATCATTTGAGCGCGGGTCCAGGACCCGGTCCCAATACAAACTCGACGTTTCAGCAACCGGACAATCCGCTTGTTCGTGTTTTACTCGAGCAGCAGAGGGCATCTATGGAAGCCACGCAAGCTATGATCCGATAGTTGTCCTAGCTCACGTCGGCCGTGCTCCAGCGTCCTGCACAGCCACAGCCTGCACCCGCTGCTACTGAGGTTACTACGGGCACCCGCTTCGATGATCCCACGGCACCACGGGGATACTTCGGCACAGCGTCTCAACCCGTCGTCCCGCGAGGGCCTTTGTGCTCAGCGTGCTGGTGACCACCGCCCGCGTGGCTACAATCGTTTACGATCCCGATCCAGTCGGAGGCCGTCTCGCTCTCGAACCTCGCGATCGCGCTCACGTTCGCGCTCGCATTCGCGTTCGCGCTCGCACTCACGCTCGCCGTGCCGAGCGCCTGACCGGCGCTTCCGTAGTCGATCTCGATCTCGGAGCCGCCACCGCCGTATGCATCGTCGCTCCCGGTCTCGGTCTCCCAACCGGTGCTCAGAGCAACGCCGATCGCGATTACGCGGTCGCTCTCCGACAGGTTGCCGCCCAACTGGGGCCAGTGCTTTTTGGCCAACGGAGAACGGGGCCCGAGTCCATGATGTAGCCCACGTGGGGCCCTCGGGTACGGAATCCTTCGATCGTTTTCGTGCTATGACACCCCAGGACAGTGTCTGATCCATGCTTCAACGGGAGCGTTTTCGAAACCGTTACAACGTCACCAAGGTGACCATCAAGATGCTGTACGCGATCAACTTTGGGGGGCGACCCATTGACCACTTTTATCCTCTGATGATCCCTTCAACTTTGCCCAGGGCAGAGCTGTCATCCATGACGACACCTAATGGCGTGGGCCTGACCCAGCTCCTCTTGCCCAGATTCGCCGAGCGGATCAGCTCCACCACGTACTATACGTCATCCACGATGCCGCGGCGGAATGGTATCCCACCGATGTGGCTAGGGTGTTCCGAACTGTTCACGGCGACGCTGTCAACAACGTCCCACACACGGCGCCTCCGCAAGTGATCAACGCCATGTGCAACTTGTTCCAGGCAGTATTTGGCGATCTCTTTGATGATATTCTTCACCGTGTACCGAGCCGGGATCTGGAGCCCCGTGCGCGACGTGTTCTCAGCCGCGATTCCCCAGCCTATCAGCAGTACGTGACACGGGTGCTCAACGACGCAGTCGTCCTCAGAGGACCTCAAAGCGGATCACGTGATTCCCAGCGCCCGGCGCAGCCTCGTTCCAAGAATCGTCGACAGTCCCAGCCGACTAGCCGGTCTGACCAGCCTTCGGTCATTCTGACGGTCATTCGCAGCCAATCCCAGTGGTCAACGAGTCCCCGCTCTGTATCCGCTACCAGGTAGCCAAGGACTGGGCGTTCCCCAGGTGTTCCCACACCCATTCGCTCCACAGACTCCCACCAGACGTTTTGCAGTGGGTGGTTCAACGCCATGGCGCGCTCAAGAGTGAGCACCCACAGCATGCGTGAGGATGCGGGGACGGTGGTGTTTGCATAGCAACATTATCCATTGATAATTGAACTTTGCCGCTTACCTTTCCGTCCGTGAACGATGTTGCGTCTGACATCCCACTAGCGTCAGTACATGGCTCGATGCCTACTCCGGCGATATCAGATATCCGTCCACCAAGCAACCCAGCGATGGCTTCAGAGCACGTCGTCCTTGTCCCTGGGGTGCCATCATCGGCGGTTCCAGCATCTGATGCCACGGTGCCAGTCACCCCGCCAGCGACGTCTAACGTGTCCGACACTTTTGCGCCGGGCCCCTGCCCATCGACGATAGCGACGTCAGATGTTCTCGTGTCGTGCACAAATCCAGCGGCGACCACGGCGTCGACCGGTCCGGCACCTGACGCGCCGCCATCCGTGACAACCGTATCGCCTACAATGGCGCAGGGCACCTGTTCGGGTACTTTTAGCGTGTCTGACTCGCCCACAGCTTCGGTACTTGGGGTTGCCGACCCCGTCAGGCTGAATACCCGATTACCCGAGTCTTTGGTGTCTGACACCTCACCCACCCACGCATCCAACTTCTTCGCGTAGTTCGACGGTGGGTGTCGGCCTACGGAACGTCGAAGCCTACACCTGCTGCGTTTGGAGTTCCGAGTATCAACTACTCCGCTGGGAGGCGCGATCATTCGCCATTGCGGAGTCAAACAATTCGATGGAGGCCCAGGGCCACTTGGCGTGTCTACGTTGGGTTCGGGACAACCTCCCCGGCCGACGTATCCATGTGTTTGGCGGCTCCAAGTTGATCATCCAACAAGCCTTGATGCAGGCGGCCTGCAAGGCGGCCCATCTCCGTCCGCTCATAGCCGCAATCCGATCATGGGGGCGGGCTTGTCCCTCCTTTATTTGCGGCATGTGCGACGCGGGTACAACATTGCGGCTGACGCTTTGTGTAACTGGGTCATGGACACGGCCCCATCGGCTGTCAATTGTACGCATTGCGATTCCTGCTGGCCGACGACAGCTCCTTCGAATATGGCTCTGAGCCCGGCTGTGCTTCTTCCATTCCAGGCTTCCCTTGATGAGGGCGTGGACCTGCGGGCCCATGCTACGGCTAACTGGTTTCTCGTACTTCAAGAGCTTGCATTGGTGACCCACCTCATCCGGTCTCGCTTCGTATCGAACCGTGCAGATCGTCCGCACTATCCGGCCACGGCCAATCCTGCCGCCCCTGACCAGGTTCACACGGTCGCGCGATTGTTGGATTCAGAATTCGACACGAACGTCAAACGTTCTTGTATCATCGAGGGTAGACCCGGATGCGTTCCAGCGGCAGTATTTCGAGGCCTCCAGGAGGCGGCGCACCTCGTTGGTGCCTCCTTCCCAATGCAAACAGCGTTCCTGGATCCTGGCCCTGGTTCCATCCGTGGATCTCGGCATCCTGAATGCCCTCATTGCCGACGATCGATTTGGGATTGCAGGCACACTCAAGCTCTTTCGGGGTCAGACCTCATTGGACCCTCGGCCTAACAAGGCTCTACGGCCCTGGCTCTATCGGGACCACCTTTCGACGTACCCTCAGTTACAACTGCTGTGTGCCATCGCTGAGGAGGGTATCGTGCAACCATGGATTAGTACACAACATCGCCGCGGGGCTCGGCCGGTCCCAAACAACTACGCGGGTGCCGAAGACGGTGCGCGGATTGTGACGGACAAGCTTCTCGTGGACTACTACAAGGGCCGGTGCCTCATCGCTACAATCACCACGCTGATTCAGGACCCGGAGTTTCACTCGAGCGCCTTCGCGCTCGTTCCGAAATAGGATAAACCTCTCCACCTCGACGGACGCATCATTTATAACCTCTCGGCGCCGCCTGGTGTATCTGTCAACGATCAGACCAACTCCTCGGCCTCGCCAGACGCGACTTTGGACCCCTTCGACGCTATTGCTCTCCGTGTGCGCGACCTGCGTCGTCGGTTCCCGGGCTTTGCCATCTACGCCATGGTCGCTGACATCGCCGACGCCTTTCACCATGTCCCAGTACACGCAGATCACGCGTCGGCGTTTGGGGGAAAACTACCACGGTCATCGGATGGCATAGTGTCTGGTATGGCCGTGTTCGGCTGGACATCGTCTCCCGGATTCTTTGCGGTGTTTGGTAAAGCTGTCAGACACTACCAACGCACAGAGGCATCACGAATCTTGGGGTTCCTGGAACCATTCTGGGTCTTCCAATGGGTCGACGACATCATCCTCATTGAAGTGGACATCGGTGACCGCCTTCAGAAGGCAGAGAAACGTATCAGAGACGGTATCAAACTTGTGTTCGGCTCCGCCGGCTGGCACGAAGGCAAGTTCAAGACCTGGTCGCGACGTTTCCACGCAGTCGGCATTGACTGGGATATCCCAGCTGATCGCTGTTCCTCAGAGTAAAATCGACAAGGTGCACTCAACCCTCGCGGGCGCCCTCCAGAAGAAGCAGTTTTCCCTTAAGCAGCTGGACAGTATCGTGGGGGTACTCAGACACGTGATCAGCTTCATTCCCATTACCAAGCCGTTCATTCAACGTTTGGTAGCCGTGCAGACGGATTGTCGCCGACGACACAAGATGGGAGTACCGATGACAGAATTCCTGCGGAAGGATCTTGTCTGGTGGAACGACCTGGTCTTCCAGAACGAGTTTGCGGGTGTTCCCATGGAACTATTCGAAAGGGAGGTTAAAACCGATGACATTTGGCTACTGGAGAGCGAACCCAAGGCACTGGTACTCACGAGCATGCGTCTCAGGGAAAGGGTCGTGTTCATTCATGCCGACCGTGCGGTTGACGTCTCCAGTGTCGCCCTAGCGATGTCGAGAGCGGTACAAACTTGGGGTCCAAGACTTCAACGACAGGACGCCTGGCGCCACATCACGGTTCACAGCCCCAGTCGGTGGATAACCCGAACCGTGGAGAGAATGAGCTGTGACTCTGAGGCAGGCCAGGATCTCCTACGCCAGTGCGCCCTCAGCCAAGCCCAGTACCGCCTTCCCCTTGGAACTTACACGTTCCGGAGAAGCATGGAGCAGACCACAAGGTGTGATGTACACGCCCGAACTAACAGGTATTCTTCCTCACAGAGAGACACAGAAGAATCGAGCAGAAGACCAAGCAACTCAAGGAAGCGTCCGTATCCAGGGGAACCCTCGGGCGATACAGCAAGAACTTCAAACACTGGGAGACGTTCTGCAATGACTTCGGCTTCCTGGTGTGGATCGACGACCTGCCCAGGGCTCAGCAAGCCAGGATGGTTGGATTATTCGCCGGGCTGTGTGCGTCAGAAGGTCACAACAAGTCCAGGACAGGGAATAAGTACCAAACATTTGACGGAAAGATGGCAGCGGTGGCATTCGCACACAAGGCAGTTCGGAACGCTAAGCTCGATTACCATGATCCGGAATTTGAGCACGTCGCTCAAGGATACAAGCGTACCAACAGTCATGTGGACCAGAAGCAGCCAGTTACTACACCGATGTTGCTCAAGATGCGGGAGCTCGTAGCTCATGAGGACCCGCAAGCCAGGTTGTTGTGGAGCTCCGTCGTACTTGGGTTCTTCTTCCTCGACAGAAGCTCAGAGCTATGGGGCCCGGTCAAACCCGACATGTCGACAGGATTTGAAAGAGTCCACTGTGTCAAGGCCCAGAATGTGATACTCAGGAACAAGCAAGGTCAACATGTAGGCTCAGAGTCTACCCAAGTGGACTCCGTCGAAATCATATTCGAATCGCACAAGGGCGATCGAATCGGCCAAGGCAGCACTATTCGGCACTATCGATCAAACAACTCGACACTGTGCCCGGTGGAAGCCGCGCAAGAATGCATGCGGATACGAGCTCAGTGGATAACGGAGAACAAGACCCTGGGTCCACTTCTTACATCCGTATCAAGGAAGGCAACGATCAAGAGGTCAAAGGTGGCCAACCTCACCAAGGCGGCGGCAAGAAGCTTGGGGCTATCCCCAAAGGATTATTCGGCCCATTCACTTCGGATCGGAGGGGCCTGCGCTCTACTAGCCGCAGGTAAAAGTGACCTGGTTATTCGGCTAATGGGCAGGTGGGTTTCACAGTCTACACGCGATGACAACCCGGTATGATTCGCGACACAGCAAGTAGCATGATCAAGGCCTCGACATGGGAGCACCACGAACCAAGTTCCGCAGTACTCGAGGGGGGATCCAACGAGCCTAGCTCATCGAGCTAATCAAGTCTACTTGCCCCACTCAAGGTGATGGTCGAAGGAGGAAATGGTTAAACAATCGTCAGACGTGAAAATTCGTATGATGTTCGATAGGATATTGATGACGTTGGATAGGATAGAGGTAGCACTTGACCGCTTTAGTCGCCGCAGTTGCCCTACAGTACCAACTACGAAGTGCAACTAGCAGTGCGTAGTTGGCACTGAAGCGGTCGAGTTCTTGCCTCAATACGCACACAGTCTCGCCGTTGCGTGGCCATTAATTGCAGCCAAACAAGTCGTTTCCACTACTATGCAGTAAGACTTGGCTGTGAGCTTAGCCCTTCATGGTGAGTGCTACTGTAGCCCAGCTCAACTGTCCGCCCAATTGCTCCTACATGTATCGCTAAGTAGACTCAGCAAATGCGGCACTAACCGCGTAACCCATGCAAAGACGCATTGCTAGGCTTCGACAAGCTGCAGATCTGTCCCTACTTGAGCCCAACTACCTCATGTACTCTATTGCCTGGAATACAGTGGGGGCCCACTTGGGCCTCTCGAACTAACACACGCACCAACAGTAGATTACCGGCGGTAAAAGTCGTCGATTGTACAGTAGTCCATGGCTTTTCAGGAATCTTTAGTTAAATAAACGCCTGTGATTACTTGGGAGAGTCTATTACATTTTGTTCACAGGCAACTCGAAGGCACCAGTCTTGCAGGCCTGCATGCACACGGCCAAGTCGCTGTAGAGTGCCTGCAGCATTTATTCCACTGCCACCTCTGCGCGCAACGTATCATAAGCATTATAATATCTCGTGTGCGGGTGGCGTGCCGCCAATCGCACGCTCTGTAATACTACTACATTACTGTCCTTGTTGCTACACTGCCTTAAAAATGCTCTTGAACGCGAGGCATGCCTTGTTGGGGTATGCAAGTCCGAGTAGGAACGCTTGAGCGCGCACAGGAAATTGGTTTGCTACCCATCATGGTCGTGTGAATCCTGGTTCGACAACTTATCTAACGGATTCGGTGCGAATCACGATTTGCTAGTGTAGCCACACAATTAAATAGGGAAGCGAATCAAGACTTCGGAAAATGGCAGACACGCTGTCTGACGCAAATACAGATGTGACCCACATTGTCATACGAATATTGGGGAATGGGCTTGTCCTGGCCTGAAAGTCCCGGACTTTCCCGCCGGACAAAATTTCCAATTATAGTTTTGGAAAGAGGGGGCTGCACTCATCAACTTTGTCAAAACGCGAGACCCACTCACTCACTTTGTCGACAAAAACTCACTAACTTTGTCATCAGCCCCCGCGAGAATTTGTATTCGAGCGGAAAGTTTACGGAGCTTTTGTTAAAGTTACCGAGTTACCGAGTTCTTTCGATAGTCGCAAGACGTTATCGGCCTCTCCAAATGCATTAGCGCAAAGTTTGCAGGAGTTCACTTCTAACGCCCGAAGGGTCGCAACCGGATGATTTCACTTGGCCCCAGTATTGGAGCGAGACAAATCGAGGGCAAGACGAAATGATGAACGGAGCCGCTTGCCGCTTCGGGGGCGGGCGCAAATTCGTTACTGTTTGGAGCCCCATAGTAAAGCCCCGAGCGGCAATGCTGGTAGGTACTTAGGCAACAGGCGTAGTGATACATCTAGCAACAGTGCCAGACGAACTCACAAAATCAGTAAAAAAAAAACAAATTGAAAGGCAGTAAGCATCTCGTTAGGGGCCACCGATCCGAAAACGCTACGCTTCTCTCCTTCCACAGGGAAATGTTTTCTGTGTCAGCAAAGTACTACGAATTTAAGTGGTCCTACTATAATTTATCAAGTATGTGGCAATCAACTCATTGAGTAGCCCAAGCACGTCACTGCAACGCGTTTCCTCGTAACTTAGGTATTGCTGTCAATTTGCAAGCCTAATTCTCCTGCAGCGCCTTCCTTTCAGCTAGCCGCGTCAGCCTTTCGCCGGAAGTTTTACAATATGCGGTAAATCGACGATTTTTTTTAATATGCACTCACGTCTCATTTCATTTCAATGGCCACCGTTGACTTAGCTTTAATAGCTTAACGTTACACGGATCACACACACTAGTGTATGCGTCCTATGCCTAAGCAAACCCTCGACGATCTTGCTCGAGCCTGAGGGTACACGTTGGAGCGCTTAATAACCGAACATCATCACGTGTAACTGTGGATATGTGCTACTTGCCATCACTCAATGAGTAATGTCTCTCTCGATCGAGAGTCTCGAATGCTTAACAACACCCACCTGCGTAGGCTGCTGGACGGCCACTGCAGCCGAATCACTTCTGTTGCCAATAGCTATGCATGTACGTCCAGGTGGCCGCTGCTGTCTAGTCAGGGTGCAGCGAATACACCACCGAAACATTAGCTCTCAAGCACGATCTATAGTGCATACAATGCCTATATTGGGCTGATAATTATCTCTTGTTAGTCACGAAACGCTAATACATTTTCACACTCGCAAGCTAATGAATAAGCAGACGCAGTGCATGTTGTCCGGACTGAATGGGGCTTCAGTCCAAGATAACCCCACTGCGCTTCGCACTACTAAAACTCGTAGATCGGAGTAAACGTGTTGCTGAGGCATGGCTACTACAACGCGTCCGGAAATGCCATGCATTCTTATATAGAGAGGCAACGTTGAGTAGCCATCTCTTTGTGCTGACGTCCCCTACGTGTAAGCGTGAGCGACACAAAACAACTCAAGTAGAGAAGGGATTACTAGTACTCCATTCTCAGCTACCAAACAAGCCCTGAATCTATAAAATGTACCCCATGCAGACAACTAGAGCCAGCTATTTGAGCTTTCATACCTGGTTTATAGCATTGCGGTCGTTTGGCTACTGTTTAACTGCAGACAATGCTAATAACTATGCTTGAAAGCTCGTTAAGCTGGAGTGCCTAATAAGTTTGAACTCGTAGTCGCTATTGCTCGTAGATATATTGTGCTTTTCAGTTGTTTTGGCGAATCGGACGTGTAAAACAGCTACCTACTAAGATGGGGCTAGGTTATCGGAGCAGATTAGCAGGTCCGTCGTAGGGAATTAGGACCAAGAATTGCTAGTCCGATGGAAGCACTTGCGCAGGTCCTACAAACAGCCGAAAGCCCGAATGTCGCCCATTTTCATGGCATTCGGGGTTTGAGGTCTTACGAAGGACTTCTGCCAAGTCTTGTGGCAGGACTTTCATACGAGCTGACTCAATACGGCGTATGTCAAACGCAGAATAAACTTAGGGAAACACGATGCAGTCGATACGTTAAACACTCCAGTCTTCGCCCTTCGCCTTCGCGGGTTCCGGCATTGCTTGCTTCCCTAAACAAAGCTTGCTTGGCTTGGACTCCAACCGGAGTCCATTGAACGGAAGACTCCGGGAGACCGCTCATCGGACTCGTCCGAGATTTGCATCTCAGATTTAGAGACCGCCAACCTCAGATTAACTGACCTCCAAAGTCCTACGCAGGACTCGGCAAAATGACCGAAAGACACAATAGATTATGGATCGAATAGCGCTCTGATTGGTGTGTCCTCATGCGTCCCCCACCCTCGTTGTGCGGCAACTTGGCCGCATGCGTCGAATTCGACGCATGAGCGTCTTTGTTTTGCTCCCCGACGCATGAGCGTCTTTTTAGTAAGCCAATCATACACCCGTATTTCGACGCATGCGGCTCATGATGAGCCGGTTGAGAAATTCTCAATGAGAATGGACCTAAAGCTGACGTCAGCTAAACACATCGACGTAATCACTTCGGGACCTATGGATAGAGCCTTCCTGTCGGCCGCTAATGTGAATCTGCTAAACCATTCTCCCACAATCGAATCTGCTCGCCACGCATCAAGTCCCGACCAAGGAAGCTCAAGTTGACCCAATGGTATCGTCGTCTCAAGTTTCCAAGCTATTCACTCCCATCACGTTGGGTGGCAAGACGAACCAGTTGACGCTACAGCACCGCGTGGTGATCGCCCCGCTGACCCGCTTCAAGCACGGCGACGAAGGCGTGCCGCCCGAGATCACGGCCAAGTACTACGGCCAGCGCGCCACCAAGGGCGCGCGGTTACCCTGGCACCCCCGGCATTTTCAACAATGATCAGGTCGCCGGCTGGAAGCAAGTGACTGAGACGGTCAAGGACAAGGATGGATACATGTTCCTCCAGTTGTGGCACACTGGCCGTCTGAGTAACCCGCAGCTCCAGCCGAACGGAGAGCTGCCGGTGTCCTCCAGTGCCAAGATGGACGTGTCGGCTGGTCGTGTGCCCACCAGTGGAGGACGTAAGTCGTACGTCCCCCCGCGCGCACTCGAGACCCACGAGATCCCGCTCATTGTGGAGGACTACAAGAAGGCGGCAGAGAACGCCCTGGCCGCAGGTTTCGATGGTGTCGAGTTGCACTGCGCCAATGGATACCTCATTGAGCAGTTCCTGCAGGACGGCATCAACGACCGCACCGACAAGTACGGCGGGTCGGTGGAGAACCGCGCGCGCTTGCTGTTCGAGGCTCTGGACGCGATCCTGGAGGTCGTGGACTCGAGTCGCGTGGGCATCCGACTGGCCCCGTACGGCATGAGCTTCGGCCAGTTCGAGTCCGACCCCGTCGGCATGTACGGCCACGTGCTCAAGAGGCTGAACGACTACCACCTGGCCTACGTCCACCTCATCGAGCCGCGCGCGTTCGAGTTGCACGAGAACCCGAACGCGCCGACGGACGGATCCATGGTGCGCACCTTCCGCGAGATCTACGACGGCGTGATGCCGACGGCCTCGGGCTACGACCGCGCGTCGGCCATCCAGGCCGTGGACAGCGGCGACGCCGACATGGTGGCGTTCGGCCGCTACTTCATCTCGAACCCGGACCTGGTCAAGCGTCCGGAGATCGACGCGCCGTTGAATCCGTACAACCCAAAGACATTCTACGCGCCAGGCGAGACGGGATACACCGACCAGCCGTTCCTGGAAGAGGAAAAGACGGCGCTGTAGAAAATGTTTACCGCACAAGAAGGGCACTGATGACTAATGAAATCACAGTGGAGCTGTAGAATGTTTACCGCGAAATCCTTTTCCATGAATGGACGGCCTTCTTCTACTGTCTGTGCAACGGACCAACAACCGTTTGGCTAATTCGGGGCAGTGCCTGGTGATCTGAGCGCAGAAATCAATCCAATTCTGGCGGCGTTTCTACTTGTTGAAGAAGAGGAGGCGATCTCTATCTTGATCAGTGCGGCATTCTCCAGCCAACAGACGCGGCCGTGTTGTGTCACCATGGGTCGAGGAAAGAACTCGAGCGCGTATCGCGATATGGACGAGGAGTTCTTCGCGTCCTTGGAGGAGGCCAACTACGAGTGTCACGAGTCGCCGACCAAGAAGGCGCCGTCCTGCTCGCCGCTGTCCGAGTCCACGATCCTGCACAAGCATCTGGAGCAGCGTCGAGCACTGCGGACCAAGGTCGTCGTTGCACTGAGCATGTTGGTGCTGGCGGGTGTTGGATCTGCAGCGCTGTACTCGTCGGTGGATCTGTCGGTCTGGGTGCTGAAGATGCGGGGTCCCTGCCCGATGTTCCGAGGCAGCGCGATTGATACTTCTACCGGGGGCAGAGTGTTTGATGGTGACAACGACTCCCCGTACTTTGGAGACGCCATTCTTGCAGCTGATGAGTCCGCCGATATCAAGGACGATCAAGAGGGCGAACAAGCAATGGACGACCTGCTGCTAGAAGACCACGACCCCTACGAGGAATTTCACCAAACGGGACGCCAGCTAGAGCACAAGTAGAGCACACTACGCACCCGCAGGAATGATATAATCCTGAAGTAAAATCTAATTATTTTATCTATGAAATCTATTTGTTATGACCGCACTTCATCCAGCGTGAACACCTCGTGGTAGTCGCTGGGGATCTCAAACATCTTCGGGTCCAGCTGCGGGTTCAACGTGATCTTCTGGAACGTGTACGCGACTCGGATCGTGAACATCATGGGCAGTTCGAACTTGACGGGAAAGCCTGGCGGGAGTTTCTACGGTTCGTTAACACACAAGAATTGTCAGCCACCACTAAACTTTGCTTTACATACACAACACAAGCGAAGGATCGCCCACGATACGTACCATCTGGAAAAACTCTTCGAGGTTCTTGACGTGGTCGCCCGTAGTGGAGATGAACTGGATGACTGGCAGGAAGTCGCGAAGCTGGAACGGGAAGTTTTCGGTCATGACCACTTTGGCCTCGAAGTCCTTCCGCACTCGCCGTGTTGTGGGCAACAGTGTCAGACTGCGGAAAGTGTTTTTCACTCCATTGGTCGTAATGCTTCCACTCCTCCTTGACGTCGACGCCGTCGATGCTTGCTGGTGCTTTTTATCATCGAACATCTTGAAGAACGACGACTTTTTCTTCTCAGTGGAGGTGGCAGACTTCTCAGGTTTGTTGGACACGTCTGTGAGTTTGAAGTAGTCAACAAATGCTGTTGTTGTAGTGATTGGGTTCCGAATATGGTCCGGCTGACGAAACACTTCACACTTCTGGTCATCCGTGAGCCTGACAGCGCCGTTCGGACCAGCAATAGTCTCTGGCTCATCACAACCTTCTTGTGTCTCGGGTAAAGTTACTTGTGGAGTTCCACCGTGTCCAGCTGCAGCAAAAGTCGCATTTACAGGAGGTTCGTCAACAGCAGCGCGAGTGTGCACGACATCGTACGTGATCTTGATCCCGTTCCTGTCGATTGTAAAACCTTTCTGTGTGTTCTGCCACATCAGCACAAAGCTGCCGTTGAACTCGATCTCAAAAGCGCCAGCAATCGCCATGTTCTTGACGCCGTCGGTACGGCACACTGGCTGCTGCTGGACTTCGTGGAAGTACGTCGCCACAAAGCAAAAGTCGCTACTCCGTGATATGAATTCCCATCGAATGGTGTCACCTGCAATCACATCCAAGTGCATCTCGACCTTCCGGCCCTTTTCGATTCGCAGAGTTCGTGCAGCACTGTCATCTTTTGCATCACCACTACTACTGAGACTTGAGCTGCTCTTCTTCTCTTTCTTGGAGTTCTTCTTGTCTTTCCCGTGGGGCACCGACGAGTGCAAATGATCCACAAACTGCTGGACCTCTTCAAACGGAGTGTCCTTGCCCGTCGGGAGCTGCTTCAGCTTGCGGTCTGGGTTCACAACTGGCCGGAACTGTGCCTCCATGGAGAAGTTCTGCATCTTGTACGTCGTTCCGGGCCACGGACACCTGCGCTGTTTGCTCCTGCTCTTCTTGTTCTCATCATCTTCCAGAATCCTGCTCTCGTCTCTCTTTCCCTGCGCTTTCACATCCCTCTGCTTGACAAACTCCAACTTCGTAGCATCCATACTGGAGGACGACATGGCCGTGGTCAACGACACGTGCAGCGCCAAGTCCATGTTCCCCACGGACGAGTTGTGCATGGCGCCCAGTACATCGTAGAACGCCTTACTCTCATGGTCCATCACCACGGCGTGACCCGCTCGCTCGCCACCTTCCCGACCAAGATACACATGGGACATGGGTCCTTTCTTCCACTTGACCCCGTCCAGCCCTTTCAACGCCGAGTCGATGCGCAGCTGAGAGCCGCGTTTCCAGATCCGGATCGTGTCCGAGGGCAGCACACTCGACACCATGGGCACCCACGAGTGGGCCTCGATGAAGATCTCGGCTGCAAAGTCCGGCAGCTTCTCCAGCGCCTGCGTGAACGTGCCCTGGGCCGACTCCAGCGACTGGATGAGCTGCTTCTCGCCTCGGAGGTAGACCTGGGCCAGCATGAACTCGTCGTCGCACAGCGCGGCGTCGTGCGCGCAGCTCCAGCCGTCGGCATTGCGAGAGCCCACGCTGGCGTCTCGGCCCAGCAGCAGCTTGACGATAGCGCGCTGCGTGGGCTGCACCACGCGCACGGCCAAGTGCAGCGCGGAATTCCCGCGCGCGTCCTTGAGCTCCAGGAGGCTCCTGAGCGCCTCGGCCTTGAGCGAGTCGCGGGCCTCCTCGCCCTCGGGGCATGCAGCGTCCAGGAGGCGGCGCACGCGCTCGACGTCCCCCTCCCAGACCGCAACATGCAGCGGTGGAGGGGCCGGTGCGCTGTCATTGTCATTGTTGTCCGAGGAGCTCATTTTGAGGTTTGACAACTTTTTGATTAGCGGGAAAAAGGGAATTTCAGGGTGGGAACTGGATTTTTAGCTGGATAGTTGAGAATGTGACAGAAAATCTTGTACTCCATTAAATTGCGCTGCCGCTGCGCTGCGATTGGCTCTTCCGCTTCAACAAGAGATGGGTACAAATCATTAGAACTGATACCCCCCCCCTCGTCGCTCCCCGCCAGTATCTGAGGAGGTGGAGGAAGCGAAACCATGAGCGGCACGTGGGGGGTCCGCGTGGACCCGCTCGTGCCCGAAGAGAGTCGATGGCACTCGTCTCGCCATGGAACTGTGGCGACACCCGACGCCATCGGCGACGCCCTCGTTGCAACGCTGCGGGAAGCTGCCCGTGAGGCTCCCAACGCTCTCGACGCGTCCGTCGTCGCGTTCTGTGGGCGGCAAGTCGCCCGTCAATTGGTGGAATACGAGCGCGAGCCCCGACTGCTGGCCAAGTTGGCGGACACAGGTCGAGTGGTGACGGTACTGCTGCAGGCGACGAGGACGGCGACAGAGGCTCTGCCCGAGCACGAGTCGGGGGGTGACACTGACGAGAAGGAAGAGGAGGGGGAGGGGGAGGGGGAGGAGAGAGAGCACGTGAGCAGGTTGGCGCTGTCGAGACGGACCCTCGCAGAGGAGAGAGCGCGACGGATGGAGGAGATCTACGAGCCGTTGCTGAGTGACGACGCCAAGTTGATGCAGGAGGCGGGGGACGAGAAGGAGCAGCTGGAGATTCTGACGTTGATGAAGAATGATGTGGAGATCTACGGGGCCGTGCTGACTGAGAGGGAGACGGATGTGATTGTAGAGGTGTACTCGCGCATTGTCCGTCGTTCGGGCGTGGTGGTGGGGTCCATCCCCCGCTGGTTCGCGACCACGACGAGTTTGTGGCCCGACGCAGTGAAGACGGTGGTGACGGAGATTGGAGAGGGAGACTTTTCACGCCAGGTTTCGATCTGGAACACGCTGCGCCACCCAAATGTGCTGAGGCTGTATGGGGCGTGTCACGTTGGGGAGGCGTTTGTGATTCAGGAAGCACACACATGCACTGCCGTTTCAACAGACCATTTTTCATGGAGAGATGTGCTGGGTTTCGCGGCTGGTATTGGGTATGTTCACGAGCGAGGGTTCGCCTATCAAGTATTACGTTTGTTCGGCTTGAGTCGGAAGGGAAGTTTGTGGTGAGTGGCATGGGACTCATGCGAAGTGGAGGAGATGAACACGATGGGGATCTCGATAGAGCCGCTAATGTAAAGGCATTTGGCCTGGCCATTTTGGACATGTTTCGACGAGGACGTGGAGATGGCCGAGACCTAGCGGGCGAAGTGCTACCGGCACTGAAACCCGGCTACCTAACTGATCCGGAGTGGGAACTGATTTCGTCGATGTGCTCCGCCAATTCGGCTAATCGTCCATCCATGGCTGGGGTGGTGTGGAGGATTAGAAATCTCATCACACTAGAAGAACGGAATTCTTTGGAAGTTGAAGAAGAGACGGTTACGGTGTCAGTGAGAGAGGAGAGCGCTGCTCGTGTGAATGAAGCCATTTCGGAGATGTTGGAGCTTACGGAGCAGCTGTGTGACGAGGACGCGGGCGATGCGTCGTTGTATCGCCCAGTGTCCGATCGGCTGATGAACATTTTCCAGCAGCTTAACAATACCCGCACGTCGGTACCACTTTTCTTGATTGAGGAATTTGGTGCAATTCTGGACCGCTTCAACAGATATCTTCTATCGGAAGTGGACTCCGATGCATATTCTATAGCTTCGTCGCTATCGGTTGATTCGCTTGATGCGATAGGGTCGAATGGTGTGTACAGGTTTCACCATGACCTCGATCGCTTAATGAATGAAGCTCCGGACCTTCTAAATACACCGCGCCTTCATCAGTGGAGACATCTGCTACGACAGGAGGAGACCGGGCAACAGCAAGAAGAAATTGCAGCGGCTTGGGAGAATATGAGCGCTCAAGAGTTCGAAGGAGATGTGGTCGAGACTCATAAAGCAACTGATGAGGGAAGCGATGTCTTGGGCTCCCAATTTCTAGAGGCGTTGCGAAAAAAAGAACGGTACACGAAGAATGCTGTAGCGCTAAATTTCTTGCGTCGTGACGTGGAAAGGAAGCTTGGCACGTACAATTCTGAGCCACGCCTGCTAATGCGATGGGCCCACAATGGTTACATCGTTGGTGTCATCCGCCGTGCGATTGAGGCAGCGGTTGGTATTCTGGAGTTAACGTCCGCGAAATTGGAGTGGCTCCAAGCGTTTCAAGGCGAACGAAACCAGCGCAAACTGATTTACGAGGAATTGCTGTCGGATAAAGGAAGGCTTACGTTGGAAATGGGTGATGACTGTCAAACCCGCGAGCTGTACACGGTGTTGCTGTACTCTCGCGACAAATACGCAAGCACACTTGACTCAGGTGAGCGCAAAATTACGATGTCGCTGTTCATGAAGCTGGAGCAGAAGTTAAAGGGCGAGATCGTATCACTCCCGAGTTGGTTCGCTGTGTCAGAGAGTCAGTGGTCCTTTGCAGAGCGATGTGTGCTCTCCGGAGATGAAGCATCTTGTGTGAAGCAGATAGAAATCTGTGAACAGCTCAATCATCCAAACGTTTGCAAATTCTACGGTGCGTATCATGTCGGCTGTACCCCTTTTGCTATTCTCGAAGAAACCGTGGCGTTCAACGTGAAGTTCTCCTTCGAAACCAAGGACGTGTGGAGACTGTTGCTTGATTACGCGAAAGGATTGCATTACATTCTGAGTCGAGGACTTGCCTATATGTCCTTGTCGTTGGCGGATTTCCGTGTTACGTGGGATGGCAAACGAGTGCTCCGTGGTATCAGTCTAGTGCGTCACACTATCGATGACCTGGACAGTACCCAATTTGCCGCCTCCAACGCATTAGCTTTCGGTCTCATTGGGTTTCAGATAATAGTCCTTAAGTATCTGGAAGCTGCACGCAATTCATCCGAGGCCGACTCACCTAATTGGCAATATTCACAAGAGCTCAGCAACGAATGGCTCCGGGTCATGCGGGAGCGCGACTGGCCGGCGCGAGCGGAGTTTGGTGCTGCAACTGGTGAGATTTCAGCTGATACAGTGAAGGTTGCTAAGTTGATGGCGGACGATGAATGGAACTTTCTGTGCAGTTTGTGCAGCGTGACGTCAGTTAAAAGTGTAACTGAGATAGCACAATTTATTTCTCAGATGAATGGGTTGGCACAAGCACGGGAAGATCCTGGCACATCCGTGACACAGGCGCCGCCAGCGGTACTGAACAATTTGAATGAAGTCCTCTGCTCGTCGTCGGGGCGGAAGCTAAAGGAGGTGCTTGCCGACATCGAAGACGAGCTGGATGAAATGGACGGTCAATGTCTTGACGATAATAGACGCGTAGTCGATCGGCTTAAGGATATTTACGCGCAGTTCGAGAACTCGACAGAACCACTTTTGGCTTCTGTAGTTGATGACTTTGTCGGACTAGTCCAGAGCTACCACATTCAAGTCTCGCGTCGACTTGAGAATATCGAGTGCGGCGACAACTCCATCACGATGACAAGCGTCGCTCTTACCGTTGCTGACCGAAATGAGAGTATGCACCATTTGCTCGACGAATTAATCTGGAATTCGGGCTGCTTGAGCAGTCGTTGCGCGGTTCATCAGTGGCAGGAGTATTCCAGAAAGCAGGCTCGGTTGCGATCCCGAGAAATGATGGAAACCGTCCCCGAAGATGATGAGGCAGCAGAGTATGATACCACTGATGACAAGCACAGCAGCCCTCGGTGGCTCCTTCCGACTAACGAAGTGCAGATAATCAAGTGCATTGCTCATGGATCTTTTGGTGCGGCATACTGGGGAAAGTGGTTGGATACGGATGTTGTGGTGAAGAAAGTCTTAACAAACCAACATGAAACCAGAAACCGCCAGCAATTCCGGCACGAAGTCGAGCTATGGTTCTCGTTGAATCATGCAAACGTAATTAAGTTGTATGGTGCGTGTCAGGAGCAGGATAAACAGCCTGTGTTTGTGTGCGAACGAGCACTCAACGGTACGCTGCCATCGTTTCTGAAAGGAAAGGCCAGAGAAGAAATTTGGGGCGCACTGTACACTGCCGCTCAGGGCTTGCATCACTTACACGAGCGAGGGATCGTGCATGGAGATCTCAAGGGCAATAATATTCTCGTTTGCGACAACGACTTCGTGAAGTTGGCCGATTTTGGGCTGAGTGAGATTGCTAAACCTGTACTTACACCTGTCGACAAACCAGGAAGTATCGGTGCCATCCGATGGAGAGCGCCTGAATGTATCAACGGATTTAAGCCCAATTTTGCATCCGACATCTACTCCTTTGGAATGTGCATCGTGGAAGCAGTGACGGGTGATTTTCCGTGGGGGAGAATGCCTGATCCTTCGGTGATAAACCATGTCGTGAATGAAAAATCACTGCCATCAAGATGGGATCAATTTAATCGTGACGAGGAAAGGCTGGTGAAGCGCATGTGTCAATACGATCCCAATGACAGGATTGAAATCGGTGCAGTCGTTTGTTTGTTGTATCAGCTTTACTCCGGAACGGATTCGTTGGCTAGTTCTGTGGAACCGGACACCGGGTACACTGAGGCAGTAGTCCTGCAGCGGTTTATGGCTCTCCGAAGACGAGAAAAGCTGCCTAATGGTTGTGAAAAGCAGCTCCAGCTGCCTGAGTGGTTTCTTCATGCATATCAAGTGGAACTTGTGGACACTATAGGCAACGGCGGGTTTGGTCGTCTTCAGAAAGCACGCTGGGCTGGCACTGATGTTGCCGTGAAGTCGTTGACCGCCGGCTACGAGAAAGTACTGGAACAGTTTCGACGTCAAGTTCAAATTTGGTCTGTGCTCGATCACCCGAACATTATTCCACTTTACGGTGCTTGCCATGTTAAGCCTCCATTTTACGTTAGTGAGCTGGCTGCAAATGGAGATCTTCGACGTTACTTGAATAACAAAAGTCGACAGGAATGTTGGCGATGTCTATTGGACGCAGCGGTGGGATTACAATATCTTCACGCTCGCGGGGTTATCCACGGTAATCTCAGATGTATCGTTTTTCTCGTTTGTGACCGCGGTGTCACGAAAGTAGGGAGTTTCGGGCTGAGCGTGTTTGCTGGGTCTAACGACGTTTATAATGGAGCTCTCGGTGCGGTTCGCTGGAAGGCACCTGACGTTCTAGAGGGCGGAAAGCCTACACTTGCTGCGGACGTCTACTCTTTCGGGATGTGTGTGGTGGAAGCTCTTACTGGCGCATTCCCGTGGGGTGGCGCTATGTTTGACGCGGCTGTCAGTTACCGAGTGAAGAGAGGAGAACTACCACCGCGACCTGTCGAGATGAACGACTGGGAGTGGGAACTCGTCAAGCGCATGTGCCGCTTTGACCCCAGCAGCAGAATCAGTATTGATGCGGTTGTCTCCTACATCAGCGGCTTCGTTGCTACGGAATAGGTGTTTTTGGTTGAAAACTCTCTCAAAAACAAAATGTCCCCAGTGTACGTATAGCTCAAATTTGCAGTCAATCCCTACAATTTCGATAGGACTTGACCGAGATAAGGTTGAGAACGGGGGTCGATTTCTTTCGAGAGTAGAGAACTTTTTGTCTCACTTCCTAATTCAGTAGCCGTGGAGGAGATCTTGCGCGCGGACCTGCCTGCCTTGGATAGAAGAACGGCCGCCTCCTGTTTAGAGCACGACAATGTGGCCGAGATCAGGAGCTTGATGCTGCCGTGGTGCGACTACGTGGGCGCTACTCAATTTGGACCCTCCCTTCCAGTATTATCACGGGCTAAAAATCCGTGCCCCGCGGAAAACCTCCATCAGGCAGTCGGACGAAGAAGCAGAAGAAGAGATAAAGTGTCAGAGGCCCAAGCTCCGAGAAGCGCTGAAGCTGCTCTCCGTCGTGGCATTAGTGGACAATGTTAACTGGAGAAGACTGCTGGTGCAGACCGGAGTGTTGACTAGACGCTTTGTTACAGTTCGAGATACGTTTGACGATCTCCCTGCCCGCTTTCAACTGGAATTGCCCTACGGGAGAGCTGTCCCTCTAGACGACGTTGACAATTTGTTGCGCGGTGTTTATGGCAATAACACGGGTTCTAAGCACATTTGTGGTGGCGACTTGATATGTTTCTGCGGGGTGGAGCAACATGACAGCCCCAGCCCAAAATATAACGCAGCGTTGAAGAGAATCATCGAAATCTGGGAAGGAAAACAGGAGCTAGGAGATTTTCCACACGAAATCGAAGTTCCGCTGGCGATCAAAGTCCATCCGGACCTGGCAAGAAGTGGAGGGGGCCTGGTTAATGTGCTCAAGGCGGTTCGTCATCTTCGTGGTCAGACGCGGCCTCCGGTGGGAGGGGGGAGAAGACTTCCAAGAGTGACGTTTGTCTTGGAATCAATTGCGGCAGACCTCAGACAAGTAGGAATTGGGTCGGAGGTGACAGAGCTGGTGGAGACGATGGCTCGTGATGTTGTTTACTGTTCGGGGCGAAGCATCTTGCAAGGGCTGGGCAATGCGTTAGTATCTCCAGCGAAGCGAGGAGCTGCGCGGAAGTCCATTGGGAAGTTGCTGACGAGTTTGTTTGGCGGGTCAGCGGATGAGCAGCAAGGGAATGGAGGGAGTCATGTCTGGCCCACGTGCCAGCACATTGACTGCTCCTAGTCAAGTTATGCTGGATTCAGTCAACATATTCTGCGATCCCTCTCGGTGGTCCTTTGAGCGCGCGTGCTCCGCTGCAGTCGTGAACCAGACCACTACTCACTTGTCAATTTCAACGGACTCGACTGATCAAAATAGGGAGCTTGCCACGTGGAGGTGGGGGTGGATTTGCTATGGATTCTTTTCTGAGCGAGCGCAGCGGTTGTCATGCCTTCGGAGACTTACTCTTCAAGATTTCACTATTACTGGAGAAGATGTGGATGCGATGCGAGTTGTCATGACATCAGAATATCCCGAAGAAGACTTGTTAGGCTTATCACACCTGCAGCAGACACGGAATACCTACTCCATCAAACCAAAGAAAAGAGTACGATTACAACCCATGGAGACGGACGAAGATCTCGGGAATAACGCGGCCTTTACCGTTTCCAGGGAGATTCGCGGTGTCAAGCTTCTGAGCGATGAAACTGAAAACGGGTGGGTTGATGAGCTGGCGCCTGGGTTTGGTAAGTGCCAAACTCGCCGATCTAGTCTTGTTCATGACGAGGGTTTGCCCGCTCCAACGACAGGAGTATCATCACTGATGATCATGTTCAAGACTGACCCGGATGACGACGCGCTCTGCAGATTTTTGGGATTGATTGGGTCTACACTGGTGCATTTATCCATCCACGTTTCGAGCTTTCATACGTCCATGCTGGAAAGAATCGCTGCGAATTGCCCACAATTGAAGGGGGTATCTGTCTGTACTCCTGCAATTGAAGCTCAGTTTGAAGTTCGCGACAGCAGATTGCGGAACCAGATTACTGGGCACCCGGATTCAGCGCGTACTTTTGAAACGTCACCGATCTCATCATGTTTTTCTGCGAGACAGCGCTCCCACTGGCTAGCTCGGTGAGGCGACTGCGCGCCACAGAGACTGTACGAGTGGCACTGATACCCCGAATGGCAGCACTGCTGGATCTGCTGAAACGGAACTGCAGGGTGAGTATGTCGATGTCGTGGATATGGCCTATAAAAATGTATCGGTTGCGTTGCTGTTCAAGGCGTATCACCTCCAGAAGCTGCCGGTTATCAAAGAGGAGCTGCCTTTGAAGTCGAAGGTCGCATTTCTCAGCGTGATGACACCACCAAGTCGCCAGGACCGCAGCGGCAGCATTTCGAAGCGCACACGAGCTCGCGTTGCCTCAATGAGCTGGATCGAAACACAACCGAGTTGATTTTCGCGTTTGCAGCTACCCCCGCCGTCCGCGAAGTATTTTTTTCGTCAGGGTGGCTTCCGGTCGCCCAGAAGTGATGTTTTTCTGGTGTGATAACGTGGAAACGCACGGAAGGATGACAGAATTGTGATCAACTCCGGGTTGAAAGATTCGCTAAGAGAGAGTCGTTTTAACGTGAAGCTGGTTCGACTTTTATACTGGGTTTAGCTTAATTAACCCCGCATATTTTCTTTACGCTTTGTCGCCATTGGCATCGAAACTCACCCAATTGGGCCTGATATTCGCCCCTAGAACTCCTTCCATCTATTTGCAGCGCTAAGCCAGCAAGTTTGGGTGACCTAGCGTTACGTACAGGTTGGTTTGCAGTGTTTCCCACACCTTGAACACACCAAACCATGAAACGTGCAAGAAATTGGTTTGCTCGTAAACTACGCAGATTTCCGAACCAAAATTACCGCTTTCGCTGGTTTGTGGTCAGATCCTTCCAGCTTTCAAACCACGAGCGGTTATGTAGCGTAACAGGTTTGGAGTTACTGTGGCGCTGCTCATTGGCTACAAAAGGCTATACAAAGATATCGCACACTTTCGTAAAGGTCCGCATTTGTTGAAATAAATTCTCGGGCTGTAGAATACCCAAGTATGTCGTTAAGAATTGATGTACGAGCCACAATTAATGAGCACCTTAAGATGCACAAGAGTTTTGGCACAGATTTTGAAGTTGCTCGAAGTGAGCTACGACTAGCCCGCATAATATTAGACGGCGTGGGAGACTAGAGATTAACTTTAAAACACGATCAACTTTCCGGGCATTCAGCGTTGTTAACACTGTTCTAAAGTAGCGAATTACCGCTGCTAAGCAACAATTGGATACTCAACAGACCAAGCGTATGCAAACAACGCGTCTAGTTTTTTTTTAGATTTACAGAACATTTCAAAATTGTGCGGAGCTGCACTGTTGTTAGGGTCCCTAATCCCTAACTTAGGGATCTCATTATTAAATCCATTTACTTCTTGTGGTCATCATTGATGACTTGATGACTCATCAAGTTAACAGTAAATCATGTTGACCATTCTTTTTTTTTCTCGCGAGCAGCATTGCAGAGAACGTGGTGACTCCCGTGAACTAAAGTTTTCGTGTAAATTGAAGCTGGAAATTCTTGTTGCACGTGCCAAGCGCCAGGGGAGGCAGCATCATAAACAGCTATTGCTAGTTTTGATCCTCAGCCCACGCAAAAGGACGACAGTTGCCCCCATGCCGCTTTCATGAAACCAACGCGGGCCATCCAACAACAAAAAAACTAGCCAGTTCATTTCGTCGTCACTGGCAAAATATCTACTGGCACACGCCTTAACTGATTGTGAGTATTATGCGAGCTCTTCTTGTGACTCAGCATTGAATTCCGTACCCCTACACAGCAGAACGTACTATGAAACAATATTTACGAACAAATTTCTTACCAACAAATGAGAATTCATAACGTCCTCCTCCCAATTCATAACTTCCTCCTTCCTTAATGCTATTCGAGCCACCTCAAAGCAGTACATGTGCTCGTATCCTAAGGTTTTTGATTCACGGGTAAAAATTAAACTAAAATGCCGCAGACAGTTAGAAACTATGATGACGCTTCTGGAAGATGAGTGCGAGAGCAATCGAGTTCAACGTAGCTCTGAACAGCAATAAGTTATGCTACCTGCCAGCGTCTTCAAGAGTGTCTGCACGAATTCCCCGCTTTATCACGCCTGCACCGTTTTGTCGCGGCCCACCCTCGGGTGTTTGCTATACGCAGGCGCGCTCTCTTAACAAACGCCGAGGGAGCTGTTCAAGCACCACCCAGCGCTTCGGATATCTCAATCTTGGACGTCACCATTCATTACGTCTCTCTTAGCTCCGTAGTCAGAACGGTTTTTGCTTATCGAGAAGTCACTAACCTGTAACAAGGATAATTTCTACTGATCAATAAGATACATGTATGCACTGTATGTTAAGTAAACTACTTATGTAGATAGCCTATCTATCCCGAGCTTGCAGTAGCCAAATTGTGAACGCGACCTACGTATCAGCGGAACTTAAGGGAGCTTTAGAGACGGAACCACTTCGTCTTGAAAGTGCAAACAGAAGCAAGCCGTTGGTGTGCGCACAAATTGTTCACGCAGACGAACATCAGCCTCTTTGATCTTTCTTGAGAGACTTCGCATCAAATTCGCCATTTCCACTGGTCACGGCTAGTGCTGTGATGCGATCTTGCCTACCTGTAAACACATGTTCCCGTCCAGCGCTCGAACGACCTAACTAAATACTCCATTCGCTCCTTCGTCCTGGATTCCGGAGCTCCAAGTTGGAATAAGGGGACCGTTCGAAGGTTTGATTGAGCCCGTGGCATCTTAACCCTTTCGCGATGAATGGACGCATTTTTTAGGCAAATTTTGCGTGTAGATCCCCCTTGATTTATCGAGTAAACTTGTTGAATATCTGGATTTATATACTCTCTGACGTCGTGTCTGCCTGTGTATATTTTTTTTACCGCAAAAGAAAGTTTGAGGGCAAACGCCCATATTATCATGAGCCGGAGACTGGCTCAAGCTAACAGTAAGCTTGCTTGCAACTACTTTATCTTTGGGCGTTCCCGTGGTCGCACTGATCGAAGCGGTTTCTCAATCGCGATAATTGTTGTCGTGGCCTTGCCGACGAGCACGATAACAGTGAAGTGATTCTAACCGCGATCCATTCTGTAAAAGCCGCACTGCCTGCGAATGTGCAGCCGCGGTTCAAACCAGCGCGCTGGTTCGCAAAAACGGCATGCTTGGTTTGGAGTTACAAAATGAAACGTGTTCAAACCATGAAACCGATTCAAACCTGGTTTGCCGGTAATTTTGGTTTGGTTTGAACTGGCCGAGGTTTGGTTTGGTTTGGTTTGTTCTGGGTGTGTAACACGTTTCCCTTGACAGGTTTTGACCCGCGTACGGGAAAGGGATTTAGAAAGAATGCTCTGATCAGCATCATTCTCCAATTTGGTTGACCGACAGCAGTTTTCACCGCCCACATCCCATCATGGCTTTCCCTTTGCCGTGAATCTGGACCCCCTCTCGGTACTGGAATATATGGCGGGTCTGTCTGAGGACGAATATGACGATGAACAGTACATTGAACACTATTCGGACGATGAAGACGAGTTCAGTGAAGGCGTCAACCCATTGAGCACACAGGAAGGGATGGTTAGGCGGTTCAGAGCGATGCGAGCCAAGTTTGTCCAGTCTGGAGGCGTCTTTGAGGAGCAAGCGTTTGCTGACAATACAAATGACGATGCCGACGCAACGCCCGACACGACGTTGCTACGGACGCTGAAGCCCATGACTTGCAAGGAGTTGGAGGTCGGGAGGACGCACCGAGGGCGGTACATCTGCGGGTGGGTGGCCATTGACGACGCGTTCTTTGGTGTTGCGACATCTTCACTCATTCTTGAAGATTTAACGGGGGATTTGGTGGAGATTGTTGCCTAAGGCTTGGTCGATCCTGAACTACCGCCTCGTAAGCGGCAGTGTATTCTGTCTCGTCGATTCGCTAAGGGCCAACCCATCGTCGTCATCGAGCCCCACTACAAGGAGCGCCTGGATGAATCTAAGGCGATTCGTGTCGATCAAGCTGACAAACTCCTTCCGTGGCGAGACGTGCCGACTGATGTAATTACTTGGAAAGAGCTGGGCAACATAAAAGCTGCTCAATCTGAAGTTCATACGCTGGTATTACTGCTGACTAATCTGGCAACTTGTCGGTTCAAGATGGGGGACTTCGGCACAGCCATCCAGCTCTCAGGGGCGGCCGTGCACCTCGATCCAACCTACTTCAAAGGCTGGCTCCGTCTTGCCTCAGCTACAGCTGAAAGTGGACTGAACATGTCGTTGACAGCACGAATCATTGCCCACGCGCGCAGAGTTTCACCGACAATGTCGTTTGACGAGCTACAACTGCTAAAGAACACCCTGAAAACTGGCATCTCGTCGAGTCGAACTGTCAAGCATCCAGAGTTCCAGTCATTCGCAAAGTGGTGCATCAAGCTGGAGATGCCAGGAACTGTACTTGCCGAAGGGGATTTATCCGGAGAGACGAAGTTTGCGGATGAATGGCGCAAGGAAGGATCGGTCTATTTTTCAAAGGGTGAGTTTGGCGCTGCTGAGAGGTGCTATCGAAAGGGACTAGCTTCCAGTCGACAATGCAACCGGGATATATTGACGGTGCTGAACAACGTTGCGGTGCATTTGAAGGCGTGCCGAGAGACTAGCGCCGGTAACGGCGGGTCTGCAAACTCCGAAGACGAGATTCCTCATGGTGAAGCTGCACTTCTTAACAGCACCGTGGCGGGTATCATCGACCCGCTTAACTTCAAGGCGTGGCTTCGTCGAGCCCGTTGCTTCCAGAGCTTGGGATTTAGTCAAGAAATCTGTATCCGCGATGTGCAAGCTATTCGTACCAGCGCCGTGTCAATGACGGTATTCTCGAAGGCGACTATGAAGCGGCTGAATGAGTTTCAGCGTGGCTTGGATGCCGATATACAAAAGCGCTTACAGCACTCTTCAGGCGCCAAACCGGATCGTGTATCGAAGGAACCACAGCCAGAGCAGCGCCAAGAAAGAGATACCAATGGCAGTTCAAACGCGCAGCCCTATGAGCAGCATCGATTCTCAGGTGTGCCACCTGGCAAAGAGGACAATATCGACGATAGCATCGCCCGTTTGGATGAGTTGGTGAGGAGTTTGCGCTCGATTTACGCTGGGGAGATGTCTCCGCCAAGCTACCGGCTCCGAGAACTACCACATGAGGTCAAAATCCTCTTACATGACACCCCTCCCAAAATCCACACCGAGTTCCCGAACGTACGGGGGTGGCCAGGGGGCATCGACGCTGTATATGCCAGAAAGCTGCTCTATCAAGCGTTCCTGCAAGCCACGTTGAACCCCTGGACCGACGTATTTATCATGCGCGATGGAGGCTACTTTGGAGCGATAACTGCTGCCGACCAAACCGAGCGATGGCATGGAAAGGCAGCAATGAGGATGCTCAGAGAGAGAGGTACTATACAGTTTGGTGATATTTTTGACGGTCGTGAGGCACTGCAGAGCTACGTACGCAGTTACGAAGCTACCGTTCGCACCAGCTTCATCAGTATTCCCAACCGGTCCGAATTTTACTTCTTTAACTCGACTCACGTGGCCATCGGGTTTACCGACTTCAGCGGCCTCCTCACTGCTTCGTTTAGTGACGAATCCAAAAGCATTGCACCCTTGAGATGGGTTGGATTCGACATGAGTGAGTTTACAGTCGCCAAGTGCAAGGTGGTCGCGCACATGCTTGGGTCTTGGACTGTCCCGATCTCAAGTATGATGGAAGTTTGGCTGTCTTCGACGTGGAGTGAGATGACTTTAAAGAATTTCCGGGAGAGTGTGAACGCAGTATTGGCATCACTGCGTGGACGAAACGAAAACCCAAAGGTGCTGTCATACTTGACCCACTGGGAATCGGTGGACCCGGTTTCCGCAGCAAAAGCGCGCTCAAGCTTCATTTCCAACTTGGAGAAGCGCAACAAAATGGCGTTTTCGGCAGTGTGCAGCTTCCGACGGGAACTTGACCGACTTGACTTGGCTCAGTACATGCTGAGTGGAGAGATCCGAGTGTCTGCGGGCGTAGGGGAGTTGGTGGAGAAGGAAGCACCAGGCGGAGTCGGTACGAAACCCAATACAGCTGAAGCTGGAAAGACTGAAACAGGTCAAACGAAGGCCAGTAAGAGGCGCAACCGAAAGAAAAACAAGAAGAAACCCGTGTCGAGTGGCACAGTACCGACTCCTAGCTCGGCGCCGCTGGTTGGCAATGTGACGATGTGGAATGTGCCTCCTGGATCACCGCCACTCAGAGACGACATTGCGCTCAATACTGTGGAGTTCACAGAGCTCCTGGACGACTACATCGAGCGAGAAAAGCAGCAGGAGCATTCGTGCGATCGGCTGTCGGTGGTGGATCTGTTCATCATTCGCACCATGAAGAACCTGAGCCGTCTCCGCGGTCTGATGCTAAGGGACAAGCTGACAATTGAGGTGAACTATGGTGTTGTCAAGGCGGTTAAAGGTGAAGATGCAAACGATCCCGTGAACAAGAACCTGCTCGCGCGTATTGCGCGGATTCGCCCACGCACGATGTCGTGGTCAAGTCTGCTGGACAACTTTTTACCGGAAGAATTCCATGATATCGCGCGTCGCTGCTCCATGTACAGCACCTGCGTGCACTCTGGCTACTGCATGCAGGGCCCCACGTGTTCGGTGCTTCAATTAAGGACTTTAATCCGGCGGTTAACAAGTCCCAGATCGATGCTGTGCTGGATTCGAGCTTTGGATTCAAGAACGAGTCGCTGCCAGCGCCTCATTTATCCCTGGACACCATGCTCAAGGAAGCAGGGCTGGACAAACTGGTGTCTCTGCCCTTCCGCGAGCACGCACACAACGGCACGGCGTTCACTCTCGCGCAATGGTATGGTGAAGACTGGGTCGATCACTTTGTGAAGAAGGGCGAGCTAACTAACCAGACACTGCAGCGGCTGGGGGGATTGAAGACACCATTTAACTGCGGGTTGCAGAAGGGTTGCATAGATCTAATGCTGCCGAACCCTCTCTATCGCTCACCGGTTATCATTGCATGAGCTGGTGCTACGATCCAAGTACCGACTTCGTTGAGACAGAGGAACCATTGGAACCCCCGAGCCCGGGCGAGGCACTATTGGCACAGTTGAGGTGCCAACTCGGCGTGCCGTGTCCATGCGGTGCTTGTGTTTGAACGTGTCGCTACCGGTAGTATTTTTTTTAAAACTGTTTTTAGCAAACAAAACTGGGTAACAAACGTGTTTCTCCTTTCGGCGGCTCGAAAGACCTAACGGGAAAAGGGATTTCAAAGAACTTTCTGATCAAGAAGTGATGTTGCCGTTATACTCTTAGTCGGAAGCAAATTCAAATCACTTTTCAATTGGTGGAGATCGAGTAAAGTTAATCTTTAGGTGGGGATACGACGAGAGGTGTCGCCCGCTCAAGAAATGCAATTTCCTGACACAGATTTTGCTGAAGACAACGAAGGAATTGATGAGTACATTGCTCGCGTGGGCGGATCTGTGAAAAGAATGCGCTTGGCGTATGCCACGGCAAAGTCCCAGTCGAACCCCCGGCTTCAAGAGATGCCACGCGAGCTGACGATGTTCTTTCAACGCCCTCCTCCCGAAATCCACACCGAGTTCAAGAAGCTCCGCGAGTGGCCAGACGGTATTGATGCTACCTTCGCTAGTAAAGTGCTCTATCGGGCGTACTTGGATGCCAGCGTGAACCCCTGGCTTAATGCACACGGCATGCGCGACGGGACATTTTTTGAGAGCTTGAAATTTGACGACAGGATGAAGCGGTGGCATGGGATCGGGGCGATGGAGATTCTAAGAGCGAGGGGCAGCATGAAGTGCGGTGACATTGTGGACGGCCGTGAGGCACACAACAGCTTTGAGCCAACCTACCACGCTCGAATGAGAACCAGCTTCGCAAACAACCCCAACCGTGCCGAGTACTATTACTTTGGGACAACCCACGTTGCTATGGGATTCAACGACTTCAGCAGTCTTCTCGCTGCCACGCTCAGCGACAAATTGCACCACGATGTGCCTTTGAACTGGGTTGGATTCGATATGAGCGAGTTTGCAGTCGCCAAGGGCAAAGTGGTTGCGCACATGCTCGGGTCGTCCAATGTCGCGATCTCGAGTGTGATGGAGGTTTGGCTCTCTTCGACGTGGAGTGAAACGACGTTGAAGAATTTTCGTGAAAGTGTGAACGTGGTGGTAGATTCTCTGGGGCCAAACGAGAACCCCAAGGTGCTGTCGTATTTGACCCACTGGGCTGCTGTGGAACCGGTTTCCGCGGCAAGGGCACGGTCTGCATTCTTTTTGAACCTGGCAAAATACCGCAAAATGTACTTCTCAGGGCTGTGCAGTTTCCATCGTCAAATCGACCGGCTGGACTTGACGCAGTATATGCTGAGTGGCGAGATTCTAGCGTCCTCTAACGCCAAAAACCTGATGGAGGAAGAAGAGCCTAGAATGACCGGTGCGAGAACCAACACGAATACCGATACGGTTGAAACTGGTTCGACTGCAACAGGTAAGTCAGCGTCCAAAAAGAAAAAGAGCAATCGGAAGAAGAAGAACAAGAAGAAGAAGAATGTGAAGAAAACCAAGGAGGCGATTCCGAGCTTCCCACCGTTGGTTGGCAATGTGACGATGTGGAACGTGCCTCCTGATTCACTGCCTTTGAGAGATGACGTCGCTTTCAACACCGTGGACTTCATGAACGTACTGGAGGACTACATCGAGCAAGAAAAGAAGCAGGAGAGCTCTTGTAGTCAACTATCAGTGGTGGATTTGTTTATAATTCACATCATGAAGAACTTGAACCGCCTTCGAGGGCTGATGCTGGCACACAAGCTGAAAATTGAAGTTAATTATGGCGTTATCAAGGCGGTTCGAGGAGAAGCTGCAAATGAACAACTGCTCGCGCGTATTGCATTGATGGGCCCGGAGACAATGTCATGGTCGAATTTGGTTGACTTATTTTCGCCTGAAGATTTCCATGATATCGCGCGTCGCTGCTCGATGCGTGGCAGGTGTGTGCACTATGGCTACAGCATGAACTGGTCTAGCCAAGTGTTTGGGATGTCGATCATGGACCTTCATCCAGCACACAATAAGCCGATGATTGACGCTGTCCTGAATTCCGCGTTTGGGTTCCCCAATGAGGCGATACCCCTTCCACCAATAATGGCCATGATCGAGATGGGGGAACTAGACAAGCTGCTGTCTTGGCCCTTCCGCGAGCACCCGCTAAACAGCACGGCATTTGTTCTCGCGCAAATGTTCAATGACGAGTGGATCGAGCATTTTACGAAGAAGGGCAAGCTTACCAACCGGGCTCAGCAGCGGCTGGGAGCGTTGTGCACTTTGTCCAACTCCGGCTTGCAGATTGGGGCAATGGATCTGGCGATGCCATGTCCTCTATATCGCTCGACGCTTACTCTTCATATGAGCTGGTGCTACGACCCAAGGATTGATTTGGTTGGCAACCCTTTTGAATCGAGCGGTGCATCTGGTGCGATGCAGTTTAATCAATTGATGAGCCACCTCAATGTGTGAGAGTGAAAGCGTATGGATGGTGAAGCCCCCCGGCTGTGACTTCGGCGACCAAGTGGAAGTTAATTGGTATTTCGCGTGAAGCATCATGAGTGTTGGCTTGGTCGTGAGGGATTGCGAGACGTTTTGGATTCGTATGCGTGCGATGCTGCAGTAATTGATGGTGTTGGCGAAGAAAGTGATACGCAAGAGTGCCGGAATTCTTCCGTTGCCAGGAAGTGAATATGTACTACTTTTGGAAAAGGAGGTTCTGGATGTAAGCGGTGGTAGTGTTCTGCATGAACTTGTGCGTGCTAACTGAAGTCGGGGAACCATAGCACGATGCTCGAAGGTGATGACGCAGGAAATGCACAGTTGTGCTGAAAAAGAAGAAAAATAGGATTGCTTAAGAAAAATAATTCGGCACGCAAAGCTAGCAGCTACACTTGGCGAGTTTCTTTCCCTTGCAGCAAGGCCGCAAGTGTCCCAACAACCTGGCGAAGGTCGTCCTCTTTCGTGTTTCCATCGACCACAAACCTGCCGAATCGCGCTCCTTCAGCACCCATCTCCATCACTTGCCACACCAAGAAGTCTGAGGCGACTCCGTAGATATGCTCTTTCGTCTCAGGGTCCTTCTCAAGGAGCTCCAGCAACGCCGTCTCCGCTGCCAATGTCATCTGTGCAACGCCCTTGCCGAAGTTTGGCTCCTTGCACCCCACCACGACCGCCCTCTCCTTCTCTCCGTCACGCAACAGATCCACTCGACCGAATGACTCCAAGGCTTTGGACTTGAACGACACGTTGCGGTGGATCTTGACTCGACTCGTGCATTCGCGGCATACGGCGCGAACAACAGCGTCTATCAACGTCGCTTTGTCCGCATCCGAGGCAGTCTCAATAGTCGTCATTGAGCTCGTATCAATGATGTCGTTCACTGTCGCCAGCAGCAGCTCGAAGCTCGGTTCATTGAGCGGTATTGGGTCGATCTCGAATTGTTTGAGGTGGGGGGGGGTAGCACCTCGGTCTTCGTAGGCGTGCTGGAGGTTCTGCTCCCATGCAACGTCATCGAACGCAGCTCGGAAGCGCCTCTTTTGGCCGACGTTCACGTATCCATAGCCCTGGACGGGCTGCTCCTTCACGAGCGTCTGCAGCAATCGGATGCGAGCCTTGTGGGCGGCACTGGAAGGCATCTCGTACTCGTCCAAGAGCTTTGGCTTGGGCGCGACCGGCACTGCACGCGCCATGAGGCCTTCTGCCAGTTGGCACTTGAGTTGAAAGTGCCCCTACGATGTTGAAGTGCGCGTTGCTGAGAAGGATCGAGACACCTGTCCCCCACGTGACAACCACATCAACTTGAAATGTACCCTACAACTTCCCCCTTACCCCCCTCGAGACCTTACTCACCGAATCAAGTACATCAAAGTATCCGGGTACTCACTCAAATCCCTCTGACTTGACGTTTGTATACCCCCAGTTGGCGCGCTCTGCCTCTCGGTCATTCCCGCCAAAACCCATAGTCGGTGTCAAAGACGTCACAATCCCTTTCCTTCCCCGAGTCAACAGGGCAGCCATGAGTGGCGAGGAGCTGGCGCTGGAGACGCAGCTGCTGCTGCAGGAGGCCACGCAGGTGACGCAGCAGGCGGCCGTCGAGAGCGCGCTGGACGACGCCGGCGCGCCGCCGCCCGCCAACGAGTTCGAGGCCGCCAAGAGCGCGCTGCTGGCCAAGCTGCGGCGCAAGAAGGAGGCCAACCGCGCGCAGCAGCAGCGGCTCAACCAGCGGCGCTACGGGCCCGTGGCGCCGTCGACGGCCAAGAAGAGCCCCAAGAAGGCCGAGGAGCAGCTGTTCTCGCCCCGCAAGGCGCGCGCGCTCAACCTGCCCGTGGCCGCGACCACGGCGGCGAGCGCCAGCGGCCGCAAGAAGCAGGACATGCTGGCCAGGCTCAGGACGCAGGCCATCCAGCAGGGCGCGCAGAACATGGCCAAGCTCTTCGGCTACGCGAGCTACGAGGAGCAGCTCAAGCACCTGAACAAGATCGAGAAGATGAAGATCCTGCAGGACGAGATGAAGGACAAGCAGGAGAAGGAGAAGGAGCAGCAACAGGGAGAAGAAGAATATGCTGAAGAAGAAGAGAAGGAAGAGGAGGAGGAGGATCACAGTATGGAAGTGGACGCAGATGCAGATGATGCCCCGGAGCAGGAAGAAAGCAAGGCCGAGCCTGAGGTTGAAGGAGCGTCTGCTGAAGGTGAGGCGTCGTCGGAGGCTGCAGCGGGCAAGGTTTCGCCACGCAAGGCTTCTCCGAAGAAGTCTGTGGAGAACGCAGCCGAGCAGGACGAGCAGGAGAGTGTCAAGGTGGTGAGGAGACGCAACCGGATCCAGAAGCAGGATGCGGAGGAGGAGGACGGCAATGAGGCCGACAGCGAGCAGGACGACAAGGACGGAGACGATGCCGATGAGGACATGGAGGACGCCTCCGCTGCGGTTGAGGCTACAAACGATGCGCAGGAGCCGGGGAACGACGCTGAGAAGCATGGAGAGTCCTCTGAGTCAGCGAAGCCGACCAAGCCAAAGGATAAGGCTGCAGGATATCGTAGGTTGCTGCAGGCTGAAGCGATGCAGAACCGCAAGCGGAAGCGGCTGATTAAGGGCCGCGGCGCTGACAACCTGGTCGAGTCGGAAGCCGAGGAAGACGAGGAGGAGGACGTCCTAAAGATTGGCGGTCTGGGCGATTTCGGTTTTGGCGTGCCTCAGGCCAAGACGCAAGAGTCCAAGGAAGCAGAAGAGGAGCGTAACGCGCTGAAGCTGCGCGAGGATGACCTTGACCACATTGTCGATGACCTCTCGGACGACGAGCGCGCGCAGGAGCAGGACCTCGACGAAATGTTCCGTCGCGAGCAGGAAGACCAGGATCGCCAGCAGGTCAAGGAAGTCATGCGCAATGTGAAGGAGGGCTTCGGTCGCAATCGTCGTGCATTCTCCGGCCTGCACTCGGGCTCGGAAGCTCGTGGTCGCTTCAACCTGGACGAGCTGGTGGCTGCTGACGGCAGCAAGTTCGAGGCTGCTCGTCTGGGTCTGCTCGAGTCGGACGAAGAGCTCAGCGAAGGCGAAAACGGCAAAAAGAAGAAAAAGGTCAACGCTGACGGCGAAGAAGAAGAGGAGGAAGAAGAGGAGGACGAGGACGAGGAGGCCGAGATGGAGCGTGTGCTACGTGAGCGTTTCACGAACCAGCCCAAGATCTACGTGACTTCGTCCGAGTCCGGCAGTGACGATGAAGAAGAGAACGAAGCCAAGAAGGACAACGGTCCTGATGGTGATGAGGTCGAGTCCGACGAGGAGCGCGAGCGACAGCAGATGAAGCTCTTCTCTGAGCGCGCACGTATCAACCGTCGTATGCAGCGTATGAAGGACCTGCAGCGCCAGATCGCGCTGGAGAACAACGAAGCTGACCCCACCGCCAAGAGCAGTGCTGCAATGCCGAATCTGCTGCTGGAGGAGGACGAAGACTCACAGGAGCTGATGCACTTGATGAAGCGGACAGACGTGGACGCTACTGCTAAAAGCCAGACTGCCGCCGAGAAGACTCAGAAGAAGTCTCGGACCGACCGACCGCGTCCGAAGCTCGGTCGCTTCAACTCGTACGGCGGCATGACATCCGCGTCTCGGAGCTCCTCGTCGTTCAGCCGCGTGGTCGGTCACTGCAAGCTGTTCAGCGCCAACTCGGTACGTCTACATATCTGTCTTTTGATTTTAAGCTGGCGGTGACTAATGGCTAACACATTGTGCTGCATCAACAGTCTGGAGGTGCTGCGTCTTCCAAGGGTTTCGTGTTCACCTCCTTCAGCTCGGACAAGGCCGAGGACGGCGGCAACGAGAACGCCGCGCCCAACAACGACGAGGTCGTGCCCGCTGCGCGCCCGGAGCTGGGCAAGAGCAAGAGTTGGGGCGGCTCAAAGGCAGCAACGAAGCGTCCCGGCGCCGGCAAGGCCGCGGCGTCCAACAAGAAGCGCAAGACTGGCGGCCTCTTCTCGGTGCTGTCCTCGTACCAGTGTGTCTCCAGCACGAGCCAGAGCCAGGAGTAAAGTGATCCCGACCAGTGTAGCCTCCTAGTTGTTAATAATCTAAGTTAGTCTTACATACCCCTTAACTTCGTCAAGTTCAACGGCTTCATTTATCAAGGGTATAAAAAGTAGAAAATTGGGTGTTCTATAAGAGTAACTTAGTTTCCAAAATCTACTGAAATATAATCAGCGTATTTAAGAGGGGATAGATAATTACAGTTATTGTGTCGAAGTTTACGGGTATGTTGCGTACTCACCATCATGACGTGCTCGGACCAACTCGAGACGAGTCAGTTTGCGCCGCTGGGAAGAGCTGCGCTGATCGAGGGCTGGGCTCCGTATCGACATCTGGGGCGGCGCGAACAGGTTGTCTGTCATTCTCTCGGAATCCATGTCGTCGGCCCACTCGCGCGCGCAGTCGCCGAGCAATAGCAGCCATGGAGGCATCCGAGGCAACAGCAGCAGCAGCTCGTCCTCCTCTTCCTCCACCTCGTTGGACGACGCTGTGGGCTCCGCGACCATCAACGGCCCGTACCGCGTCGGCAACTCGGACGGAGACACGTGCTCGTACCACGCGCTGCAGGAGGGCGAGTCCTGCCGGCAGCCGCGCACGTGCTACGAGTGCCTGAACTCGGACGTGGCCGGCGTGAGCGACGGCTGCCTGCTGGCGCCCTCGGGCTTCTGCGAGGACATGTCGAGCTACGAGGCCAACCTGGACTTCCGCCGCAACACGACGGGCGAGGACCTGGGGCTCACGGGCTGGTACAACTACTTTCCGTCGATCAACTCGACGTACTGCGAGCCGACGGACGAGGCCTGCGTGCTCTGCGACGAGCTCGTGAACAACGGCAGCCTGGGCCAGGCCTCGCACTGGGGCTACGGCGCGGAGAATGTATCCACCGAGGTCGAGCGTCAGTTCTGTCTCGGCTCGGACGGCTGCGTTTGCGTCATGGCCTGCGAGACCGACAACTGGGAGACCAACATGCCGGCCGAGTGCGACACCAACGGCAGCAACTCGGGCAACAACAACAACTCGTCCACGGACGCCACGAGCTACAGCACCATGCTCATCTTCTACCTCGTGCTGCAGGTGGCGCTGCTCGCCGTGTTCATGTACAGACGCGGACTCTGCAGGAGAATGGCTCCGCAGAGACCTCCGCCGCGAGCTGAAGGACCGTACAATAACGTGAACGCTATCACGTCGCCGTCCAACCGGCTGCGGCTCTCCGGGTGGCGCAAGATGCAGACCAACCTGATCGAACGCGAGAAGAAGCAGCGCGCAGTGCAGCCGCAATACATGGCGTCCCCAAGGGTGGAGGGCGCGACTGTGCTAGTGGAGGAGGAGGAGACGACCGCTCCGGCGCGGCCGCTGTCGCCACAGGACTCTGCACGGAACAATGAATCTGCTCGGGCAGCGTACACCGAGGTGCAGGACGACCCGGTCGCCGTTGCGAGAGCAAGCACATGTAGCAGAGACCGCAAAGACAGCGTTGGTACAGACCAGGAGGTGGCAAGCGTCGACAGCGACGTCGTGGTCGTCGAAGGGTCTTATGAGGAGAGGATAGGCACGCGGGCCGATCGCGCGTCGTCCACGGTTGCGATGCTCGAGGCTCGCCGGGATGCCGCTTAGAGGAGAGGAGAGCATCTTCTATCAAGTCTCTCCGCCGAAAGCTAGGCAAGTTTTGTTAGTGCATGGCGTCGGTCATGCACTTTTTGATGGTCTATAAGTTAATGTAAGCGGGCCGCACAGTGAAAGGTGAGCCCGTCCACCACTGTCAGCCTTACTCAACAACAGTTACACCATTGTGATCAGTGTGGTCTCCGCTCTGGTGGTAGATCCATTGTTGGAAGATCGCCATCCAGGTATCCACAGACATCGGCGCAATGTTTCCAGAGTACAAGTAAAAGATATAACAACCAAGAATTCGTTGCTGCCATGGAGAGCGGCAACGAACTGGGGCAGTGTGAGTCAAAAGTCGATCGTTGTTGGGGTCGCCAGCCTCGGCTGAGAGGACCGTTAGCCGGTTCAATCGATGATGCCACTTTGACCAGCGCCACTTTCTGTGCGCTTCGATTGTTTTTCCGCCAGTCACATCTCTCCATTCGCAGTATCCGCCAATGGGATCACTTCAACTCCCGAAGTATCCGCATCAACTGCCGACCGGGGGCGATCAGATGCCCTCTTGACGGCCGGCAAGCGTCTGCCTGCCTGCTTGCCTGCGATTTGAGCTGAGCACCCCGGCCATAATACTCCCCAGAGGCAGGCGCGCCACTTCCCGTCTCCCATGGCGTCCAGCTCCGGCAGCGCCGACATGGCCGGCACTGTCGGCAGCGAGTCGGCGGACGTGTCGGTGCCTTCCTCCACGAGCTCGAGCCGCACGAACGCCGACTTGGACACGTGCGCGTACTACGGACTGGAGCCGGGCGAGACGTGCTTCAAGCAACGCAGCTGCTACGACTGCCTGAACGTGCCGGTGGCCACCGACCCGGGGGGCTGCGTGCTGTCGCAGTTCGGCTACTGCGCGTCCATGGTCTTCTACGACTACACGCTGGACTACCGCGTGACGACGGGGCCGAACGCCGACAGCGGCAGTACGACCAACTTCTCGGGGGGACTCTACCACCAGTACCCGTCGGTCAACACGACGTACTGCGAGGCCACCGACCCCGCGTGCCTCGAGTGCAACACCATCGCCGTCAACTACTCGATGCAGAACAACTACTTGGCCAAGACCACCAAGTTCTGCCTCGGGGAGTCCGGCTGCGTCTGTGTATTGAGCTGCGACCCGCTGGTCTGGAAGCTGCGCACGGTCTCGCTGTGCGACGACTCGAACTCGACATCGGGCTTGGGCTCGGGCTCGGCGCAGAGCTCGGGCTCGGGCTCGTCCTGGAGCCCGTACACGACCAGTCCGTACGTTGTAACGAACCGAGCCAGCAGCAACAGTATGAGGTACTTGTACTGGCTGCTGGGCATACCGGTCTTCATAGTGCTGCTGGTGGCGCACTACTGCATCCGCCTGAAATGTGAGAGCGCTGTGGATTTGGTTGACAACGAGGAAATTTTTAGCTTGGGTCTGACGTTGTTGTGTTCATTTGCTGTTGCAGTTATTGAGATCCGCCGGCGGAGGTTGTTGCAGATACCGAGGCGGTCTCCGAGAGACCGGTTGCGGTTGTCGGCGTGGCGAGCACTCAATGAGCAGCTGATTGATAAGGAGAAGGAACCGGTGGCCTCCGTCGCGTACCACATCGCCCCCATCGAGAATGTGCAAGAAGAGCGGGGGCTATGAAGTGGAGATCAAAGTTACTTCAGCACGAAAGGAATGCTGACAGAATTACAAGAAGTTTGGAGTCCGGTCTGAGTCGTGACGTGATATAAATGGAGGCATTACTGGCAGCAGTGCCATGTATTATGCATGTACTGCTTAGTGACTGCAACTTCGTATCCGCCGTACTTCTCATCATGGAACTGCTTGCATGACTAAGGCATCTGTTGCGCAAGATCTGATCACACGTTCGCTGAGTTTGGACCGCTCCTCAACGTGAGGACCTCAATCAGTCAGAGTGACTTCCGTATTCAAGAATCTGATCGACACCGCTCAAGTGAAGAAGCCATTCAAGATGGAGACCGAGAAGACCAAAATGATCCGCGATGAGACGCACAACCTGATGGACGCAACTCTGGCGGCGGATCGACAGGCAGCGCGATTGCTCACGAGGAAGTACAACGACCTGATGCCGGGTGAATACGCTGAGGGAGACGCGCTGCTCTCGAGTTTGCTGGGGGCAAAGGGCCGAGACTGCTTCATCGAGAGGCCTTTCCACTGCGACTACGGCTACAACATTCGGCTGGGCGACGACGTCTACATGAATGTCGGTTGTGTGCTGTTGGACGTGTGTCCGATCACTATTGGCAACCGAGTGTTGCTGGCGCCGAACGTTCAGCTGTACACGGCCAGCCACCCGCTTTGCCCCAAGAAGAGAGCTGCCAAGCTGGAGATTGGGAAGCCTATCACCATCGAAGACGACGCCCGGATCGGTGGCAATGTTGTGATTGTGCCTGGAGTTCGCATTGGTCATGGCGCGGTGATCGGAGCGGGGAGCGTCGTCACGAAGGACGTTCCTCCCATGTGCGTGTACGCTGGCAACCCGGCCAAGTTCATCAAGAAGATTGTGTCTGAAGAGTAAGCAAACGCTCGACGGTTGCGGCACTTTGAAAGAACTGCGTCATTGGTGTCGTATCGGGCATGGAGCGTTGATCGAGCGATCTTGTGATACCCACTCGACCGTGATAGTAACGTCAATGCTATGTTGGTATCATTTCGCCTCTATATCTATGTGCACTGCTGGCCGTAAGGACAGCAGGTCACAGCAACACGGTGCTTCGAGCTAGCTTACTGATCTGCCAGAGAGTACTTATACCCAGTTCGCCGACCCATTGAGCCGCCGCCACAACTGTCATTCTCCAAAACGAAGTCTTGACAACACATCATGGCGGGGATGCATCGCTTTTGGAGTTTTTACGAGGATGCCTCTTGTAGTGGAGCACCGACTGGGGTCTTCATTCAGAGGCGGAACGAGTGCGTGTCCCAAGTCACCTCCAGTGGTGCTAACTGCGTTGCTCAGTACGATGACAGCAACGCGTTGGTAGGGTATGTCGACGAGAGTTGCCACGAAGGTCGGGCTGCAGGTCTTGATGAACTCTACAACGGCGAGCCCTACATGGCGTACGACTACTACTATGATACTGCCTGCACGGACTACGAGAATTCAGCTTCGTACCGAGCTAGCGTCGATTGTGAGACTTTGTACGACGGCTACTCTCCAGTTAGGAGCGCTACGATCTCAATCTCGAACGGAGTGTTGACATGGACTCGGAATATGGGCTCCATTGGTAGCGCACTTAAGTGTCCTGGTTCAACTGGCCCTGCTACTATGAGTTTGATGTGTCAACTGCTGACATTAACGCCAACACCTGCCAGAACGCGTTCTCCGGCATCGAAGGTGGATTCGTTTTCTACAACAAGGCAGCTACCTCCACGACTGACACTTCCAGCTCCGTCATCAGCGACACAAATTCAAGTTCAACGGTCACCAGCACGTTCGGCTCGAGCTTTGACGAGTCTGACTCTGCTTCAGCCTCGGCATCAAGAAGCACGTCCGAGACTAACCAGGACTCGAGCTCAGCATCCTCGGTGTCGACTTCATCTTCATCTGGAAGCGGACTTCCAGACGGTGCGGTCGTCGGAATTGCCGCCGGAGTCGCAGCCGTTCTCGTCGTGATCACGGCAGTGTCGTGTTGGATCTGGAAACGAAACAAACGGAATAACAACGACCACCCCGAGTCGATGCAACACCCGTTCATCGCAAGAGGAAGCGCTTTCTCAGGTGGCCCCACCGATGGATCCGAGCCCTCGACGCTCGGTCCTGGGCTATGGAACGACAACGCCATCATCGCGACTCGAATCCCTCGGGACAAAGTGAATGTCCAAAGTCTCATTTGCCGCGGCGGATTCGGAGAGATCTACCGCGGAACGTACAATCGTGAAGCGGTCGCCATTAAGATGCTGTTCCCGGATGCACGAAGTGACCTGAAGAAGGTGAACGTGTTCCTCGCGGAGGCGAAAATGATGGCTGGTCTCAATCATCCGCACATTGTGCGCTTTGTCGGTGTGTCGTGGGGATCGCTCACTGATCTCTGTATGCTGACAGAGCTGATGGAGGGCGGGGATCTGCGCGCACTGCTGAAAGATTTTGAGGATCGAGGACAACCGCAGGGTATCGACCACGACAAGCTTCGCATCGCCTACCACGTCGCGCAGGCGTTGACGTACCTGTACTCTCTCTCTCCGATCGTCGTGCACCGAGACTTGAAGTCCAAGAACGTGTTGCTGGCGGAGAATCTGGACGCGAAACTCACGGACTTTGGCGTGTCGCGAGAACGACAAGAACACACCATGACTGCCGGTGTCGGGACGATGCTGTGGATGGCGCCCGAAGTTATGATGGCGGAGCACTACGACGAGAAGGCTGACGTTTTCTCCTTCGGCGTGCTGTTGTCCGAGCTGGATCTGCAGACGTTGCCTTATTCCCAAGCGAGATTCGACTCCGTCACCGGTAAGAAAGTGCCCGATGCGGTGATTATTCAAAAGGTGGCGTCGGGGGCGTTGCAAGTGTCGTTTACTTCGCGATGCCTTGCTTCGGTGGTGCACTTGGGCAAGGAATGCGTGTCACTGGATCCGTCAGCTCGACCGTCGGCACCGATGTTAGTTTTCCGGCTGCAGACGATCATGAAAGGGGGCTACGTGATTCAGTTTAGTCGAATTTGGACAAGTTAACGCTGTATAAGGTGAAGTTTGTATGATTTCAACTTTTTGAGTCCGTGTTTTCCCCAAGCGCGTTCTTTCTTCTCTTTGGGCTCAATCTTCTTGACGAACTTGGCCGGGTTGCCAGCGTAGACGCACATGGGAGGCACGTCCTTCGTGACGACACTTCCGGCTCCGATCACTGCCCCACGGCCAATGGTGACACCGGGCACAACTGTCACGTTGCCCCCGACCCAAACATCGTCCGCGATCGTAATGGGTTTGCCGATCTCTAGTCCGGACGATCGGACCTCGGGGTCGAGCGCGTGGCTGGCAGTGTAAAGCTGCACGTTCGGGGCGAGCATCACCCGGTTGCCGATCGTGATCGGACACCCGTCCAGGAAGACGCAGTTGAAGTTCATGTAGAAGTTGTCGCCCACGCTGATGTTGTAGCCGTAGTCGCAGCGGAAGGGCATCTCGATGAGGCAGTCCTTGCCCATTGAGCCGAGGAGGCGCTTCATCACTGCCTTGGCTTCTGGGCTCTCGGCCTGCGTCATGTCGTTGAACTGCTTGGTCAATTCGCGAGCAGCGCGCCGGTCCTCCGCCAGAGTCGGATCAACCGCGATGTACAGCTCCCCTCGGATCATCTTGGCCTTTTCGGAGTTCATTGTCGGGGGAGAAGTTAGCAGTGCTTGTGTCTTTGCCTTGGTGGGGTGAATGACTCGGTAGTAGAGCCGATGGACAGTCAGCAGATCACTCAGCTGTTTGTCGGCTCTGTCGGGACGACACGCGTCAGCGGGGGCGAGCACCACGTATGGAGATGGAGCAAAACCGCGACCGGCGGTAAGTTTTGAGGTTGCCGATGACCTCAGCAAGTGATTCAGATGACTACACTACAACTTAGGGTATACTCACAGTCAGCATGAATAACAAGTGCACCTTTATCCAAAAGAACGCCTGAATAAATGTCTGGCATTCAAACAAACGCCGCTAAAGTTCACAACACCAGGCTACCGGATCGCCAAATACGAGGCGATTGAGGAAAAGCCAGAGCTGAGAGACATCCCAAAATACAGATAGCCAACAAAGACGACGTGTAGTTTACCATATTGGCACAGCCTGACACGTGTCGTGGATAGGGATGGGTAGCAAAAAACCAATCCGATTCGATTGATTGGATCGAGACGGATCGTGATCGCATTTAATCGGATTGGCTGATTTGTAGATCAATGCCGACTCGATCGGATTGGATCGGATCGAGTCGACAAAGCATCGACATAGCTGACGAAACACGGACTCATTGGTTGAAATTGGGGTGATATTGCCCCTCGCAGATGTGATGCTATCAATAGTCGATATCACAAAACAAAAACGAAGAGGCCTCCCGCTTCTCGCCACACTTGCGACTGGCCTCGCAAGTTGCGAGGCCGGCAACACCCAGAAGGGCGTTGAGGTGTTCAAATGCCCCAAAGCGACCAACATCTGCAAAGAGCCCCGAGCCGATGCTGGACGGCATGTCGCTGTACGACGCGGCCTGCAGCTTCACCAACCGGAACGGCACGCCGCAGCCCATTCCGACCAACGCCAATGCCATCTTCTCTCACGGTCTCATCCACACAGGTTCGTGCGAGTTCTGACTCGGCGACAAGAAGTTGCTGTACGCCGACGATTGCTACAGCGAGTACAGCCACTTGAACGTCAACGTCAAGACCGAGTCCTCCATCGACTACTTGTCGTGCGAGAACGGCGGTTGCAAGATGATGCGCGCTTCTACTCGATCGGCTGCCAGACGCTTGACGACACGAAGACCGTGTGGCAGACTTACAGTACGTTGGTTGCCACTTTGTATATGTGGTGGTGTGTGTGTGAATAGCTGAGCTAACGGGCTTTTGTGTCGCTGAATGCGCTCTACTGGCGAGCCAGCCTTGCGCTGCGGATTGCGTCATTGCTGGTCAAGTGAAAGCGTCACGCTTTAACGTGCCGCCTTCGAGCAGGTTCTGGACAAGCTTAACTACAACATGCAGCGTGAGAACCAGCGTCGCAGCTCGTGCAACAGTCGATTCTCGGTGGGCGTAGCAATGCGCGAGCGAGATCCGCTACCCGCCACAGCTCCGACGGCCAAGACGACCCTGTACAAGGTCCGTGCCAGGGGCACCGACGTCTCCGTCCGCGTGCCAATCACCCGTCACGGCTCCACGAACCAGGCGCTTGCGCTCAAGTGCATGCCCAAGGCTCTGATCGTTGAGAACTACCTGCAGAAGAACGTCATCTACGAGAAGGGCATCATCGCCGAGTGCGACCACCCGAATACCTTCAAGCTGCGCGAGATGTACCAGGAAGCCAACCAAGCAAGTGGAAAAGACACCTCAGCCATTGGCATTGTCCGCAGAGGAGACAGGTGGGTCGTGTGGGAGGATCTCGAGGAGCTGTAGGAATGTTTTGCTTCCAAAGTGCAGTTTTGTCAATCAATGGATATCATTACGTTCTCGTTTCAGAAAAAAAAGCTTGTAAAGCGGTTGCAAGTCTGCACAGAAGCGATTTGGCCTGTTGTTCGGGATTCTTGTGTTAAGCCTTTCGTAGGCGTGCTGGGCACGAATGACGCAGGCGTATGGAAGTTGACAAAAATGTCATCAGTTTTGGTATGTTGCAGAGGAAAATAGATGATGGATTTTACATTGCGGAGAGTGCGCTGATTGTGCGGAAGCCGGTAAAATTGGAAATGGAGGGATCAAGAATAATTCAAGACACTGGGCGCGTTCGAGTTGCAAGCAAACGCATTTGTGTACTCTCAGAGCACGCTACGATAACAATTTGCGACTCAGTGGACTCGGGACAACCTCGAGACTTGCATGTGCTTTGAATACTAGGTTCACGGGCTGGTCTAGCGCAAGACCTTGCCACTAATTGATTAACGACGCTAAAACCAGCCGACTCGAGTCGACAAGACATGAATTCGCTGATATCGCGAAGCAAATACGCTCATTTTCGTGAGCACAACCCGGCTTGAAGCTGCAAATTCCGTGGTCAAAAGTCCAACGCGAGAGTTTACGGTTCGAAATTATCGCATCGCCACCACAAACAAACATAATCACCAGGAGGTAGCCGTATAGTTCGCCAATAACCAGAAAACAATACAAGATTTTCAAAATCTAATGCAGCTGATGCAGATACAGACAAACTGGTAGCCACAAAAATACTAAGCACCAGCTACCCGGTTCTCTCTGTTGCTGGGAAATCCTACAGGTAATGATGACCACCATAAATTAATTGTCTTTGCTCGCAAGAAATAGCTCACAGTCTCACTACCTAATCGCCCCACTGCTCGTTTTCCGCGATTTTCCACTTTCAGCTTGTTGAGACGGCGACCCACTCATATTCGCCCTGAAACACGGTGAGGGCACCATCTCTTCGACATCACCGAAAGAATTGAGTTGTCGTGCTCTGCTGCGTACTTGACATTCAATACGGCGTCAATGCGCCGGTATCGATCAAGTCGTAGGACATGCGCAAGATTGTCATTTCTAGCGACGCAACCAACGTGCAGTCGCTTAAAATTTGCATTTCGCGTCGCCATACCCTCCTGCGTCACTACATTTCGCACGAAACAACAGCCAGATAGGCTTTGAGTCCGACAACCGCATTTCGGTAGCGATATCTGCGTCGAAAACATTGTTAACCTGCCTGGATAAGCAGACATGTTTGACAACAGTGGCCCCGCCACTTTGAAATCGCACACAATCGGGAACAGTTCCGCCTCGTTTCCCCTAGTCGTTGCCCCTCTTCAGTCGCAAAATTATCAGGCAACGCTCCGCCTCTGCGGAGACTCTCGAGCAGCGCTTCGCATCCCTGATTCAGACCCCATGGAGTGATAAATTGGAGCTGCGCTTCGCCTCGTTTCGATTGGAGATACACACCTTCGAATCACTTCAAATTGTGGCAGCACTTCGCCTCGTTGCGCCGGGTGTCCAGGTGCTAAATTATCGGACAGCGCTTCACCTCGTTGCGATTGAGCAATTGGAGATAGCTCCTCCTTGTTTCGTTAGAGTGACCGCCTCACAGAAGTTGTGGTGGTTTGAGCAGCGCTTCGCCTCGTTTTCCAAGGTTTCGAGTGCGGTGTAACTTCACAGCGGCACGATTATCCGCTTGTCTCTGTGCGCCATGTGAGCGAGTGCATCATACCACGCGATGTCGATACATGCTCTTCGAGCTCGTCCAAGGCGGCGAGTCAGACTTCGTTTGAGATGATTCTGCGCAAAAATGGTATTGTGTTCCTAGAGTGCAACGCGGTTGCTTTACAAAAGCTTACCACATATCAAGTTACAGCAGAAGCGCTATGTACTCGTCATTAATGCAAAGAGCTCATCAAAGGCGAATTGGATCGATAGCATTATGAACGATTGCGACTCTTACAGACTTAAAGCCACTGCGACCACCAACACACTAGCTCTCAGTCCAATTAATGCCTACTGGTTCAGTATGGACATCACCCGAGGTAAGGTTGAAGGCAAGAAAATGCTGCAGCTCCATGATCGCTGTAACAGCATCGTCAGCAAGTCGAGCTCGTCGAGGCGTAATCGTCGTTCCAGATGCAGAGAATGCTTCCTCGCTAGGCACCGAAGTAGCCATCACAACCAAGTAATCGCGCGCCATCATCTGAATTGGAGGAAATGATGCAGCTTCGTGCTTCATCCAGTTGCACACAGCTCGACTGTCTGTCTTCAGGTTCATGGACTTATCCTTGTGGTCAAGCCAGCAAGACAACTCACTTGAAAATGACTCACCGCTGCTGTTTGCGTGCGACTCGTGCCCAATGTGCTCATCAATAAGGCTGTACAGCGCGTCCTCGTCTTCAGCTTCTTCTTTCTGCTGCTGGGTTTTCTCCGATTGTTTTCTACGCAGTTCATTTTGCTCATATGGGGCCCGATACACGCGTTCATACTCCGCTTCGACTAGTTTTTTCACTTGCTCGACATTGACGTCAATCTTGACGAGGAACGACTTCGCACGAGGGTCGAGAACGGCAGCAATTTGAGCATCATCGGTTTTGACGAGCGGGATATACTCGTCAAGCTTCTTCTTGAACGCGCGAGCAAAATCCTTGGTGTACCACGAGAGAGCAGTCTCCGCCGTCTTCCCCGCATGCTTCAAGACGAGATGGAAGACAACCAACGCTACACCAAAGGTTGGGTAGTTCTTGCCAGACATGTGTGTAGTCGCGCCCTTGATCGGTCTCAGGAAAGCTATGAGCTCATTAAGATAGCCCCAAGTCGTGTCCGGGATGGGAGCAGCGAGACGATCGCCAGGGCTTATTGAAAGGCATTTGTAGCCTTCATGACGGCCACGAATCCGTCGCTGTACCTCACCAATCGCTAGCTTCAGCGAACGAGCTGAAGAAAGCATCGTTAAGGTGCTGTTCCACCGCGTCACAACGTCGAGCTCCGGCGATATAAAGGTCACATTGAGTGCCGCGCAGACATCAGTCAGCGCCTCAAGTAACGACGGCAACTCCGACAGTTTTTTCAGTATGTCACGGACGACACCAACACTGTCATCCATGATTGGGCATCGTTTAAGCCCTTCCTTGACAGCAAGTTGAAAAACGTGGGCCAGACATCGCACATGAACGACCTTGGCTTGGGATGCGGCAGCTTCCGTAGGCTCTGGAGTCGAGGTGGCACCCGAAGCCGTCCCTGCAAGCTGGTCGTAGCCCACAATCTCCTCCTCCAGTGTTTCGTTGACCTCATCAATCATTGTTCCGTTGTTGGCGGCGTTATCCGTAGTGATCGCCCATAGTTTTGCAAAAAGAGATCCGCTCATCGCTCGAATGGTATCGATCAGATGCTGTGCGATGCGGGGACCAGAATGGGGATACTCCACGCGCGTAAATCCTATCATAACCGACTTAATGACCCACTCGTCGTTGATCCAATGCATGGTCACAACCATGTAGTTAGTTTTGCCGCTGATGTCCATAAGTCCGTCGTGGCGGATACCCGGCCGTTTTTAACATCTTGAAGAATGCTATGCCGCGACAGCTCCTTTTCGCACCTCCAGCGCGCCATGATCTTCTTTCGAACCGCCTTCCTTGTCGGAGGCACGTAGTCAGGGTGAAGTGTTCTGCAGAAGGAACGAAATTCCTTTTTCTCCACCAGACTCAGGGAAAGCGCATTCGCTACGATCAAGGCCACCAGCTGCTTGTCAGCGGCCGCCTTGTCGAACGTGCGCTGCCGCACGTATCGCTCGAACCCAAACGCGAGCAAGTCCGTCTGGCGGGCGCCTCTCGTGTCCGCCGGAGACGCATCTTCGTCGCCTCCGTACTCTTCTCCGTGCTGCCGCTTCAGGTGTCGCCGAAACGTAGTATGAGCCACCGTGTTCCAGACCGGAGCTGAGTCGGTGGAACACAGCAGACATGTGAAGGTCCCATCGTTGTTATCGCGAATGACGGTCCAGATGTCGGAGCGTCGATTACCAGGAGCTCGCCTTGGTTCACTGGAGGATGAACTTGCACTTCAATTGTCTTGGGGCTCCATGGAATGAAGGTATGCGGAGAGGTGCGTTAGTGCGAGATGGCAAAGGCGAAACTGCGAGGAAGATTGCTGCGCATGCACTACTTCGCATTGCGAAGTTCGCAAGGTCCGGCAGGCCTAAGCCGATCTGATCCGATTGAATCGGCCGATTCGATCGACAACTTCAAGCAGACGCCCAACGTGTGCACACCTGATTGGGCCAATTGCTTTACTGCGAATCCGCGACGAATCACCGCCCAGTAATGAGGTGCACTGGGATTCCGTACCGGGGCTCAAAAGGTAGCGGTGGCGCGTCCGTTGTGCTGAACGTAATGTGCGTGAGCACCCGGTCACGCGCTAGAACGATTTCGCGCAGCTGTAGTGCGTGCCCAGCCGTAGCCGTAGCAATAGCAGCAGCGGCGGCATGCGTGCGAAGCGGCTGGTGAGTTTGCAGTCGCGCAACGTGAACTGGTGGAAGGCGGTCGAGGTGGTGTTGGCGCCGCGCACCGCCAAGTCGCAGATTTGGCTGTCGCTGAGCGGATTAAATGTGGTGGTCGAGTTGGTGGACAACAAGTAGAACTACGAGAACTGTGCCAATGATACCGATGTTGTCTCATGTCCGCATGCGATTAAGTCTCAGGCCGATTTCAGCGCGAATCTAGCGCACTTCAAGTCACTGTTATAGATAACACCAGCACTATCGTGAGCAGACTAAAGCCACACATGAACTTTTGCTGTGAAGCGTCGGTTGTACGGAAGTCTGTGGTATTTTATAGTTTCGGACATGATAAATTGTATAAGAGATTAGAGTGAAAACATGCTATTGGTCATTTCAGGGGTCGCTTAAAAATTATTCATGTAGTGAATGCGATATCTAGAGAAGCATTTTCTGGAGGTATTACTGCTGTATTTTATATCTTGGTAGTCGGATTGGATCGACCGATCAATCGGATCTAATCGAAATGAATCGAGAATCGGCACTGGCTAATCCGATCGGTCAGAAAGTACATCTCGATCAATCCGATTGGGTCGATTACCCACCCCTAGTCGTGGACATTCTAGGTACATCGAGTGTATCGTGTGCGCTTTGGGACGGGAGGTATTAATACCAAGTCAGCTTGGCGTCGTGCCCCAGATCATTTCTCATTCTGCCCCAACAGTCACAAAAACCAAGCCAAGACCTACGACGATGGAGACCGAAAAGGCCAAGATGCTGCGCAGTGAGCTGTACTTCTCAATGGACCCAGATCTGTTCAAGGAACGCCAGGAAACTCGCAAGCTGGTCAAGAAGTACAACGAGCTCGACGGAGCTGAGACCCCCGAAGCCCAAGAAATCCTGACCAAGATGCTCGGCGCCAAGGGACGGGAATGCTTCATCGAGATGCCCTTCCGCTGCGACTACGGGTCCAACATCCGGCTGGGCGACAACGTCTACATGAACTTCAACTGCGTGCTGCTCGACGTCTGCGAGATCACCATCGGCGACCGCGTCATGTTCGCACCGAACGTGCAGCTGTACACGGCCACGCATCCGCTGGGGCCCAAGGCGAGAGCTTCCGGGTACGAACTGGGCAAACCGATCACCATCGAGGACGACGTCTGGATCGGGGGCAATGTGACGGTGGTGCCCGGGGTTACCATTGGCCGCGGGGCAGTGATCGGAGCGGGGAGTGTCGTCACGAAGGACGTTCCTCCCATGTGCGTGTACGCTGGCAACCCGGCCAAGTTCATCAAGAAGATTGCAGAAGAGTAGATGGAGGTTACAACAATACCTAGCGTGACTCACGCTAGAAACCATGTCCAAAACTTGTAATGAAAGGGTTGGTCTATTGTATGTGAAAATCGCAGCTCTTGAACTTACACGAAGCTGGCTTGCTTCTCAGCTGACGCGGCAGACTTGGCTAGCTGGTCCAGCAAACTCTTTACACTCTTGACGCGCTTCTTGAGCAGCGTCCGCGTCTTCAGGTCGGGCTCGCCGCGAAAGCTCGTCAGATGCTGGTGGAAGAAGACGGCCAGACCGTCAATCGTCAGCTGGGCCTTCTTGGTCTGCAGCAGGCGCTGGAACACCTGCGCCATCTCCAGCTCGCCCTCGAACTTGAGGATCTCCTCCATCAGAACCCGCAGGAACAGAATGCTCTTCTCCTCCAACTGCGTGAAGTCCAGCACCTTGAGGCACGACAGAGACAGACTGCTGCTCAGCACCAGCCCAGCCAGCATCTGCGCTTGGTTGTACAACCTCCGCGGCTTGAGCGACTCCATCTGCTTGAAGATGTCCCAGAAGGCGAGCTGGAACGTGAACTTGTACCGCTGGTCCATCTCGCACAGCTTCTCGGCCAGCACCAGGTAGTACTTGTTGAACTTGTTCTCCTGGCCACAGCAGTGCAGCAGCACGCGAACAATTTCGCGCTCTTGCTTCTCCTTCAGATGCAGCTGCAGCAGCCGCTCGTAGGCGTCGAAGCAGTCCGTTGCGCCCATAAGCGCCACAAAAATCTTCTTTCGGACGTCCGTATTCATGTGCTGCTTCTCGGCGAGTTTCAGCAGTCGGTCGTTCTCGCGCACAGCTTCGTTGGTGTCATCCGCACCATCGTCGGTCGATTTCTGCTGCTGGTAGCCGACCCACGTGCCACCAACAACCCACCAACGGCCATCTTCGTCGGCGTTGAGCAGCTCATGGAGCGACACACGCAACGGGTTGTTAGAATTTCCACAGCGCGTCTTCACACGGCCGATCCACTTCTTCAGCGACGACACATCCAGTGCGCCCCCGCCGGCACCACCCTTGCCTCCCTTGCCGTGCTTTGACGACTTCTTGAGGTCGTAAATGAGGTCGAGAATGAATCGAACGCGCTCCTCAGGCTGGTTACCGTCGTTTGCTTGCTGCGCCTCGCCCACCTTCTGCTGAACGGCTGCAACCATCTGACGTAAGGCATCGGCATCATCCGCACGAAGTTGAGCACCACCAATCTTCAGGAGCTGGTGGATAAGTTCAATGTCGGTGGAGGAGAAGCTGTCCACAAACGCTCGGAAGAGGTCGTACACGAGCGTGCAGTGCACAACACCGAAGTTGTAGAGCATCATCACGAACAGCATCAGGTTCACAGGCTCCTTGGAGGTTCTGCCGTCGCCATCTTCGTCCTCGCCATGTTGAGCACCTGCATTCTCGCTGAGCTGTTTTTTCTCCTTCTCGACGCTGTCCATCAGCTTGCGCACCAGCTTCTCCACAAAGAAACCGCCAACCTCGCTGCCGACGCTGTGGTACAGAGCTGCCACCAGGGCACCGCCCACCTTGATAAGTGGCGCCATCACCTGTCGCGGATGGCACGTAGTCTGAAGCAGCTTTTCAAGCAGAATCTCGTTTACGAGCGAGCGACCGTTTTCACGGTAGATCTTTTCCATTTCTAGCGCGATGGACCTGGAATCGTTGACAACACACACAGTCAGTACACAGGGAATCCACAGCCGCATACATGGTAGGCGACGTACTCCATGTTCGACTCGGAGATACGGTTGAGCTGGCCGTTAATACGGCGCGTCAGCTCACGCATAGCCTGCTCATCCATTTGCGAGGGTTTAACCTTATCGGTCGCTGCAGCCGCAGCAGCAGCTTCGGCTTCAGCTTGAAGCTTTCGGCGAAGGTGAGGAGGCAGATACGCCGACGGCTTCTTGGCGCCATCACTCGTTCTGATAACCGGTCTGCCGTAAATGTCTTCTTCGACGACGACACTCTCCTCCTTCTCCTGTTCCTCCTCGTTATCATCATCATCGTCATTCTTGTCACTATCGTCGGCAACTTCCTCGTCGCTCTCCTCTTCCACCTCCAGTTTGTCGTTGCCGTCATCGCTGTTATTCTCGTTCGCCTCCTGTTCACCGTCATCCTCACTATCGTCACTAGCCTCATCGGCATCAGCACCAGCTGCCAGCTCCTGGTTCCGCAGCGTGTTAGCCCGAGCTTCGTCGTCATCCTCCTCCTCCTCGTCTTCTTCGTCCGAGTAAAACTGCGCGAGGTCCTCGGACTCCGACTCCGACTCATCGGTCGGCAGCTCGTCCATGCCCTTCAAGAACTCGGCGTCTTCAGCCTGCAGCAGTTCCATCTCGCGTCGAGTCTCCTCGTCCATCTCCATATCGTCACCGAAATCGCTGCCAGCCTCGGACCCCTCATTTTCATCCACCTCGCTCTCATCGTCTTCGTCGCTCTCCACGTCTCCATCGTGGCCAGCAGAGGCAGAGTGCTTTACCGCCTTGGCCGCCTTGGGTCGTCCCTTCACCACTCTGCTCAATCAACACAGAAGAAGAAAGCATCATCAGTCACCTGTTCTCACACTCCACCTCCATTCACTAATTACGTACTCGGAGATGTGGTCCAGCTCGGACAAAAAGTCCGCAAAGTCCTCGCCCAAACCGTCCTTCGAGTACTCCCTAAAAAATTACAAACGTTAGATAGAACTCCACAATAAAAATATAAAAAAATCTGCATACTTCTTCAGCTTCTTCAGCGCCGACTCGGCCTTGTTGGATGACGACGACCCCAGTCCGAGCTTGGCCTCCAGCGCCTTGATCTCCTTGTCTTCGGCACTCACCGACTGCGGCTCGCCTGCGTACCCCCAGTCAATTAGGACCACCGTAACCATGTACCCCCAAATAAGACCTGGGTACAGCTCACCATTCTGCGCGCTGGCCGCCTCCGCCAGGAACTCGTGGAACTTGTTAGTGATGCCACCGCTGGGGCCTCCGCGCTGCGGCTTGGCCGGCCGCTTGCCGAGCGCTGCACGCGCCTTCGCCTTGCCCCCTTTCTCGGGCGCCGACGTCTCCTGCTCCTTGCGCTGGCGCTTGTTCTTCTGGCGCTTCTTGTCCTCGCGCTCCTGCTTGCGCTTGGCCTTGCGCGACACCACCTTGGGGCCAGCCATCGTCTGTCAATGGAGTAATGGTACGTACGCCAGTCAAAGAGGTACGCGTAACCTGGTTACACAAGGTTACGTAGTTGAAGCTCGAAGTGTAACCGGTTACAATCAGGGGTACTCTGTGTCACATTCTTCAAGGATACCCCTCACTCATTCATACCCCCCAAGATGCGCGCGAGACGCCTTGGCCGCGGCGACGGCGCTGCGCTCTTCGGGCTGCTGTGGGCGGCCTCGTGTCTATTCCTGGTGGCGCTGCGCTTCTCCCCTCACGAACGGGCGGCGTCGGGCGTCCAGGCATCTCGAAAATCCGCTGTCTTTGAGCCAAAATCTGCGATGGAGGACGGATTTTTCCCGCTAAATGAGGATTCCGAGGGCCAGGCGACGGTGTCGCTGGTCGAGTCGCTGCCCGTGGGGGACTTCGCGCTGGCGTTGGCCGTCCCGCAGACGTTCGAGGCGTTGACGCGCCATGTTCAGACGGCAAAGACGTCCATCGACCTCAGTGCCATGTACTGGAACCTGCTGGGCGCCGACGACCGCAAAGTTTATTCGGAGGCCGAGATGAAGCAATTCGGGGCGGAGCGAGGCCGCAAGCTGCTGTTTGCACTGCGAGACGCGGCAACTCGGGGTGTAAAATTCCGGATTTTAACCGCTAAACAAAGTATCGGTGAGCAAGAGCAGATTTTATCGGATGAACGCGCATCGTGCTCTAAATTACCCGAGGAAGTGCAGATGCTGGTGGATGCAGCGAAGGAAAATATCCAAGTGCGCTGCTGGAGCGGCCCCGAGTGGTACGGCAGCGGCATCTTGCACCAGAAAATCTGGATTTTCGATTCGCGTCACGTGTATGTGGGGAGCGCCAACATGGACTGGAAGTCGCTGGCACAAGTGATGGAGGTGGGCGTGGTCATGGAAAATCTACCGACAAAATCTACTGTGATGCAGGACATACAGAGGCTGTTTGAGACCTGGTGGATGTTCGCGTCGCCCGAGTTGCTGCCGGCGAAGACGGGGAGCTACTTCTCGGAGAAGTTCCAGCGGGAGCTGCAAGTGCCGGCGTGGTCGCTGTATCTGCCGGAGGATAAGAGAAGTGAAGATCCATTCATGAAGGCGGGGTTGCAATCGCTGGGAAACATTTCTCATCAGTTGGAGACACCGTTTAGTTCACGTTCGGAGGGAAATGAGACGGAAGATGATTCCGAAGTTGGTGCGTCGACCTCCGCGCAGATGTTCGTTGCGGCTGCACCGTTGGAGGCAACCGCTGGACACTCGCGCGCCTTTGATGAAGACGCGTTGGTGTACACGATCCGATCGGCCAATTCGTTCGTTAGTCTCAGTGTCATGGACTTTGCGCCGTTCTCGATGTACACGCCCGGACCTCTCCACTGGCCAGCGCTGACTGATGCACTGCTGGCCGGTGTGTACAGCAAGCCTGGGCTACGCGTGCGTCTGTTGATCAGCCAGTGGCAGCATACCAGCCCTCAACTGCTGGAGGCACTTGCCACGCTGAAGAAGCAGGCGGAACTGTGTCAGCATATGCACGCTCGGTGCTCCGGAAGACTCGAGATCAAGATCTTCCGTGTGCCAGGTTGGCAGAACACGACGTCGAGCGCTGGTTCGAAGGCTGCGTGGCCTTCGTACACCCGCGTGAACCACGCCAAGTACATTGTCACGGATACTCGCGCGAACGTGGGCACGAGCAACATGGAGTGGGGATACTTTTACACCACAGCAGGGGCGAGCGTCAACACGAACCACGAACCGACACGAAAGGCACTTGAAAACGTGTTTGAGAGGAATTGGAACTCAAGCTACGCTAAAGCCTTGGAAGAAGTAATCGCAAGCGAGTCTTAAGCATTCCTCAGGCCGTCTACGTGTTGCGTGTTTGTCTTGCCCCAATAACGCAAAAAATAAATATTCATTCGTATAGTCTAGCTTTATGGTTTATCCTCCTCGTGCTCCTCGTCTTCACCTTCGTCGTCGCTTTCACTCCCGTTGCTGCCATTTCCGCTTTCGTCTCCATCGTCGCTTTCTTCAGCGTCACTCGAAGCATCAATGTCACTACCTTCGTCTTCGTCAGCGCTACTATAAATACCAGCACCAAAGTCGCTGTCGTCTCCTCCGTCTTCTTCTTCTGGGTTATGCACTCTTACAAGTTGAGCCATGCCGCCGTCCACGTGCGAGGCAATGTGGCAGTGCGCGAAGATATGTCCGATCATGTAGTCACGCGGTGTAAAGCGGATCTGCACTCCCCCGCGGAAGAGCGGTAGCGTATCGCGCCATTCGCCCACCTCGAACATGATGCCATCCGGGTCGGTCTCCTTGTCCATGCTCGAGACTTGGAAATGTGTAGAGTGCATGTGGAACGGGTGGTTCATCGTGCGGCAATCGCTTGATTTCTTCAGGCGGCGATCACCACTGGAGCTTCCAGCATCCAGGTCACAGGACCATATCGACGGCTTCCGATAGTCCTTCACCGAGAGTTCCCATTGTTGCATCTCATTCACGGGCATCGAGTAGTTGATGTGTGACGGATCCAGCTTCTCGTGGTTCACGCCGTACATGATCCCCTTGTCCATCCAGACTGAGAACTCGAAGTTGTACGTGCTGCCTTCCTCGATAAACGGGGGGTTGTTGTCGTCTCCGATCGTGTCTTGCATGTACGCGGGTCGTTTAGGCAGTCGATACGGAAGGCGCGTAGCTTCAGTAGAATCTTCGTCTTCAGGCTCTTTGGTAACCTTGAGCTTCACAATGCGTTGAGTAGGCACTCGGTGCTGGTTTTCAAGACCCAGCAGCTTGTTGCGAGAGCTCGCGCAGTCTGTTTCGAGGTAGAATTTCCCGATCTCAGCGCACATGATAGCCACATCAGCGCGTCCGCCAGGAGGAATAACAACCACCTTCTTCGGCGTGGGCGTGTCAAAGTAAATGCCATCCATAGCAAGCACGTCCAGGGTGCATCCGCTGCCGTGGGTAGTCACAATCTCCGCGACATTATTCGCGATGGCGTTTACCAACCGCAGCCGCTTGTACTCGCCCACAGCGAGCTTCACATTGGGTAGATACTGCCCATTTACAAAGACCGTGGGCAGTGAGGTGTCGTTCAGCGGCGCATCAGCCTCGTCCTCGACGACTTCCAGATCCGTGGGCCAAACCCCCTCCCCCTCCTCTTCATCTGGAGTGTTCATGGGGTGTGAAAGTCTCCTGGCGGAGCTGAATTTGTTCTCCAGGGCGTCCTCGATGTTGTCGTACATGTTGAAGCAGTTCTCCACACAAACGGCCTGCAGCATCATAACGAGGTCGTCCATGGCAGCCAACTCGTTCGGTAGGTCTGCCGGTCGGTCGACTACAATTAACGTGCCGGCCATCATCCCATTGAGGTGTGCGTTCTCGTTGTGCTGGGCATGCGGGTGATACCAGAACGTGCCTGCCGGGTGGTCCTGGCGGATTTCGTACGTGTACCTGCGTTGGCCTCCGGGTTCGACATTGGGCATCACGTTGTCGGCGTCCCCTGACGGCGGCAAGTGCATCCCATGCAGGTGCAGGTTGGTGTTGTTGCTCCGTCCAGCTTCCAGTCCGTTGGTGAGCGTGACGACGAGTCTGTCGCCGGGGCAAACCTTAATCGTCGGGGCCGGCACTTGACCGTCGAACGACCGCGTGTTGAAGTCCACGTAGTCGCTCGTGAAGCGCGCCAACTGCACCGACAGGTTGATGCGCAGCTCGCTCACCTTGACCTTCGCGGTCGATCGATCGTCCGAGGAGCCCTCAACGATGAGCTTGGTCCATTCCTTGGCACAGTCGGACTCGTACACTGTCGGCTGCCGCAGGGGCTTGTAGTCGTGCATCGCGGCCGCCACCGCGAGGGCGGCGGAGAGAGCCACAGCTCGGAGGCAGACGGAGACTCGCATGTAACTCGGACCCGGAGACTTGAGCAATGGCAAAGGCGGGCGAGGTCGAAAGGCGGGCGAGGTCGACACGTACGAGTCTCCGCATGATCGGATAACAGCTGGCAATGTGCTGCCTGAAGTTCAGCGTCTTCCGCGATGCCTTCCGAGAAGGGTTAATCAAGCGCAAGTGATGGCTCCCTTCATCACCACCGGGACCCGCTGATTCATTAGGCACGAAGGTGACGAAAGCTTATCTGTCGAGAGTAAGTTGAGGCTCACCCCAAGGCGAGCTTTAGCATCAAGACACTAGAGCCCAGCAACTATTACTGTTGTCACGGGGGCATGGATTCGCAGCAACGTAAAGGAGTGTAAGATGGTCGACTTGTTATCCTACGATGGCGAACCTGCGTTTGTCGGCGTCGCCAATACATGTACTCACCAACTCGGGGCCATGCATGTGTACGGTTAAGAGTGTTTATTTGATGAATGAATACTACGATACATCTACGACTAGACTGCTTACGCGTGGAAGGTCTCGCCCGCAGCGCGGTTCTCCACCAGCGGGGCGGCCAGACACGCCTTCACGTAGCCCGCGCGGATGACGAAGTCGCCGAACTTCTCGCCCTGCTCGCGGTGCTCGGCGTAGTCCTTGATGATCGGCTCCAGCTCCTGCAGAATCTGCGCCTCGTCGAGGGCCTCCTTGTAGAGCTTGTTGAGACGGTCGCCCGAGAAACCAGCACCGAGGTACAGGTTGTAGATTCCAGGGGAGCGACCCACGAAGCCGATCTCGCCCAGGTAGGGCCGACCACAGCCGTTGGGGCAACCGGTCATACGGATCACGATCGCGTCGTCGCGCAGTCCGTTCGCCTCCAGCATGTCCTCGATCTTGGTGATCAGCGACGGCAGGTAGCGCTCGGCCTCAGCGAAGGCGAGACCGCACATGGGCAGAGCAGCGCAGGCGATCGAGTTCAGACGCATGCCCGAGTAGTTGTCGTTGCCGAACTTGTACTGCTCCATCAGCGCCTTGATCTGCGGGATCTCCTGCTCCGAGATGTTGCCCAGGCTGAGGTTCTGGTTACCCGTGAGGTGGAACTCGACGTGCGGGAACGCCTTGGCCAGCTCGCGGAGACCCGTGCGGATGCTGGTCTCCTTCGTGTCCTTGATACGGCCGCCCTCCACGTACATGCCGTAGTGGTACTTGCCCTGCGAGTTCTTGATCCAGCCGAAGCGGTCTCCGTTCGAGACGAGCTTGTACTTGCGCGGGTCCTGGAGCTTGTAGCCCAGACGCTTCTCGGTCTCCGCGCGAATCCACTCCAAGCCGTGGTCCTCGACGGTGTATTTGAAGCGAGCGTGCTTGCGGTTCACACGGTCACCGAAGTCGCGCTGCAGCACCATGACCTTCTCCGCCACATCCTTGGCCTGCTCCGGCGTGCAGAACGCCATCACATCGGCCAGACGCGGAAACGTCTTGGTGTTGTTGTGGGTCATACCCATGCCACCGCCCACAGTCACGTTGAAACCAACCAGCTTGTCCTTCTTGAGGATGGCGATGAAACCCAGGCAGTTGGCGAAAATGTCCACATCGTTCGAAGGCGGGATGGCGATAGCGATCTTGAACTTGCGCGGCAGGTAAGCCTCACCGTAGAACGGCTCGAAGTCCTTCACCTCGCCACCAGCGACCATCTTCTTGTCCAGCCAGATCTCGTGGTACGCGCTCGTGCGTGGGCTCAGGTGAGCCGAGATGTCGCGCGCGATGTCCAGGATCTCCTGGTGGGTCTCGACGGAGCACGACGGGTTCACGGTGGCCATAACGTTACGGTTCACGTCACCGCAAGCAGCCAGCGAGTCCATGAGCACACGGTTAATACCCTGGACGATAGGCTTCAGGTTCCACTTGAGAATGCCCTGGAGCTGGTACGCCTGGCGAGTCGACAGCTTGATGTTGCCGTTGGCGTGCGAGTCTGCGAGCTGGTCAATCATCAGATACTGCTCCGCAGTGGACACACCACCGGGGACACGCACACGGATCATGAACGAGAACGCCTTCTCCTTCTTCTCGAGACGCATCTGCTCGCGCAGGTCACGGTTATCCTGCTGGTAGATGCCGTGGAACTTGGTAAGCTGCGTGTCGTCCGCGTCCAGAGCCTTCGTCGTGCGGTCCTCGAGGCCCTCCGCGAGCGTTCCGCGCAAGTAGTTGCTCTGCTGCTTGATCTCCTCGTTCGTGCGCTGCTTCTTCTTCGTGCCCTGGTGGAGGCTGACCACTTCGGCGGGGATGCCGATTTGTTCCCAGAGCTGGGGCTTCCACAGGTCGAACTGCGTCGTCGGGCCATCCTCATCCTGGTCATCAGCCTTGGCGAGGTCGATGATACGCTTGGCTCCAAGCTCGCTCAGCTTGGCGTCCAGGTCCGTCGGGGCCTTGCAGAAGTAGTGCTTCTCGTCCTCGCGAGGCCAGTACAAGCTGTCACCCATGCCGAACACCGCGTACTGCAGAGGGAGCGTGGAGCTGAAAGCCGAAAGCTCACCCCAGAACTCCTTGCCATTGCTCGGGAACTCACCCTGTCCAGCCGTGGAGCACACGAACACAACGTACGCATTCTCGTCGTTGGCTTCGTCCAGCAACTGGTCGATGGTCATCTCGTTCATGTCCATCTTCTCGACGTTCTTGAGGCCGAAGTTCAAAGCGTCCTCCTCGAGCTTCGAGGCGAACTCGTCGGCGTGGCCGTTGTCAGAGCCCACAAGAAGCCACAGCTTGGTGTCCACCTGCCACGGCTCCTGCTGCTGTCCGCCGAATCCGTTGAGCAGGGCCTCGAAGCTGGTCTTCAGCGCCTGCTGGCCAATCTGCTCGTACTTCTCCGTAACCGAGGATGCCGTGGGACCGGTCAGGGCCTGCTTCGCGAACAGACTGAGCTGGTTGTTGCGCTGCAGGAACGTCAGGAGCTCCTTCTTGATGCTCGGCGACTCGAGAGAGAAGGCCTTCTCGCCCTCCACGTCCTCCAGCTGAGGATTGTAGCGGTACAGGGGCCAGTAGCCACTGGAGACGGCCTCCTTGGTCTCCTGCTCCATGTTGCTGGCGCTGGGTGCGTAGGCTAGAACAATCGAAGGACCGTCAAACGCATCAGCCTCGTTCAGCGCGCGCAGCACCTGCGAGTACGAGTCGTAAAGCGCAACCGACGCGACGTAAGCGTTGCCGTACTGCATGGCGTACAAACCCAGGTCGCGCTTGCGGTTGCTCTTGGAGACCGCGTTCATCGGCTCCGTGTCAAGAATCAGCAGGTTCACGTTCTCGCCGCTGGCAAGCACCTGGTGCACGCCCGAAGCGCCGACGTCACGCGAGAACTCCTCGCTGCCCAGAATCCACTGGCTCAGAGGAGCGAAGTACTGCTTCAAGGCGTAGATCTCGGCCAGAACACCACCCTGGTGCTGCTCATTTTCGAGCAAAATGGCGATCTCGCTCCCGAGCTTGTCGTGCTTGGGCTGCTTCTCGGACCACTGGACGAGGCACTCAAGCAGACGCTGCGACACTATGCTCTTGGCGTGCGCGCCCGACACAAGCGCCTTGACCTTGTCCTTGAGTTCCTGGCGCTTGGCCAGAATGCCGAGGTGCACACCGAAGCCGAACTCGCCGTTCTCGAGGGCAACGCTGTCGCCCACGGTCTTGTCCTGCGCCTTCCAGACCGTCTCAGAGCGCACAAGGTTCGCAATCACCGCGCGCTTCTCGAACAGCTGCAGCAGCATCTTGACGTAGGGGGCCTCAAATCCATCCTTGGACGACACGTACGAGTTCACGAGCTGCGTGGTGGCAGTCATCTTGGCGTTGAACGCCTCCGTAGCAGTCGGGGAGGCAACAACGAAGCCGTTCTGCAGCTTGTCCGCAGCGAGCTCCTCCACCAGAGTGCGCGCAGTCACGACGTCGAACACGGACTCGCTGACGTTGAAGGCGTACTTGCCTCCGATGACGGCCGGCACGGGCTTGTTCTGCCACTCCTCCGACTGGAAAGAGCCGAGCACGTCCATGAACAGCGGCTCGCCGACGTTGGTGGCGTCGTCCATGCGGTCAAGCACCGCGAACTTGGTGGCGGTAGCGGGCACGACGCTCAGGAAGGCCTTGGTCGACCACGGACGGAAGAGACGCACCGAGATGACGCCGACCTTGGCCTTCCAGTTGGTGTAGAGCGAGTCGACGGCGTCCTTGACGACGCTGGAGGCCGTGCCCATGACCACGAGCACCTGCTCGGCCTCGGGGTGGCCGAAGTACTCGAAGAGCTGGTAGCCTTTCTTGGCGAAGACCTGCTGGATGACATCCTCCACGACCTCGGGCACGGCGTTGTACTTGGCGATGCACTCGGGCGACACCTGGAAGTAGAGCTCGGCGTCGTCGGTGTTGTCGGCCACGCCCGACTTGCTGAGCACGAGCTGGCGGAACTCGGGCGCCTCGCTGGCGTTCTTGAGCCCGATGAGGTTGGCCAGGTACTGGTAGTCCACGAGCGCGTGGCTGAACTTGCTGGCGGACGCGGCGGCCTGCTGCTCCAGGTCGTTGTGAGTCATCTCCCCGTCGTAGACGTGCAGAAACGGCACGTTGGCGCGCAGCGACGCGACGTGCGCGAGCAGCGCCATGTCCTCGGTCTCGGTGGCGTTGAGCGAGTTCAAGATGACGAAGCCGGTCTGGCGCACGGCCATGAGGTCCGAGTGCTCGCGCGCCACGACGTGGATCACGGCGGGCAGCTGCGCGCTGCTGAGCTTGTACATGGCGGGCACCATCTGCAGCAGCGCCGAGGGCGACGACGCGAAGAGCGTCACGAACTGGCCGCGCGCGGCGGCGGCGTAGGCGCGCTCGATGAGCTCCTGGCCCACGGCGCCCTCCTCCACCTTGCCCACCTGGTCGAACACGTTGCGGCGCGCGCCGACGATGTACTTCTCGAGCGCCGAGCCGAAGGGCACGGGCTGCACCAGGTACGAGAAGTCGCTGAGCGCGTAGGCCACGTGGCTCACGGCCTCTTCCACGGCGGAGTTGTGCTGCGGCGGCATCGATGTATGTGGAGTGCGCTGGCGGACGCGGAATGGCGAGTGGGGCGGTCAAACCACCCGAACCGGAGACCGTACTTGAAGCGTTGCAAGCCTCGCGCGAGTGACGCTACGCCCCGCGCGAGTGCCCCATATGGCAACGGCTTTTGGCCAATCGGCGCGTGGTGTGGACCCACGTCGGCCAGCTGGGCCAATCGAGGGTCGCGATCTGGTCGACGCGCATCGAGCTGATACTGACCTGTATAAATGAATACTTTACCTCCCACAACGCATAGGCGTCATAGGATGCGTCAGCCAGGCCCAAACGTATCGGGCCCCAAGTATACTTGCGTGATCGAGTGGATTGGAAGAAGCTGCTCGATGGCGGCGCCGAGCGTGTCCCGAGCTGTAATCGCTGCGTTTGCGCCTCGGACAGCACCTCTCCGCTAGCAATCGAGGCGCCCAGCGGGCGTAATTGAAGTTGAGCGCGACTGACAAAGCGTACCGAATCTTGTTTCGCTTTAGCGTCCATTTCCGTAGTCGCGACCTGACTTGGTTTTTGTATGAGATCTTGGTGTGCACCACCGCAACTGACCTGTTTGGGCAAAACTGTGTGGCCCACACCACCCACCAGCGTCATCCGATTGGCCGCGGCGCCTCGTTTACGTTTGAAGCGCCCATCTCTTGGTCTCACCTGCCACGCACGAAAGGCAACGCGCCGCCATTCCCCATTGTGCGCTTCACTTGGCACCGCCAGCTGCCTGTACGCTCCACCTCCCTGTATTACGCTCAAGAACTCCAGCGCTGCAATGTCGACGACCAAGGGCAAGATGATGCTGGTGGGCGCCGGCCCCGGCGACCCGGAGCTGCTCACGCTCAAGGCCTACCGCGCGCTGCAGCAGGCCGACCTGGTGCTGGCCGACCGCCTCGTGCCCACTGAAGTGCTGGAGATCGCCTCCTGCGAGGTGCGCGTGGCGCGCAAGCGCTGCGGCAAGGCCGACCTCGCCCAGGCCGAGCTGGACGCCTGGGGACTCGAGGCGCTCGCGCAGGGCAAGCGCGTCGTGCGCCTCAAGAACGGCGACCCCTTCATGTACGGCCGCGGCGGCGAGGAGGCCGTCATCTACTCGGAGGCGGGCTTCGATGTCGAGGTCATCCCGGGCATCTCCAGCTCGCTCTCGGCGCCGGCGAGCGCGGGTATCCCCGCCACCATGCGCGACGTGGCCGACCAGGTGCTCGTGTGCACGGGTCACGGCAAGAAGGACCGATTCCCGGACTTACCCGAGTACTGCGACCACCGCACCACGATCTTCCTGATGGCCATCGGCCGTATCGAGGGCCTGTGCCAGGCGCTGCAGACCGAGCGCGGATACCCGAGCGACATGCCCGCTGCGATCATCCACGCAGCGACCATGCGCGACGCCTCGACCATCCGCAGCACGCTGGGCGAGATCGCGGCCGAGGTGCGCCGCCGCGGCATCGATCCGCCCGGAACGCTGGTGCTGGGCAACGTGGTCAACGCGCTGACGTACCTGAAGAACTACGACGCCGTGAAGGACGTCGACGTCGAGCCCGAGAACGCCAGTAAGTACACCATCTCGTACCCGCCGCTTTCGAGTCTGCCGGCAATCGACCTGGGCGAGCACATTGTGCTGAACGCCAAGACCAAGCGCCCGGAGATTTTCGGCTTTGAGCTGTCGATTGTGAACGTGGTCATGGTGCTGCTCGCATTGGCTTCCGTCCTGTACTCGGTCACGTCGAGCAGGGCTATTACCCGCGTGTAGGCTGTATTTAACAACGCTGTATTAATTCATTTCATTGATTCCATGAGCGAGTTGCATTAATGCATCTTGACTGCCAAGTTCCGAGGCGCAACGCTTTCTGAGCCGAGGTTGAAGTGAATTGTGTTAGGACCAAACTTTTTGAGTCTGAAAAATTGACATTTTGGTCCAATTTGTGTCGATTATTTACTAAAGTATCGCTGTATCCGCGATGGATTATTCAACTGAAAAAGAGGGGCTCAAGCGCCGGAAGATTATGAGCACCGAGGTCTTCGAGACGCCCGAGCCGGAGGAGGCCTTCCAGCCCTACGCGCCTGCAAACGCATCTGCGCGCCAGGCCCGCGCAGGTGTCGGCGCCGGGCCGGAGGTCGACGGTCATTTCCACGACAAGGTTAGGCAATTATCGTTCAGGAATTTATGCATATCTTCCTTGTTATGACAATATTTTGTTTATAAAATGCAGAGCTCCATGGAGCTGGACGAGCAGGAGCTGCCGGCCACGCAGGCCTTCGAGGTCTTCATGGGCAAAGTCTACAGTGCGTCGCAGCACCTTCATCATGTATCAATTGTGAAGTAGTTTTTCTTTTCTTACTAAATTACAATTATTGTCAATTGCAGAGCCCGCGTTGCCCAAGCAGACGGAGTACGAGTCCTCGGCAGGCAAAGGCAGCAGCAACAAGCCGACGCTCGAGTCCCCGTTGGCTCGCTTCACGCGGCTGTCGCTGGAGCTGAAGGAGCTGGAGGCGGACCTGACGCTGCTGGCGGCCGACGCCGAGCACAAGAAGCACAAGGTGATGGTGGACGCCGGCCAGGAGGCCGAGTTCAACGAGGTCATGCAGGGCCTCAACACGCTGCAGCTCAACCTGTCGGCTCTGGAGAAAAACGCAACCTTCCAGCCGTTCCTGCGCTCGGGCGGCAATGCCGGCGTTGCGACGTCTAGCGCCGACGCGGCGCTGAGCCTGCAGAAAGATCTGACGGCCAAGTTCTTCCAGCAAATCGACTCGCTCAAGAGGAAGCAGCAGGGTCAGACGTCGTCGCCTTCGTCCTCTGAAGGCGCCCCTATTGTGTATGAGATTTACAGCAATGGAGAGCTGAATGCTGTGGACAAGGACGCCAAGGCGCGAGTGGCGACGCTGGAAGCCAGGATCTCGACGCTCGAGAGGGCGATTGGAACTTATCAGGGGCAGGAGTTGCGGCTGGATGGTTTGAGCTCGCTGACAGGCGCGTCGAGCGCTGATCTGACGTCGGCCGTGGCGCAGCTGGAGCAGCGAGTTGCGTTGATGAGCGAGAAGAATTTGGACGCGGTCAAGACGCGCACGACGGCGCTTGTTCACGAGTTTACGCTGCTCAGCAAGCTTAAACAGTCCTCGGGTGTGCAGGGTGCTTTGAACTCGCAGGCCGACCGTGAGCAAATCCAGAAAATTTACGACCAACTCAGCAGTCTCGATGCGGTGGCGGCCTCGGTGCCTACTGTTGTGGACCGTCTCGTCACGCTCAAGTCAGTACACGACGAGGCGCTGAACGTCACAGACCGGGTGGGCAAGATGGAGCAGACGCAGGCTTCATTGACTGAGCTGCTCGATTCGGATGCTGCCTTGCTTGCCAATGTAAGTATCCTGGCAACGGGGAAGATTTTTTTTACATTCATCTGCAACGACTATATTTTTCTTAATGTATTCACTAACTGATGACATGTAATGTTCAGATGGAGGCGAGCTTGGCTGAAAATGTGCAGATATTCCAATCAAACATCCAGCAACTCGACGACCGCATGGCGAAGCTGCTTGCCTCCTCAGGTGGTCGCTAGATATTCGTATCTTGTTTCGTGTTGCTTTGTTAGAGGGCAGGCCTTGGATCAACCTGCAGCCACGGGAAACCGAGTCGGCGTGGCGACCATCGAGTTGCATTTGCCTTCCTGTACTCCAGCGACTTGTACAGCAGGTGCGGGTGTGAGGGCGAAAACCGAGTCCCTAATGACCATTGCATCAACTTTTCTCTCCTCCATCTCTTTCTTGCGTTGCAGACGATCTTGCCGTAACTCCCAGAGGTATTTCGTTTGTTTGTACAGGATGTACAGTTGCCGGGAGTTGAAGAGCACTAGCAGCATCACTTGCAAGATGATCACGAGAGTACCAACGAAATCCTGCAAGCTCTCATCCGTTGAAGGCGTGAGGAAGGAGCTTATAAGCGCGTACGTGACCATTTTCATCACGAATGCAATGGAGGAGCAAACAGTCTGGAACTCCATCGAGTACGGCGCGCTTTCAACGGTGTACAGGAACATGGCGAGCTGCAGCGACATCAACAGTGTCAATTGAGACGGCACATCGCTCACAAGCCCAATGATAACGCCGGAGAGGATCTCAGCACCCATTTTCGCCACGAAGAAGTATCGGTTCTTGAAATGGTAGTACTTGTAGTACGCCCCCCACGCGAATTTGAAGTCGGCGTTTGAGAGCTCCTTTTCAGTTTTATCCCAGATCTTCACGACGCCCAGAACAATCAATCCACAGCAGACCACGATGAGCGCAACGGTGGCAAACGCGAACGCACTGTGACTTCCATGGTGTTGCTGCTCGTTGTATCGCATCTGGAACGAGCTCGTCATGCTCAAGGCGTATTCACTCAGCAGACAAATGGACAAGCATGACTGGATCAACAACCTCATCAAAAGTTTGGCCCGTGGCAAGTCGTCCAGTCGCTGGATTAGAAGCTCAAGTTTTCGACGGAGCAGGAGACGCAGTAGCGAATACAGTGTCGCCACAACCGCTGCAACTCCACCGACGACGCTCACGAAGACGATCGCAGTTTTGGTGAAGAGCTCTTCCGGTTTGACGTTGATTCGCTCTGCGTATGCAAGCACGCCCGAAATGATGTCCCCATCCGCGACCGTGAAATTGGAGGCGTCTTCACTCGAGAGTTTCTGCTTGCCTTCGTCGGTGTCTCCAGTGGGAGGTGGTGGTGGTGCAGCTGCTGTCGGCTGGAAGTTACACCAGCCGAACGAGTCCGTGAAGTGGAAGAAGAAGTCTGGCGCTGTGGGGAGACTGAGGTGGCTGCTTGACGAAAGGAACTGCAGGTAGTTGAGCATCATGAAGATCCCAGTCAGGTCGACGACGGGCGCTCGCAATCTTGCAGCACCCCCACCGATGACATTCAAGATGCCGTTTGAAGCTGCGACTCCAGAGGTGGCGGTCGATACCGCAGATGTGCTGGTTGTCACGATGCTGATGACAGCACTCACGATATTTGAGGTGACTGCAGTGGCAACTAATATGTTCGCCGAACTACTGGCGAGATCGCGAGCGGGGCCAACCGCGTGGGTGAAGTCAATTATCGCACGGTGGAATTCTTCGGCGTCGTCACCATTCGACGTGGCACTTTTCTCATTCTTGGCGTTTGATATCGTAGCTGAATCTCCATTTCCAACCACTGCATTTGCCAGACTGCCCGATGCAGACTGTTCGTCCGCGATAGGGCTCATGAGAAGGGTATCTGCTGCAGATAAGCCACTCGAAGAACCTTTAAAATCCCCGCCACCACGCGTTGCGATCCTGGGGTGAACTGACGCAAGAGATGACATCGAGCTCGATCCCTCCGCAATTGCTGTGGCTTCCTTTGACGCACTCGAAGATTGCGTCAAGGAGGAGGTTGGCTCTATCGTACTCACGGCGTTGGAATTCGGAGAGGAACTTGATCGAGAAGAGCTGTCCGCAGACGATGATGCTGCCGTTGCCAACGTATCACGGGTGGGAGTAGATGTTGACGTTTCCGTGACGGGTGGCGAGCTCCTGCTCTGAGACCCGCCACTACTGGTTGGCGAACTTGTTGCTGAACTGCTTGGAGTGGTGGCAGCAGGAGACGTCGTCGTCGTGGAAGGCGTATTTGTTGATGTTGGGACTTGAGCGGTTGATGAAGGATTAGTTGCTGTTGGTGTTGATATGCTGCTAGCAGTCGTATCGGTGGGAGTACTTGCTGTCGGGGCCTGCGTGGTTGCACCTGAAGTCGTCGTCGATGGTTGTAACGTAGATTCTGCTGTCGGTGTCGTCGACGGCTGGGTGGTTGTCACCGGAGATCCCGTCGCTGCAGATGCTGTCGGGGTATTTGTCACTGAAGTTCCAGCTGATGGGGCTATCGATGGCTGCGCGGTTGCCGTAGGGGATGCTCCCGATGGAGTCGTCGAAGGCTGAATGGTCGTTGATGGCGATGTCGTCGGAGTATCGGCGAGCACAGGAATGCCTGTCGGGGTTCCTGCCGATGGGGCTGACGAGGGCTGTGCAGTTGTCACCGGAGACCCACTTACCGGAGAGGTTGATGGCTGTGTGGACGTTGATGGAGTACTTGTTCCGGTTGGAGAGCTCGTAGTGGTCGGCGACGTCGTTGGGGTATCGGAGAGGATGGGGATATCAGTTGGAGAACCTGCTGACGGGGCTGTCGAAGGCTGTGTGGTCGTCACAGGAGACCCACTTACTGGAGATGTCGCTGGGGTTTCTGTAACTGGAGTTCCTGTAGATGGGGCTGTTGATGGCTGCGTAGTTGTCGTAGGGATTCCTGTGGCTGGAGATGTCGTAGGCGTTCCTGCTGTCGGGCTTGTCGTTGGTGACGTTGACGGCTGAGTAGTTGTTGATGGTGTACCTGTTGCGGTTGGAGAACTTGTAGTTATCGGCGACGTCGTCGGAGTATCGGCAAGCACGGGAATGTCAGTCGGAGACCCTGATGACGGGCTTGTCGAAGGTTGCAGGGTCGTCACTGGAGACGTCGTGGGGGTTCCTGCTGTCGGACTTGTCGTTGGTGTCGTGGAAGGCTGAGTGGACGTTGATGGGACACTTGTTGCAGTTGGAGAGCTCGGTGACGTCGTCGGATTATCGGCGAGCACGGGGATGTCAGTTGAAGATCCTGCTGACGGCGTAGACGAAGGTTGCGTGGTCGTCATTGGAGACCCAGTCACCGGAGGTGTCGTTGGGGTTCCTGTGACTGGCGTTGTCGTCGGGTTTCCTGCTGATGGAGTTGTCGTCATAGATTCTGTCGTTGAAGGCTGCGCTGTTATCACTGGATTTGCCGGCACTGACGGACTTGTCGTTGGCGACGTCGAAGGCTGAGTAGTTGTTGAAGGGGTACTTGTTCCGGTTGGAGAGCTTGTATCAGTTGGAGACGTCGTTGGAGTATCTGCGAGTACGGGAATACCAGTTGAAGATCCTGCTGACGGCGTAGACGAAGGCTGCGTGGTTGTCACTGGAGATCCAGTCGCCGGAGACGCAGTCGGGTTTCCTGCTGATGGGGTTGTCGAAGGCTGAGCAGTGGGCCCGGTCACAGGAGACGTTGTTGATCCAGTTGATGGGGCCGTCGAAGGCTGCGTGGTTGTTGACGCTGCTGGAGAACTTGTAGCTGTTGGCGCCGTCGTTGGGTCCGCAAGTATGGGAATGCTGGTCGGAGTTCCGGCTGAAGGGCTTGACGACGGCTGTGTGGTCGTCACTGGAGACCCAGTCACCGGCGATGTCGTCGGGGCTGCTGACACTGGCGTTGTCGTCGGATTTCCTGCTGATGGAGTAGTTGAAGGCTGCGTTGTTGATACTGGAGTCGCCGGCACTGACGGACTTGTTGTTGGTGACGTTGAAGGCTGCGTAGCCGTTGATGGAGTACTTGCGGTTGGAGAGCTTGTCGCTGTCGGTGCCGAGGTCGGATCGGCAAGCACCGGTATGTCCGTCGGGGAAATAGTAGCGGTTGGCCCTGTCGTCGCCGGGGTCGACACGGAAGGTGTTGACGTCGTAGCAGGTGCAGTCGTCGCGGTTGGCTGCGTTGCTGGGGCGGTCGTCGGGCTTGTTACAGGCACTGAAGTCACTGGTGTACTGGTCACGGGCGAGGACGTTACTGGAGCTGTTGTTACCGGAGTCGTCGTGGGCGTTGGAGAAACATCAAGTATTGGGATGTTAAACGGATCCTCTGTCGCTGGCGCAGAAGTCACTGGCGAGGAATTCGCAGGCGAGGAGGTCACAGGCGAGGAAGTCGCAGGCGACGAGGTTACAGGCGATGAAGGTTCGGGCGAGGAAGTCACCGGTGCTGAAGGCGTTGGCGCCGTGGTCGCAGGTGTTGAAGTCACTGGTGCGGAAGTCACAGGAGAAGAGGTTACCGGGGCAGAAGTCGCTGGCGAAGAAGGTACTGAAGAAGTGGTCTCAGGTGCCGTGGTTACTGGAGCTGCTGTTGGAGTCTGGGCCGTCGATGTTGGCGTTGGAGTGACATCAAGGATTGGAATATTGAACGGGTCTTCTGTTGCTGGTGCTGAAGTAACAGGGGCAGAAGTCGCCGGTGATGGAGTCGCAGGCGACGAAGTCACCGGCGCCGTGGTCACTGGCGATGAAGTTGCTGGTGAAGAAGTCGGCGACGTCGTGGTCACCGGCGACGAAGTTACGGGTGCAGACGTCGCTGGTGCAGAAGTCACGGGCGATGAAGTCACTGGTGCCGCTGTTATCGGGGCCGATGTCGGCGTTGGAGAGACGTCAAGGATTGGGATATTGAACGGGTCCTCCGTAGCTGGTGCTGAAGTAACAGGGGCAGAAGTCGCCGGCGATGGAGTCGCAGGCGACGAAGTTACTGGTGCTGTCGATGCCGCAGCCTGTGTTGTCGGTGTCGGTGTTGGAGTCACATCAAGGATCGGAATATTGAACGGATCCTCTGTGGCTGGAGCTGAAGTCACAGGCGATGGAGTTGCTGGCGCCTGGGTCGTCGCTGCCGGCGTCGGGGTCACATCAAGGATCGGAATGTTGAACGGGTCCTCTGTCGCCGGTGCAGAAGTCACTGGCGCTGTGGTCGCAGGTGGCGACGTCGTAGCCGGTGCCGTAGTCGGTGGTGCAGTGGTTGCTGGCGCTGTCGTGGGCATCACGGGCTGATACGTGAGAGCGCAGTCCCCCGCGCTCGACGTGCAGCAAATGAGGTTCTGCTGGTTCCAGGCCGAGTAGTCCTCCGAGCAAGTGTTCAAGTCCCAGCAGTACGGCCCTCCCGACCCCTGGTTCGACTGTGCGCAGCACCAGCTACCCCCGCCATTGGAATAGTCGCAGCTGTAGTACGCAGTCTGTGTGGTGAAGGTCGGTGGGGCCACGGTCACGGGCATTTCAAACTGGAGGCGACGCTCGACGTCGGTCGACGAGCTCTGGCGGGCAATCACGTGGACTTGTGTTTGGTCATGAGGGGCGCGGTCACTTTCCAGCTTGGTCGTGGTAAACTCGGAGCAAACGCGGCCCTCCCCATCGTCGCGACTGCACTCGTAGCCTCGGAACTGCCACTTGACCACCGACTGCGACGTATCACTCGGCGACAGACACTGGAGCGAGAAGTACACGCCCAGCCAAGGCAGATCTCGGATGTACAAGTGCTCGCTGATCTGCTTGTACATGCCCACGTGCACTTGACCCGGAACGTTTGACAGGAGGAGATCCACAGCCACGGCATTCAGATCAGCGACGTTGGGCGTCGTCGAGACAGCTCTCTGAACGAGCACTGCCAGCGCTAGAGCGACCTGCATCCATTGCATCGTTAGCCAGAGATCTTACGAGTGGAGTTCGGCGAATGAGCTCTCCCCATAGAGGTGCCGCACCACTGCAGCGCATGTCCCCACAAGTTTTCTTCTACGTCCTGGACTGAAGTGTCGCTTCGTCACTTCACATGGGGGAAAATAGAAAGCGTTCCCAGGAAGTCGGTGCAAGAGTTCAGCGCCCGAGTGAGTAGATGCTTGACGGCAGTCACCGAGCGCGAGTGCTTTTCCGTGGGGGATCGATCACGTACGATAGGTCGTTACGAGCTCGCCGGTGCTGTGGCCTAGAGTATGGAGTGCTGTCGATGGCAACTCGGAAATTACGTTGCACTACCTGCGGCACTGCACAGGCTCGCCTGGACACTCGGGCTGCTTAGTCGCATCAGCACCAACGAGATGATTCTCGCTCGGAGTGAGCGGACACCGCGGTGCTGTTCGCGGAGCGGATCCACCCCTGTCGTGGTATCTCATTAAGTACTTATTAGTAGACAATGCAGCACAGATGCAGCAGCTCTTGTAGCTGTCGGACCCCGTCCTGGAGAACCGAGATCTTCACGGTTGAATTGCTGGTGAGCCTCATAGGTGTGGTGCTTTGGTATCGAGTGAAGACATCGATTGCCGTGGAGGCATTTGCGGAAACGGAACCTGACATGCCGCTGTACCAAGCTAATATGCATCTACCGGTAGCATGAAGACTCACGGGCGCCTCGAAGGACTGGCAAATAGTGGCCTGACGAAGGAGTACGCTGTAAGGAGTCGAAGCCACTTCGGCGCTCATCTGAATGATACATGTATAGCGTGCGTCTGCTGAGGGCTTCCAACAGCAGCGGGCCGCTGCTAGCGGCTCTTCCTGAAATCGTAGCCCAGCGGATTGCGCTTGGATTCCAAGTTGGAAGGGGACTCATAAGGCGGCTGGGGCGACTTCTCACCTCCACGATGGTTTGCCGCGGCCCCGTGCAGCGACTCGCTGCCAGCGAGCAAGCAAGCAGCCTGCAGCACCGCCAGACGCTCGCCGTCGTGGGCCACCGTCGCGCTTCAACTTGGGCGGAGCCTTTCAGTAATCGCCCGGCTTACAGCCGCGCTTGCCCATCCCGCACGCAATCTGACAGCTTGGTCTCCGCCGCGGCAATTGGCTCGACGGTCTCCGAATCAAATCGGTCCATTTGCGAACGTCCACATCGCACCGTGCGGACGTTTTCTGCGCAAACGGCGCGGATCATCATCGCCATGGCCTCACAATCCAATTGTACCGGTGGAAGGCACTCGACCGCTTCAAGCTCCTGACCGCCGCCGCGATGCCCGCCAACTTGTACCAGGTCGAGGACGCGTTCGTGCCGCCGGTGCCGGGCCTCAAGCCTGCGGACGCGCTGGCCGTCGACGTGCTGGACGAGAACGCCAGCGACACGTCCACGGCCTCGCTGGCCCCCACGCCGCTGCACAAGCTGCGCGCCGCGCGCTCCGAGCTCAGCAGCCGCGTCTTCACCCGCGCCGACCGCTTCTGCTCCGGCGCCGACGCCGTGCTGCACGTGGCCGGCCACGTCAGCGCCAACGTCTTCGACTACCCGCTGCTGGCCGCCGCCGACAGCGCGCGCACGCAGGAGGCCAAGCGCAGCGCCCGCGCGCGTGTCGTGACGCTCGAGATCCGCCCCGGAGCCGCCGACGCCGTGCGTGGCGCGCTGGCCGTGGGCGCGTCCTCGGCGGCGCTCATCCCGTCGCAGACGCTGCCGCTGTTCCTGCCCAGCCTCTTCCAGCTGGCGCAGGGCGCGGCCACCTCTGCGCCCGCCGTGTTCCACGTCGCGTGCGAGTCCATCCGCCGCGACATGGCCGTCGCCAGCTCGTACGAGCCTCTGTACGCGCTGCAGCACTCGGGCGCGCTGCTGCTCAACTCGGCGTCGCCTCAGGAGTGCCACGACCTGGCCGTCGTGGCCCACGTGGCGGCCCAGCGCCTGCACAAGCTGCTGGTGCACTTCTACGACGGCGCGCGCGTGGCGCGGGAGCTCGCCAAGGTGGACACTCTGACGGAGGAGTCACTCGAGACGCTCGCTGGGCTCCGTTCTAGTGGCGTGCAGACTGGAGACGTCGTGGAGCAGGTGCAACACGTTATGGACGACCTGTTCCACGTGCTGCAGCGCCAGTACCGCGTGTACGAGTACTTTGGCGCCGACGACGCTGAGTACGTCGTGGTCGTGGTGGGCGAGGCCGCCGCTGCGCTCAAGCAGGCTGCCGCCTATGAGCAGATGATTGGAGGCAAGGTCGGTGTGGTGCAGGTGCGTCTGCTGCTGCCGTGGTCGCACAAGCTTTTCGCGCAGGCTCTCCCCGCTACAGTGAAGCGCATCGTGGCGCTGGAGAACGTGGCGCCCAGCGCGCTAACGTTCCAGCGGGGCCTGCTGACCCAGAACCTGCAGGTCTTCTTCCAGTCGACGTACTGGCGTCCAGCTGTGGAGACCGCCCCCGTGGTGGTGACGGGTGTGTACGGTGGCGTGTTCCGCAACTCGACGTTCTCGGTGGGCATGGGCCGCGCCGTGCTGCGCCACTCGGCGACTTCTTCGTCTCGCCGTGCCTTCGTGGTTGCCAAGAGCGAGGAGCTGTACGACGCTGCCCTGGTGAACGCTGCGTCGGAGAGCAGCCAGGCCACGAAGTTCGACGTGGTGCTCGGCGAGTCGCTGGAGCTTGAGGGATCCGCCGCATACACCAAGCAGTTCCTGTTCTATGGCTTCGATGATGTTGACGCTGACGGTGCTCGCGCTGGTACTGAGACCAGCACGGTGTTCGAGTCTACGCTGGATCTGCTGAACAAGAATCCGGCTACCCGCGTGAACGCCGTGGTGACCCACAGTGCTGGCGAAGAGGCTGCCGTGCGCCCGGTGTCTACTCTGGAGGTGCGCGTTGCTCTGGACGGTGGCAACGGCCCGGCAACGTCGGAGCCTGTCGAGGAGGCGGATGTGGTCGTGGTGACCCGCCGCGAGGTTCTTGCGCACTACGACGTGGCTCGTAGCGTGAAGCAGGGAGGCAAGCTCCTGGTGCTGGCAGGCTGGAAGACGTCCGACGATGTGGACGAGCGCGCGGCGTTCAAGCAGCAGGTGGCTTCGCGCGACATTCAGCTTTTGGTGGTGGACGCTGTTGAGCTGACCACTCGCGTGGAGGACGACGATGTTGCTGCTGTGGGTCTGCAGACGGCCTTCTTCAAGGCTTCGGGCCTGTACGATGAGAGCGTGGTGCTGGCTCTGTTGGAGGCGCAGTTCCCCGCGGAGAAGCACTCAGCGCTGCGTTCGTTCGTGTCTGCCGTGTGGGGCGACGTGCTGGCGCTCACGTACCCGTCGAACGAGTGGCTGTCTGCAACCGATGTGGACGAGCAGTTAGCTGCGCAGCCCCTGACGGCGTTCTCCAGCGTGGCGACGAGCAAGGTTTCGTTCGCCAGCAGTGCCGAGTCGGCGAGCGCTGCCGCGAAGGCCGCTGGCAAGCGCCGCTCGTACGCGGAGGTGTCGCGTGATACGAAGACTGCGTGGCAGCTGATGTTCCCGAGCGCGTTCGGGGCTCGCCACGGTGTGCGCGACCACGTGACGGATCTGGTGACGGTTACCAAGTGGGAGCGTCTGACGCCGGAGGACTACTCGCGCAACGTGTTCCACATCGAGATGGACACGACGAACACGGCGATCAAGTACCGCATCGGAGAGGCGCTGGCTGTGTTCTCCCACAACGATGAGAAGGATGTTGTGAAGTTCCTGCAGTCGTACAACGTGGAGCCGGAGGCGCTGGTGGCGCTGCCTGTGGCTCACAAGAAGAAGAAGGGCGAGGCCACGTCGGGCCCGAGCGAGGAGACGTTGACGTACTTCCAGCTCTTCTCTCACGTGCTGGACATCTTCGGCCGTCCGTCCAAGAAGTTCTACCAGGCTCTGTTGGAGCGCGCCACGGACGAGAAGGAGAATACGACGCTGGCGGCGCTGCTGGAAGCCGACGGTAAGGACGAGTACAAGCGACGTGTGGATGAGACAGTGACGTTCGCGGAGCTGCTCGAGGAGTTCCCGTCGGCCCGCCCGACTCTGGCTGATTTGCTGACCCTGGTGCCGCGCATCAAGCCGCGTCACTACTCGATTGCGTCGAGCATGAAGATGAACCCGACGAGTGTGCACCTGCTGATCGTGGTGCACGACTGGACCACCCCGAGCGGCAAGTACCGCATCGGTCAGGCGACTCGCTTCCTGTCCGGCGTCAAGGTTGGCCAGAAGCTGTCGGTGTCGGTGTGCTCATCGGTAATGAAGCTGCCGGTGAACCCGGAGGACCCGATCGTTATGGCTGGTCTGGGCACGGGTATGGCTCCGTTCCGCGCGTTCATTCAGGAGCGCGCGTTCCTGCGCTCGCAGGGTGTAAAGGTCGGTCCGGTGGCGCTGTACTTCGGCAGTCGCCACAAGGCCAAGGAGTACCTGTACGGCGACGAGTTGGACGCATACGAGGCCGATGGTCTGGTGACGTACTTGCGCTGCGCGTTCTCGCGCGACCAGGAGCACAAGGTGTACATCCAGGACAAGATCGCGGAGGACAAGGAGATCCTGGCGGACTTGCTGCTGCGCCAGAACGGCCACTTCTACCTGTGCGGTCCGACGTGGCCCGTGGCGGATGTCCGCGAAGCGTTGGTGAGCTCGTTCATGCAGGAGGGCGGTCTCGACCGTCGCCAGGCGAATGCTACGATTGAGCGTATGCGTGAGGAGGGCCGCTACGTACTGGAAGTGTACTAAGTGCAGCAGGGCAATTGCTGTAATTGGGCAGAAGCAGATCTTCTGAAGAGTACAAATGACATGTTTGCTTTTGACCTAGCACTCGTAACTGAAGGTGTTCTTACCAACGGAAAGACAGGAGAGTTTCGAGTGAATCCGGGGAACCATTTTCAAAACCCTAATTGTACACTCGAGACGTCAAATTCTCTAAGTTAGGCACGGCACACCAAGAACACCAGCGCAAAACCGACTTCACCTCCTTCCTACCCTGCTCTCGTGTCCCTCTCTCGAACACGATGAGTGTGATCCTGGATATGCTGGTTCCTACGATCGTTGACACGTTCTCGACCATTTTCGAGCTTTGTGCTGAGATGGAAGAAAGCCTGCAAGCGACTTTATCATCGACTGAAGGACATTTTTGACGAGCTCGTGAAAATGAAGAGCAATGGGCAACTCCCGTCGAACGACGCACTCGACAAGTACAAGGCTGTAGCGACGAAGTACCTCCAGTACTTGGTGCACTATCGCAATCAAGGTCTGATCACTCGTGTGGTCAAGCACCAAGCGATGATGGACGAGTTGCATCTGATCAACGAAGACATCGACATGCTGTTCAAGATGCTCAGCCTCGTCAGTACGGCTGCCATGATGGAGTGGAAGGAGTGGGAAAGCGACCAGCGTGTGCAAAGGGAAATGCTCACGTCCTCGGTGAAAAACACCGCGGTCGTTATGGGCGAGCTCAAAACCCCCCAGGCTCAACAAGAAGCGATCCTGACGCTCAAATTTAAGACACTTAGAAACAATCGGAGCAGAGCAAAGAGATGTCGCAGGTGATGAAGTCGGCCATGACGACGGTGATTCGAGCCTCTGCTGTGACGGTCGAAAAGCTGCCACCGTGGTTTCTGCCATCAAGCGAGCTGAAGATTGACGCGGGACCTTTTGCTCGAGGACCGTTTGGGTCCGTTCACTGTGGTGTGTGGGGACCCGGCACCAAAGTGGTGGTGAAGTGTTTTCCGGTGGAGAATATTGTCGCTGATGAGCGTGCTAAGCAGACAATTGAAGCAGAAATGAATCTGTGGTACCAGTTCAACCACCCCAATGTCGTCAAGATGTTTGGAGCCTCGCACGTTAGTTCACCGCCTTTCATCGTGTGTGAAGATGCCACTAACGGAGACCTCAGCGCGTTCCTCGGTCAATCTGAGGACAACAAACGACGAATGTGGAGACTGTTGTACGAGGCTGCGCTTGGGCTGGATTACCTTCATAAGAAGAGTGTTGTGCACGGCGATCTTAAGCTCAACAACATTCTTGTGGGAGCAGACGGCCAGGCAAAGCTGTCCGATTTCGGAATGAATGCAGTGAAATCATCCTCCGTAGCGATATCCAAGACAGAAGGAGCGGAATCCTACACGTTAGCTGGATTGCGTTGGCGGGCTCCGGAATGCCTGACTAAACGACCGACGTTTGCTTCGGACGTGTATTCGTTCGCCATGTGCATCATTGAAGCGGTACAGGACGAGCTACCTTTCGAATTTCTTGACGACCCAACTATTTACGAGAAAGTCAAGAACGGTGTCATCCCCGACCGTGGAAAAAGTTGAGAATACTTGCCGGGACTGACGATGTTTCCAATGACGCTGCTTTAGATACCTCTGGAATCCCAATCTACATCGATGTCTCTCAAACTGACATGCCCCCACCCCCCGCCTCGAAAACAGAAAACGATTTTTCAATAACCAGCTCGGTAGCGGATCTGTTGGCAGAAATTGCAAGTGAAAACACCAGTAAGTTCTGTTCTTCCTCGCTCAGAAGTGTGCAGACGACGAACAACGTACGAAGCCAATGGTGTCCAGCTTCTTACGAGTTCGGTGCGGAGTGGGCTAACCTACCTTAGCAAAGTCTATGCCTTGGAATGTCTTCGGTGGGCGGCTGGTATCGAAAATAAGTTGTCTTTAGTGGATGTGAAATCGATGAAGGAGTGGGTCCAAGATATCCCTGGGCATCTAGTCGCGCTGGCATTGCACGCTTTACAACATGGCACTGATGGCGACAAGCTAGAAGCTGTGGTACGCTGTGCAAGCATCGCTACAATAGATAAAGATGCTGTGAAACTTCGCAAGGCTGGCATAGTGGCACCTTTAGTTACTTTGCTACGAGATGGAAGTGATATGCACAAGTTGTGGGCAGCCGAAGCGTTGAAGAACCTTTGTTGTGACGAAGCAATTCGAGCTGAGATGGTGGAAAAGCAGGCAATAGGACCGCTGACGGCACTTCTGCGCGTTGGAACTGACGAGCAGAAACATCGTGCCGCGTTAGCGTTGGGGAATCTTGCTGCCAACCACGACGCAGCAAGGGAGATTGGGCACAAGCATGCTATCGACCCACTTGCTGCGCTAGTAAAGATCGGAACGCAGATTCAAAAACGATGTGCAGCGTTTGCACTTGGGAATTTGGCACTCGATGATGCAAACCGAGTTGAGATGGTTCGCGCATGCACAATCCCCCCGCTGGTTGCGCTTCTGCAAACGGAAATCAAGTTGGATAAACAACACGCGGCGAATGCTCTAGCAAATCTGGCAATTGATGTTCCCAACCATGTTCTGATAGTTCGCGCAGGAGCCATAGGACCTCTAGTCGTGCTTCTGCATACTGGAAACAAAATGGCAAAACAATTCCCGGCGAATGCTCTAGCAAATCTGGCACTTGATGCCTCCAACCGTGTCATGATGGTGCGCGCAGGAGCCATAGGACCTCTAGTCGCGCTTCTGCAAACTGGAGACGAAATGGCAAAGGAATACGCGGCGATGGGACTAGCAAAATTCTGATGTGATGCGTTAAGCCGTGTTGAATTGTTGCGCGCGGGAGCGGTTGAATCTCTGAGGGTGCTAGCTCAAACCGGAACCGCTCAGCAAAGGTTTTACGCATAAAAAGCTCTCAACACTTTGCCAGGTGAAGGTTGCTGCACGCTGTTGTAAATCAACACATGGAGCAAACAGTAGATCACAATAAATCAACTAATACCGTCACAACTGCTTATTACTTTCGTCACTTGACGTGGTGGAGTGGTCGCTCAGGCCCGTGACCGTGCACCATCAGCGTGTTGCCTGGGTGGTAAAATTGAACTGAAACAGCCTCGAGATGCTACAAAGGATAAGCGAATTGAAGTCAGATTCGGGGCTGAACAAGACATGATACTTCTCGTACCTTTGGAAGTCTCTCCAACCAATCTTGTCGGTGAGAATTATGTTTGCGCTCCTGTCGAATGATATGCCGATACCGCTCAAAGCCGTAGACACTCTTTTCGCGTCCCAACAGCTCGCCCTCCTCGTAAATATCGTCAAACCCACTCTCCATTTCCCCTTCTTGCTCACCCGCAGCGGTCTCAAACAACTCTAGAGCGTCCCTCCACGAAAGAAGACCAGTTGATCCCGACCCATTTCCACCATCGTCGTCACTCTCACTGTCCGAAAGACTCGGAACATCTTTGGTTCTGCTTGTTAGAGAGGGCATCGTCGTGGTTGTGACGCCCCAGACATCCCCGAAAATCGATCGATCTGCTGCGTTTGACGATTCTGGGAATATCGACTCGACTTGCTTCTTGTCGGCCGAACCAACGAACACGTTCGACACACAAAGCCCAGCTTGCTCGTGATATTCCACGACGCTTTGGAGTCCAATCTGAGAACTCTGCCAAGCCGAAAAGCTTGAAGGAAGTGAGCGGAATACGCGCTGTGGCCGCAACACATAACTGGTTTCGGTCTCGCGTGGCCCTTGTAACTCCATTAGAGATCGCACGCTTGCCTGAGGGCGCAGAAATCGGTCGGGAGGTAATATTTCCAGCAGTGACGGCATGGGATCAGAAGGCGCTGGTTTGCTGGTGGAACTTTCCCCGGGTGGACGATTCGCCTCAGCAGCTGAAGCTTGCAGTAGCGAGGTAACTACATCGCACTCCCCCGCGGCACCCTGACGAAGCGCGCGACATTGTTCCAGGGACACGTATGTCGGAAGTGCAGGTAGGATCAGTGGCTCGTGACCCATCAAAAGGGCTTCGTTGCGAGACTTGAGTTCCATGAACGTGAAAGAGTTAAACTTGAGCTCCCAATCCGCTGGTAAAGCGATACTGTCGCGGTGCTTCTGCGTTGTACTTTCCTCAATCATCGGAAAACTGGACAAGTAATACTGACGGGTTCCAGCACTCGACACTGAATCAAGACTTCCCTGGTCTGGGTTCTGTGGCTCAGCATCGTCAGGGGCATCGCGCATTATTCCTTTGTCGATATCTCCACCGCCAGCTTGAGCATTTGATTGCCAGTCAAGAGCAACCTTTTCTCGGACATGCGCGCGAGTCTTGGCCCCACCGAGCCATGCACGAATGCGGTTGAGCCGCTTCTGGGCTCGAAAACGTGTAATGCACGTCGACACAGCACGAACCAGACGTCGAAGTAGACGCTGACGCCGAGCCCACAAATCGTTCTTGTACTGCTTGAAATCTGGCGCGTAAGCTGGAACAAAATGTACTGGCAGTACTGCCGTCTTAAGCTCACCCGGCAAAAGAGGCTCGCTTCTATCGCTTTGGTGGTTCTGGTTGTCAGACACGACCGGTGGCTCGTAGCGCACACTCAGAAACATTGATCGAAGCTGGTCTCGCTGCTGACTAGCCAATGCCTGGGAGTTTAACTCGCGAAGCTGTGCCAGACGTACAATCTGTTCGTGTGAGAACAACCGCTGGCCAAGATGCACTTTGTGGCTTTGAAATTCGAGTGCCTTCTCAGCTCCCGCCACCTCCGTCACTTCTTGCTGAAAGAACATGTCCTTGACCTGCTTGCTCACCCTCTCCAGAAATCCTTCTTCCTCACGCACAAGAGTTTGAAAGCTTAGCGTTGCGGCGCCTTCTTCTTCATCTCCGCGATCGCTCCCCGCCAGCTTTGCCTGTTCCTCTCGCTGTTGCTGTCGCAGTGCTCGGTTAGCTGTAATGGCCTTCTTCAGGTCCTTGGGCCTGAGCTTCCCCGGCTCTTGGTTCAGGACGAATGTCACGCCCGTGACACAGTTTAGGTCGTCGGGGATTTCGACACCGCGCACTCTTTCGAGTTCCTCTTCTTCATCAGCATCGTCATACTGAGGCTCCCCCATAGATCTCCTCTCGCTAGACTTGGCCCCACTACGAGGAGTGGTGGCCTTGCTTGCTTTCTGCTGTGTGTCGGTCCCGCGGCGTGGCTTGCTTTCTGCTGAAGGCGGTGCAGGCGAGCTAGCTTTCTGCTCCGCAACCGCAATGCTCGAGCCTGTGTTGACGGCTGTGCTCGAGGATGAACCAGCAAGAGTACACACTCGAGGAACGAACCCCAGTTGCGAGACGTGCAGTTCCAGCTCGGCACTTGCCGTCGCATACAGCAGTGGCCGGAACTCGAGTTCGATACGCGCCTCGCCTCTTGGCGGAATTGTGCCTGTCAGCGGGAACACCGTAAACGCTGGATGGGGCCTCGTGACGCGCAGCTCGTACTCGAACTCAACCGGCACAGAACACGTGATGTTCACGTACTTCCGGGCACAGGTGCCGCGCGCGACGACACCGAAGTCCATCCGTGTTGGAAACGCTACCTCGTTCACCATGGGGTACGCGTGCAGCGGGATGAGCGTGGCGCCGCTGCGAGCCACGCCCGTGCTCGATCCGTAAGCCACTTCTTCGCAGCGCACCTGGATGCAGTCGTAGTAGTACTGGAAGCCGGCGGGCGGGGTGAAGGACACGAGAATCTCCTCCGATAGTCCGGCCGACACGAACGACGGTCGCTCTGCACTGGCGAAGGTCGCTCGGAACCCCTTCTTGCCCGTCGGGAACGTGTAGCGCAGTCGAACTGCCTTGGCACTGTTGTTGTGTACGCGGACGCGCTGCTGCACCGGGCGCTCGAGCTCAAAGCCGCCGAAGTGGACGCTGGCAGGCTGCGCGTACAGCATCTCGTCCGTTGTGGTGGTCATGGGTCTGCGAGTTCGAGGCGAGGCCACGGGCGATAGCGACGCAGTGGACGGAGACGAGGGCGAGCGCGGGTACATGGGGGACGAAGTAGGGCTCTGCTCGGCGCTGTGCTTCGCCTCGGCCTTCTTCACGGCTCCGGCGGCGATCCGCGATGGCATTGCTGCGACCCTTGAAGATCGCGGGACGCGCAGCCCTAGCCGCTATTTCGAGAGCGACATACAGTATTGGTGCAAGTGTAGACGAATACTGTACTGAACCCCTCGTCGTCTTATCTCGTCCGGAATCCGGTTAATCCCTGGGCGCGCGGCGAGATCGGGCCGTCGTTGGCTCGACCGCCCAGCGCGACAACGAGCGTGGCTTGGACCGCGCTTCATGGCGTTGACCCGCCTGGTTTCCGGCAAGAGACGATTGAACCCACGCCATACAGTGGGCCATACAAAACCCAAGTGAACCCGGCGGCCTTTTCGCTAGGTACAACCTCCGGAAACGTATAAACATTACCGTGGTCAGCGACTGGCGACTCAAATTGTTTGTGAAACCACCTGCTATATCGTGTTTACCTCCACTTGGCGATTCAAATATCGGTACCGCGAGGATTCTCAAAAAAATAGAGACGGTCAGAGACCGGGGCCCATAGTTGCCATTAACGCGCTGTCGCGGCCGGCGTACTCTCGCGCTCCCTGCCCGACGAAGGTCCGCCCTCTCACTGAGCGATCGCCCCCAGCAGCAGCGCCATGATGTCCTCGACGGCGTCCGACCGCTTCGGCGCCGTGGAGCTGACGCCGCGCCACGACGAGCCGCTGTTGGTGCCCGGCTCGGCCGCGCTGGACGCCATGGCGGCGCCCTGCGTCGTGTCCCTGCGCGTGGTGGCGGCCGAGGAGCTGCGGCCCATGCACAAGGGTATCACCAGCAACGCCATGGTGGAGGTCTCGCTCGTGCACGACGACGGCTCGCGCCAGTTCCAGCGCAGCGCCGGCTGGGCCATGGGCGACCTCAAGGCGCCGCCGGGCATGCAGCAGCAGCAGCGCAGCCACAGGAACAGCACGTCGTCGCTGCCGGCGGGAGGCCAGCATCACCACCGCCAGCAGCACCACGGGATGACCACCAAGCCGTTCAAGTCCAAGGTGGTCAAGACGTCGCTCAACCCCATCTGGAACTTCGACGTGGACTTCGGAGACGTGGATACGGACATCGTCGTGGGCGTGCTCTTCACCGTGCGGCACGTCGAGAGGTTCGGCATGGTCAAGAAGGACATCGGCCAGCTGATGCTGTCGCTGCGAGATATTATGGAGCTCAAAATGGTGAGTGGTAGAGCGTCGACAGGCAGTGAAAGATGAAAGAAGGCAGCGCGTGACTGACTGACTAACTTCTATTGTGTATCGTGTGCAGCAACCCCCGCACGAGCAGACGTTCACCCTGCAGCCGACGGACGATATGGTGCGGAGAGAGGCCCTCGAAGGCCCGAGCAACCGCAAGTCCGGCAAGCTCACGGTGCGCTTCAACGGCTACGGCGTGCCGTCCAGCTACACCGTCATGACGGACGGGCGCGTGTCCAACATGGTGAACACGGTCGTGGCACACGAGGACGAGTTTGGGCGCAGCTCCAGGTCCCTAGTGGTGCACGACATCCGGGCGGAGGTGCGCAAACTGCAGAGTTTCCATCAGACGAAGCCCCGGCCTGGCGAGACGTGGTTCGCAGTGAGCGCGGACTGGATCCGCGCCTGGCTGCTGTTTGTCTCCAAGTACAAGGGCGAAGAGGTCCATAGTCCCGGCACTGTGGACAACATGCCTTTGATATCGGATGACCTCATGGACGGCACGTTCCAGATCAAGACCGGCCTCGTCATCAAGAAGGATTTCCGCATGATCAACAAAAAGAGCTGGGACTATTACCAGAACGTCTACGGTGGAGGCCCCGCCATTGAGGTGCAGATCCCGAGTAACTGCGCCGAGCCGGCGGAGTGGATTGCGAATCTTCAACTCGACGTTGCCGGCCGTGTTAATTCCAACTATGTCGATTCCGACTGAGCTTGTGCTCTGTCACAAGTCCGTTCTCTCGTCCAGACAAGTCTGTCATGTACTACAGCAACACGCTCGTCTATTTAATCACATGGCACGATATGCACACACACTGGAATTTTCTCTTTCCGTTTCCTATCTACACGAGGATAGGGGCAAACTCTTCTTGGTCGTTGTTGGCCTTGCTGGGGCTGCTTGCATCCGGAGTGTCCTCTGGTTCTTTACTCTTGGTCTCGCTGGTAGGAGTGCTCTCTGGCTTTTCAGCGTCGTTAGCTTCATCGGCAATGAGTGTAGCTGCGTTTTCAGCCTTGGTAGTCTGAGACGGGGGCACCGGTCGAAGATGCAGCTCAACAGCTCGCGAGGGGCGGCGCCTAACGAGCTCCTTCTCGATCTCGCCGTCCACGTCCAGCTCTAGGTCGCTCAAATCATCTTCGCTCGGCGCCGTCTTGCTGCTGTCTGATGAGCTAGAACGACCGCCCACCAAGAAACCACGGCGCGACTTGCCTGAGTTGACAGAAGAGCGCTTCTTGGTGCCACCAAACAGACCACGTCGAAGCCTGGCCAATCGACCAGTTGGCATGGGCGTCGCTTCCACCTCCGGTAAGTAAGACGGCAATCCTTCCGCCATGCGAACAGCATTGCAACGCAAGAAATAGTTGCGCCAGAACAGTTCCTCGGTGACCACAGGAACCGGCACAGACTCCACCAGCGTCTCTCTCTTCTCGCGCAAGTTCGGGTTGCTCAGCAGCAGCTCCCGCGCCACGTCCTTGAGCATAGCATACTCGAATACATATTCTTCCTCACCGTCCGCAGGCTCGACGAACGTCCGTCGATAAATCGCGAGCTCCAAAATTTTCTCCTTCACTGCGAGGTTCACCCTCGTCTCACCGTCGTCGGTGCGGACTTCCCACGGAAACAAAGGTGGCAGCTCCTTCTCCAGCTCCTGCTCCTGTTCGTCCTTGTTCTCCTCCTCCTTCTTATCATCCTTCTCCATCAAGTCCTTCTCCATCAAGTCCTTCTCCTCCGCTTGCTGCTGCTTGTCCGGAACCGACTCGGCTTCAGGCACCTCGGCCTCGGGCTCCGGCTGCTCGTCGACCTGTGACATGGGCGAGAGCTCGTCCTCCGCTCGAGTGGTTGGGATCGTCTTGAGCTTCGGCTTCCGGCCGCGACTGGTGCTGCGCGTCAGGACGGTAGCGATGCCATGCGCCTTGTTGGCCACAGTCCCAACCATCATTTGTAGATCTGGTTACGCGGAGAAAAACACAAAACACGTCAGCGCTGCGATGTGGCGGTGGCGGGAGGATGTGCTGCCGCCGCACTGGGTGGCGCGGGGCAGCTAAATGGGGACGTACTGGCGGCGCTGTGGCGCATACCGATCTCGCTCGCCCGCACGGCCGACATGCCGATCTCGCTCATACGCGCCGCCATCGTCTTGTTACGCCCGGGAGAGTGGCTGCAGGAAGGAGACTGCGTGGCAGCCGCTGCTCTTCGTGCAGACGCTCGCGGAGTTACGCACAGGGCCAGATGGGAAAGCAAGGCGGGCGCTGCCGCGACAAACGGAAATGTCGCCTCTACGGGTACACTGTACCCTTGGTGTTCTCGATACTGTTGAGAACTACTTGTACGCCGCAAACTGCACCCTTGAGGACGACCTTGCCGCCCTCCTTGCATCTTCACTCAGCGCGCTTGATCGGAAGCTCTAGCATTTGGCATGCGTGAAGAACTGTAGATCTAGCGCCCTGCAAATTACATGCAGCAAACCTCGGCTCGGCCTAAGATCTGCTGCTGCCAGCTATTAATACCCTCGTGGCACGAGGGTGTGGTGGATCCACGACTCGTAGCTCAGCGCCTCCGCCATGCCATCCGCAGCCCTAGTTCCCCCTCTTCGGCAACACGATCGTCTTGGCGTCGGCGGTTAAAATCGTTTCGCTGCTTCGTGCTCCTGGAGCTCCTTGTGCACACAGCCTGAACTGCTTCACTCGACATCTTGGTATGCTGGGTCGCGCGTCGTCGTCGTCTAAATACAGAGCTCCACTTCCATGCATGTCATTAAGTTAGCGTACGTGCCTGCAAGGGCTCGGAGGCATGGCATGGTACACAAGCTCCATCCTTGTCGGCTCTCAATCCGAGAGAACACTGTTGGTACTTGAAGTTTTCGCTCACAAGTCACATGTGAGTCACCCATACGAGAACCAAGTAAAAAAGTGTACCCATTGAACCTGACTGACGGTCAAGCATGGCCTGAGACCTTCGATTTTCGCCGCGACCAGTCTCCGTTTAACCCCTTTAACAGCCCTCTTCTCTCACTGCCACAAATATGGCGCGCTTCCTGCAAGTTCTCGCTGCGTCGGCGGCGCTCTCGTCCGCTGTGGTCGCTCTCGGGACGAGTACGTACGCGCACTGTGTTGCTCACCGACGTCTCCGTGGATACTTACTAACTGAGCCCTTTCCTCCCGCTGCCCCGCAGACTACGACCACGACGGCAAGACGACGTACTGCTGGTCTATCGACGAGCCCGCGTCCAACTCGAAGCTGAGCGAGCTGGACCGCACCCAGGAGTATTCGGGCGCCGACGGCTGCCCCATCGCCATGACCGTATCGCTGGACGCCACCAGCGTCGAGGTCAACACGCCCGTGAACGTTACCTGGACGGTCGACGCTGACTTCAGCGGGGAGAACCTAGTGAACATGACGAAGCTCGCCTACGGCGAGGATTCCAGCGGTCGCACGGCACAGATCGTGCACTCGAACGTGCACTCGTGCGTGTACCTGTCGGGCTGCGACCCATTCAACGACGGCAAGCAGCTCGAGGACAAGACCTCGAACCAGATCGCCAACCTTACTGACAATGCGGCCGACTTCGAAGACGCGGTGCAGTTCAGCACCGCTGGGGCGTACTCCGTGCTCGCTCACATTATCATGCCCGACACCAACTCGTCAAGGCAATTCGCCTACGCCGTGTACATTGAGCTCACTGTGACCGAAGCCACAGAAGCAGACACGACGGAGGCCCCAGCCGCAACCACCACCGAGAGCAGCGGCGGCATCTCACAAGCGGCGCTCATTGGGATCATTGTGGGCGGCGTTGTGGTGGTCGTAGCGCTGGTGGTAGTTGCCGTGGTGGTGTGGCGCCGGCAGGGCAGCAACGTGAACGACATGAGCAACTACAGTTACCCTCCACCACCGCCGTACGATGCAGCATCGGAACTGTACTCGCTGAACGCCAAGGACAACACAGCTGGATCGGAGGCTGGCACCGCGCGCGTGACGGGGTCGTGGAGTATTCCTGCGAACAGCCTCCCAGCCCGGAGCCTGGATGGCACCAACGGCTCCAATGGATCTCGTAGTTCGCACCCAGCTTCGGAAGGATACTTGTCATATGGAGGGGGTTACCGTCCAGTGGATACAGAAGCCCCGCGGCCGAGGCGAGTGGATAGCGACGTGGAGCTGTAAGCGTTCGCTCTAGTCTGGGCAGTAAGGTTTTTGCATTCTACCAATATGAGTGTTTACATTCACGATTCTCACAACGACAAATGGGCGTCGTTGTGGTTCTTGTCTGTGAATCGTCAAACCGCAGGAAGAGGTGTGGAATGACAGTTAAGTTGGAAAAGTACTACATCGTCGTTTTGTGATCACGTTGGCCGTCATCTATTGATCCGTCGTCGATAGTGCAATGCGCATGTACTCGCCTGTGAACGGCTTCAGAATGCAAGTTGAAGTTATCACGTTTGCAGGGGTCAATTTTGCCTCTCATTGCGTTCAACGACGCACTTGAGAGATACGCGCACAGGGCTGTTGGCGTCCGATAAAAGAGAGCAGTACTAGAGTACGCAACTATGCCTTCTGATCTGCTTTGAGTTTGCTCCAATTTATCTTCGACCTCTTAGAGTGAGCGCTAGCGGGGGAGTACCATGTGCAGATGCATTGGGCGCCTTCCAAAACCCTCACCACAGGTCGCGCATAAAAGTTTAATCCCGGAGAATTGTTTGATGAGACCACTTTTTGGTCTCGACTCTTAACTAGCAACGTTATTAAACAGGTGACTGAACTCCACTATACTCGAAGGTCGCGTTCCAGCAACCGTTTTGGGGCGGATTAAACGCTTCGGTAATTTAAAATAAATTACGGATTAAACTGATCAAACGGTTTTATATGGGTTTTGGAAGGCGCCCATTGAGAAACACTGCGCGAAAAGATTGCAGCCTCAAGGGGAGCTTTAGAAAGATGGATGGATGTTTGTGAACTGCACATGCATCCAGAACTTGTACTGCCACTAGCAGCATCAGAGGGCGAGTCGCACCGCAAGACAGTAAAATTGGCGTTTCAGGCAACAAAATGTTAGAGAGACCCGATCCGACATGCTGCTGCAGATTCATTTTTTAAAAATGGGAATGCCACACAGCGCAACGCGCTGGTGTCCCAGCCTCGAGAGCTGCGAAAGCTGTGCCTCGGCACAGCAAAGCGCATTGCGCGCCGAACTTGTGGTTCTACAATTTCGGCACGCCGATCCGCGTACCGGTCCTGGCCACTGACGTCTTTGATTTGCGACGATCCGGCTTGCCCTATTGCAGGAAGACCTGCCACTGGCGCTGGCAGTGCCAGGGGACCTGCAAAGTTTGCACTGCGAGCCAATTCAACTTCCAACCTGGGCCGCCCCTTTTGTGGTTCGCTGCGACAACATCGTCCGCCCCCGCCAAAAACTTCAGCCTTGAACCAGCTTTCGTGCATCCTGCCAGCGTGTGTCGTTGTACACGTGCATGCATAGCTTTTACTTCGTACAGCCCGTCATAGCGTTGCATCGCCAAAGCCACGAGCAGAGAGCTTTCGTCGCAGCAAACAGCGACGAATGCATCTTTCAGTGGAGACCACACCGAGCCGATTATCGTGCGAGCAAAGTCGCCCAGTGTTGCCGTGGCTGCCACCAGATGGTGATCATCCATGTGTAACTCGCTCGACGCACTCCAGTTCTTATGAAAATTTCCAGCCAATCGCTGACTTATAACTTACTTAATTTCGTATTATTCTATTTTTCTTGCTGCGCCATTGGCGGAAATCGCGCAGCTGACTATAAAGCCGGACCGGCAGGAGTGCACTCAGCGCGCATAGTCGAACTTGGACTCTAGGTGTAGAGGAGCTTGCCGGCCTGCCGATCGAGCGACAGAGCGCAAGTCAGTCGCACAGAAGCGGAAGCAAAGCGCAGGCTAGAGAGTCTCCAGTGGAGACTGCAGATAGGCGGCGCCAACCAGATCCCAATCGGTCTCCGAAGCGGAGGAAGTGCGTCGGACACCATCACACGCAGAAATTCTGCCAGAACACATGCAGGAGCGGGGTAGACATCGACAGCAACATATAACAATGACGGAGGCGTGCAGGTGCCACTGCGGGGCGAAGGACAAGAGCAGGAGAGTCAACAGGATGAGTCGTCGCTCGACCGCGTGGCTGCCCCTTGTGGTGACCTTAGTGCTGGCAAATGTTTCCGCCGCGACGTCGGCGGCCTCGTCCTCGTCCTCGTCGGACTACGTTATGGACGGTGCCACCACGTACTGCTGGGAGGTGGACACCTCCATCTACTCGAACACGGTGGATGGCTCCTCGGTGAAAATGGTGAGCGCGCAGGGCGACGGATGCCCACTGGCGCTCTCCATGGCGCCCCCTACGGACGACGTGTACGCGTACGACTCGGTGGACATCTCGTGGAACGCGACGGAGCGCTTGGCATCGAACGGCTCCCTTGAGAGCAACAGTTTCGGCCTCGCGGAGCTGGTTGGTGGACTGGACCGCATCTCGCAAAACTACTACCAGATCACGGCCTCGAGACTGCGGACGTGCGTCTACGGCGCGGACTGCAACCCTGTGACGACGGGATCACAGCTGACGGAGAACACGACGAACATCCCGCTGAACTTCACGAACGGCTTGGCTGCATTCGACTCGTCCGAGCTGTCGTTTAGCCAGCCGGGAAACTACACTCTGTTGGCACACTTGATCCTTCCGAGCAGCACCCCGACTTCCAAGCGTTACGACTACGCCGTGTTCCTCAAGGTACAGGTCCTCTCGCGGAGCAGCGCCGCTGTCGCCGACACCACCGCCACACCCTACTCCGAGACGACGGGTACAAGCAGCAGCAGCTCAGGTGTATCGACGGAAGTCATCTGTGTGCTCATCATCAGCGGCATCGTCGCGGTGGCCCTGGTCGTCATCGGTTTTGTGACACTGCGCGCCAAAATCGACCGTAACCCTGAGGCAAATGGTAGCAGCAACAAGCGCAGCAACAAAAAGGGCCGTGGCATGTTTGGCTTTTCAAGCACCGGCATGAATTCGGCCGGCGGGGTACATGTCGTGAGTGACGGAGAGGCCGAGGAGTTTGCCATGCTCAGCATGCATGAAGCCACGATGCGCCAGAAGCGAAACAGTACGTTCCTCAGCGCTCTTTCCCGTGGTCGACGACGCAGCGATGCCGCCGCACCTCAGCACAGGAGCGGCAGCCCGCTGCAGTTTGCCGGACCGATGGTCAGCCAAAGCGTGGATCGCAAGGCCGCCCTCTCTATCGACGAAAGCTTCAGCGGTGGAGATATCACTCCGCAGAGTGTCACGATTGAAACCCCTGTTACTGGCCGTGGCAACTACACGGGCCTCGACAACACGCCGAAGGTGAAGGTGTTCGCACCCCCGGGCCAGATCATGTTCAACGACATCATGGAGGATGAGGTGGACTCGGGTCGACGATCGGGAGGTGTCATCGCTGCGGCACGCCGACCCAACTTCGAGGACAGCACCATGTCAGACGTGACGGACCTGAACCTTACTGCAGTGTCTGAGCGCATCAAGCAGCACCGCGCTAACGCGGAGCAGGAGGCTGCTGCTGCTGTCCATATGAAGCAGGATGTGCTGACTGCGGACGACCTACGGGGTTCCGAGGCTGGCCCCCTTGCACTGAGCGACCTTCTCGCTTCACGCGTGCGGAAGTAATTCCAAGCGGACCGTGGGGTTGTTGGTTGCACAGATTATTTTGACCAGGACGAGCTTCAGCAGGCAATCCTTCGTCTCGAACGTGCGTATCGGGTGGGTAAAGCCTCCTCGTCAGTGGATTTATTTTTCCTAGGAAGGAAACAAACTCAGGATAGCAACGCGCAGCACCAGAGAGCGCGTACACTCACACATGAGCTAAAGGTTAATATATCCAGACGCTGTGAATACCTATCTGTCTGCTTTGAAGGCGTCTAGCGTGCACTTTGCACTCAAATCGAATGTTACGGTACTGCGAGTTACGTTTCATGAAAAATACGTGGGCCACACAAGTAACCCCGTCGGATAACCGTGTAACTGGTGGTCGTCGCCAACCATCCAATCGCCAGCCCGATTCGCACCGAGTGATAACTGAAGCAGGCAGAGCTCGTCTTCCGCAGTAGCAGCAGCACCCGCCAGCGACCATGCGTATTCACACGTGCTACTTCTGCTCGAGCCCCGTGTACCCGGGCCACGGCATCACGTTCGTGCGCAATGACAGCAAGATCTTCCGCTTCTGCCGCTCCAAGTGCCACAAGAACTTCAACCGCAAGCGCAACCCGCGCAAGGTGAAATGGACCAAGGCCTTCCGGAAGGCTGCGGGCAAGGAGATGGCCCTGGACACGACGTTCGACTTCGACAAGCAGCGCCACCGCGCCGTCAAGTACGACCGCGAGCTCATGGGCGCCACCATCCACGCCATCGAGCGCGTGACGCAGATCAAGGAGAAGCGCGAGGCCGTCTTCTACAAGAACCGCATGAAGGACAGCAAGGCCAAGGCCAAGGCGCGCGACATGCGCGAGCTGGAGCAGAACATCGAGCTCATCGAGCCGGCGGCGGCGGCGATCAAGGACCAGGCGCAGCTCAACGTGTCGGCCTCCAAGCAGAAGGACGCGGCGGCCACCGAGGCGCCGTCCTCCATGGTCTTAGATCAGTAAAGTTATGCCCCGCGCGGGTTGTGATTTCCAATGCATACAGCTTCGTTCGTTTTACTACTACACACGGCGCGCCGACTTGTTGTTGCGATTTGACCAGCTATTATCGGTGATCTTCGCTAGCTTGCAGACAATAACCACCCTCTTTGAATCGCTGCAATGCGCTGCATCGATTCTTAGTGGTGTCCTTGATTGGTGACCACTACGAGCGCAGCCGCAACGCCGTGCACGGCCATGAAGTTGCCGCCGTTTCTAGCGAGGCAGGCCACCGCTGCCATCAGTCTGGCGTACGAGTCGCACTTAGCCGGACTCGACTGGGGGTAGGTGCTGCGCGCTGGGCCAGCCAACTGCCGGGGCATACAAAAAGTAAGTGTGGCCCGCGGAGGGGGAGCCACCGCCTCGCCTTCAGTTCAGGACAGGACCCACGGAACGGAAGCGCGAGCGAGAGCGGAAGCGGAACCATGTCGGACAAGCTGACGCGTATCGCCATCGTGAGCACGGACAAGTGCAAGCCCAAGAAATGTCGCCAGGAGTGCAAGAAGTCGTGCCCCGTGGTGCGCATGGGCAAGCTCTGCATTGAGGTGTCGCCCAAGAGCAAGGTGGCCTTCATCTCGGAGCAGCTCTGTATCGGTTGCGGTATCTGCGTCAAGAAGTGCCCGTTCGAGGCCATCAACATCATCAACCTGCCCAAGGACCTGGAGAGCAACACGACGCACCGCTACGGCGCCAACACCTTCAAGCTCCACCGTCTGCCCATGCCCCGCCCCGGACAGGTGCTGGGTCTCGTCGGCACCAACGGTATCGGCAAGTCCACGGCGCTGCGCATCCTCGCCGGCAAGCTCAAGCCCAACCTCGGCAAGTTCGACGCCCCGCCCGAGTGGCAGGAGATCCTGACCCACTTCCGCGGCTCGGAGCTGCAGAACTACTTCACGCGCATCCTCGAGGACAACCTCAAGGCCATCACCAAGCCACAGTACGTGGACAAGATCCCCAAGGCCGTCAAGGGCACCGTGCACGAGATCCTGTCGGCCCGTTGCGAGAAGGAGGAGAAGCTGACCCACTTCCTGAACGAGCTGGACCTGTCGCACGTGCAGGACCGTGAGATCGAGAACCTGTCCGGTGGTGAGCTGCAGCGTTTCGCCATCGCCGTGGTGGCTGTGCAGAAGGCCGACATCTACATGTTCGACGAGCCGTCCTCGTACCTGGATGTGCGCCAGCGTCTTAAGGCCGCCCTTGTCATCCGCTCCATGGTGGACGACAACGCCCGCTCGTACGTCATCTGCGTCGAGCACGATCTAAGTGTGCTGGACTACCTGTCCGACTTCATTTGCGTGCTGTACGGTACGCCCTCGGCCTACGGTGTGGTCACCATGCCCTTCAGCGTGCGTGAAGGTATCAACATTTTCCTTGCCGGTTTCGTGCCAACGGAGAACCTGCGTTTCCGTACGGAGGAGCTGACGTTCAAGGTCTCGCAGAACGCCGATGAGTTGGGCACGGGCGAGGGCGATGCCAACTCGTTCAACTACCCGTCCATGACCAAGACCATGTACAAGAAGAAGAAGGACACTGCTTTCAAGCTGCACGTCGAGGCTGGTGACTTCACGAACTCGGAGATTATCTGTATGCTTGGTGAGAACGGTACCGGTAAGACGACGTTCATCCGTATGCTTGCTGGCCTGCTCAAGTCGGACGAGATGGAGGCCGCCGAAAAAGCCGGCGACCATGACGCCATGTCGAACTGCGCTCTGCGTTACGACACGTCCACGATCAGTTACAAGCCGCAGAAGATTGCCCCGAAGTTCCAGGGCACGGTGCGCGAGCTGCTGCACCGTCGTATTCGCGAGGCTATCGTGCACCCGCAGTTCGCGACGGACGTGACCAAGCCGCTTGCCCTCGACAACATTATTGACCAGGCCGTGCCCCACCTGTCCGGTGGTGAACTGCAGCGTGTGGCTATCATCCTGTGTCTGGGTAAGCCCGCCGACATCTATCTCATCGATGAGCCGTCCGCCTACCTGGACTCCGAGCAGCGTATTTTGGCTGCCAAGGTTATCAAGCGCTTCATCCTGCACGCCAAGAAGACGGCCTTCGTGGTGGAGCACGATTTCATCATGGCCACGTACCTGGCCGACCGCGTCGTTGTCTACGATGGCCAGCCGGGTATCGAGTGTACCGCGCACTCGCCGCAGAGCCTGCTGACGGGCATGAACCAGTTCCTGAAGCAGCTGGAGATTACGTTCCGACGGGACCCCACGAACTACCGCCCGCGTATCAACAAGTACGACTCCGTCAAGGACGTGGAACAGAAGACCTCGGGCAACTTCTTCTTCATGGACGACTAAGCTGTAGACGTATAGGAGGACGGAAGCGCGCGGGCTAAGCTGGCGAGATCAGTCGGCTGTCCGTTTGACAAGCGACTTGATATTACCATGACGCAGTGCGGATTGACGGCGTTCACAGAGGCCGGTGCTGCATAGGCGAAGGAAGACAAGACGTGTATCTTGAAGAGAGTCGAGCTGCGCGACGGCATGCGCGCTCCAATGCTGGCGGAGTAAGTAGAGAATATACATCGGCACGTCCTCGTGCTTTGGATTTTTAATTACGGGCGCTTCTGCAGTTCCTGGTGAATTCTTCCAAAGTCCTTGAGCAGGCGGGTGAGCTGCTCCTCGTCCAGCTCCAGCATCACCTGCAGAGGCAACAAAGAGATCTTGAGAGACTGATATCCTTTTGAGCAATCTGTGGGAGTGTCATACGACGGACCTGTCGCTCAGAGCCATCGGGTTTCGCTAAACGAAGCTTGAGTGCAACGGAGCGTTGTCGGTCGCCGCAGAGCGAGCTGTTGGCCAGGTTCACGCGCACCGAGTAGTCGAAGTCGCGCAGCACTTCGCCCTCTTCGAGTGCGACGTCCATTTCGGAATGTAGTGATGCATTTTCGTGTCGTGCACATCATTATGCGCTTGGGTAGGCTGAAAAGATTTGCGCCAATCGCAAATCGTTATGAAGTCCAGGTATGACTTATGGCGGTGCCGCCCCCTTGGCCGCACGAACGGGAGGCCAGCACCAGCGGAACTCAACTTTGAGCGGCGAGAGACTCGGAGACTCATGTGGGCGAAACAGGCAGGCAAGGCCATCCGGTCGCTGGGGCAGACGATCGACCGCGTCGGCGTCTCGCTGGAGGGCAAGCTCACCTACACGGAGCACCGTAAGTTGGCCGCACAAGCAGCGACAGAGCAGCGTCTTCCTCCTCCTGCTCTGCCTCTTGGATTCGCATTGAATTAATTCGGATTGCTGCTGCTGCTACTGTTTTGCCGTACTGTAGTGAACCCGTCCACGCGCGCCGTGAAGAACCTGGGACGCGCGCCCAAGTTCGAGGAGGGCGTTTTCGTGGCGCCCAACGCGTCGGTGATCGGCGACGTCAAGGTGGGCAAGGGCAGCTCCATCTGGTACAACGCTACCGTGCGCGGCGACGTCAACCACATTACGATCGGCGAGAACACAAACATCCAGGACCAGGCCGTGGTGCACGTGGCCAAGATCCACCAGGACATCCCCACCAAGATCGGCAACAACGTGACCGTGGGCCCCAACGCCATCGTGCACGCCTGCACCATCCAGGACCACTGCATCATCGGCACGGGCGCGCAGGTGCTGGACGGCGCCGTGGTGGGAGCCAAGTCCATCGTCACCGCCGGCTCCATCGTCACCATGGGCAAGCAGGTGCCCTCGGGCCAGCTCTGGTCGGGCGTCCCCGCCCGCTACCTGCGCGACCTCACGGCCGAGGAGATGCAGTTCATGCAGCAGTGCTCAGCCGAGTACACGCAGCTGGCGGAGCAGCACGCTGAGGAGTGCGCCAAGAGCTTCGAGGAGTACGAGGCCGACACGGAGCGTTTCAAGATCCTGCGGGACGTGGGCGAGACTGGCCTCCCGCAGAAGGACGAGACGCGCGAGGACACCGGCCTCTTCTTCCGCTACTAGACAGCTGCATGCGTACTTGAAAGGGAGGGCGACGTTGAGTGCAGAAGTTAAGGTGGAGAAGAGCAAACACAAAGAATGAAATGGACATTACGACGGAATGTCTCTGTTGGGCGAGCAGAGCGGACTTGGCTTGCAATTCAAGCACTCACGCGTCTAACCAAACAGCCCCACAATACTGTTTCGCTTCATTCTTCATCGCTCTGCTCCTGCACTGCAACTGCTTAAACGAACGAACGCCAAAACCTTTTGAGTATCGCCAACAACTCAGCGCAGCTAGCATCAGTTCGACGTACATGACAGCGCGATTAGCTTCAGGAAAAAGTCTCGGACGGCTGGTTGCCGCAGTGCTGTCGAAGTCGCAAAGTCTGTCGGGTTGGCCATGAGCTGCAAACATAAACGATTCGGTTAGCCAGCCAGTCGATAAATGCAAGTGAACACTAGGTATATGTACCTGATGCATGCTGGTCATGAGCATCGGGTCCTGCAAAGCGTGGACAAAGTATGGATCTTGGTTCATGGCAGTCATCAATGACGGCCCAAACTTAACGCTCAAAAGTAATTCGAGCACCTCGGTGTCCTCGTCATTAGAGCCCACTGAGTCCTGAAGCTCCAGCACCTCATCTTCATCCACCGTTGGCGGGTGAACCAAATTTGTGATTGCTTCCAGAGCTTCTTTCTCCTCCTCGCACTGCTTTTCAACTGCTAGCGCTGTCAAAAATCTCTCTAAAGCACCCACAAAATCGACGTCCTCGGAATGAAAGAGCAACAACTCTGGATCCTCCCCAACTTCCACCAACGCGTCATGGTACGTTGCCCACTCGTCCTTTTCCACGACCCGCATCCACAGAGCGCGATTTTCCTCTGACGCAGCAGCAGCAACGCGGCCATCCAGACACTCAGCAGGCTGGTGGTTTGCTGGATAGTTGCCTTGATCGGCGTCTTCAGTCTTCATTGATTGTAGGAAAGCAACAAGCTTTTGATAAAATGCTCGTAACTCGAGGTCGGCCAGTTGAGCCTCGAGCACGTCCGGATTCAAGCTCATGTCACGCAATGCCAACACAACTTTCTCGTTTTGCTGCAGCATCTCACGCATGCCATCGTCGTGCAAAATATCGTTCACAGCCTGGGCGTCCAAGCCGCCGTGGTTGCCCAGACAAAGAGACTTGAGATCGGTTGCTAATTGGTGCACCGCGTTCTCTGCCTGGAATTTGGCTCTCTTCTTGAGCTCAAGTTTGGCGCGCAGCTCATCTTCGCGACCATTATACTTCATCAGAAGCTTCTTGACAGTATCCGTCTTTTCGGAGCCGTACCAAGCCAGGAGCTCGTTCGATAGACCCCCCCGCTCCCGCTTTTTTGCGAGATATCGATGCCGCCACATGACCATGAGAAATAACGACTGGATTTTTGTGGCAGCTTCAGCTTCGTGGTCCTCAAGCAGCAACTCCAACTTCTCCACGAGACTAATCGAGTTGAACTGAACAACAGACGAAGCAACAACACTTATCTTCGGAGTTTGACAGTCATCGCAGTGGAGCAGATCGCTGAGCCAAACTGAAAGAGATTCGTCGCTACTGGCGACTTCCTCCAGAGCGAAAGGTGCTCGCACGAGACTACCATACCTTCCCAATACGGTGCTTTTCGGCAATTCGATCGCTGAATAGACCGATAATTGATCACGGCAAATCTGAACTTGCTGGGTTAGACGCTGGGAGCGGCATTGTTGTAGGATGAGGTCCTTGGTCGTCACTGAGGATTGTTTCTTGGCGTTCGGACGAATGCAATGGAAGTAAAATGGCATGTTTACCTCGTCTTCCGCGGTCAGCGCGTTCACATGTGAACGAAACTGCCCCACGTAACTTTTGCTTCCGGGAGACCGAGTCTCTACGATTGCGCCGTCGTTGCTGGATCCACCACGCATTTTGTGACTGGTATCCAGCATTCGCTGGACATGAACGCTACTCGACGCTTTGAGACCTTCCAACAGGTTTGGGTACACGAAATCTGAGTTTTTCTTCACAAAATCGCTCGCGTCGTAGATAACATTTCCGCGCGTGTGGGGGATCACAAAAGGTAGTATGGTTAGCGCCACCGAAGATCGGCGCTTCCCATTATTTACCACGCGCGGTGGGTCTAGCAGTCGGGTTGAGTTGCGCTCGTAGATGTTGCGCACAAACAACATGTTTCGCTTCTCTTCCTGCTGTGCAGTCTCATTTTCACTCTGGTGAAGAATCGTCAATTCCTCCAGTGAGGCGAAAACTCCAAGAGGGTGCTCGAATATGAAGAGAGCATCGTTACTCCTGTCGAGGATACGCCGCGGACCTAAAGCAACGTTGCTGCTGTAGGCAGCTAGCACCACTTGCTCCTCCCTGGCGTAAAGCTTTTCGCTTAGATAGTTGATGCATAGCTGATCCAGCGAATTGCACGAGAGATCTTCGAAACCAAACACGTCAATAATTTTCAATGATGCCACATCTTGGCGAGATACGTCCGTAGCCCCATCCGCTGGCGTATCCAACTTCGTTGCATCATTCATGGCGTCCACAATATAGTCAAAAACAAGCTGGTACAGCAAGCGTGCGAGTGAATCTCGGACATGATTGACTTGACCCTTTTCCAAAGCTACCTCGAAGACCTCATTCGTCGACTGCAAAGTCACACTTTTCGTCGTCAGCATCCGCTCCAATTGCTCCACCGACCCCAACTCCAATAGTTCGACTACTCGCCCAGGAGCATCAGGTACACACTTCGAAGACATGACCAACTTTTTCGATTCTGTCTTGTAATCCAGCTCGATATTGCCTAGCCACAATACAGCACTCAGCACTTTGAAGATTGATTTTTGCTGATCTGGGGATAGACTCAGTTCATCCATGCAGTCAATAACTTGCTGCCATCTCTCCACGTCTTTTTTCCAAGTGTCCTCTTTACTCACAAATTCTGCAAGCTGATGATCAGAGCGACCCAGATACATAAAAGCAGAGCAATTGACACCGTCGAGGCGAAGATCCTTTGCCAGCAGGTGCATGAATGGGAACTCATTAACACCAGCCACCATCGCGTACAGAATGTGAAAGTTCATGTCACTTTGGTCCCGCCCTGGACCAATCTTTTCGCGTGTTACGCGCGATTTCTCAAGCAGGAACGGTGAGATGCAGCACCCACAAATCTGGAATTCCCATGGATGAAGCCCAAATGAAACTTGCAAGGTTGTAACCTTCCCAAACCTCGACGAGTTGAGGTTCATCGACGTTGTTGCGTGGCCAAATGCTTCAAGAATGATGTTGGAATCCAAAACGGTACTCAACTTCTTGGCAGCATGCGGATTCTTGAAGTACATCCGTAGTTGCTCTTCATCTTCGAGGTGCTCCAGTTTGTCGTAAAACCCAAAGAATATTCCGTCCACGTGAACTTGAGGAAGACGCTTACTGCGGCTCACGGACGTCATTTCGTCCCAGCGCTCAGGTTGCAGATCCAGCAGCACGATTTCGTAGTTTTCGACACCTTTCGCGTCAAGCAGTGCGATTGTTCGAGCTTCCTCCGTTCGCATTTGAATAGTGCTTTTTGTTGAGCTAGTGAACAGCTTGATTTTCGGTTGACGAAGATTTGCTCTCACATGGGGCATCACATCCGAGTCACGAGAAAGAGAGGGTTGAGCCACAAGTACCAAGTACTTCAGCAGATCTTTTGCCAGCTCTGTCTTGCCGCTACCACTCTCACCGCAAAGGAATAGCGACTGACCCGAGTTCCTTGTCTTGACGCGCTTACTTGCTGCGGCCGAGACTGGAGAAAATTCGCCCCCATTTAGTTCACGGTCGAAGAAAAGCCGAACTAGGCTCTGTTTTGCCATTGCAAAAGGATGAGGGGCAAGCGATGCCTCCGCACTAGCGGTATCAGCGTACGCCAGCACCACTTGTTCATCGTAGATGGACGTGAATCTCGCAGTTTGTAACAACCGGTATGGATTCATGACGATCATCGTGTGATGGTTGACGTATGTGTAGATTCGATCACTCTCGAAACGACTCGCCAGCGTTTCCACAAGGCTTCCCACCGAAATACCTCCCTCCGAAATACTCAAAGGATCACTCCCCTTCCACTTAGCAACCAAGTCATCGCCATCCGTTCGATCTAAGCTCCACGGTTGTTTTGCTCGAATATCATCCAACAAATAGAGATGAGCATATTTGGCCAACGTCGCACTGCGAGGTGTGAGTACTTTGTCACTCTGTTTATCGTTTGGTGCAGCCTTGACCGTGTCTCCAACTCGTCCTGACAAGCCATCGAAAGTTGCATAATAGCTGTGGAAAGATGGACATCGTATCCGCGGAGACATACGTGGCGTAGTCACCGGGGAGTCGAGATCTTCGTGCTGCAGTCCCTCCACAGTTGGCGGGCGGGCGGCACCAAGCGGGTCGTCGTCGCGCGAGAGCTTCCGTTGATTATCAGGTATTTCCTCGAATTGATAGCGCAGCTTGAATGCCTCGGCTAAAATGCTATCGGGCTCAAACTCGGAGGTGCCCGCTTTTTCTTGAGCCAGACTTATACCTTGAACAAGTTCTTGATACTGCGCCATAGACCACTGCGAAGGAGGTCCCCAAGAGCTCTTTATCGTATCAACGAGCTTCTTAAGCAGCAGCATCTCGTGGAAAATCTGGAAGGATGAACGAAGATCGACTCTGGGAGTGCTTGCATTGTCGGGGGATAACGGGGCAGAAAGAAGTTCTGCCATCGCCTTCGCATTCTGGCCCCGACGACTAGACTGCGCGTGCGCTAAACGCACATCACTCTGACGCGTTCGCTGTCGCAACAACAGCTCGCCCTGCACGCACGATTAGGTTCACATGGAGGTCAGCAGCTCGCCACAAGGACTGCCTGAAAAAGTGAATATAATGTTAGGCTCTATCCATACTTACTCGACATGCCTTGCGCAGAGACTCGATCCATTCCCGCCGATCCTGCGAACTTGAAGCTATTTCCGCAGCAAAAACCTCGCTTAGTCGCTCCACCACGACCAGCACACAACGCACAAGAGCCAAAAGAGGAGAAACCTTTCAGATCCAGCTTGTAGCTCTTCCCCCGTGGACCCTCAATCTGCCGAATCCGCAACCAGACGTCGGATTGGGGCATGGGCGAGATTACGTCAGAGGCCTTGAGCTCCAGCACCCCCTTGAGCTCTACGTCCCCATCCTTGGTCGGCTTGTAGTAGCTCAGCGAGTGCTGCCCAAGTACAAAATACCGCTCCTTGCGCGTGGGCAGCACATGCCCTTTCTTCACGAGGAACCCGCGCTTCAGGACGCCGTCAGGGACGCCCAGGCGCGCCACTTCCGCCTGCAGAGCCGCCTCGGCGCTAGAGCCGCGTCGCTGCGCTAACCGCGCTCTTGGGGACGGCATGCAAACGAATCTGGACACTTCAACCGGCCGGTTTTTGTAGTTTTGTGTACGGTACAGAGGTCCCGAAAAATGAATACAGTCAAACCTGTTTATATGAGGCCCTGTTGGTGACCATCTACTACAATGACTCATATAAAATGGACTCAGTTAAAAAAATTATGTGGTGCACGTAAAGAAATCGTGCATAGTTCGCTGCCGCTTTGCCTTCACCGTAGTCTCTCGAACCAAAGCGGTCACGGTCTGTAAAGCTCTTCGTTCTCTGTCAGTCTGCTCTCCGCATTGCAGCAGAAATGCAGCCAGCTCCATGCAGTAATGGCAGGTTGAACTGCGGGTTTCTGTTCCTCCTCTTCCTCCTAAGCGCTCCGCCAGCTCATGCGCCTTCAGCAGGAGCACGTCGTCCGCCATCGCCGTTTTAGCTTCGTTCTGAAAGAAAAATTCCCTCAGTTCCCGCTCGAACTGAGGGAATTTCACTCGGCGCCGCTTGGTCGCACTCAGGTCGACGTGGCTGAAGTAGGAAGAAGGCAGGTTGCGCAGTCGGGCGAGTGTGGCACGGCTGACCCGGGCCTTGAAAGTTGCGTAGATCCACTCGGCGAGCATGGGGTTGTTCATGCCAGGATTCTGCTTGAGCTTTAGGTGCACTTGGAGCTTTTGTTCTAGCGTCAGACAGGTGCGAGGAGACATGGCGAGCGAAGAAGGCTTGCGGTAGGCGTTGAGTGTTGAGCAGTGGTGCTTTGAAGAGTGTGTGGCCGTGAGCAGTGTGAATCAAATAAACAGGTGAGACCTAATTTGGTCCCCAAAAATGTGACTCATATACCTTGTATGCATATAAACAGAGATCATACAAAAACTAAGTGAAATATTTGGTAGCGACAAAGCCTGCATCAAATAAACGGCATGGCTCAAATAGAGAGGATCATATAAACAGGTTTGACTGTATGGGGAAAAGAAACAACAGACTCCGTAATTTTAACAGACCCCAATACCCTCCAAATCCAGGACAAAAAATAGGACCAAAAGTTAGAAGCTTACTTCTCCGGTCCGGTAAAGAATTAATAGTTCTCTAATCAGACTGTATCTTGCGTTCTACTGCTCCAACAGAGCTGTAGCTGCCCTTAAAGTAAAGCTCTGGATCCGCAGCATCACGCAGTATTTTTCATAAATGCACTTTCCCGCCTTGTAAGGTTGTTATCGGACGGTTTAAATAACCGGTTTCCACAGGTGTGAGGTTTAAATTCGCTGCGCCATCAAAAACGATCAGAAGAACTTGGAAATACACGTGGGAAAGCGGAAAGATATCTTATTTTTGTGATATAATGCTGTAAATAATCGAATATTCCAACGCCAGAAAAACAGCCAATCGTGTTGGAGGGTTTTTGCATACAAATCACTGAAGTTATCTTTTTGTCCAATGAAATATGGTGCATAGGGAGGTAGCGGGTTACAATCGATATTTTTGAGTTTTTTTATGAAAAAACCTAACTGTTAATTCTTTTCCGGACCGGAGAAGTACGTTGGCGTTGAATTTTGAAAGACACATCATATTAGTGGGTTTCAGTTCTGGCAGCAGCATGATAGCGCTCTTAGAAAACCCTCCAAATTTCTCCCAATCAGAGACGGAAAGAACTGAGACCCCCTGTGTAGCTCGGCAGCAGCAACATGCCTCATGCGTGGTCTTCTTGCTCATTTAGCCTATTGCTCAACTTCATAGTGCGCTCATACATGTATAAATGTTATAGGTGCCCGGTAGCGTGCTGCGGCTAGTTGCTTTCGATGCAAGGACTCACTGCTAGGTGGTCGGTGGAGATCAGATTGACCCCGCGGCGGTCGATCCGCTCGACCCCAGCAGCCCCACACTATCTGATCTAACAAAAGCACCTGTGGAGGCCTCATATACGTCGGGGGGACGTCGGCTAGCGCTACCGTCGCTCCTGGGACGGTCCGGGGATAGGTGGGATGCATCTTGCAGCTGCCGGCGCTATACTGCACCAAAATCGTGGCAGTATCGAAAGCAAGATAGCAACCGATTTTTAACCAACCCAAGCTCATATCCTCCAAGATTTGTAAGTGCGCTGTCTTGCTGCTGCCAGAACTGAGACTCACTATTATTGTTATGGACATAAAGTCCGGGATCTTTAAGTGTTGCGTCTTGCGTAATGTCCACCAATGTCCATAATGGCAAAAATTAGGTTTAAAAATGTCATTATTATCATATCAAATTTCGTTTTGTCCTTGATTCAAGGACAAATCCCGTTGAATTCGCAGTTTGAAGAACAGTCGATTGGAGAAGGTGTCGTGTAGGAAAACACAAGTTTACGAGTCCTCGCCCTATCAACCGAAGTCTCTAGGACGAGCCCTACTAACAACACACGCCGTCTCCGAAGAGTCGGCGATAGATTGTCGGGATAATAAACCTGAAGACCAGGTCCGATCCCTTATACGGGCTGGAATGTGCCTCCCTGTGTGTTGCGGGTCAGGTTTACCCTTCGTTAAAATATAAGGGCACCCTTAGCCACGAGCTATGGCTAGGATGCAATGTGTAATACGTGCTTTCGCACTAAACCTCTGTGGTCCCTCAGAAAGGAAGGGTACCAGGTCAATCGAAGCCTCTTACAGACTAAAGCGCAGGGAATGTGACCGACCAATCAGAGCCCTCGGTCAGCCATCACTCGCAAGCTCAGCAGTTAGACCTCGGCCGGAACTCGCCTGGCCGCAGTCATTTCCCGATCTCACAGCGCCCCCCAACTCGGCCCGAGCCGTCCCAAGTGGTGAGTGCCGTGTTGCCTTTGTGCCTCTGTGCTCCGACGCCACGCAGTCCTCCGGCGGCCCTGGCAGCGCGCCGCCCTTTACCTTCCCGGACCTCGGTCCAGTCGTCCAGGTGAGTCTTCGTGCGAGGCGCTTGTACGCTGTGCCTGATCTCTTCATCGTGTCTAACCGTCTTCAACTTGCTGCGTCTTGCCTCAGCCCGGCAGGGCACGTCGTCGACCCTTCTGCGCTAGCCTCAGAGGCCTCGGCTGCGTCAACTCCCACCTCTACGTCAGCAAGCGGGGCGCTCCGACGGCCCCAGGCTTCGGCTGCTGTTCCAGTAGCTGCGGTGCCCTCATCTGGTGCTGGTGGTAGCGCTGGAGCTGCGCCGTCACCAACTCCCGCCTCTGGAGGAGCACGCGGGGTGGCGGGCAGTCTCCAGGCCGCATCTTCAATCGTCGCAAGCCAAGGTTCCGCTGCAACTGCTGGAGAGACTTCGGCTTCGAGTGCAGTGGCTCCGACGTTGCTAACACCCGCTTTGCCGTTTGCTAGCGGGGCTTCGTCGGACCCTGCGGGTACTCAGCTGATCCCCCGACCTTCGCCTGACTCGAGTCCTCTGCGCGAGTCTTCGTCGAATGCTGCACACTTCTGCCGCACGGGCGACCCGCTTCTTGCAACTGCGCACGAGGCTTCGGGACTTCCTCCGCGTCCTTCCGCACAGCGGTATGCTGTCAAAGACATCGTCCACCACGAGGTGCAGGCTGCGGTCGAAGAGCTTTGCGAGCACTCGGAACGACGCTTCGCAAACTTCGCTCAGCTGATGGTCGGCTTGGTGCGTCACCCTCCGCTTCGTGTCGACTACGAGTTGGACCAGAGGCTTGAGCGCGCTCAAACCCTCAGCGAAGTAGTCGAGGCGCTCAATCCGGACCCTTGCGGGCTGCCTATGGGCTGGGACGAAGAGATGCGCAAGCTTCGGCTCGAGGTTCAATACTTCGAAAGGCGCGCCAACACTTCGAGTCGCTGCTCAATCAGGAGACGGATCTCAAGAATCAGGCTCAGATCCTGTGCACCCCAGCCTCATTCGAGCGCAACGAGCTCTTCGAGGTGGTCAAGTCGCTTCGCCACATGCGCGACAAAGTTTCGCGTCAGCTGAGGAAGCACAACACTGCCATGGCTACGAACGACGAGACGATCGCTCTCCTGAGGTTACAGTGTGAGCGCTACGAGGCTTCGCTCAAGGCTTCGGACTCGCTTCTGGCGAAGGATCGTGAGCTCTTTAAGTCGGGTCTCCAAGAGTACAACCGCAACATGCGGCAGCTCCGAAGCCTGCTCGTCAACCAAGCGCGTGACCAACCGGAGGCTCGAGAGCTCGTTCGTCGCATGGATGACAACGTCCTGTCCAGAGCATTCGATGCTTTCTTGGAGGTGTTCGACTCTGCGTACTCCACTCCAAGTGCGGCTTCTGCATCTTCAAGTTCTCGTGAATCTTCGTCTCGTGCTGGCACTACTCGCCGTCGAGCTGCTACTCCGGCTGCTACCCAAGCCGATGTCTCGATGGAGCCAGCTGAGTCAGGCAATGACTCAGACGGCGAGTCGACCAGTCCTCGACCAGCCAAGCGTCGTAAGCATGCTCATCGCAAGTCTCGGGAGACGCAACAGACTGCGCGGGTGCGCGTGTCTTCTCGTACGTGCGCTGCATCCAAGGGAGCTACAAGACTCGGTCGTTCTTCTGTCAACTTGCAGGAGAGCGACAATCAAGTGTACCCCTTACATGAAGAGTGACGGGTGCCACTCTCCCGAGTACATGGTACATGGTACCAGTAGCTCCGCAAGCCAACCAGTTGAGTTGTGGGGGCTTTTGTATAGTTAACTTGTAGTTTGTATTACGACCAAGTTAACCTCTACCAAAATACAGTCAGTCTTATAACCTACTCCTTTGTAGCAAACCGTTCCCTTTGAGACCGGGAACTGGTGAACTGCTGTTCACCTGGATAGTAATATCCACACGCACTTCATCTGTGCATTGTGCTGTGTGACCCCGCCACACTTGGTAGCACTCGTAGTCAATCCTACGCCTACGCGGGTAGATTGGTCTACCTGAATCCTCGGTGGCTCAGGTCCGTGGGCCACGATGGACCGAAGTGAGTTTCCTCACTTGACGGACTCGCAGTTCGAGTCAGTGCGGAAGATGGCGGGCACTTTCGGACGTGATGCACTCCGGAGCTTGGTGACGGCGACGCCAGCCGAGCAGGTCGAGCGGGTGAGCGCGTTTGACGACTACAAACGCGGGCTGATCACTCATGTGCAGAGAAACCTGCTGGTTCAGATGAGTGAACCCAAACGGGTGCAGCCTAAGCCTTTGCGGCTAGCTGTGCCTCAGTTCGAAGGGAAGAAAGATGAGAACCTTCACTTCTGGATCCGGGAGACCGAGATCGCAACGAGCCCAGGTCTCATTTCGGCTGAGAACCTTGGAGTCGCCTTTGCGCTCTCCAATCTTGGTGGACGTGCCAAGACTTCGGCGTATACGCGCGAAGCGATGTTGCCTGGATGTTTTACATCCTGGGCTCAGCTGTGTGAGCAGCTTCGAGCCGCTTTTTTTCCGGCGAACAACGAGTTCCGCCAGCGCTCGCGCTTCCTTGCTTGCAAACAAGGGGAGCGTGGGCTGTACGCGTACGTACAGGAGATGCGCACGCTGGCAGCCTCGCTGATGGGGATCCCACTGTCGGAAGACGTCAAGATGACAGAGTTTCTTTTCCTTCTAGATAGACGTCAGATGCCCACATGTCACCAGAGGGATCGTATTATACTACATGCATCTCCAGAGCACTCTACATAGTACTTGCTCATTCCATTAGCGTTAAAGCTATCGATTCGATTTGTTCATTCAGCTATGAGTCGTAACTTGTACACTCCTCTTTTAGACACATATTTTTCTTCTGCATGCATAGTTTCTCAGAGTGATTAATCGAATATCGTGTGGTCATCTGAATTTGTCGCGGCATAAATTTGGACCGGCTGGTATTGTGTGATCCCCGCACTCATTGGAATGGGCTTTGATGGAGTAACAAAACATTCCACTAAAACTGTGCCAAAAGCTACTTCAAGTTCTAAAGACTGTGCGGTCCAAGATGGGAGGTACAGCTTTTTTCCGCTCAACATTTTTTTATCCAAAACAAACTCTATCCGCCGGCAACGCGGTGGCATCCTATACGGTGGCGAACGAATTCATCTAGCGGAGACTCAAAAAGAGCTGCACCCGATGGTATGATGTCTTCTTCGGAGAAAGGCTAGTGCAAAAAGAATGACGACCGTGTATGAAATCAGATAAGCTTAGTTCCAATTAATCGAGCTAAGAAAGGCTCGTGTGGGGCTATTAAGAGCTAGCTTTACTCACTAATACATTTTATCTGGATGATATTGTGACGACTGCGAGGTTCGGGTTGGGCTGCGGGTCGCTCACGATGAGACCCGTGGGCTACAAGGACCGGAAGATTGCCCGGACTGCTGAGGACGAAGATCGCGCGCTGGAGGGTCGCCACGAGCACGTGGGTGACGACCCGAAAGGTCGCAGAGACAGCTGATTGGGTACGGGCGAGCAGCCAGCGAGCCGCGAGCGACGGAGAAGCTCACTTGAACACTTGCGGGCTGCAGAGCGCGCAGACACGAAGCGACGGCGCCTAACGGAGCACTGGTGGCTCGGCGAGGCGGGACACGAAGGCCTTTAGGGGCAATTTACGAGCGAGGCGACTACAGTCCATCGGTGGCTGGGACACCCATTCGAAGACGGGAGCTGGGCCGGTGTTGCGTTAGTTACTGAGTTCTAGCAGAGGCGTGGACACGGAGGACGAAGTTACAATAGTGTGCTTGCCTTGGGTGAGACTACATTGCGACCCGCAGAGATCCCTCTAGCCCATTTACTACTGATGGTGTAGAATTATCTACTACTTGATCCTGTTCTTGTCAAAACAACTTCGAAGTACATCGTTACCGATATTAGTTCAGATCGTCCTAGTGCTACATGAATACGGTACGATCAGCTTAACCCTTCTAGCCCCAGACCTTATTCTGTATCCTACAGAATAAGCATTAGACTTGATTAAAGTATACCAAAACCTGTTAAAGATTTGCTGTTGGAAGCCCTTTCGCATCTTGCGGTCAAGCGCTGGGTACATTGTGCACAGAACAGCTACGAAAGTGAACAAAACATGCTCAATGTATCCACCATATGGCGAAATGGCGAGCTTCTATTGGTCGTGGCGAGCGTAGAGCACGCTCAAAACCTGCTACATGGTAATACCTTGCAAGGCTGCTAAGGCAGCATACTTCGGCTCCAGCCACCCATCTTCGGCACGTCGCGATAAACGCGGAGGAAGAAATCATTCGCCCAGTTCCTCCTCACTACGTCAGTTAGGAACAGGGCGATTTCTTCCTTGTGCTTGACATTAGCGCATCATTAGATTTCTTTAGCCCACCTAACAAGCTTGTTACGATTGTCTCTCTAACAACACCAGGGAGCTTGCATGCTCAATAGCCCGTAATGATACGCACTACACACGGTTTCTCTTGTACGAAACAGGACAATATATGATATTCATGCCAACGTCTACTTCTTCCTTTACATGCGCACGCTCTTCAATGTTCGCGCCAGCCGTGGGTCATCTTCGCCATTTTGGCAGCCTCCGCTTTGCTCTGTAGCCTCCGGCACTGCCGCTCCATTCCTGCCGCTTTCATCGGTAGCCTCCGTCGTAGCCCCTGTCCCTTCTCCTGTAGTAAGTGATTATACTGTCCAGAAGCGCTAGTGCACCAGGCATACATTTTCACCCAGGTAGTCGAGTAAAGCGCTTTGCAATTACATCGGTATCTGTTTCGAACAAAACCGATCTAACGACAACAAAAAAGATAGTATATATATGCAGCGACACCATTGGTATTCTGGTTTCCGACAACGTAGACCTTTGCGATGAACACGACGGCATCCTTCTCTTTGGGACGCGTTCAAGGGTTAAACAGGATCCGGTGGCTTCGGTTTGGCTCAGCAACTGTGCAACCACCACCATTTCGGGCGGGTCAGGCCGGTGATTGGAAGACCGACTATAAGATTGGCTGACGCGCTCGCCCGGATGATGGACAAATACACAAGCTGTGGATACCCGTAGATACAGCAAATTTGTTTTCTTCATCGTCTTGAGGTACACTTCGATTGGATCCTGGTTTGGTACAATCCCCGGATATCCACTACACATCCCAAACCAAGCGTGTCACCGTTCTGCTAGATATATCTCAGTCAATCAAGCCTTATACGGGGCCTCGTTGTCAAGGCGGGTTTTAATTAGCTGTGTGACCGCCAGGGCTAAAACAATATACAATGGGCAGTTCAGCCTTTGTGGAGCCAATTCAGAAAAGGTAGAACAACGTTTCCCCACGCAGCATCGTAGCTCAACTGACTGCGCCCTTTATCGTTGGCTTTACCTACAAAGTGAGGCCAGCCGTACAGCAGTAATATGCGTGGTTATTCTCCGACAAACGCACTGGTTGCATCCGATTGCTTCTTCGATCATAGGACCATCCGCAATACGATATTGAAGGCGCTTTGCACTGCGCATCGACTAGTTGCTGACAGATCCTGATATGCGTCTCGGTAGTAACGGACAAAAAATAATGCCCGGTGGATGTATGTGTGATGGAACGACCCTCATAAACAGTATACAACGAACGTGCTGAAATCCACTAAAACCCATCTACCTCAGCGTAGTTCATAAGTGCCATCGGCTCCTGCGACAACATCACCATCACTTTGTGCGTAGACAGCCCCGGCGACGTTGCGAAGCAGAGCACGTGTCGCCAAGACAGCACTGATTGTCTCGTCGTTGTAACCGTACGTGAAATATCTCAGAAAAATCAGTTCGTAACAAACTCGGCCAGTCTTACCTTTAACTCCACTGGATCACGTATTGCGTCGTACTCCTTCCTCACTCCCATAATTATCACCTTGCACATCAATTATCGGGGAAGATATAACTACACTGCTACTCCAGGCGGATTTAAGGCGTCATCGTAGTCATCGTATCATTGCTTTACCCATGGTTTGAGAGGCACCAGGCCCAAACTCCTCCAGTTTTGCCCGTTTCTCAAGCTTGGTCAAGTAGCTTATCCAGCTACGCCACTTTTAGAGTCTTTAACACGATAACTTCATCGAGTATGTGACAAATCTCCAAAACTCCACAGCGCTTTTTTATGGTGGTTAGTGTTGCCATCACAGGAAAGACCACCATCTACCACAGCAAAGCACAAACATATATAATCACTTGGAGAATGCTTATCATTGATTCCAATGCGAAACATATACTCAAAAATACGATCCAAATTAAACATTTTAGAGCAAACTCCATCCCGGGATGTAAGCAATAACATAAGGTCGCATTGTGAATACATTATATATAATGCATCAATCTACTCCAAGATGGCGTTTGTTCTAAGCCCATCTGGAATCACTCTCTGATTTTCGTCTTGTAGTTGTACCATCGAAAGTTATGTTGTCAGTACTTTGCAGTAGAGGTTACCCCCATTTGTATCCTACTGATCGGTCAGTTGCAACATTTTCATATCTTGATCATAACAGAAACGCTTAAACAAGTAGGGATGAGTTCCATAAGATATTGAACAGGTTGCCAGTACCTGCCCACAACGGGAAACGTTTTTGGGAGAGGACTGACTGAGTTAACGTCATATTAGCTGACAATCTTTGTTAAATCACCACCGCAATGGCTCTCAACTGTTTCGTGCCATCGTAACGCTCGGTCAATGCAAGGGTGAACACGCTCATCAGAGGGTGTGGCAGTCGCCATACTAGTGCTGGTTGCGAGCAGGCGTGTTCCTATTGTTCCAATTGTTCGCTTTGATCCAATTGTTCGGTGTTGTTCGGGTGGTTCATATTCGCGATTAAGTACGATGTCACTCTTCTCGCCAAGTGCAGAAGTGACAAGCTCTCTAATTCTCTATATTGTCGCTTTGGTGCCTCTTGTAAATGGAACACTTTCGGAAAGGTTACGAACAAGTTCCAATTGTTGGTATCGTTCAGAACTTGTTCGCAACCAGCACTACGCCATACTCGGTTCGTATTGACAAATTGCTGTGAAATTTACATCATTGCTTGTAGCTACGTTTCGATAAGCCACAACGTGGATTTGCTCAGGACCAATATATAAGGTCTGTACCTGGTACTTCACGTAAACAAATACAAAGTACATGAAGCTTCCGATTCCGGTGTTTAGCCATTTGGGTTTGCTACCAACAAAATATGGGCTCCAAAATGTGCAGATACCCTTTTTCGCGTGTAGAAAACTGCGCCCCGCCACATTTTGAACGGATGATTCCATGCTACGTCTGCAGACTGGCAAACAGACGTAGCATCGGGTGGCACCTTCTGTAGCACCACCCTAATCGATGCGGCGTAGGCCGGCCCTTCAGCGGTCCAGTGGCCGCTGAAGTCGTCCGAAAGGAGCAGCGCAGGCTCTGCATGCGTCGTGCGGTGATCAAAATGAAAATGTAGGACCTTAGTGAAGGATCACCGTTCCACTAGTCTAAAATCAAACATAAATTGAAATAGAAACCTTTAGATAAATCCTTTTGAACAAGTAAAAAGAGAAGCGTACCTTTGTCGTTAGCATAAATCAGCTTTTTGATCTCTGGCTACGTTCGCGTGCTAAAGCCACAGCGTTTTTCGTTGAACTCCTTGGCGATTGCTGGGTGTTTCGATGGCTTCATTTAGTAGACGATGAAGGGGGTGAAGCGTACCCTACTTGACCCCCCCAGTAACATCACAGTCGCACGCTCCTTCAAAGAGCCGGCACAGCGCACCCACGCCATTTTGGCGCCGCGAGCTTTCACAGTTTTCTTTGTAGGCAGCCACTAAAAAAAGATAGCTAGAGAACATAAGTTAAATTTACATTCGCAGTTGGAAAAAACACTATCTGATCTGCGTTGTTGATCCGCGTAATACCCAGCTGCCGAGCCATTTTCTTGACCTCTGCTGCAAACTCCGCTTTAACCTTGACAATGTCCTCCGGGCTGATTTGGCTTTGTCGAGTTGGAACTCGCATGTTCATGCGATGGCGGCCTCGGAATCTTTGAATCCATTTGTCCGACGATCAGAAGTTCTTGATGCCCGCTTCAGCGACAATCCGCAGTGCTTGTAGAACCAGCATGCGCGGTGATATTGGCACACATTCCTTACGCAAACTATTCACCCAGAATACCACTTCTAGTTCTACCTCTGGTGGGAGGATCGTCCCATCTCCTAAACTTCGCACCTTTAAATGTGTTCCTTTGCTATTTTTCATAGCAGTCTCGAGATTTGTCGATTCACGCCGCCAGCGCCGGTTTATCGTGCGCTTCAAGTTATAGAACTCGGGGGTGAGATCGTGCCAGAAATGGGTGATTGTGTGTTTCATCTTGGGTATTGGCGCATTTGTCAGAAGGACAACACCTCGAGTTTCTTTGCGCCGCTGATACCCTTCTTGATGTGCTTGGTCCGGTGGCGGCCTTTGCCTTTGAGTCGAGGCCTGCCGACTTACCGTGGCCGTCGGCAAAAACAAAATGACTCCAACCCCGAGTTGCGCGCGCTATGAAGTGCAATGAAGTGAGTGCTGAGCATTTATATCCGTTTTGATGGCGTTTTGCACTGCATCTCTACAAGCGATTGATGCGATTGAGTGCTATAGCAAATGTCGCGCACTGATTGGTAGTTATCAAAGTTCATCTCATAGACAGCTTTCTACATGCGAAATACGGTATAGCTATCCAGGACCGGGGGGGGGGGTATTAGTGGGATAAATTAGTCAAATAAGTCAGGATGGTTGTCGGAACTGAGCCAAAGCGTCGGGTGAAAAGAATTGCTTCCAGCTAGCCAGTAGTAACAGTGGCGTCAGTCTGCTCTGTAAAATGGTCGACAGACCGTCCTCACAGATCGTAATATTTACCAGCACCGAAGCCAAACTATCACTTTTGTCGATCGTTGAATGCAAGGCCCATACAACGCCAATCGACAGAAAGGGGTCATCCGAGCTGATCATTTTGTATCGTGTTGGCGAATTAGTTTTGGGTCTTCAAGCATTGCGCCGAACCAAGACATAAGGTCGTCCTGTTGCTGCGCTCGACATCGACGGCACGTTCCAGGCGGTGCCTCGGCCCTTCACGCAGTACCTGATTGTGATGGTCAAGGACCTGGGCGTAACTGCTGCTCGATTCCAAACAGCTGGGAATGTACTGGAACGCTCTCAACAATGTGATCATCCAACCGCCTGCTGGGGCCAGCAATAGTCACCTGCGACTTTGAACGCGGTATTATGAACGCTGTTCCGGGCTAGTACCCGCTTGTCAAGATCGTGGGGTCCTCGATATTCTGACCATCATTCCTGCGGACCAAGTCGCTGACAAGGTACTGTTTTCCTGCTAATTGTTATAGTTTTTTTTGGAGTTCTATTAAAGTTGGGTTTTGTTTTTGGTATCAAAATTCGTGCCCAGCCGGCGCCAAGACGAAGTGGGATGCGTTCTGGCGTTACTTCCGTAACTCTTTGACGCCGTCTTACGGTACTGACCTCTGGAACGTTGGCAGTATGGTCGCATTTGGCGCAGAATTGTATGAACAACACGACGCCGTCCTGGCTCAAGCGAGAACGACCAGCAGATCATGTTCTGTTCACCAAGGAGCACCTGGTGCCCGTAGCTTCGCTGGAATTGTACCGAGTGCGCGTGCACCTGGACGGATGAGCGAGATCGTGTACCTTGAAGGTCTGCATGACCCGCAATACACCTGGATCAGCAGTACTTAAGCGAGATGAATGTGAAGTACCTTGAGGAGGACGCGCGCTCCTGTAGTCCTCTCCCCAAGTATGACATCGCCTTACTCATGCAACGAAACGTGAACTAACCGAGTATGGCAATATATGTATAATTTCGACAAAGCTTTTGTCGTTTTAAATTGTTTTACGTTTGAGTTCTCTTCGACAATATACATGCTAATGCTACATGGGAAATTGATCTACATCTGTTTGGCAACGCCTTGTCTCCAACTGGCTGTTTTATTTGTCGGGGCATCAGAACAGATTTCAGGACATGGTGAATTTTGGTGGCGGCTGGTGGATTTTGGTCCCGACAATACCGGTCATTTCCAAATAGCGACTTGATCAGTGAGGGGGCAAAGTTCGTGTTGATCAATTCGTTTCGAGCTCACGGTAGGGCCTGATGAGCGGCCCCCTTGATATTGCGATCCACGGCGTGACGTGGTTGGTGTGCTTCGCTTGGTGCTCGGGGGATTAAATCATTCGTGCTGACAGGTTCACTGTGGCCTTGGCTGCCAGCGTAAGATATTCCTCGAACAGTTTGACATCCATCGCCCGAGGAGCTTGATTGTCAGGCTGTCAGCCCCTCCGCTCATCAGAGCTGTTGCGCCTCCGCTGCGAATTGAGTGCGTCGAGTAGTTTGCAGGAGGGATCTTGATTGCGCGAGCTATTGCTTTAAGTGCCGCTGCTACGTCGCTTGCTTGAAGGTCTACTGAGAGCCATCGCGCCGCTGTCTGTTGCATTTGTTGACGTGCACGCAGGATATGGCGAAGTGCTTGAACGGGGCACAGAGTTGGGTTACCCGAGTAGATCATTGTACGCCACGCGCCGCGCCTTCGAGGCCGATTGCCACTGAAGTTGCATTCCTTCGCGTTGATCCGCAGCCGTTTTCGTCCGAGAAGAATGCGTTCGTGGCCTTCAGGAAGTAAAAGTGGCGACGTTGCCCAATCTTTACGTACTCGGAGCGTCTTAACAGGAAAAAGTATCCAATGAGAATGCACCTCCACAGAAGACGCTGGCGGAGGAGCTTCAGGTTGATCCGGCGATACAGCAGGCGTAGAAAAGCAGGCGAAATTGGTTGTTTCTTATCTACGGGTTATGGGTTTCTTGGTCACGGGTTCCGACATCCGTTTGATGCCTTGAAGCAGGAATTTGAAGTCTGGGGACGTGGGAATGTCGAAGCCACTGTGGTGTTTGTGGAACCAACGTATACTGTCCAGCTTGGGTTGAATAGTTGAGTCTTTATTTCCACGTCGTAGCCGATTCTAGCCGTATGTCCATTACAAAATTGCGAAGTAGCCGAGGCGTTCGTTTGCAGTGCGTCCGGAGCCTGTTAACCAGGGCGACCAGCCCATCTTCTTGGAGAAGCCGGTCCATTGCTTCCAGTAGCTGTTGTACTTGATCGTGGTAGTGCTTGGCAGGGCGTTTCGGCGCAACATGACTCCGACAGACCGCAGAGATCGTCGTAGGGCGGCAGCACGTGTACCTGCGTCCTTCTGGAACCCCTTCCAGCGGGCTTAGTGGTTTAACGGCTTCTCCCCAGAGTCGGCCTCAGTACCTTGGGACTTGGCTGTAGCTTGGGTCGGCACATCCTTGGACATGCCTTGGTGGGTGTACCTTTTCATCGCTTGGAAAGCTCTCCAGTCTTCACACGAGATACCTCGATGGAACTGATACGAGCACAAGTTAGTCCATAAGCTGTACCAATGATGATCCGTGGACCACGCGTGAGATCCGGCATCGGCCATGACGTTGTCGACTCCGGCAATGTGCTGCGTTGAGAGCGAAATGTTGAACCGAAACTCGGCCAATGATAGCAAACGGTTATGGAGTTGGGCGGCGGTGTTACGGCTGACACGCTTAGATCCCCCACGACACTGCACTTGTATTGTCGATGTGAAGACATACGGCACGGGTTCTTTTTCCTCAGGGCGCCTCCAACTCGGTCCCCAGTGAAGTACGGTGAGGACCGCGCTACGTGCTCGCGGACATTGATGGAGTGCTCGGTTGACTTCCCCTTGATTAGCAACTTTTCATGCTCGGTGAACTGGAGCGTCTATACTGTCTAAGAGCTGGTTCAAGCGCGCATATACCATCATCGGAGGCGTCCAGGAATACATGATGGGTCACAACGACGTCCTTGGCAAATAGAGAGACAGGAATCCCATTGAAGCGCACGGGGTTCTGGATAATGGATCTATCCTCCATGAGATCCGTCGGCACCTTTTGGGGGTTAAACCGAGAACACCGCGCTTCGAACGTCTGCAGACGTTGGTAGAAGGCGCAAGCCGGTGGAAAGCAAGTAGCTACGTAGCGCAACGAACCGAGGAGCTTAGAGAGAGACGAGCGCGACGTCTCTGCTCGTGAGACGGTGCCGTGTACTCTGGAAATGGCATTGTTCAGCTTTTCCGACGGGATTGAGACGAACCCGCGGCTTGTGTCTCAGTCTAGACCTACCGCACATCCCATGACGTGAACTTATTCGCGTTTAACGCTGTTGGTCCGAGCACCGTCGCCATTGCGTCTCGGAGTGCCAGGTTGGCCTTGAAACACCGGTCCCCTTCGTTGATTTCGATGCACGAGTGATCATCGCATCAGACATTACCGTGGAGTGGTTCTGCGAGGGAGAAATAATTCACATGATGCACCGTCTCGTACAGAAAATTGATAGCCGTTCCAGCCAGGGAATAGTATGCAGGAGAGCTACACCATCCGAAGCCGCAAGCGAGGTCAATAATAACGAAGCCTTCGAAGATGAATGCAAACATGTATACCTCGTCAGCGTCGATAGGAATGTGGCGGAAGGCGCCGGCCACATCACCGACCATCATCACCACTGCCTTTCCAAGGTGCAACGTTCGCAGCTCGTGGATCTGACGCGCGATGTCTGCACATGGGTTGTAGGTAATCACTGGGAATTCATCACGGGTGGTCATGTCGTTGACGGAGTCGCCTTCAGGGAATGAGTAGTCGTTGATCATACGCGTATCAACGCCGTCAGAATTCTGCTTTTCCACGATACCGAGAGGACTTACGTGAATCGCTGGCCACATTTCCAGTACGTTCTCCTCAAAAGCCAGGTACCGTCCGTCGCGCTGCTCTTTCCTTATGTGTCAGCGGATGCTGGCAGCCTCGTCAGCGATGGACCCATGGTTTTGAAGGCGCTGGCGCCGTCGGTTTGCACGGCCGCCGTACCACTTCGGCTTGACTCCGGTCCGGACGATGGCGTTCCATTGACGTATGGCTGACCGCATTGGTCCTGTTGGAGGGATTGGCACCTCAAAGAGGTCCTTGTTTGGCCGCGGGTCTGCACTCGTCTAGCCACGATAGATTCGCACAAATTCAGGAAGTGATATTTGTAGTCGTTTCGCTAGCTCTGACCACAACTTGGCGTGGTCGCTGTTGATTGTGGCCTCTTCGCCGTCGGTGGGGCCGATGTATTCTAGCCCGTGGTTTGCTGCAAGACTGCGGTGTTGATCTGCAATAGTTGCGCGATTGCTGAGTCGCACAGCGTCCAGGGTGGCGCACCGCCGGGCATAGTAAGTTGCTGCGTCTACCTCCGAGTCGCGCGCGACGCAGTCGACACACTTACTTGTCCTTGTAGTCTCGTCCCCACCGATGATCTGGGGGTATTGGCATGGCGTCAGAGGTCCCGGAATTGGCTCGCGAGGCCGTGGAAGCGTTTTTCGATTACTTTCCGTGCCGCAGTTGGAAGTGTGTTAGGCCGAAAGTGGCCTCGAGTGCAGCGCCCTGCATTCGTTGAGTCATACCGAGCTAGTCCGTCATCTTCGGCGGGGGAAACGAGAGGCACCATGCCCTCTGCGGCAAATTCCGGGCAGCGTGCGTCATCGGCGGCGGCGGGCTCGATTGAGCGCGCTTGGCGGCAGCTAGACCCGACGCGTTGCAGCAGCGCGAGCATCTCCGTCGCGTTCAAGCCCACCGAGCTGATACCTGCCCCCGGTTGCAATGCGTACATGAGGGGTTCCACGTTGATGACAGATGATGGGTCTGTCATCTTAACGCGACAAGACCTCTCGGTATTTCGCACAACCAGGTAGGCTTCGTCGTCCTCCATGTTGTATGTAGTTACGACTCCGTAGTACCAGTTGCCCATCTCGGGCCCGTCGGAGAGTACAACGGCGATCGGAAGGGACACGTATGACACTGTCCACCAGTTAGCTTCCGCGGGCGAGACCATGCGGGATGCAATGACGCTTGACGGGACTTTGGCTGTCCTGGCCAGCCGTGGGGGATCCGGGCCGGCGACGTTTACCGTTGCGGTGTCGTCGTGCAGCCTCGTCACCTCAACATACTGGGAACGAGTAAAGGCAGCATGCTGTAGTGGGCCCACGAACGCGAGCGATCCGACCTGGGGGTTGGCTTAAGACATGTTGGATGGACTTGGTGCTTCTGTCGATTCACCGACACTAAGGAAATTCTGGAGTGAGCTGTGGCGTGCCTGGAGGCGTCGCCTTGTCCTCGGGGGGGGGGGGGGGTGGGGGCTATCTAGGTCTAACGATGTAGACGGTTTCCTTGGATCTTGTCGCTACTGGAAATAGACTCATCCTTCGGATTGACCCCCCACCCCACCCCACCTTCACCCCACCCCCGCCCTGAGGGCTCCAGCAATTGATAGCATTCCCCACAAAAACTGCCAGGATGGGACGTTCACTGAAGTATGGTGTACCTTGTTATTTGGAAGTACCTAAGTACGATATATGTTATCGCAGACAACGATTTGGCTCGCCATGCAACCGCAGCGCCAATGTCTTTGCCTGGCTGAAACTATGCGCTTCACGCGGGCGTGTGTAAGATCTAGTTACTTGTCTAACAGTAAATGCTGTCCAAGCTAATGTTTTGCTGTCTTTCGCAAATAGGCCGGACAATATCATCATGACTGCGACTGCTCCCATCGCGAAATTTGACGCATGTACGAAGCCGGGCGTGCGGAACAAAACACGGTCTTGGATGGAGCTGATTCCAGAGGACAACCGCCGCATGCACCAACCTCAGATCGAAGCAAACAGGAACGAGGAACAGTACGAGGGATTTTGGGACTAATTGCTCGCCTATGGTGGTCGAATTGGTGTGTCCAAAGACATGGAGAACATGAGTTTTCTTGTCAACTCCAGCTCTGAAGCTGAGATGCTTGGATCTCATAGCAATCGGATGATTCTAGCCATCTGGCCCCTCTATTAGTTTGGATGGTTAACCAGCTGTGCAACGATTTGTGAACGGCCAATCCTAGGATTCTACGTTCTCTACTCGGCTACTTACTCATCCGAGACTTGGGCAGCACAGCGTCAGCAGCTCCGTGTCGCGAGCGGATGCGTCGGTCGCTATCGCCTGGTACAGCGTCGCCAGACGGTGCTGCGCGCTCAGCTCGTTCTGCAGCGCTTCCCCCTCGTGCACCTAGGAGGTTTGTAGCTCCTTCAGCGCCTCCTTTCCCTTGTTCAGCGCACTCTTCACGTTCTTGTTGGCCAGTCACACGCTCTGCACCCCCGCTTGGCCGACGTGGCCTCCTTTGTTCTACGGATCTTGACCTCCTCCAGGTCGGGAGTGTGCTTGACCAGGTCCAGGCGCAACTCCTGCACCGTCTTGGCCTAGTCGCTCACCTACGTATCGAGCCGCAGCAAGTGATGCTGGACCGCATCCGTCTCCTGTTTGACGCACGCCAGCGCGTACGTTAGAGGGGCCACCTGTGCCCCTGCTGGGCGGCGAGATCACCTTCTTAGTGATACTATGTAATACAACTGGACAACGAGATGGACGGCTATTACACATTTTGTGTTTGGAGTATTAAGGTGGAAGCTCACGGTGCGTTTAGGCTACGTCCAGGTGCAATTGATATTTGCAGAATTGTTTTGGTATAAAGTGGCGGTGGAGTTAATTTAGAGTGTTGTGGCTGGTTATGGTTTGTGTAGTGACCACGGTTGTAGATAAGTTCGTTTATTTCGTGAGGAGCAGGTGTTGTAACGGCTGGTGTAGTCTCGTTCTTGCTATTACAGCGCCGACTTGGGACAAGGATGCGCCGCTTTATCTGGGTTTATTTTTACCCCAAATTCGAGAAGGAAAAAATACTTCACTGTCTTCGACTTACAAAGGCCATTGGATGAATGCCGTTCAGCTGTTAACAAAAACGTTACAGTAGAATTCGCTCATGTACCAACATCCGTCGCATTTCTAAAGCTGCTGTGGTGGTTGCATTCGTCCAAACGCACTGCACCGGTGCCATATCCGCGTTAATACTTTTTCAAGTGTGATTGCGAAGGTGAACTGTTAAGCATGTTTATTCGGTTATGCTTCAACATGGGGATACTGGCCAACATATAATTGGTACGCAGCCATACTTGTTCAAGCGGCTAGCTTATCAAAAAGAGACGGTATCGCCCAGCATCAAAAATCAATCGAATTATCAAGAGAGTGGAACAAAGTACTGTCAAACGATATGTTGTCTCGCATGCATGTTACAATTGCATGCGCGAACCAGGTGCCTCATACGAAGCGATCCTGCTGCTAATGCCGATTTAGCCAGTATTGTTACTGGCCTTATGATTTTGAGCGGCATAACTAGGTTGGCCCCAATCGCGCAACGTTGCTCAATGATGTGCTTGGGGTACTGATTGGCATTATCGGATAGCAAGCACCAACCGAACGAGTTTATTGCGTTACCAACCTATCGGTACGCTGTCTGTAAATCCATTTCAGTCAGCACAAAAGAATCTTCTGGGTTTGATCGCTAGAATCAGACAGTGTAGATAACCAGTTTGGTCGCCGTTCTTAAATATTGGCCACGTTTTTCAGGCGCTGACCAATACTCAACAGCGGCACTAGGGCGCTCAAACAGATGGACACAAGACCCCAGTCGCCGGGACGCACACAGACCAAAGCTATTGCCATTATGGCTTGTTGACGCCTACTCAGGGCGCACAGCTATTGCCATAGTTACATACAACGCCCGTTGATACGTAAAAATACGTTAAGCCCCCAAACCATTTAGGTTCTCCAGTGATACTTGATATCCGCCCATAAAACGATCATTGAATATGGAGAGATATGCAACTTGTGGGATCCATCTTTGGCTAGATGAATTGCGATTCTACATCTAAAGTGAACGGCTTCTTGCAATACCGTAAATGATGTACGAACAAATGTAGTGACTTCGCTCGTAATAGAGTGTCAGGGTCAAGCGCGGAATTGGCACAGGACTTGATACGGTAGTGGTGTGCGTGGAGTGGCTCGTTCGAAGCGCTGCGCCACCGTGGTTATATCTGTGCACCGTGAGTTGGTGCAAACAAGCCATGGGGTTTGAATCTTCATATGTTAAACATTTGACACAATGAGGGAATAATGTGTCCACCAGTACCGCTGCGTCTGTAGCGTTGGCGACAGCGCTGGACATGGACGTAGGGAGCCACGCGATCATTCCCCCCATTTGTGTTAGTATTATTGCGCTGCTCAGACCCGTTCTACCACATAAGAAAACGGATCTACGCATTGCTGGTCGGCATCACCGCTGTGCACTGCTTTGGTCAGTTTTCCCCATTGTAGCTATATCGATAATTAAGAATTCTGAGAGGCACGTGACCACAACTGCCGGTTGTGTTGGCGTTGGTAAAGTAGAAAAAGTTTGTATCTATTGTTAATGAAGGTGTCCTACAGGACGTTATTATTGTTCGCTCATAAACGATAGTGAACTCTGGAATCCGAATTATTTCAAATGAGACAGAGATAGAGGCTTCTTGATTTCCTACAGAAGTGGCGTGCGATAGGCGATCGCTCCACAATCAACTGGTACAGAAACATGTCAATTTCATCCGGAAGGGCCGCTTTGCCTCCACGTGCATGGGTAAGGTCCCCCCCCCCCGGGGGGGGGGATTGTCACTACGCACAGAAGCACAGGGGCGCAACGGATGTGCTGCAAAACGAGGAACGCTTATTTTGCAGAGAACGTATAGACATCGCGAAATGTCCCAGTGGGCTATGAGGTAATGCGAAAACCACACTCGATCTGTGATTATCACACAGTGTGTCACACAATCATACTAACAGTTAATTGATTGGTGTTCATTCACTTTCAGACTTACCTCGCCCAGGGTGTCTCCGTTCCGCCCGTGCTGTTGTCCGCGCTCTCATCCGCGCCCAAGCAGCCGCTGTCTCCCGTGCCCGAGTTGCCGTTGTCGCCCGCGCTCGAGCTCTCGTCCTTGGTGCTGCTGTCTCCCGTACCCAAGCTGCCGCTGTCGCTCGAGCTGTCCCTGTCGTTTGTGCGCTCGAGATCAGGCCCAAGCTGTCGCTGTCGGCCGAGTTCTTGCCCATGCAGTCGCCCAAGCCCCGAGCAGTTGCTATCACTGTTGCTGGCACCCGGGCAGTAACTGCTGCTGCCACGGGTGTTCGTGCCCTAGCTGTTGCCAGTCCGTCACATCAGCTCGTCCCTCTACCCTGCATTAGTGTAGGTAGGCTTGTAACGTAATGGACCATTTCACTAAATTGGTACGTCTCGTTACAGAGGGCGATTTTTGTGGTCGCAAGGTTAACATGAAGAAGCTACTGGCAAAGCTGAAAAGGTCGCAAGACCTGTATAGGCAGGGCCCGTTTTCCTTGGCCGCGGTGGCGAAGCCGGACGTTGCCCTACTTGTTTTCTGCGGTGCAAGTAACGACGTCGTGAGTTACCAAGACGAGGCGTTGCCCTCTACGACTGAGCATATAAGGCAGGAGCTAAGACTCTCTAGGAATGAGCGTGTCATCGACTACATTCGTGACACTGCTCAGGCTAATATAGACGAGTTTGGCTCAGGCCCGGTTGATCAGTGTACGCTTCGGTTGTCTGGCTTTCGACTCGCTTTTTCTTTGAGCCCAACCAAGCCTATTTCTAGCCCCTCGAAATTTGGGGTCAGGTGGGCAGTCGCGAAAGCGCCATGCACGTGGATCGCGGGCGCACGGTGGCGTTCATGCCTCCATGTCTGGAGCAGACATTTAAAATCTTGGTGTTTTTTCGGGTCCCCAAACATGCGCGGAATCTACGCGCAAAAAAAACGGCAGATTCCTATAACAAGATGCTGGAGGACCCACACACTTGTGTGATCGGCCAACGTCCTGGAGATGTGGTTTACGCTACTAACCAAGTGTATCATGCGGTGTTATTGGGCTACAAGAAAGGCTATACGAAAGATGATGATAAGTGGGGAATTATCGGCGGAAACATCGTATTGAAAGCTGAAGATCACGGGGCTGCATTACGGTACGTATCGGGATCGACAATTGGGGTTTCCAAGGGCTCGAGAGTGGCGTGGTTAAGAGTTCTATCGGCTTTTACGCATATGGAGGGACGCGGATGGAGTGAGGAGAATTTTGAGGAGGAGAAGCAGCGATTTCTTCAACGGCGAAGCGTGGACCCTCTCTTTGTTGTCCGCAGCGCTAGTGCATACACTCGGTACTCAAAGAAAAGGAAGCGAACGGCTATCTTAGCCGCTGCCAGGGCTGCTAAAAAGTAGTACAAATACTAGATATGTTGTTTAATATAATAGCTTTCTATCGTGGTATTATGATATTTGTACAAGAGTATGTATGTTGAAGTACGCTGCATTTTCAGTTGAAGCTATGGTAAGATACAATAGTAGATTTGTATGGACAAGAAATAGTTTGCTAGAAATGCACCCTGGGAGTTGATTTACGCTATAGATCAAAACTATGCTGATACACGTTGGCGTTACCATGAACATGACATAACGTACCGTCTAATTGGAATCTAACTGCCATTGGGAAACCTAGTTTTCTCGCGATTTCAACACCGTTGACAATTATAGCACTTTACTTGCACCCTACGTGCATCATTAACCTTAATGCATGCTACTTTTACATGACCATATAGGTCTTTAGACATCAATTACGTTTGATAATACTCACAATTGAAAAACCAACAGCTGATGTATTCTTGTAGCCAAATCAAAACTCAGTGTCACAATGGGCATTTCAATTTGTACCCCTGGTGCGTAACGAGATGGTTCAGCTATCGGTGGCGCTTTATCGTTGTGGTCTTCCTTGAATCTGCGTATTGTATAGAGTGGATCGGGTATTTAAACGTATGACTGCCTTTCAGTCTGAATTTCGTCAACATCTAATCTTTGATTGAGATAAACAGCCAGCGATTAACTATTCATATCGAGAAAGAAGATTTACAGATTTACAGTCTCGTATACTGCGCTTTGGCTTATAACTTATCTTCGGGGCGCAACAACAAACTAAGAACATCGTATAGCTCTTAATCCACAATCACCGTTTGAGCTGGGGTACAAATTCAAAGTCAAGATTTCTTGCAAAAAGTCTTCATTTGATCAAAGGTAACAAAACCAATGTTTCTAGATTAACCTTCCTATCACGGGTGGGGGGGGGGGACAAAGTGTTATCAAGACTATTCGCGATTCAGATAGAACCAACACAATCGTGGACATAGGGGTGCAAATTGAAAAAGGTAAAGTTCCAACTTTGCAAATCTTCAACTTAAGGTCATGACGTTGAAGTAATGTTGGGGTACAATTAGAGCAATGTGGAACCCCTTCAATATCAACAAGTTAAAGCTGCGGTACTATACAATCTATAGTACCTCTAGAACAGTTTGCTTTTCACGGATCAGAGATGCAGGAGACATCAACATGCAATCAGGGGTGCAAAACCAAAATGTAACTAAATATTCATGAAATCAGGACCTTTTCTAGGAAGCTACTCCAGCGACAACGCGGGTCCTACTGTGGCGGGTCTTCCACCAACACGCTTCCTTCTGTTGAAAAAACACTCGCTTCGGCTCCGGCACCCCAGGGATAGGAAGTTTGGCTAGCCGCAAACAGGTAACTGAGTGCACACAAGCTCCATATTTATTCCACGATCGGCAAGGGCAAACCTTTGTTTCCAGGTCGAACTTCCAGCCGTCAACCGGCTGATCTTCGATCTCCATCAGATTCTTGTTTTTCGTTTTCAACGCCGGGCACAACTTCTTCCAGGTAGCGCTTTCGTCGACAGTATGTGTAGGGTCTTCTCGCTGACAGAACTTCATGATATTGTCCGAAGCCTTCCATGAGAAACATGATGCTGGTGCGTTGAGGCATATAGGTCTTTAGACATCAATTACGTTTGATAATACTCACAATTGAAAATCCAACAGCTGATGTATTCTTGTAGCCAAATCAAAACTCAGTGTCACAATGGGCATTTCAATTTGTACCCCTGGTGCGTAACGAGATGGTTCAGCTATCGGTGGCGCTTTATCGTTGTGGTCTTCCTTGTATCTGCGTATTGTATAGAGTGGATCGGGTATTTAAACGTATGACTGCCTTTCAGTCTGAATTTCGTCAACATCTAATCTTTGATTGAGATAAACAGCCAGCGATTAACTATTCATATCGAGAAAGAAGATTTACAGATTTACAGTCTCGTATACTGCGCTTTGGCTTATAACTTATCTTCGGGGCGCAACAACAAACTAAGAACATCGTATAGCTCTTAATCCATAATCACCGTTTGAGCTGGGGTACAAATTCAAAGTCAAGATTTCTTGCAAAAAGTCTTCATTTGATCAAAGGTAACAAAACCAATGTTTCTAGATTAACCTTCCTATCACGGGTGGGGGGGGGGACAAAGTGTTATCAAGACTATTCGCGATTCAGATAGAACCAACACAATCGTGGACATAGGGGTGCAAATTGAAAAAGGTAAAGTTCCAACTTTGCAAATCTTCAACTTAAGGTCATGACGTTGAAGTAATGTTGGGGTACAATTAGAGCAATGCGGAACCCCTTCAATATCAACAAGTTAAAGCTGCGGTACTATACAATCTATAGTACCTCTAGAACAGTTTGCTTTTCACGGATCAGAGATGCAGGAGACATCAACATGCAATCAGGGGTGCAAAACCAAAATGTAACTAAATATTCATGAAATCAGGACCTTTTCTAGGAAGCTACTCCAGCGACAACGCGGGTCCTACTGTGGCGGGTCTTCCACCAACACGCTTCCTTCTGTTGAAAAAACACTCGCTTCGGCTCCGGCACCCCAGGGATAGGAAGTTTGGCTAGCCGCAAACAGGTAACTGAGTGCACACAAGCTCCATATTTATTCCACGATCGGCAAGGGCAAACCTTTGTTTCCAGGTCGAACTTCCAGCCGTCAACCGGCTGATCTTCGATCTCCATCAGATTCTTGTTTTTCGTTTTCAACGCCGGGCACAACTTCTTCCAGGTAGCGCTTTCGTCGACAGTATGTGTAGGGTCTTCTCGCTGACAGAACTTCATGATATTGTCCGAAGCCTTCCATGAGAAACATGATGCTGGTGCGTTGAGGCATATAGGTCTTTAGACATCAATTACGTTTGATAATACTCACAATTGAAAATCCAACAGCTGATGTATTCTTGTAGCCAAATCAAAACTCAGTGTCACAATGGGCATTTCAATTTGTACCCCTGGTGCGTAACGAGATGGTTCAGCTATCGGTGGCGCTTTATCGTTGTGGTCTTCCTTGTATCTGCGTATTGTATAGAGTGGATCGGGTATTTAAACGTATGACTGCCTTTCAGTCTGAATTTCGTCAACATCTAATCTTTGATTGAGATAAACAGCCAGCGATTAACTATTCATATCGAGAAAGAAGATTTACAGATTTACAGTCTCGTATACTGCGCTTTGGCTTATAACTTATCTTCGGGGCGCAACAACAAACTAAGAACATCGTATAGCTCTTAATCCATAATCACCGTTTGAGCTGGGGTACAAATTCAAAGTCAAGATTTCTTGCAAAAAGTCTTCATTTGATCAAAGGTAACAAAACCAATGTTTCTAGATTAACCTTCCTATCACGGGTGGGGGGGGGACAAAGTGTTATCAAGACTATTCGCGATTCAGATAGAACCAACACAATCGTGGACATAGGGGTGCAAATTGAAAAAGGTAAAGTTCCAACTTTGCAAATCTTCAACTTAAGGTCATGACGTTGAAGTAATGTTGGGGTACAATTAGAGCAATGCGGAACCCCTTCAATATCAACAAGTTAAAGCTGCGGTACTATACAATCTATAGTACCTCTAGAACAGTTTGCTTTTCACGGATCAGAGATGCATGAGACATCAACATGCAATCAGGGGTGCAAAACCAAAATGTAACTAAATATTCATGAAATCAGGACCTTTTCTAGGAAGCTACTCCAGCGACAACGCGGGTCCTACTGTGGCGGGTCTTCCACCAACACGCTTCCTTCTGTTGAAAAAACACTCGCTTCGGCTCCGGCACCCCAGGGATAGGAAGTTTGGCTAGCCGCAAACAGGTAACTGAGTGCACACAAGCTCCATATTTATTCCACGATCGGCAAGGGCAAACCTTTGTTTCCAGGTCGAACTTCCAGCCGTCAACCGGCTGATCTTCGATCTCCATCAGATTCTTGTTTTTCGTTTTCAACGCCGGGCACAACTTCTTCCAGGTAGCGCTTTCGTCGACAGTATGTGTAGGGTCTTCTCGCTGACAGAACTTCATGATATTGTCCGAAGCCTTCCATGAGAAACATGATGCTGGTGCGTTGAGGCATATAGGTCTTTAGACATCAATTACGTTTGATAATACTCACAATTGAAAAACCAACAGCTGATGTATTCTTGTAGCCAAATCAAAACTCAGTGTCACAATGGGCATTTCAATTTGTACCCCTGGTGCGTAACGAGATGGTTCAGCTATCGGTGGCGCTTTATCGTTGTGGTCTTCCTTGTATCTGCGTATTGTATAGAGTGGATCGGGTATTTAAACGTATGACTGCCTTTCAGTCTGAATTTCGTCAACATCTAATCTTTGATTGAGATAAACAGCCAGCGATTAACTATTCATATCGAGAAAGAAGATTTACAGATTTACAGTCTCGTATACTGCGCTTTGGCTTATAACTTATCTTCGGGGCGCAACAACAAACTAAGAACATCGTATAGCTCTTAATCCACAATCACCGTTTGAGCTGGGGTACAAATTCAAAGTCAAGATTTCTTGCAAAAAGTCTTCATTTGATCAAAGGTAACAAAACCAATGTTTCTAGATTAACCTTCCTATCACGGTGGGGGGGGGGGACAAAGTGTTATCAAGACTATTCGCGATTCAGATAGAACCAACACAATCGTGGACATAGGGGTGCAAATTGAAAAAGGTAAAGTTCTAACTTTGCAAATCTTCAACTTAAGGTCATGACGTTGAAGTAATGTTGGGGTACAATTAGAGCAATGCGGAACCCCTTCAATATCAACAAGTTAAAGCTGCGGTACTATACAATCTATAGTACCTCTAGAACAGTTTGCTTTTCACGGATCAGAGATGCAGGAGACATCAACATGCAATCAGGGGTGCAAAACCAAAATGTAACTAAATATTCATGAAATCAGGACCTTTTCTAGGAAGCTACTCCAGCGACAACGCGGGTCCTACTGTGGCGGGTCTTCCACCAACACGCTTCCTTCTGTTGAAAAAACACTCGCTTCGGCTCCGGCACCCCAGGGATAGGAAGTTTGGCTAGCCGCAAACAGGTAACTGAGTGCACACAAGCTCCATATTTATTCCACGATCGGCAAGGGCAAACCTTTGTTTCCAGGTCGAACTTCCAGCCGTCAACCGGCTGATCTTCGATCTCCATCAGATTCTTGTTTTTCGTTTTCAACGCCGGGCACAACTTCTTCCAGGTAGCGCTTTCGTCGACAGTATGTGTAGGGTCTTCTCGCTGACAGAACTTCATGATATTGTCCGAAGCCTTCCATGAGAAACATGATGCTGGTGCGTTGAGGCATATAGGTCTTTAGACATCAATTACGTTTGATAATACTCACAATTGAAAAACCAACAGCTGATGTATTCTTGTAGCCAAATCAAAACTCAGTGTCACAATGGGCATTTCAATTTGTACCCCTGGTGCGTAACGAGATGGTTCAGCTATCGGTGGCGCTTTATCGTTGTGGTCTTCCTTGTATCTGCGTATTGTATAGAGTGGATCGGGTATTTAAACGTATGACTGCCTTTCAGTCTGAATTTCGTCAACATCTAATCTTTGATTGAGATAAACAGCCAGCGATTAACTATTCATATCGAGAAAGAAGATTTACAGATTTACAGTCTCGTATACTGCGCTTTGGCTTATAACTTATCTTCGGGGCGCAACAACAAACTAAGAACATCGTATAGCTCTTAATCCATAATCACCGTTTGAGCTGGGGTACAAATTCAAAGTCAAGATTTCTTGCAAAAAGTCTTCATTTGATCAAAGGTAACAAAACCAATGTTTCTAGATTAACCTTCCTATCACGGTGGGGGGGGGGGACAAAGTGTTATCAAGACTATTCGCGATTCAGATAGAACCAACACAATCGTGGACATAGGGGTGCAAATTGAAAAAGGTAAAGTTCCAACTTTGCAAATCTTCAACTTAAGGTCATGACGTTGAAGTAATGTTGGGGTACAATTAGAGCAATGCGGAACCCCTTCAATATCAACAAGTTAAAGCTGCGGTACTATACAATCTATAGTACCTCTAGAACAGTTTGCTTTTCACGGATCAGAGATGCAGGAGACATCAACATGCAATCAGGGGTGCAAAACCAAAATGTAACTAAATATTCATGAAATCAGGACCTTTTCTAGGAAGCTACTCCAGCGACAACGCGGGTCCTACTGTGGCGGGTCTTCCACCAACACGCTTCCTTCTGTTGAAAAAACACTCGCTTCGGCTCCGGCACCCCAGGGATAGGAAGTTTGGCTAGCCGCAAACAGGTAACTGAGTGCACACAAGCTCCATATTTATTCCACGATCGGCAAGGGCAAACCTTTGTTTCCAGGTCGAACTTCCAGCCGTCAACCGGCTGATCTTCGATCTCCATCAGATTCTTGTTTTTCGTTTTCAACGCCGGGCACAACTTCTTCCAGGTAGCGCTTTCGTCGACAGTATGTGTAGGGTCTTCTCGCTGACAGAACTTCATGATATTGTCCGAAGCCTTCCATGAGAAACATGATGCTGGTGCGTTGAGGTCGCACTGTCCACAGACAGTTGTGGTTCTCCAGAAATTTGATAGCGGTCGAGTATTGTTCGATTAGGGGTAGCTTGTAAGCCAAAAGGGCTTTCATCACGCGACCAATGACGACACATCATCTGGAGCCGATCCATAAGTCCGACAAGCTTAGTCGAGCTAAAGAAGGTATAGACCTGCTTTATCGACCTGTTAAAAGTCTCAACTGGGTTGTAGGTCGTAGCGTAACCAGGCGGAGTCCAGAACACGCCCCAATTTGCAAAAACCGAATTCAGCCACTGCTTCTTGACATACTTCGCAAACTTAGCGAGTACAGGGTCATCACCCCAAACACTCAAAGCCTTCTTTGAAAAACTTTCAAATTCATCTTCAGACCGCGCGAAATGCATCAAATACAGGTACCGGTACACCTGGGAAATCGACTTGCCGAATAGTTTCGAGACATGCTCTCCCACGTTTTTTACAACATGAAAGAAACACATGAGGAATACCAAGTTTTCGGGATTGCGGGTCTTCAGAGCAACGGCAGACTGAACAGCATTGTACTGTGCTTTGTCGGCATCGGCCACGCAGAACCGGATCTCGGGCAGTTCTCCAGTCAAAACGCGGTACATATCAAAGATCTCCACCAAAACATTATGGATAATGGGTCCAGTAACTTGTGAGGTGATAAAAATCGCAACAGAGTGAAAACTGCGAGCCCGATCCGAAACCCGCAGTACAATAGTTGGATATCCAGACTGGTTCAGCTTGTACGTAGCATCGATGTGAAAAATGTGCTCGTTCGCATAGCTCAGTGTCTTCAGCATAAACGGTGTTGACACACCAACAACAAGCGGGGGCTCGTCCGTACCGTATCCAAAACTCGATTTTCCACCTTCAACTTTGTAGCCAAAAATGAACGGGTCGATACCGCCAATTTCGTCGTGACACTTCAGTCCAGTAGCCAGAATCTCAATGTCTTCCACAAAATCACTCTCTTTCAGGCGAGGCCGCTTGAGGTGCCCTATAAAATGCTGAACTTGGCTCAGCTTCGGCGCTGCACCTTTTTCAGGCTCAAATTTGTCACGAATGTCATGTCGAACCCGCTTGGGCTTAGCCCGATTTCCCAACAGTTGAGACGCGAAGCGCTTCATACTGCGCGTCAGCTTGGGCCTTTTTGGCGACTCGGAGGTGGTATGATGCTTCCCGCTGATAAAGACGTCGCTCTTAGTCGTCACCTGACACGTCAATACTTTGGCTCGCCATGAACATTTCTACTCGGAAAAGTTCCGACTGGCATTGTATAATCCGGTATTCATACTAGTGCGACTCTAGATTTAATTCACACATCTGGCACCTGACAACGTTGCATGTATTCGTGAAGTGTGCCTTGCAGCTATCTAACCACTCGTCCAGCCCTTCTTCGCTCAGACCCGCTGCCACTTGAGTCCAGTTATACGCATGCTGCTGCGCTTGCTTCTCCATCTCCGCTCTTGAGTAAAATATGAATGGCACGCACCACCACACGCATTTACCTTCTAAATAAGTTTGGGTTATTTTAACTGAAATGAGAGGAGTGCCATTGTCTCGTCGTTACAGTATGTGTGTTAAGCCTGCTGTTTTTGCGTTCGTCGGACCATTACTGTGATTGCTTTACGATTTGTTTGATTGTCTCTATTTCTTGTTTGATTTTGAGGTGTCCTCGTGGGCTATGCAGTAGTGGCTGGAAATCGGGATGGGATGGCCAATAAGCTCAGCGTGAACATAGTTGATATGGAAGTCGGTGGTCGTGGTGCAGGGGGCGGCTGTGGCAATCGCAAAAAGAAGCAAACATATGCACATGATAAAGGGTGGAAAAACGAAGATGCTCAATTTTCAAACCACTTGATGATCATACGGCTACGAACGCCACTGCTTCCGCTTCGGCTTTTTTGCATCCAAGTCAGAGATGTAGGGTTTAGAGTTTTCGTGGTTGTGGGGACTTTGCAGGAATGGCTAACGCTCCATCGAGGCCTAAGGGTGGTTTAGGAATTTCGGATCTTTATATCTGTCCGCAGCCCAAACGCACACATGAAAAGAAGATGTCTTCTTTGCATGCGCCCTAAGTGGTATTCTATTAGCGTGATGGGGGCTTAGGTTCTGAAAATAACTGGGGCGGTGCGTACAGTTTCGACACTTACACCACCCTTGGTGGTATTTTCGTAGCCGGTCCGACCACAGAGCATGTCAGTCGTGCTGTTCAGATTTGAGTTGTTAAAAACAGTATTGCACCTATAAGTGAGAAAAATGTAAACGTGCGTAAATGACGTAGCTGATATGCTGGCTTGATGTAATGGCTAAAGGCGTGGCGCGTATGAACATGATTGCCCAGCAAGACAATGTTATTTACCGGAATGAATACAACAAGAACGAGAAACAGCGCGCTGTTACGAAAGCGCTATAGCCCTTACCCATACCTTAATCTAGTTCCGACCATCTAGCAGAATCGGGATACCACATCCAGCTAATATCCCGCGTTTTGTTCAACTCAACGTGATTGCCTGGAAAACCTACCCATAATATGAGAAAGTTTGCACTTTCCTGAGAACTTAAGGAGTGACATTAGTCTGTAAATTTTATCCATTTCCTACAGAAATCCCAATATTTATAGGATTTATATGGGTGCGTGAAACCCCAATAGCGTTCCAATATGTTCGTGCTGCACATTTTCGGGAAGCTTGGGCTAAAACCAATTGAATTAAAGTGTTTTTACTTTTTACGTGTGATTTTTACATTCCAATTTTGAATCTCTGGTTAGGTACGAAAATAAATTGGTCAACTTCAAACGCGATTATCTCGTAAAAATTAAATGGTTCTAAGCAATATGCTGTTTGATGCGGTCGCATAAGAGCAATTTGCAACGTAAAATGTTTGATGAAGCACTTCAGCTTGTGCATATTACTTGCAAACATTTGCATCGATGGCATAGTTGGGGAGACTGCACAAGAATGAAAATACCGTCTACGGTTAGCTTAGTCTAGCAATCTCGATCTGTTTGTATATAATTCGCAGTCGTGCTTTTACAACGACGGCCGTATACTTGACCGATGTGCGCATATCTGCTAGATCTCGGTTCGGTTTGCTAACGACTACGTCGTTTTCAACTTCTACTATCTTGTACATCGTGGCGGCGTGTGTGGACGCCATTTAAGGGAGATCAGCAGATCGCCGATTCCCGGGTTGATCCACTATCTCCTCCCGCGTCATTCCAAGACACTTAAGCTTCACCATGACCGGCATTTTCGGAGCCTCGAAAAGGCTAATCCAGCCGGTCGACAGGTACATCAGGTGAGCAAAAAAAATAAAAACAGAAGAAGTAGGGGTAGTCAATGAACCTCCATAACTTTGTCGAGACGGTAAGCGCGCTGGGGGCAAGGTGAAACATTTATTTGAGTCACGCGACTTTTAATGAGCTTCGTGCTACCCCAAAACGGTCCACAAGATGTTGTTATCTCAATCTAGGTCACCGGATCTAGATGCAGCACCGACTCGATATTTTCGCGCTTGCCAATTGCCCTAAGCAATGAATCGTTCTGCGCAAGCATGGAAGAGTCAGTTGGCACCGTGTCTTCGACGTCTTCGAAGGCATTCGACACCTTGGGCGCCCCAGCTTCAACGTTCGAGTGGTAACTAGGGGTTTAAGCGTGCTTGCCAAATGAAACTGTACGGGACAGTAGCCAACAGCGCAAAAATGTTGTATTTCTAGAAGCGAACGATGAAAGTACTTTGACATTCCCACGACGTCGGAGCTTTCCCATGTCCGGCTGTGCATCAATCCTGAGACTGACTTAAGAATAGTTCTCCATCAGCAGCCTCACGTTCCACCAGCAAGGCATCCTGTCATCATTTCGCAGCAGCATTGAACGAGGTCTCCAACATGTTGTCATCGATTAAAGAAGCGGAAATGATAATATCGGGGTTACGAGGTGCTCGTTAAATTAACATTTTAATACGTTCAATGTCACTCTTTCGTAAGCCCGACCTAGATAAGAAAGGAAAATAAAAATAAGTACCATACATAGAAGTACGCAATAGTGTCCCAGAGCTTGCCATAATAAATCGGCCTGCCAGCAACAACCACGCGCAGCTCATTTTACGTAGACCCACAGCCACTTCAGTGCTCGCTTCTTCCACACGGATTAGCATTATGATAGCTCGAATAGTCGCTTGGATCTCGGCCCGTTTTGGATTGTTTGATATAGAATCAAAATGACGACATTTTGGCTTGATTTCGATCAAGTATAGAGGAGGTGGATACTATACAAATGCAGCTAAATGTTCCTAGGTATTGTCCTTGTGATGTGAAAGGTCTCAATGCCTTTTTTCGATGCCTTTATTGCAGGGTTGGACTTTCTGACTGGGTGGAACGCGCCCAGAAGGCATACATGCGCGACCCGGACCGAGTTGTCATCAGCCCCACCACCATGTGGTGTCGCGAGCATATGAACCACATTTCAAATACCGCCTCGCCTATCAAGCTGACGATAGTGGAAGCCGTGCTAAACGATGCGCAAGCAGGCGTCTAGTACAGGCTACACGAACCTGATCAGCCACCTCGTGACAAGCACCCCGGTTACACCGAGTCCGCTTGAAGCGAGCCAGCACGCGCCTGGACAAACGCTCGAAGCGCATGGGTTCGTCGACCAGCGCACGATGGAGATCTACAAGTGGATAGAGTGGATCATTGCCAGGAACCAAACGCTGAGTGAGGCGGACGATCCGATGACACGCTCATGAGCCACGCTGAAGCCCGTCTCGCCGAAGACGCTGGTGCTCTACATGCGTCATGTGCGCCAAGGTGGGTGACCGAATTGCGGCCGACATAGGCTCCCAATCTGGCATCACGTTCGACGGCTGGGCCCCTGGGACGTTAACATTTTTTTAGTATGGCATGTAATAAGTACGGATATATATCACATAACTGCATACTTAATGTCATCAAATCTATTATCCTCAAATCCTCTTAGCTAGACATTTGTATGTATCACCCTTCCCAGTAAGTACATGTTTCCATACACAACCCTGGTCCTTGGAGGGTAAATAATGGTAAACGTTTTAATGTTTGCTAAAAAAACGCATACGAAACCAAGCAGACATTCTCTTGTCGACCAACGTAGAGAAACGCTATGGCATGGTGGATGGTACAATATGTTGCAAAACTGAGCCAGGTTTCCGTTCAATAAAACACTTGCTAGTTGAATCAAGTGGGATCCTTGGACGGCAACGTCGCAGAGGCTTTGTGGCACGTTACCCGAAAATGCCAAGTTGATTGTGGCACTGGTCGGGGCTGACGGTGGGTGAGGGACACCACTCCTAGCGTTGCCGAGTTGTACATGGTGATACCTCCGAGATGTGATGGCACTACAAGTGCCGTATCTGGTGCTATAATACTGCCGATTGCTGCTTGGTTGTGACAAAATTTTGGACTCTCTATAGTCACTAAAATAGCCAAACCTGAACTCGAAATAGGCAAAAACGAAAACTATCGATCGATTCTCGTGCAAAAAATGTACTGTCTTCAGGTATCCGTTTTCAGTCGCCGTCCATTACTGGCGTGACGCATCTCTACGCGCGGTTCACGTGCAGCCACTTCACAGAGCTAAGTTTTACATAGGAAGCAGCTTGACCCTCTGCGTACGGAATGCACATACTTCCGTGTTCGTGGTGCCACTGCAGAATGTATATATGCCCAGCGCGTGCGGCCTTGATCATAGCTGCCCAAGCGCATTCAAAACGGTATTCCCCCAAATACTTGACGACATCAAGGTTCTCGACAGAAACCTAATCCATTGTTTTGGTGGATACCAGGAGGAGAGGTGTTATGCAAACAGCTCCACGGATGCCATTGACGACGTGTCGGCCAACGGACACCTGACTTTCATCAAGTACCTGAACGAGAAGTCCGAAGCGAACTGGGCTATACGCGCTATCAACGCGACATCGAGGAGTATACACTTGAACATCGTCAAGGATCTGACCACGATCAGCGAGCGACCCGTTACCAAGGCCACCTGGATGTCGTCAAGTACCTACACGACAACGGGTATGACTGGGTGTGAAGGCCTTATATGGCTAGAGGCGCCCTGAAATTGTGGAGAGGGTTCGTGGCAATGAGGCAAACTGCTGTAAGTGTACAACACAAGCGGAATTGCGATCTCGCAAACGCACCCCATTGAGGCGGAAATAATGCAGCAAAAGAGCAACTTTTTGGCGGAGCGCGCTCGATTCGAGACTAAGTTGCTTTCCAGGGAGTGTGACGTGTCTACAGTGAGCAGTGCACTGGGGTTTGGCCCAACCAGAGTAGGTGCCATGGCCGGAGTTGCAAGCTGGGCGGTCGATGAGTAAAACTGGCGAAGTTGGACAAGTTGAGCTGGGCCCAGTTGCTGTACTATTGACCGTCCCGACTGGAACCTATACACTGGTGCTCACAGACCCTTTCTGTACAAACCCAAGGGTAGCAGTGATAGCGGGGCTGGCTGCTGACTCTTGCAAAAAGTAGTCTTCTTGATAGATGATGTCCTCCCCGGGTAGATAGCACTGCACTCGGAAGTGGAGTTACAGGTTGTAGATAAACTCGGTGCTGCAACCAGCGAGGAAGGGTATTTCAAGGGGCATCATATTTTCGCAGAAGCGGTCAGTCACTTTGGCGGGGATGCGACTCGCCATGTGCACGATCCGGAAGCTCCCCAGGCTGCTCATTTTGGATGAAATTTGGAGCGCAGGAGACATGGAAGAGTGATGACTCACAACAAGCGCAGGCACTGTTGTCTCGTCTGAACTGGCGATAATGCGGGGATTGAAGAAGAACATACTTATAGTATACCAGACATATGTGGTGTAGCGGGATCGGCCAAAATCGGGTTAAGGCCTGATCGAGCTTCCCACCAGGGCCCAGACACCGACTAACGGAGGGGCCCCCCCAACGATCCGTGATCGGCTGAACTTGTTGTCACCTTTTGTACCCGTGTCGGCGGGCTGGATATGCTCTCTCGGGGCTCCGAAGATGCAACACTTGGTGAAGATCGAGTGTCTTGGCGTAACGCGGCGATAGTTTGTGGAGCAGCGCGGTAGTCTTCGCTCTGCGTCCGAGTATACACTCCGATCGAGGGTTCTTCGCTGCGATCGGTAGACCTGGAGTTGATCCAAGGCCGCCAGGACGGCACCGTGCGCGAGCTGACCGCGAGCCTGCACGACTTGGAGCGCCACCGCTGGGCGCAAGAGGGAGAGATCCGCCACCTTCAGACTGAAGTCAGCGACCTTCAACAGAGTGCCCAGGGTGAAGGTCCGCAGCTGATCCAAGGCCACCGGGATCCGATAGCCCTGCAAGCCGCCGAGATCCAGAATCTAGATCGCCGGCTGACGCGCGCTCAGGCCAATCTCGCGACTGGTAGCGCCCATCGTGATCGACTGGACCGCCAGCTCGATCTCGCCGCGGCGGACATTTCGGATCTCCGATCGCAGGTTTCTGGGCAAGAGCGCGAGCTAGACGAGGTGAACCACGAACTAGACCTTACGCGCGGCAGCCTCGATCGGGCCCAAACTGCCGTTCAGGTGGCCGAAGCGACCGTGGCCCAGCGAGGTCACGTTGCGGCCGCGGCCACTCCGGCCGTTCCGACCCCGACGCCTCCCACCGGACCCACGCCCGACCAGGATCGACTGCAAGCTACCCTCCGCCGAGTGAATGAGATGCTGGATTTGATGCGTACCGCCCGGGATACCGCGAGAGACCAAGCCACCGCTTCCGTGAGAGACGTCGATCAAGCTCATCAGGACCGCGATGCTGCACTCCGAGAGAGCGCCGATCTCCGTACGAAAGCTTCCCGTACCACCTATTCCGTTGTCGATCGCTGCTCATACTGTCGCTTCGAGGAGTGTGTCAAGTTTGAGATGATGTTCGAAGAACTCGACACACTGAAATATCGAGTCGGCTCCGTGACTGGCGTTCTCATCGTCTGCGCCACTCGCTATTCAAGTGAGATTCAGGCCAGCTTCGGCCCCAGCGGCTCGACTGCTCTTGTCCCGCCTAAACCATTGTGCTTTAAGCATATCTTGCTGCTGAACGTGGCAACACCCGATATGCGAGCACGTTTTTCGGTTTCTCGAAGCAGCCTGCCCTGAAGCAAGTAGTCGAAGACGTTATCGCAAAACCTAAGCAAAAATCGGCGTAAATGGCTGGTGCGATCACTGACTCGCGGACACAGTAAACCAACTCGATCGTAGTTGTCCGATCTCGCAATTTAATCCGCAGCTTCATACATAACAACCTTGTTATTTTTGCGTTCACTTGAGCCACGATTGTTTGCAGTTTTGCGACGAATACAATACACTACTTGAATCGAAAGAACCGGTTAATCCGATGCACAGGATACTTGATTATCCAACTTTATGACATGATACCATGGTTGTTGATCATCTCGATTGCCGCGATGCCAATTGCAAACATTTTGTTGCGGGAACCAAATGCTGGTCTCACTCCGAATTTCGCCGCGCAGATACTCCTGCAGTTAGCTCGCTTTGTGTTCGCGATTGCAGCTCTTCTCGCTGTATGCATATCCTTCGCCCGTGGCGGCGGTGTAAGAGATCTGGAGACCAAACCCAGCAGAACGTCTGCTGACGCTCGTGAGAGGGTGAGTGGCTTCTTGAGACCCAATAATGTTCTGATGATTCCACGCGTGAAGAGAGAGGCTCGCTGTTCTCCAGTCTGAAAGAAGGTTTGCTCAAGAAAAGCCCCACCCAAAGCTAGCAGCTCTCAGAGACTTCTAGCAGTGTGAAGAAAGCTATGCGTAAAGAAGCTTCCGCTCTCCAACACGCGGAGAAACTGTTCGAGACGCCTGGTCGATATGCTGAAGGCTGCTGAGAAGAAGCAACCTGGAATCATTGCAAGGTCCGAGTCGTTGGTGCAGGATAACCCGAGTATCGTAGAGGCGCTTAAGAATAGCCCACCCGCCGAGCGCGCTGCCAAAGCCATCGTGAAGGGTCCTTACAAGCGCGAGATTCATTGCCGATCCGTCGCAGGCGCTCTTCTGGCTTTTGCGGCTACCTTCGGCTTTTCTGCCATTGCGGTATTAGCTAGCAAATAGCGAGTCAAGACACGCATATGAAGTAGGGATGGATCGACCATTAAATGGGTAAGCATTTTTGTCTTAAACTCATGCACTAGCTTCTGGTGATATCATGGAAGCCCCCCCTACTAATCTTGGTAATCGGCTTCACGAATTGACTCTCGTGTTCTTCATCAACTCCGCCAGCGTCGCCGTGTCGGTGGCAGCCCCCACTGCAAAAGGGTCATTCGCCGGCTGCAGTCGTAACGTGGGGTCGTAGCACCAGCTCATGTACAGCGTCAGCGACGTACGGTACAACGGACTCGGCATTCCCAGGGACATTTCTCCCTTCTGCAGCCCGGAATTGACCCGAGTGCACAGCCCTCCCAGTCGCTCGACCGCCATCATCGTCAACTCGCCCTTTTTCATGAAATGATCCACCCACTTCTGCTTGAACCTCGCTGCGAGGACGTACCCCGTGCTGTTGAGCGGGTTGTCGCGGAAGGGCACGTAGAGCATCTTGTCCAGCCCCGAGACCTTGAACATATTCACCATCGCCATAGCCGACGGCATCTTCGACTCGTTCTGGAAGCCAAGAGCAGCATCCAGCACCATGTCAATCAACGGTTTGTCGTGTTCTGGGTCGTAGTCGATAATAGATGCTCCGAAGACTTGCGTGGGCCAGTTCATGCTGTAGCCATAGTGCAGACAGTCGCCGTGCATCGAGCACCGACGCGCGAGATCGTGGAAGTCCTCGGGCGTGAAATAGTCGAGAACGTTCGACCACGAAATCGTGTACGGCCGCAGCGCTGCAATCCGTTCCAATAGTTTTCTGTTCTCGGGGTCAGTCGCGCCTTCCCCTCGGACAGCTTTGACCACACCGTAGTGCACCTCGATCGTCAACTTATTGGACAGCATCAAGTCGCACAGACGCTGGAGGTTGCGCAGGATGTGGATCATGAAAAGATCCACGACTGACAGCTTCTCAGCCGAGTTCTTCTTGTTCTTTTCGCGCTGAGCGTAGTCCTGTAAGAGGTTCATGAAATCCACAGTGTTGAACGCGACGTCCTCTTCAAGCGGTGGAGCTCCCGGTGGCACAGTCCACATTGTCAAGCTTCCAACCACAGGAGCGGAGCTTGCACTCTTTTTCTTCCGGTTACGCTTTTTCATGGACTTGGCGCCAATTGCTCCAGTGTTCGATGTCGCTACTTTCTCCTGGTTCATAGTGTCCTTGACAGTCGGAGTCGCTCGAATTTCACCAGTGAGTGCATACTGGACCAAGTCGAGTCGGTCGATCTCGCGACGGAAGGAGCAAAGCGAAGCCACAGTCTTGCTGTTATACTTCTCCAACGTCGAGAAGAACTCCGAGCGAGCTTTCTCTGCTGAAATTGGCTGCTTCGACGCCCAGTGAGTCAAATACGATATCACCTTTGAGTTTCCTCCATGTTCCTTGCGCATTGACTCCAACACCGCATTCACACTCTTTCGAAAGTCCTTCAGCGTTATGTCACTCCACGTAGACGACAGCCAGACCTCCATCACACTCGAAACTGAAACACTGGGAGCTCCGAGCATATGAGCAACGACCTTGCACTTTGCCACAGCGAACTCGCTCATCTCGAACCCCACGAATCTTAGCGGTTTTCCGTCGTTTAGTTCCTCACGGAGTGTAGCGGCCAAGAGGCTGCTGAAGTCATTAAACCCAATAGCGATATGAGTCGTCCCAAAGGTGTAGACCTCAGCACGATTCGGGCTGTTGGCGAAGTTGGATCGGATCCGAGCGTCGTAAGCGGGGAAAACGTTGCTTTCCACCTCTCGATAGTCGATAATATCACCATATCTCAAGCTGCCAGCTTTGTCGCGAAGGATCTTAAACGCGGCAGTTCCGTGCCACCGCTTGATCATATCCGCAAGATCCGACTGCTCGAAAAAATTGCCGTCGCGCATAGCGAGCGCCCTGACCCAGGGGCTGGAGGTGGCGTCCAGGTGTGCGCGGTAGAGCACTTTTCGAGCGAATACTGGATCAATCCCGGCAGGCCAACCACGTTGCTTGGGGAACTCGGTGTGGATCTGAGGAGCCGACTGCTTCACAAACCTCATCATCTCGCGAGGAAGTTCCTGCTGCTGTTGTCTTTGATTAGATTTCCACGCTCCGTATGCGAGCCGCGACATGTTCACGACCGACTCCATTTGCGCGATGTAGACGTCAATGTCACCGTTTTCTTCGTTTATCATCGTCGTGAACGGGTTTTCTTGATCTGAGTTTTGATTCCAGCCCGCAGCTGAGAATGCTTCGGGGCGCAAGGCATCGCGCTGCTCACGTTGAACATGCGTGGGGATATCAGAGACGTGTGGGGCTGCTTTTGCTGCTTCAGGCTGCTTTGTTCGTTGCTGAATATCAGAGCTGATGCCACGATTGAACTCCTTCGCACGGTCACTTCGTACCGAACCATTAGACTCGACGTTAGCACGAATATTTTCCAAGTCAGCGAGACATTCCTCGTCCGAAAATCCCAATCGCGCCAGACATCGCGCTCGACGTGACCACGCTTTGTAGTTGAGAGGATCAATGATACCGGCAACAGTACCGTTAAGGAGGGCTGCCTCAGGATATGGCATCACTTTGTCAGTTTTTGATCCAACACTGACACCCACGACGCCACTAGCCTCTCGAGACAATGATAAATACACCGCGGCGATGTTGTTCAACACTAACGATACATCACAACAGCACTGCAGACTCAACGCCAGTCCCTTCCGATAGTATGCCTCGGCAGCATGAAAATCCCCCTGTCCAAATTTCTCGGATCCGAGCTTTCGCCATGTGTCTGCGTCTTTCTTCTCCTCGACATGTTCATCCGTTATCACGACCGACGTTGAAGCTATACCGCCCACGCACCACTCTGCATAGGTCTTTAGCCGACACTGATGAGTAGATGTGGAGGACGAAGCATGAACCTTAAGCGCGTTTTCCAGCAATTTTTCTTGCTGAGGAGTCAAGTCGCGTAGGATGTTTTGTGCATGAGCACCAATCTTCTCAACCAATTCACCGCCATGAGCTCTGTCCTCTCCTTGATTTTCGCTTTCACTCTCAGCAAGAGCCGACGCGAGGCGAAGCCAACCTTTGAAGTACCCCGAGTTGATGTGCACCGCTGCCCCCGAAAGTTGGATCGCTGCAGGAGAGTCGCCCATTTTGAATCGACAGGTGGCGATGTTGTTAAGTAGGACGGCCATCGAGTGAGCTTCAGGTTGGACCGTTTGAAGAGCACGCTCGTAGCACGACAACGCTCCACTAGCTGCACTTTGAGAGGTCGATCCGGTGAAAAACTTGTTCCCCAGGTTCTTCCACGTCTTCAAGTCCGTCGGCACGGCTTTCCACGGGACGATTTCTGCCGGATCCTCCACTCGAATGCCCAATGAACCGTCCAAGCGTATCTTATAGTAGGGCTCGACCACAACGATCGACTTCCCTTTGGGGAATTGGCTCGCCAGATAGGCCTGTCGTTGATGCAGTGACAGTGAGTCATCCACCAGCCCGTAGACAGCGATCTCCACTAAGTAGCCCGTTACGTCCTCCAGCAGAAGCGAAGTCGCAGAAATACCGAAGAACGCGTCATCAACTGCGACCCACCCGCAGAGGTAGCGGCCACGGTGCGTTGTCCCTAGGTCCAGCTCCTTGGCAATCATAGGCGAGAGAGCCCTCAACGATCTCGACTCTGACGCTGGTTTAGCATCGCCAGTGGTAAACTTTGTACACACACTGCCGGCGTGAATCCTGCCAGCTTGAAAATGCTCAGCGAAAATGCCCCCAGGTCGGACGTAGGTGGCACGGCTCTTCTTGAATCGCTGAATCAGTTCCTCTTGCGGGTTCGACATTTGCTCGGCTTGTTCGTCAAACTCATGCATGGCTTGGTTCAGAAGATCTTCCTGCTGCGCTTCAGGCAAACTTCCGAGGAACTCCATCACTTTTGACGGGTCCATTGCCGTGGGATACGGGAACGCCATGGTTAGGATCTGTCGGGTCGGCAAATTCACGAATGATCTTGGGCACGTTCGACAAAAATGACCCGGACGGGTCCCCGTCCCAGCTTCTGCCTTTTTCCGAGAGAATTCCGATATGGGCATCGACGTAAAAAACTTTCCATCCATCAAACGTGACCAAGCCTGCTAGTTCTGCGGAGATTGAAAAGCCTAGAGCATCATGACCTCGACAGCTTTGAATTATATGAATCAAAGTTTCCTGTATCATAGTGCATCCCGTGCTATCTTCGCGCGTTCGTTCATTAGCTGATTCTAGCCATCCAAGTCGAGACGCAGTGCGTGGCAGCAGTATGGGGGTGACGGCAGTCACGGTCCCTGTGAAGGACAAGAAGAAGACGAACACACCGGCAAAGGTCAGGGCTTCTGCAGGCAAGAAGGTCTCCGCGACGATACTGACGTCTACCACGAAGATCTCAATCTCAAGAGAACCCCTCTCTGCCCCCGCCATATCGGGTAAGGCTAGTACGAAGTGGGGAGTGCCACGCGTAGTATCAACCCCAAGAGCAGTACCAAGACCGGGAGTATCAAGAGATCGGCGCCACAACGAAACCCAAGACTGTCAAGGTTAAAGCGTAAGAAGCAAAGCCCAAGTTGAGCTTCGATATGGGCACCATTCCCGCAAGTACGACCAAGATCAGCGTTCCACGGATGCCAGAAACTATCAAGAAGATGATCACCGAAGCGGTGACGAGGGAAGTGAAGAATGGGATCAACTTGGGCCAACTCACGGTCACGACCACCATTATGTTGCATCCTGACCAGGTCCAGTTCCTCGGTTCGACGATGTCGTGGGACTACAAATTTAATAAGATTGAGGTGTATTGTGTTACTTTCAAGTTTTGCAACCTGAGGAACTTCTAATACCCGGCGATCGCCAGGTAGCCTGCAGCATTATCCGCACTATTCAACCCCCAAGGGGGACTGCTAAGAAAAGTACGCTGCTGCGTACACATAGAACTTGCCAATATGCATCGGGGACCTCGATAGCTGACGTAGTAAGCCATCGCCATCACCCTTCGTCCACCCAACAGGCTGCGCATGCGCAATTGTCTTCACAATCGGGCGAACACCAGTGGGCACCCGCCGTCCACGCAGCCGTCCCACCGCGTCTTCAGTCTTCAGGGAGGTCACACCGATCTTGTAGCGGCTGGACGAGGCCAGATCGTCGGAGCCGATGCTCCACTTCTTCATCATCTTCTTCTGCTACTTGCTCTTCTTCTCGGGCGGACACCAGTTGGCACCCGCCCTCTGTCTCCGTCTCCATCCAGGGCCCCTTGGGGGGATTCCCTCCCTGGAAGGCCAAGACCTTAGAGATCGTGGAGGCGACTCTTGAGCTCGAAGCGGTAGTTTCGGGAATGATGGGCGAGTACAAGAAGAAGAGTTACAAGATCGTTCTTCTCTCGATGAGCTACGTCAGGAGCGGTGGCGGCTACCTCAAAATAACCATCACCTACAAGCGCTCGTAGCTGGGTTAGATTGAGTGGGGTTTCCTCCGTCTCGAGCTTGTCTCTTCGCTGGGCTTCGTTGGTGAGGAAAAGCTAATTTCACGATGCATAGGTACTGTAGTGTAGTGTTCAAGTTGATTACCCACGTTTCTGAGGCAGTTGATTGCAGTGATGCCTATTGTAATCATTTGCCTCTCGAGACAACTGCGTTTTACTCAAAATTTCCAGGCAAGCAGTTCGAGGACGGCCGCACGCTGAGCGACTACAACATCCAGAAGGAGTCGACTCTCCACCTGGTGCTGCGTCTGCGCGGTTCTTCGAATCAATCACGCAGTAATCGTGCAAACCTGTATAAAGACATATTCTATGTATTCATGATGGTTAATTTGTGCGCCACACCACAAATCGTGGAAGCTGTGAACTTCACAGCTTTACAGTGTGAAGTTGCCAGGCATTTTGCAAGTACCATGCTTGTGTGGCAGGGGTTTGAGCAATTCGTCGCGGCTCATCGTCGGACGAGGTCCATTGCGCTTAGCTCCCGGAATCCGCTAGCTTTGGCCACATTTCATGCTGGCGCCCGGTTTGGAGACATTGATGGCATCTTTATCGAAGAACCCAGTTCAAGAAAGGTGATTGAAGCCAGCAACCACTTAGACACGTCGTCTCAGCCAGGTCAAGTGGAACAAACTTTCGTGAGTTCTAGCGGCGAAAAGTGCAAGACAGACACGAAGACAAGTGTCATCAACGCACCGAATTCCCCCTATGGTAACATCTTCATGCAGATCCAGTTGGCGGAAGCCACCGGACAGAGCACTCGGTGCTACGAGGTGATCCAGTGCAAATACGTGAAGCGGAAGATTAATGAGACCTTGTTCTTCCAAGAGAGAGCAAAAGCCGTGGGCGACTCGGATGTGTTCTTGCTGATTACATCGGTGAGATTGACGACCCAATTCAGCCTTCCCCCGCGGTGTGGGGTCGTTTCATACGACGAATTTCGCGAATACTTCGGGCCGTATGCCAGTCGTGCATTCCGGAGTTTCCTCGATCCACCATACATCAACACCGCTTCACTTCAGATCCTAAGTATGGTGGAAGGACTGGGCGACGCTACCATCCGCCGGATTGTAGTGAAAAGGCCATTCACTAGCATCGAACAAGCCATCAGCGAGGTCGTGCTGAACAACAACATCAACATCGCGAATGCTGTGCGATCGTTGGCGTGCTATCCACCGTAGAACGCTACGCCACTGGTTTCGCACTCGAACGGCTTCTAAGATTGGTCTTCGGAATCGGCAAGACTGCTTTTCATGTCCAAGGCCAGGAGCGATGCAAACATATCTTTTTTCCTTTAACACTTCTCTAATTGCTCATTATAACAACAAATCCAACGACTCCCAGATCTTTCTTGGGTGCGCTAGGATTTACTAAAGTGTACATGTTCGACTGCAGTTGCCAGTGGTGGCAGTGCCGAGATGAGAATCCCCAGGAACGACGACTCTGCAGCAATTCTACACGCTATGAACCACTTGAGCACTGAGTCAGATTGAAAACTTTCTCCAATTGCGACGGCATGGAGTGCAAAACAGACACGAAGACGATCGTCATGCAAATGGCGATATTTTCATGCAAACTCAGTTTGCAGGAGGCATACGGAAAACTCGCCGCTACGAGATGATCAATTGCGGATGATATGAACCAAGTGCGCTCCTCGGATGTCTTTTTGGCGGCGAAATTGAACGCCGCAGTGTTCGCACGAGTACTTTAAAGTCATGCGCGCGCAATATCTCTGGAAGTGGAAGCGCTCCGTGGCAGTGGCCGTGGAAGAAGAACGTTCGCGGTTGAGACACCTGCTTGCTCGTCGTGTACTCGCAGCACTGCACGCTGCGGATCAACTTCTTCTTCATGATGTCGTTGAACAGGTTGCGCACGCGCACGTAGTCAAAGTAAGACGGGATGAAGATCAGCGTACACAGCTCATTTAGTACGGTCTGCCCGTGATGGGGGAGTTCTGCGCGGGGATGATGAACATGCTGCCGAGCAGTGACACGGCAAGACAGCACGGACGGCAAGTCCTCGATCACATTGTCCACGCGTATGGATCTGCTGCGGATGCAGCGGATCCAGGGCAACAAGCGTGGAGAGCGGATGTGCCAGTCCAAGGCGGCCAAGCCCACGTTCCTCTTCTGCTAGAGTCACGTATTATAATAATCTGAGAGTAATGTACACACAAGAGTAATCCATCAGTTTATTGATGATACTACCATTTGTCTATCGTGTAGAAGCCCCTCGGTCAGTCACAGCAGAGCGATCGCAGCACAGCTGAAACTTTGCTCTTCTTGCCCATCGTGACAACGCTTACGGCCTGGTCAATACTGGAAAATGGTCTTTTCGCGACAATTGTTTCAACAGCAGCGCTGTCTAGTCCTTCCACCAAACTAAGGTCTTGACGAGACGCGGTATTGATGTTAAGAGGATCGAGGCTCCGATACGCACGGGTGACATACGGTCCAAAGTATTCACAGAACTCGTCGTGCGAAACGATGACACACCGCGATGGGAGGGCGAACTCGCTGGTCCATTTCGCCGACGTAATTAGCAGAAAGATACCCCAGGCGCCCGCAGCTTTTGCTCGCTCTTCATGAAACACTACTTCGCTGATATCCTGGTTCGCAAGTCTGCACTGGATCACCTCGTAGCGGTGCGTTTCCTGTTCGCCTTCCGTCAACTGAGTTTGCATGAAAATATCGCCGCCTGCAGGTGCACCGGCTGTTTATGACGATCGTCTCCGTGTCTGTCTCACACTTCATGCCGTCGCGATTGGAGAAAGTTTTGTTTACCTCGCTACGATCCGACTTTGTGACCAAGCGATACTTGGCCTCTTCCACCTTTCTTGACCGTGATTCCTTGACGCAAATACCGTCGATGGGTCCAAATCGAGCGCCAGCGTGGAATGCAGCCAGCGAAATCGGACCAGCATTAAATACCGTGGATTTTTTGACACGGTACGAGGCGTGAAATCCTGCCACCCGAGCACCGAACGTGAACTATGTTAGCAAGTTCCGTGCTAGCAAGCTATAAGTCCCTACACTAGTCACTCAAATTGTTCTTCCTGATGCCAAGTTTTGCCAACCTCGTGTAGATTAGGAATATAAAACATCGAAACTTAACGGCATGAGGTTCTCTGCAGCACTAACCAGATGCACCAGCACACGCATCGTCATGAAGCCAAAGTCAGCGGCCAAGCTGACGGCCTGGTCGGTCTCTATGGAGGAACCTACTAGTGAGCGAGTTCCTTTGGATATGAGGCATCTGGTCAATGAAAGGGCATCAATTCTGGAAAGGACACTTTCATTGTAGTTATTCTTCGCTCTGCTACAAATTTCAGAGCTTTTTCGGGCCCCGCACGACTTTGTGTTCACACTTGTAGCGGATTCGCGGATTCTTGGAGCGCAAGCCAAAGCGCAAGTTGAAGCCATGTTGAAGCGACGCTATCATCCAATCATCGACCTCCAAACGAACAAAGTCTACCAATCATTGGCCCCCTTCCCTTGACAGTCTGTTTTCGCGCCTCATTTTCGAAACGGCAAGGCGCCAAGGACCGCAGCGACGTGCGACGCGTCGCCCGGTGAGCATCAAGTACCAAGGACGCACCGACCAAGAGGGCAAGGACGAGGGCGAGACGTCTCCGGAGGAGCTGAGCCCGCTGAAGCAGGCGCCGCTGGAGCTGGAGGAGAAGTCAGCGACCGAGTCCGTGGCCGACCAACTGAAGCGCCTGCAAGCAGAGAATCGCCAGCTTCGCGAGCGCAACGAGGCTCTGGAGACGGACGTAGACAACGTCGTGAACCAGTACGTCGTGGTCGTCATCGCCGCGACGGAGATGCGAGAGATGCAGGAGCGCATGCGCGCGGGGGAGCTCCGAGCGATGCTGCGATGTTACAAGAAGTGGCGCGACATCGACGACGGCAACGTGGACAAATTCAAGCCCTTGTGGGAGCTTCGATCCGTCTTTGCTACGTACGAAGGAGCGCTGAGCGGCGCCAGGAGCGAGTTCTAGGACGAGTGGAAGATGTGGCAGACGACGAAGAGCGGTGCCACTTTCGAAGTCATCCAGGACGAAGAAGCTTAAAGCCTGCCAGCTTCAAGCGGGTTCGGGTTCACTTTCGCTTCTCCGCCCGAGCTGTCAGACGGATCCTGGAAGAATGCGTCAAAGAAAAGCGATGCTCTTGGGTATGCTCGCGCAGCAACAGCAGCTCATTCGAGAGCAACAACAAGACATGGCGAGCCTTAAAACGAACATGAAAGCCATCTTAGACGCTCTAACGGACCGGCTCGAGGAGTGCAGGATCGCCGAGAAGTGAGGCGGCTACGTCGTGTGCTCGCTGCTTCGGTCAAGCGTAGACGCCCGCGACAGGAAGCAAGTGTGTACCGAAATTCGTGAGAAGAGGGAGGCCCAGGCTGCGGGCGAAATGCTCATCGTGGCTGGACCCGAGAATACCGTCAACAAGGAAGTCGACGGGCTTACAGCGACCGGTCGCCTTTTCGTGCATCAGCTGTCGACGGGAGGGGCGCTGCCGGAAGTTATTGCTTTTCGGCTACGCAAGGCCACCGCCAAGAAGCCGTGCTGACTCGGAGCGAGCTGCCGAACCCCGCCACCCACATCAGAACGTTCGAGCTGACGTGGGAGGTCGGTCACCGCTTCGAGATGTTCACTCCGATTTCGTCGTGCGGGCGGAGCTGTTAACGGCAACGAGCGAGTTGGAGCTGGAGACCGACCACAATCAGTTCGTCCTTCTGGACGAGCAAAGCGACTTCCACGTGTCAAACCTTCCCAAGTACTCGTGAAATTCCTTCGTGACATTCCTGCAGTATTTGTAGTTGTAGCGAGTGTTCGTCGTTTGAATAATGGCTGCATGTTTTCATGAAGTCGGTTTGTACTAGGTTTGTCCTCAAAGGGGAACCGTGGAGGCGAATGGAGACAGAGGGAGATAACCATTGTTTGCGTGTTAGAGAGCGGGATGCATAACGAAGTCTACGTCGCTCTGCACACCGCCGTCTGACGAGCCACAAACTACCAGCATCGTTCATACTACCAAACGAAATTCTACCATGTAGAAGAAGTCAACAAAGTTACAATAGCCGCTTGCGAAGCTGCTCGAGGAACACAAACGTCAGCAGCGTCTGCGGGCCGAGCCGCATGTAGGCCGGCAGCCAGCCCTTGTAGAGTCCGCGCAGGCCTTCGTGCTTGACCACCTTGACGAAGCAGTCAGTGGCGCTCTTGTACTCGTTGTTGTGCATGTTCATGAGTCGTGTCTTGACCACATCCGCGGGCGCGCAGGCCGTCGTAGCCACCAGTCCGGCCACCATACTGGCCAGCACGTGGGTCTGCAGGTTGTCGTGCATCGGCACCATTGTGTTCTCGAGGATCGTCGACTTGGCCAGGTCGTAGGCCGCGATCTGACCCGTGGTCAGCAGCATGGCGCGGATCATATTGGGGCGCACGCCGCGCATCAACGCGGCCAGCCCCTCCTCCTTCTCCACGCGGAGGAGGCCGTCCACCGCGTGCTTGTAGTTGCGTCGCTTCTCCGGCGGCAGGCGGCTGTCCGCCTGCATGCGGATGTTGACGATGTCCGCCGGGTTGCCGAAGGCGCCGCCGATGACGCCGCCGGTCATGCCCAGCAGCACGTTGTGGCCCGTGGAGATGGGCTGGCCGTCGTTGCGGCGCACGGCCTCGTCCTTGAGGTAGTGGTAGACCGCGAAGCGCATGGTGGAGTACGTGCCCTCCCTCATGGCCCCTCCACTGATGCCCTGGTAGAGTCCGCGCAGCCCCTGCTGGTGTAGAATGCGACGCACGGCCGTCACGAGCCCCATATTCTCCTTCTTGGACGTCTGCAGGTGGATCTTGAGCAGGTCGAACGGGTGCGTGAAGAACACGGCGCCCACGGCCGACATGCCGCCGAACGCGTAACTGGCAAGAGGCGGGCGGGGCTTGATGGCGCTGGTTGGGTCCTTGAGGTGGGGAGCCTCCAGAGGCAGCTTCATGGTAGTCGTCGTGGAACACTGACTGACGTACGTCTTCCGGCGGGTACTGTAGCGGAGACTTTGTGACTGGGTCGTTTGGATCGCGCCGATTGGAGGAAAGGAAGAGAGGGTGATGATTGGTTGAAAAGGGGAACTGAAGTTTTCGCGCGTCATCCGCGTGATTGCGGCTGGGAGCCGACTGCCGACAAAGTTGGCTAAGGTGCTACAAAGATGACATTCGTATTCACACGTCAAGAAAGAAGTCATATTTTGGGCTGACGATGTAGTACAGGTCTGTGAGGCCTACCGGCATTGGTTTCATTAGCACGCCCGGGCGGGCGCGCCCGGGGTGTGGGGCGGTGTGTGTGTGGGGGGGGGGCTCCTCCAATTCAGTATTATATTGAATTGGTAAAACTGTTTATCCGTAATAATGATTTAAATATGACGATCACCAATAATAACTATTATACTGATTAAATATTTCAATTTCATGTACCATGACTGTGTTTTTGTATACCCTGAAATCATACGACCAATAATATAATTTTCAATATGGTGTTTGCCAATAATATATATTTTCTTCATATTTATTGACAATTTTCATACTGAATTTTTTTATTCATACCCCTGGGGGTGGGGTGGGGGGGGTGGGGGGGGGGGGACGTAGTTCGTAAGTTTGCTTTGCTGTGGTTTACAGACAATCCCCTCGGTAGCCATGGCGTTGGGTTTTATTCCTAGGTGAGGGTATTCCTGTCGTAGTGTGTACCATGGGGTGGTGTACCACATGACGGATTTCACCGAATACAAGCCCTTAACAAAATAGTAGCCCCGTCACGATTTCGCATTTGGATCAGAGAATAGAAGCCCGGTACATATTACAAGCCCCCTCGAGTCGTACAACATTTTCATGATGTTACATGTATATTCTTTTCTACTTTATAAGTAGACAAAATATGTTAGGTGGCAGAGTAACGCGTAGTGGCTGCATGATGAAAAGACTATCGAATGTGAATGCTAGCCAGTTGGTCGTTTAGCACATAAGACTCAAAAACTGCAGAGCTGCTCCACGTCGTCAAAGTTGTGCTTGATCACGACCTTGACGCCCTTGCTGTGCGCATGGCAAAGCAGTTGCTTGTCTTCATTCCAGGCCACGGTCGTGAGCTGCCAGTGGCAGGGGGCAGCGGACAACAAGCAAGCGAGTAGTGCGTCAGTGCATTTAAGTTATATATCGCTCGCGTAGTACAATATGAAATAAGCGTAATGCTATTTTGTTGCTTTGGGTGAAGTACGCGTTGGTGGATATTTTGTCGTGATGCGCAGGTGCACCTTAAACCGATGATGACGCTCTCCGAGGTGTGTGCAGGCATTTGCGTGAATATTGTTGGAGGAAATTCCAAGCTTAATTATTGTTAGTAGACGGCGGTCCTCGTTTATTACCGTTCAACCGCGGACTACCGAATCGGAGCCACTAATAATGATTAACCGTACAGGCTTAAGAAGTGCGCACAGACACGTCCGTCTAACTGCAACATATAAGCATAATGCATTATTCTAGAACTATATAATATATACAAGAAAAAAATAACATTCCATTTACCACATTCGTCACGTCCGACTATTAGAAACCCTGCACAATTTAGAAGCCCCCCTTCCAAACACGATAGCTTTTTGGAGACAAAATTGACTAGTACTATTCGGTGAAATCCGTTATATTGTACGAATTGGTGCAGTCTTAAGGTTGCACAGCCCTAAAAGGGCTGCTCAAATCGGTGAGCGGGCATGGATGGAATTCGTGCAGATAACGATATATACCTCAGTAACACCGAAAAGGACAACAGTATATTTGATATAATACCGTAAGAGATGTGGGGCATGATGTAGGTAATGATACTGAGAGCAAAATAATTTTCCATGATATATATATATATATATATATATATATATGTATTGAGCCCCATCTCACTAATGTTGACAAGCAAACAAGCTCCATTCTATTACAACGAACGGCACTAGCAGGCCTGTAAGCCGGCTCCAAAAGCTAATGCGATCGTTCAATATGAAATGCGGCAAGAAAACATGGATAATAGCTGGTGTCCTGGTTAGACTACTCCAGACGTTCTGTACAAAGTGGACTTTTTCCATAGTTAAGTACCCCAGAACATTTTTATTCCGTGATTTTCTATTCCTTATGACGGTTGAGGGGTGAAGGGAATAATTATTTGGCATTGTATTGGACGGTCATTCAGAAATCGTTGGGACCCGCCTTTATATTCCTGATGAGAGGGTATTTCTCACCTAGGGATTACTACCAAGGGGGTCGTCTGTACTTTATTATAATAATCACATGTGAGAAGAAGAAGAAAGTTCGATTACCGATTATTTGTCTTCTCAGCTTGCTTAGTAGATGCTAACTATATGTTGTGAACTAATCGACTGGGAGAATTTTCTTCACCCCCAAAACGTACCCAAAGTCCCCTAAAATCCCCCAAAACGTTTTGGGGACTTTCAATAAAAACTGTTTGTTACTCCCCAAAATCTCAATTAAACGTCCCCCAAACTGTCCCCATAAAATAAATAAATCTTAGTATTGGGGTAACTAAATATTAGGCTAATTTTATTCCAGAGGCGCGATAGCGCCCGACCAACGGATGTGAGCGGTTGCGAGGAGCGTAGCCGCAGCAACCCCGCGCGGGGTGCCCGCGAAGCAGGGCCGCGCGGTATTTGCGGAGGCGGGCCCAGCGACGAGCATTCCAGCGAGCCGAACACTGCACTCGTCAGGTGAGAGAATCTTTTCAATCTACTAGCGTCTGAAAGACGATACCTGTTCGATGATTCAGATGTAGTTGGACGTGTCGTATTCGGAATGTGTCGGGGTGGCGTCGATGGAAATCTCCAAAAGAACTGCTTTCAGCCTGCTTCGTAATGATCTTCTTGAGTTTCTGTTGTTCAGGCTTCTCCGCACGTCTCAACAGGCGGTGGTAGTGAGCACCGAAAATATTGTAGATTGCGGTGATAGTGGTGTCGAGTGATTCGGGGTCCTTCTCCTCAAAACAGTAGTGATTTCGTTCGGTCCATCGATGGTGTAGTGTGATAAACCTGACTATATTCCACAGAGATACAATTTCGGTTCGTTATTGGTACCAGCACGCAGCCACTTGTTGTTTATGCGGTAATACCAGGCTGGTCCACGTGAGAGGGCCCACAAGGAAGCGACTCCAGTCCTTCCATACCGTGGCCCATTCGGCCTTTGATTTCGCGCACTCCATGAAGAGGTGTTTCGCTGTCTCGATGTTGTTGCATGTCGAGTATGGACACTGTTGCACGGTCGGGTCTTGTTGCATAAGAAACCAGAAGCGTGATCGTACAGGCAGTAGGCGAAGTGCGATACGCATCTGCAGGTCGTCGTAAATAGGCAGAAGTTGGGATCTGTGTGCACGTCCAAATCTTACGAAAGCAGATACGTCGGCTGGGGTCGTTGAGTTTAGGTCTTGGCGAATAGGATGCCTCGAAGAATCCGCTGCTGATGGCTGTAGTAGTTGCTTGAGTTTGGGACGGGGGATGTACGGGAACAAAAACGTTTTTGCGGCGATTTTGATGCCTACATTGGGGAGGTACATCGCTTCGGCACGAATATCGAAGCTTGTTATTGTCGTCTCAACGCGGAAGATAACTTGCATCATTTCCTTGTGGAGGCTGCGGAGCCATCGCTTCTGAGTCGTCAATGGGAGTTGGGTGTTACCTGGCTCAAGAGCCCGCCTTAAAAAGGTGCCAACGGATGGGTTTTTGCCGATGTCGTCGAAAATGTCTTTCATACAGGAATATTGTAGTCGTTTGGCTACATGGAGTCGGACGCTTCTTTTGGGCTCTGCAACAGCGGCGAGATTTCGTATTTGGCCTTGTGGGGTAGTGTAGTGGAGGAGTTGGTTCTTTGAAAGCCACAATGGCGCGTACAAAAGTGCGATCGCGCTGCGTTCTTGGCCTCCACTAGCTGGCCATTGAACTTTGTGTCACAATTTCCATGCGTCTCTCCACCATTCTGGTAGCGCTGTAATGTCGAATAAGTATTTGAACTTGTTAGGTGAAATATCAAGAAAGTTGAGTGGGTGCTTCACTGGAAGCGAGGGAGTTAAAGCTTCGAAAAATGTAGACGCTAGTTGTGGCCACGCCTCCTTCTCCGGCTTTCCGAGCAGTTTTAGAAACTGTTGTAGAAGCTGTAGGCGTTGCAGGTTTAGCTGCGTTTCGAGGTGCGGGAGCTGCAACCCCCTGCCTGCCGCGGCAAATACAGTAGTTCCGCGGGGGTGAGTTGAACAAACTCTGAGTCTGCATCCGATTTTCGTGTGAGCACAAACTTATTTAGCATCCGCTGCCACCGGTGTACGCAAGGTGCAGGAACCGTGGTGTGTGGAGTGAAATGCCACAGTACGGATAGAATCATCGTGTGCACCAGTAGAAGTCTTCCTCGTAAGGTCCTCGCTCTCCGCCCCCATACGCTGAACCCGATAGAACTTGTTGTTTAGCTCGGCTACGATAGTGTCGCGGGACACATTTTGCCCGAATGGGATGCCCAAATACTTGATCGAATCGTCAGCTTAAGGCACCTTACGTCAGGGAATATTGGGCACGGCATATTCTTGATCAGTGGTAGCAACGCAGTTTTTCTCAAATTAAGGCGTGCTCCCGAACCTTGGCAATAGGGTTTCACCTGCTCGAGCTGCTGGCGTATGCAGTTCGTGTTCTTAGCCACTAATGTAGAGTCATCAGTAAAATACAGACCTGTGACGGTTGTATGTTGATTCACTAAAACGCCTAGGTCAGACCGTCGGCGAATTAGGTTCCCGAGTGGTTCAATACACAGTAAGAAAAGCAGAGACGACAGTGGGTCCCCCTGCTTAACACCCGCGTAACTTGAAGTGGCTGTAGTAGGAATCCGTTCAATAAAATTAGTGCCAGAGGTTTGTTGTACAGAAGACGAATCCACGAGATATACCGGTCTCCAAATCCGAGGACTGACAAAATAAGGAAGAGAAACTCCCAAATCACTCTGTCATATGCCTTTTCAAAGTCTAGAAACAGCGCCAACGCTTCGGAGTTTGACCTTGTAGCGTGATGCTGAAGATCCTCCAGTAGTCGAACGTGGTGGTGCAGTGATCGGCCATTAACGAATCCTTTTTGGTCAGGGTGTATAATGGGCGGTAAGACGTCTTGGAGGCGGTAGGTCAGCACTTTCGACAGAATTTTTACGTCTACTTGCATAAGAGTGATTGGACGGTAGTTGCCTGGCTCACTGCGATCACCTTTCTTGAAGAGGAGAGTGACGCATGACTTCCTCTGGGACGGCAACAAAATTCCACGGTCTAGTTGGTATTGAAATACACGGCTCAGAATTTGCCCGAATATATCTGGAGCTGTCTGGTAGAATGCCAGAGTTAACCCATCTAGCCCAGGAGCGGAATTGCTTCTCATGTGCTTGATGGCTACTGTCATTTCGTCGGCTGTGATCGGGCTGTCTAGCTTTTCGGCTTCTTCCCGGGACATCTTTAATTGAATCGAATCAAGTAGGATCGCTCGTTTTACTTCGTCAATCACTGTGTTGTCGGAAGGGCTAGTAGGATCTCTAAAGATTGTTCCCCAATGGGAGCGAAACGCGGTTCTTACGTCTTCGGGATCAGTGGAGACTTCGCCAGATTCAAGTTTCACTGAAGTAACTTGCACAGGTCTCAGTAAGGACGAAGGAGGGCGGAAGAAAGCTGACTTTGACGTTTCCATGTTTCCTGCGTGAAAATCGAAGACTGAGTCTTGTTGGAGTCGATGAACGTGTTCTTTGCGTTCAGCGTAGGCTCCTTTTGCTTCCTGATATTCCCTCTGAGTATTTGGTGACGGGTTGTCTACGTAATTCTCCATAGTCCGTTCGAACAGGTTTTCCACAGCACGGAGGCCCTGGTCTTCTTGAATTTTCATTACGGCTTGGAGGGATTTTAGTTGGCTTCCCATTCGTCGTTTCCATCCTTCCCATACTAGGCAGGATTGTCGGCATCTAGAATGTCTGAAAGGAGAAGTTGAGCCTCGTTTCGGATTGCTTCTCTTACGAGAGGACAATCCAACATTTTTGTAGGAAGACGCCAATATCCTTTACCTCGCGGTTGGCGAGAATGGTTTAAGGTCACGCTATGGGCTAAGTGATCTCCAGAGTGAGGAACTTGAAAATATCGGGATGATCCATAGTAGCGCGTCATAAATGAGTCGGAGATGAAACAATAATCGAGTCTGTTTTTCCTTGGTGGTGGTCCGGTAAATACGCGACATTGGGGGTGGTGAACTCTCCAGCAGTCAGACACACCGAGGCATGCTAGCCATTCCACTGCGCTTTGCCTCGACCGGTTATGCCTTGCGGATACGGCGCACGAGTCAAGTAGAGGATCGAACGTCACATTGAGGTCTCCCAGAACCCAGTGCACGTCTTCGCTATTTATTTCTCTTGCCAGTAGGGATTCGTAGAAATGACATGTCTCTTGTGGATCCACCGGCGCGTACACGTTGTGAATATAGAGATTTTTATTCTGAACCCGTACTCGTATTACCAGATATCGTCCCGGGATTGTCCAATCTTCCATTCCTTCAGCAGATTCAAATCCGGGAAAGTCATTGTGGAGCACCGTAGCTACTCCACCGCTTCGAGAGAACTGTGTACTGCTTTCGGCAGCATTAAGGTCAGATACAAAACATTTACAGTCGAAAGTGGCTTGCAGCAGAAACTTGAACTTATCGGCATGGTGGATATCACGAAATGGCGTCTCTTGTAGGCAGGTCACATGGTAGTTAGAAATGGTCTTGTCAATAAGTTTGTATCCATTTTTCTTGACGCCGTTGGTATTTACTGTCAAGATGGATACATTTTCCCATAGCGAGCACTTAGCACTCAATGTGCAGCGGGCCAGCTGCCAACAGAAGGTGGCCGTCCCGCACTTGCATTTGGAGCATGGCGGCTTCCTCGGTTAGCCACGACTGTCCGTCTCGAAACTGGGTGAGTGTGTACATGATTGAGTGCTCCCACCCAGAAGTTAACATGCGCGTGAGGATCGTTTCACCACACTCCGTTCGGAGAAGTGCAATGAGCACATTCGGGTGTAGAAGCCTTCCCTCTGAGGTCTGGATCCACGGGACGTGGGTCTTTGCCAACGTTTGAATCCAGTAGTCGTTGTTAAAAATGCCAGGTGTTGCGGCAATCAGCATCAGTTCGAACAGGGCGAGCGCCAAGGACGTATCGTACAACTTTGCCTCGTCGCTCATGCTCACAAGCATCTCCGCCGTGCGTTTAAATAGTGCTGGGCGGGATGAGGGAGCTGCAAAGCCCGTGAGCTTTTTCCACTTTGTGGGGAATTTGTTGCCATTGGCTACAGAAGAGTGTACGTAGCGAAACCACAGGTGGACGCGCGGTAACTCTTCCACCAACTCAGACTTCTGATGCATCCATCGCGAGACCTTGATCAGGAACGCTAGGCGGTTCTTGTTTATTTCTTTCATGATAGCCTCGGAGTTGATGTCCGTGGAAAGCGTCTCTTTTTGTTCTTCCTGGAAGAGCTGCTTGGACTTGGAGATACTTTCTGCCATCACCGGGATCCATTCACGGACAGTGACGGGATTGGTAGACAATTGCACTTTGCTTTTCTTTTTTTCATGGTAGTACCCGTACTCGTTGCTGTTGACACTCTCGTCCGATGGGCTGATGCGGGTTACTACTATTTGGTACCCTGAATCCCCGTTTTCAGCAGGGTTTGTCTCGAGGCATTCCAGCTCGGGGTCTAGACCCTCGAGATGACTCCAGAAGTTCGGAGAGTTCCATGACTGCGAAGATGCAGTAGGTGGTGGGCCAGTTCGTCGACTTTGGAGGCACTTTGGCGGATGCGCAAACGCGTCACTTGGGAAGTCGACTGTAGGTGTAGTAGGCTGTGACACATCGGAGTCCATGTTCACATCCAGGGATAGGTCAAGCGGGTTGCCGTCGTGCTCGCTGGCGTGTTCGACGGGGCTCAAGTTTGGATCTTCTGTTTCAACACTACGCATCACTTCATCAGTGACGAGTGGAGTCGGTGCAACGGGCGCTGCGACGTCTCGATCCCGGCCTCGCTTCTCTCCCGTTTGTTTGGGTGCCTTGCTGCGTTGTTTTGCAGCATTTAGCGCATTGTGGCGCCGATCTTCGAACGGCAGCTTGCTCAGGTCCAGACAATTTGGAGCCATTTTGCTTGGTTGGAGGTGATAGTGCTGGGGAGGCGCATCTCTACCTTTAACTGCGTATAAGGCACCGTCCATTAGAAACTGGGAGCAGACAGAGCCGTTCACCAATAGGCTTGGAGGGCACGCATTGCTTGCCAGGTAGTAGCGGAGGATCCCCGGGGAGACCTGTGTTTCCCCGCTGATGAACGTCGCGTTGTAGTAAATTGGCTTGCAGCCCATTATCACCAGCGCATGGAACACTGTCCTTGCAGTGGTTTGGCTGCGTACTCCCATGATGTCGATGGAGTAGTTGTCTGAAAGTGGATCACAGACCTCAAACTCCAGTTTTTTTCCGAGGAACCCGAGTTTCTTCTTGGTCTTCTTGGAGTCCACGTAAAACATCAGCTGGTTTCGAGGCAGTTTGTGCACGTGAACGATGGCGTGCTTGTCCAGCAGTTCCCGAATGACTGGATTGTCGTCGATTAGTTTCAGGTTCGCGATGATCTTCGGTCTCGTCAAGTTTTGGAGGCTTCCGCCGAAGCGGGCTTGGACGCTGAACGGGGCATCGCGTGGCGGAGTCGGCTGCGCATTTTCGGCGAGGCGAAGAAGTTGCTCCGTGTCACGCACCCCATTGTTGTACGCTTTACGTACAAGCTCGAGACTATCTTCGTCTGCTGCTACGTTGCCTGGTTGGTCTTCGTGTTGGCCACTAGTGTCCTCGCGGAACTCGTGGCTTCCATTCAGGAGGTCCCCAATGGTGACCCCGTTAGTTGGCGGTCGGTTACGCTGCGACGGACCAGCTGGGTCTTGGTCCGTGCCGGTCATCCGGCCTGGATCACCCTGCGTTGGGCCACTGGTTCCAGAAGGGCTTCGCTCTCCACTGGCCCTGCTCACTCCCTGGGTGGGGGTGGGTGCGGGGGCTCCAGCATGTTCGTGCGCCACTTGCTGTACGGCGGTGGCTGACATCGGCATGTTGGAAGGCAGAGGACTTGAAGGGTCGTTGGTTTCCCAAGTTACTCTGAGGCGGCAAATTGAGAAGTAATAATAATCACATGTGAAAGTTGAGGGCGCCTTCCAAAAACTGCATAATAACAGTTTAATCGCTGCAGTTAGGGTGCAGCAAACTTGAGATTAAACAGCTGATTAAGACCCCATTTCTTTTAGGTGACTTTCCTAGTTGTTACCACGTCAAATATCCCATCTTCTCTGAATTACATGAAATCCTGGCAAAGAGACAGACAACACGTGGGAGATCTGGCATTCCGCGAATGAACAGGCAATTCGGGAGTATGTGCACTTATTTACGATGGAGTAAATTATCCAAGAAATACAGCATCACACAGAAAATAATTGATATTATGCGGCTAAGTGAGGCGTTATCAAACCTACCTCATGGGTGTAGTTCTGCGCGCGTCCGTCAGGCCGATCTGACTGCACACAAAGCTCGACGGCATGGGTAGGGCCCCGCGCAAGTCTCGCCCACGCGCGGGGGTTTGTCCAGTGCGGGTACGGGTTAAGGCTCCCACCACTTAAAGCCCTCCTGTGGCACCGTGGCCGCTCGGTCGGGCGTTGCCATTATCACGTTCATATTCGTGAGCACGCGCAGGAACTCCTTCTACTGCTTTGAGGTCACGAGCCCTGCTGCTTGTCGTCGTGCTGGGGTGAACGAAACGAGGTGTTTTTTTTAGATCTCATTACCGTGCTCGGCTAAGCCTACGTGCGAGTTCAAGTCATCCTATCTAGAGATAGATTTTTTGACTTGGTCTTGTATGTGTGAACGGGAAAGCTCAAGTTATTCGGGAGATGAGGGGCCGCAAACCCGATCGACTTAGGCTTTCACGGGCGAAGCAGTTATTCGCGTACAGATAGATATTCCGTAAAAGCCCAGGTGCTTCCCGTGCAAACAGGTTTTTCGCGGTGTTATTCGTTTTTAGCTATCTAACCGATCTCCCGCCGGGACCACCTGGTGGACCCGGCAAATCATCCGATATTTAGGTTAGTGCACACCAACTCGGGAAGTGTTCTTTTGGCAAGACCAGAAACTCGTCTCACGAAACAATTCAGTTTAATCGAGATCGTAGAGATTTATGCACCACCTGAACCAGCAATCTAATCAAACTACTTACTACTGTACAACTATTTGAAGACAACCTGTAGGAGGAGGAAGGCGCGCTAGGGGCTGGCGGGGAGAATCTAAAAGTGCTGGCATCTCCCCAAGCCTAAGCTCCTGCAGCCATACACGTGGCTGGAGCCCCTAATATTAATATCCCTTCTAATCTGTTCTAGCTCTAACTCTGATCTACTGCTATAATCTGTTACACTTACCCCTTCATACTGGGATGGGCCTTCGTATCTAATCTTGGACGTCTTCGAGTCTTGTCTTATCTTGTTCTCGTTTTCTTGTTCTGTGCGCGGGTCTTGTCCTTGGTGCACGCGTTCGTCTTGACCTTGGTTCCCGTGCACGCCACTTGCAAACTTGCGCCGCGCCGCCCCGTTCGCACGGTCACCGTCCTTCTCGCTCCAGCCTTGCGCGTAGAATCCGCTCATCGGGTTGCCATGGCTCGAGCTCGTCCGGTCGTTGCGCGCGCGAATGTCGGCTTGACGGCTCGTCAGATCCAGCTTCGACTTGAGCTCGCTCGTCGCCAAGCTGCCGCCGCCGCCGAGCGCCACTACGCCGTGTGGTCCATCGTCAATCACCGCGGTGTCGAAGGTTTCTACGAATATCGAGTGATTTGGGCGGGTTACACCGGTTCGGCTAGTTGTACCTGAGAGCCTCGTGAGTGGCTACTCGTTCAGCTCTCTGATTTCAGCGAGGCGATCCAGCTCGATGACGACTGGAAGGATTCTGGGCTCTCCATCAGCTTCACCCGTTTCTGTCGCGATCGTGACCTCCCGCTGTCCATCGACGCCGATAACCGTGGGCTGCGTGGCTTCGCTGCTGCTCGCGCGCTGGGTCTGCTCGACTGGTCCTCACCGGCCTTGATTGACACGTTCGTGACTGGCGTGAATCTACCACACCACGGGTCGACGGAGACGGTCTGGCCAATCCATGGACTTACCTGCTGGTGTGTACTCGTTGCTGGGTACCACCCGTATCTACTGTGCCTTGGTCACTGCTTCCCGTTGGAGGTCACTGCCGATGGCTACTTCGCTTCTGACGCTGATGCTTACCGCAAAGCGCTGCGCGAGTACGGCGTGTCCTGGCTCGCTAAGCTCCTCTTCGTCCGCCGCGTAATCTTCGTGAATGAGGTAGCGGTGTTGCGCTTCGTGAAATGGTCCAATCGGCGGGCAGCTCGACGTGGCAATCCGCAATTGGACAAGGATACGCTGCGCCGTAACCTGCACTTGGACAGCGTAACCGGTCCCAACACCACAGCGCACCTCTTGTCTGAACTTAGGCGTAATTACAAATACAACCGCTTCATTTTCACTTGACTGTTGCATGTTCTTGAACCGTCGCTCTTACAGTTAACCGTGCGCGGGCCGGATCTGTCACGCAGGTTTCACATCATGTAGTGTGGACCACCTTCCACGTTGAAGTTGCTGGATCAGCTTGAGGAGGGTTTAGCTCCGTGACTTGCTTTGATGGTGCGTCCTCCTGGTTACACCGTTGTCCGTCGACGGTTCACGTCGGCGCTTGCTTGATCGCTTGGTCTGTTTGCTCTCGAACTCTTGAATGAGTCCAGTCACTTGGTGTAGGTTCTCCAGGGGTTCCCATGTCGCTTTGGCCTCACCCACCCACCGAATGAGGTACTGGACGGCGCCATGGCGCATGCGCCGGTTGAAAACTGCTTCGACGATCTGCCCCATCGTGTCGTCATGGAGAATCACCTCTTGGTCGGTGTCTCGTATGGCTTGAGCGATCCTGTATTGAAGACGGGATGAAGCTTGAGTCCCGGCTGAAGATTGAGCTCGTAGGTGTGTTTGTGTACCTTGCGCACCACCGAGTGCGGACCGATCCACTTGGTTTGAGCTTGCGCGAGTTCGGGAAACCGGTGTGTGCAGTGTCCAAGTGCTTAGTACTCAGGTAAACACGCGAACCGACGTCGAACTATTGCTCGATCCTGCCACGGTCGTAGATGTCTGCCATACGAGCTTGGACTGCATTTTCACACTGGCGCAGTACTGCGGTCTTACGCTCGGTGAACTTCACGCCTTGACGACACCCGCCGCGGAGACCACGCTGAAGGAAATCAGCAACTGCGAGTGGGTTGCGTGGGATGGATGTATTCCAAGTCGGCCTCAAAGGGCGACACATTGATGCTGGAGTTTACGGCTGAGTTGATGGCAAATTCGGCGTTCGCGAGGTGAATGTCCCAGTCGTCCTGGCGTGGGGACACAAAGCATCGGAGGTACTCCTCAAGCGTTCGATTTGTGCGCTCCGTTTGTCCTTTGTCCGTCGCCTTGAGATCGGTAGGCCACTGTCATTTTCAGTTTGGTACCAACGGTCTCGAAGACTTGGCTCCAGAAGCCTGAGACGAACTTGGAATCGCGGTCGGAGACGATGGCTTGAGGCATACCATGAAGCTTCCAAATGTTGTCGATGAACAGGGTTACCACCTCTTGTGTCGACATAGTCTTCTTGGTTGCGATAAAATGAGCGCGCTTAGTTAAGCGATCGACCACGACACAGATAGCGTTATGCCCACGTTTGGTATCTGGTATATCCGTGATGACGTCCATGGAGATCGATCGCCAGCGCTCAGCTGGAATTTAGAGCGGTTCCAGCAGCCCTGGGGTCTTCGAGAGCCGCGGTTTGTTACGTCTGTAGTCATCACAGTCAGCGATATACTTCTGGATCGTATGCACCATTCGCGGCCAGTATCAGTTTGCACGAAGCTTTAAGTAGGTGCGGTCGGTTCCTGGATGTCCCCCGTAGTTGGAATCGTGGATTTCTTCGCTGATGCGATGCTTGATGGTGATGATGTTCGGGGCAACGGTTCTTGGCTTCTCATCAGTCGATCCTTGATACCAAAGTAAGCCATTCTCTTCGAAATATGGCTTGTATTTCTTCCCTGACGAGTTGTCACGTTCCTTGATCGCGCGTCGGATCCATCGGATGACCTTATCCTTTGCGTAACCGGCAATGATAAACTTAGTCAGCTCGTTGGTTGGTCGAACTTCGGTAACCCTGAGCTGGTAACTGGTTTCATTGAAGCTGGGGACCAGTAGGTCATGGAACTCCTTCACCTCCGGCTTGAGATCAGGTCGTCGACTGAGAGCATCCGCAATACTGTTCTTCGCTCCCGGGAGTTACGTGAACACTAATTGGTATTCGGCGAGAATGTCATACCACCGGGCTAGACGTCGGTTTGCCATCTTCTGCTGGAACATCCCCCCAAGAGACTTGTGGTCCGTTTCAATCGTCACGGGCCGGCCCAAGCAGTAGATACGAAACGCGACGAGAGCGTTGACGATAGCCAACAGTTCTTGTTACTATGTTGGGTATTTCAACTCCGCCGATTTCATCTTCCTGCTTGTGTACGCGATTGGGCGCTCTACTCCATCGATGACTTGAAAGAGCACACCACCAACTGCAAATTGGCTCGCGTCAGTCCGCAGATGCATTTGTTGAGTAAAGTCAAGAAGGTGCAACACTGGTGTCTCTGATAATCGTCGAATCAACTCATTGAAGTTCTTCAGCTGTTTGGCACTCAACATGATCTTTGAGTTGCGTTGGGTTTTCTTCTTCAGCAGAGTAAACATAGGTGCGGTCAGTTCCGCATATTGCTCACAAAACTGCTGCACATATCCCGTCAACCCAAGAAAGCTGTGAAGTTGTTCTTGAGTTCGAGGAACAGGCCAGTCGCGAATTGTCTGAACCTTATCCGGGTCAATGTGGACTCCATTGCGAGCGCCGAACTCACCGAGACACGGAATAGCTTCGGCACAGAACACACACTTTGACAGTTTCATGTACAGCTTGTTCTTCTTCAGAATTTCCAACACGTCCCGAAGCGCTCGAAGGTGTTCGCTGATGTCCTCTGACTTCGTAAACACGTTGATATCGTCATAGAAAGATCTGGTGTGCGAAAGTCCCTTAAACAGCGACAACGTCAGCCTGTGCATTGTTGCCGGTGCATTGCTGACCCCATCGGTAGCACCAGATACTCGTACAACCCGTTTGGTGCTTGGAATGCTGTGTAATTCACATGGTCCATCTTCATCCGCGCTTGGTAGTACGCAGACATCAAATCCCTACACGAGAAGAAGTAGGCGCCAGCCATACTGTCGAAAACATCTTCCTTGCGTGTCATCGGCACGCACTGTCGGATCGTGTTGCTGCTCCGATAGCGGTAGTCATGCACAATACGATGGCGTATTGTGCATGACTACCGCTATCTGAACTGGGTTTCGCACGCAAAATGTTGGTGCATCGTGTGGACTAATACGGGGTCGAATCAATCCCTTGGTTATCATCTCACGAACCCACTTGTCGATCTCAGCCTTCTGTTCCGGTGAAAGTCGCCACTGCTGCCGGTACATAGCGATGTTCGGGACTTTCACGTCGATCCGATGCTCGATGTCGTGTTCCATCCGTAATCTGTCCGGTAGATCAGGTTTAAACACATTATCCTTGTACTCAACGATCACTGGATACGCTGGATTATTCTTGATCGACTCCCAGTCGGTTTGTAGGAATCGCTTGGCTGTCTCTGATCCAACATTGTCCGGCTCATCATTGCGCTTGAGATTTCGTTCAATCTTCTTGATCGTATCGTTCGACAACACTATCATGAAATTGTGCTCGGGCGCGTCCTTCGCTGGTAACCGCAAACATTCCGCAGCTTCTTCCTGGTGATGTACTTCGTCTCGACTCCATCCGAGTCAACGACTCCAAGGGTAAGCATTGCCTCCGCTTTGGCATTCCTCTTCTCTCTCCGAGAGAGAATCTCCACATCTCCAGACGGTCTTATAACAACTTCGGCTTCGCACTCTGATTGCGTTTCTAGCAAGGCAGCTCGACAGGAATCATGGCCTATCGCGGAAGAGCTTTCGCTGTCCAGGGCTCTGTGAAGCCCGGAGCTATTAGCCTGACTGCACTTCCCGCAGGGAGTCGAAGTTTCTGCTGATGAGGCTCCATCTGAGACGTCCTTCTTGAAGCATCGACGCTTCCAGTCCACGAAGAACGGCATCCCGAGAACACAGTCAATTCCTCGGGAATCTCGAACACGACAGCAACGCACTGATAGTTGAGGCCATCTCGAAGCGGGACTTCAATCTTTACCAACTCCAGTACGGACTCGCCAATCTTGTTGTCACCAAGCTTGACCTTGATGGTTCCGTCTGCGTGCACGTGAGTCCTCAAATCGTTTCTCCTGACGAAGCCACGCGACACGTAAATGGTTGTTGCTCGACAGTCCAGTAGGAGGTTGGCCTCATGATTCAGTTCACAATGACGCACTTCTCCAAACATCGAAAACAACGGAGCTCGATTGTAGACGAGAGGGTCATCGCAAAGCAAATTCAACGTAGCCTTATTTACGGTTAAGTCTTGCTCGCTGGTTCTCGCCACGTCAGGTCCCTCTTCTACTGGCGTGGTGTCTCGTTTCCCTGATCCTTCTTCAGCTTGTTGCAGTCGCGCTTGAGGTGACCAGGCTTCTTGCAGTAGTAGCACACGTCTGCTCAGCAGGTGCGTAGTGACCAGGCTTGTACGAGCGCTTGTTGAACGGCTTCCTGTCTTGGGTAGCGGTCGACCTTGGTGGCCCACGGAAGCGTTGCTCACGCTCCGATCTCTCACGCCCCGTCTTGCGTTCGGCACCGAAGTGAGACATCTTGTACTTGACGGCTTGGTCCATCGCCTCGCTCAACTCTGTCGGGTTCTGAAGCTTGACGTAGGCTTGGGTCGCGCGCATGAGGCTGTCGCAGTAGTAGCTGACTTGCTCCACTTCACCAATGCTCTCGACACGGAAAATCAGAGAGGAATATTTCCCGTTGTACTCCTCGATGTCTCCGCCCTGGCGCAGCTGTCCAAGCTTCTGCCGCAGCATGGCTTGGTAGTTGGAGGCTTCGAAGTGCGAGATCGCGTCACGGGAGAACTGTCCCCACGTCTGATCCTCCGCTGGCGTTCTCAAGGCCCAGAACAGGAACCATCCGGACGCGAGTTCTTCCATAGCCATACCGGCGATCGAGGGCAGTGTGTCGTTCTCATCGGAGGCGTCGTGTCCATGGATGCGACACAGTGTCTCGACTTGGAATAGCCACTGACGCACGTCTTCGTCGCGCTTCCCCTTGAACTTCGGCAAACCACTTGGCACACGGGGCTTATGGTCGCCACTCGTGGCGCGCGCAGCTTGGTTAGTAGCTTCCAGCGTCGCAATCTGGGCGCGCAGCTGTGTGAGTTGCGCCTCCAGTTCAGACTGACTTTCTTCCTCCGCAGTGTGGTCGACTAGGGGTTGTTGCTTGCGTGTTGGGGCCATGGTCGCTTGGACTGGACCAATATATGCTACCAGTATTACAAGACAACCTGTAGGAAGAGGAATGCGCGCTAGGGGCTGGCGGGGAGATTCCAAAAGTGCTGTCTTCTCCCCAAGCCTAAGCTCCTGCAGCCATACACGTGGCTGGAGCCCCTAATATTAATATCCCTTGTAATCTGTTCTAGCTCTAATTCTGATCTACTGCTATAATATGTTACAACAACCTTGTATACATCAGCTTCAACAACTTCATTTGGAAATCGATCTCTTCGCGTCTTACATGGCTTCATTCTTGAAAATCGCGCCCTCGCCTCAGTTCCTACGGCAAGCTTCTACCAGTAATTTATCCTACTCCAGAGCGGGCGCATGACTGGGTAAAACCAGCTACTAATGTATTCTTGATGCATATATGTCATGACTACAGCAACAAGCAAACGCGTCTGCTCATCTAGCTCGAAATGGCGTGTCCAACCTGGGCAGAGCTCACTGAACAAGTCAATGTACCTGAAGATGTGGGCGAAGCTATCGTCCTCGTCGAAGTTTAACCACCACCCAACGCTTGGTGATCCGTCGATGTCCGGTGCTAGCAGTCTCGTATTCAAGACGGGGACCATGCAAGCCAGTAAGCTGTCCGATCTCCAGTTCGTTGCAGAGGACCAGTGCGGGGACCACGGTTGGTGGTGCAACCGCTCCATGGAGTCTCGGTCATCAATCTCTTTTCAACACACTACATGATAACGCTGAATACACCAGGTGCACTGCTATTGAGAAGGGGTTTGCTTGAAAGGTATATCTGCTATCCAAGTCCAGGGAGCTGATCCCTTCGTCCGCGCGCACCGCACTACCAGTCGCCCACTTATCAAATCTAGCTGAGCTGCTCTGGCGCAGCCTCACTTGAACGACCGCTTCTCTGTCGAGAGGATCCCGAAGCCCAGAACCAGCGACGCCATCACTCAGTAAAGCTAAGCTGAGATCAAGTGTCCGGTCGACGACCAGATCCAGATAGATGACGGCAGTGTTCACCCTATGAATGGCTCCGCGCCCGCCTAAAGATGGGAGAACCTCGTGATGACCACGCGCATTGCCGCCGTCGACGTCGCTTATGGAACAGCTAGCAGCATTCTCTATTCGGTGCTCAACCACTACTTGCACCTGCCCATAACGTAAGCCATCTTCGTTCTGCTCATGGCCGCGCTACCTCTCGGTTAGCCTTAATACATAGATCGCTGCCCTCCACACCACAACTTCATCCAGAAGGCCACCACAGGAGCCAACGGCTTAGACAGTGCCGCATTCGTAGCCGACGGTCGCGTTCATCGCGAATGTACTCGTCGTGGAGGTTCCGGCGAAGGTCACACAGAGCCGCAGCCATCCGTTGGCGCGTCAACGATGCCGCGCTCAGTGCTACCAGCACATCATAGTCTTCCATCGTGTTGTTCTTCAAGTGCGCTGCGTCGAAATGTCGAGTAAACCAAAATAAGCCATCGGGGAGGGCTCGTCCTCTTGTCTTTTCATAAATGTAGACATCCGTTCTCAATATTTGCCCAAGTTCTGGATGTTCCATGCGCTGAGCCATACAAAATTTCATATGTTATTTGTAAGTGGGCTCTATCGGCACGACGCATTATTTTTTATGGTAGTTTTGGGACCGCTTTGCGATCGAACATGCTTAAATATCACCTAGCCCTATGATCAAACGTGAGTACAAACCGAGGGGCGTCAAACCTTTTATGCAGGTTTTGGAAGGCGCCCACTGCACAATTGCACTTTAAAATACATAAATACAATAAAAAAGACATAACATGAAATATAATAAACGATGGTAATTGTCGCACAAAAACATCAATGTTTCGTCGTGTCGGTTCATCACGTGAAAACCGACATGGCTTCAAATAGGTCTACTGCTGCCACAGTGTATATCTGAGCAGGATGGAATTGTGCATCGTTATATTATTCGCTCACTGCTTAGAATAACTTCCGCCTGGTACTAATATGCTATATTTCTAGACACCGAACCCGTAAAGAAATTTCCAGTGGCGCTTCGAAGCATACACGACGTCCATGCCGGTGGCTGTCTTCCGGTTGCAGTGCTCCGATTAAGCCACCGCATCGGGAATCAAGTTGGCCAGGTAGACCCTCAGCACAGCTTGCGTTTCATGGTATACGAGTGCCGACATTCGTGAGCCAACCTCCGAATCGCAGGCCTAGTGATGCCTTGAATGTTATCACGGAGAATCTTGCGGTAACATTTGGTGCCACCTTGTCCGAGGCCTTGCGCCCCCTTGCCTCGCCCAGCCATGGCGTGTGCTGTACAGTGCCAATTGCGAAGTGTGCGTGAAGTGTAACAGTGATATGTGTCGTGTAAGAAAACACGAGTTTACGAGTCCTCGCCCTATCAACCGAAGTGCTTAGGACGAGCCCTACCAACACACACGTCTACCCCCGAAAAGTCGGCGATAGATTGTCGGAATAATAAAACGTCTACCCCCGAAAAATCGGCGATAGATTGTCGGAATAATAAAACCTGAAGACCAGGTCCGATCCCTTATACGGGCTGGAATGTGCCTCCCTGTGAGTTGCGGGTCAGGTAGGTTTACCCTTACGTAAAAGATAAGAGCATCCTTAGCCACGAGCTACGGCTAGGATGCAATGTGTAATTTTTGCTTTCGCACTAATGAGGCGAGACGGGTGAACGCCTGACCGCCCAGGTGTATAGCTTAGCGCGTCCCGGGTGTAGACTCCCGAATGGAGTGCACCCAGAACAAACCCTAGCCGGAGATAGTACACCAGGATGTACACTCCAACCGGTCCTTGTGAACAATCCCTGTGGGTTCGTTTGTCTTCGTAACCAGGGGTCTTCAACCGTGAATGAGTTGTATTGATACTTGTAGATCGCTAGGAAGCAGGGCAGAACGTAACCTTCCTGGACGTTGCCTCTGACAGTCTCAGATAACCAAGTAATACAAACAGATACAGAGTTGTATACAAACACGTAGCCCTTCTTTATTCTTTTGGACCGTGAAAGGGTCGGCCACTACTCCAGTCAACTCCAGCCAGACTCCGGGATACTGGTCAATCCCGGTCGGCTTTGGCTCACGCGCACCACCCTCAAGTACTGAGGGAAACTAACAAAATCAATTACATCCTATCACACAATAGCTCTTAGATCAATACTTTCCACCCGGGGCTACTCCAACCGGGGTGAAAAGGTAATCCGTAATATGAAATGCGGGGCCTTCCTAGTCTGGACGAGCTCAACCGCAACTAGGAAATAAAATGGGATGGATCAACTTCGGGTTGTCGCCCGGTACTCACCCCAACTTGGACTGGACTTGGTTGCGGCAGCTCGACCCAGATGTCACAGTTGCTGGACCCTCACACGTAGACTTAGTCGGTCCTCCGGGAATGCACGTCCGGCAGCCTGCTCCAACTCACTTGCGCGATCCTTGGCAAACGAACTCTGTTTATCTGTTTATCTGTTATCTGTTGTCTCTCTGTCTGTCTGTCTGTCTGTCTAACTTCTACCGTCCTTTACATGCACTTCATCTTGACTTGACTTCACTATGGTCGTGTCGTCGCAATCGTCCGCGGACCCTCGTAGCATACTTCCAGCAAATATAATCATCCCTGGGTACGCAAGCGAAGATCAATGTTCCACGGAATCCAAACAGATCTTGGCTGGTCGGCTTGGTCGTTCGGAAACATCTTGGACTTTGTATACTGGATCTTCATATCTGGGATGGTCTCTTGGTATCTCCGTCCGGGATCAAGGATTACCTCCAAACGGGATCACACTCCACCTGGGCTTCACATCTGGGATGTCTTGGACAAGTTCACGGATTCTGGGTCTTTACTCGATCCGGTCGGGCTCCTCTTGCGTTGTACAGTGCACCAAGAGTAGGCGGCCTCCAGTCGGAGGCACTTCTACGCTCCCTTGGGCTTTGCCTTTCGTTCGTTACTTGGATCCGGCGGGGGCTTTCCTTGGTTTACATCCGGGGTCACCAAACCTTGTATTCTGCCAACGCGAGTCCGGCCGGGATCCACTTCTCCCATACGCCATGTGTCGCTGCCTCCCTCTCCCAGATTAAGCTTCTGAGCCAACCAATCACAAGCTCGGCTCGGGGAATCCCGAAAAATCTCCAATCCCATCGTGTCACTAAACCTCTGTGATCCCTCAGAAAGGAAGGGTACCAGGCCAATCGAAGCCTTATACAGGGGCGCCGGGGCGAAGCCTCGGTTAGAAGTCAAATACACTGGGGGCCCGTGCCTCACACCCAGTCGAACGTACAACTGTACAGAGGTCTCTAATACCTCTCAACACTCGGCCACCTACTCGCTCTTGGCCTTACCAGGATGAACACTCGGTCAATGCACCTTATGCTCACCGGCAGACATACCCCGTGTAGCAGAGTGTATCCAGACCCTACACTAAGCTTAGCGACTTGCCGTAGACGGACTTGACCCTTGTATGGCTTGGGGGGAAATTCTGCTCTGTTTAACGATTAGAGGCTGTCCGATCTCGCCTAAAACCAATCCCTAATACCTATTCAAACATCCAGTGTGGACTGAGCTTTCGAGCTGACCCTACAATCGGACGGAACCTCGTCCTAAATCCAAACTCCTACTGTACCCACTACGAAACTTCGGAGGCCTCGGCAGGCGGTTTATTTTGACCCGCCGAGACACTCCTGTCACACCGTAGTCTCTATCAATCTTCTTGGCACTAAAGCGCGGGAAATGTGACTTACCAATCCGAGCATTCGGTCAGCAATCACTCACAAGATCAAGGCAGTTAGACCTCGGCCGAACTCGCCCGGCTGCAGTCATTTCTCGATCTCACAGCGGCCCCCAACTCGGCCCGAGCCGTGTCAAGTGGTGAGTGCCGTGTTGCCTTCGCGCCTCTCTGCGCTCCGGCGCCATGCAATCTTCTGGTGGTCCTGGGTCGTCACCAACTCCCGCCTCTGCAGGAGCACGCGGGGTCGCGGGCAGTCTCCAGGCCGCGTCTTCGGTCGTCGCATATCATACTTGGGCTCCAAGCGCTGGAGAGACTTCTGCTTCGACTGCAGTGGCTCCGACGTTGCCAACTGCTGCCTTGCCGTCTGCTAGCGGGGCTTCGTCGGACCCTGCATGTACTCAGCTGATCCTCCGACTTTCGCCGGACTCAAGCCCTCTGCGCAAGCCTTCGTCAAAATGCTGCGCACTTCTGTCGCACCGGCGACCCGCTTCCTGAAACTGTGTACGAGGCCTCGGGACCTCCTCCGCATTCATCTGCGCAGTGATATGCTGTCGAAGACATCGGCCATCACGAGGTGAGGACTGCTGTCGAGGAAGTCCAAGATATCATGGAACGTTGTTTGGCAAACCTCGCTCAGTTGGTGGTCAAGTCCCTTCGTCAAGAGCACGACCACGCCTCACGCCAGCTGAGAAAATCCAACTCGGCCATGGCTACAATCGACGAGACGGTCGCTCTCCCGAAGTATCAGTGTGAGCGCTACGAGGCATCGCTCAAGGCGTCGGACTCGCTTCTGGCGAAGGACCGTGAGCTTTTTAAGTCGGGTCTCCAAGAGTACAACCGCAACATGCGGCAGCTCCGAAGCCTGCTCGTCAACCAAGCGCGTAGCCAACCGGAGGCTCGAGAGCTCGTTCGTCGCATGGGTGACAACGTCCTGCCCGGAGCAATCGATGCTTTCTTGGAGGTGTTCGACTCTGCGTACTCCGCTCCAAGTGTGATTTCTGCAACTCCAAGTTCTCGTGAATCCTCGTCTCGTGCTGGCACTACACGCCGTCGAGCTGCTGCTCCGGCTGATGCCCAAGCCGATGTCTAGATGGAGCCAGCTGAGTCAGGCAATGACTCAGACGACGAGTCGACCAGTCCTCGACCAGCCAAGCGTCGTAAGCATGCTCATCGCAAGTCTCGGGAGACGCAACAAACTGTGCGGGTGCGCGCGTCTTCTCGTACGTGTGCTGCATCCTAGCGGGCTACAAGACTCGGTCGTTCCTCTGTCAACCTGCAGGAGAGGGCTCGTGCCAGGTCGGCTTCTCGCCCTTCGTCACCCACGACCCCAGTCGAGTCTGCGGCTCCACGGCTCGTCCTGTGGCGTCACAATCTTTGGCGGCTGGTTCGGCTGCCTCCAGCACAATTCCTCCGGCTTCTCCTCACCCTTCCGAGGCTTCTACTGCCTTTTATCCGACTCATCAGAGGCTGAGGTCGCGTTCGAGACATCGGGTCGGAATGAGGAAGTTGAGGACAAGCGTTCTGCGGAGAGTTCGCCGTTCGAGGCTTCTGTCGTAATTCCACCGCGTTGTGACGGGTGTCCAGTTCGTCCGGCTTCGACTGCGTCTGGTCTCCGCTCCATGTCAGATGTTGAGCGTGCGAATGCGCCAGACGACGAGGTTATCGGCGACGCTACCGCACCCTGCGCTACCGAGCCTTCGGCCCCGGCTTCTCCTCTACGTTCGCGTTCCCAAGGTTCGACTGGCCGAGGCCGACAGCGCAATTCTCGTGTCCAAGTTGTGGCAACTCTCTCTGCGGCTAGCGCAGCCGAGATGTCAAGCTTTGCTCGGGCGTCTACACCGCCAGCCCCAGTCCACGGGGAACAACCTCTCGTTCGGATGTCCCGCAAGCTGCCGGATACTGCGACCCCGTTTCTCGACCTTCCGTTCCAAGCGTATGGGGCCAAGCCGTGCTGGTGCATCATCCAGAACGTTCGGATGCCTCGGCCTATTGTCGGCGACGTGATGGTAGAGTGCTCGGTCAAGGGTACCGAGGCTTGGTCTGACTGGACGAACCCAGATCACCCATTGCAGGGGGAAGTCGGACGGGCCTCGCCTGTTCGAGGTTGAGGCGTCCATGCCAGACGTTCCAATTTCAATTCGCGCCGAGGTTCGAGCGCTGTTGGTAAAGCTCTGGCGGCAGTTCACGGGCCGGTCTGTCGGCCGCACCGAGAAGAACGACTTGGGCTTCTCGCTGTTCGAACGAGGACACTGGATTTCTATTACTGCAGTTCCGTGTTTCCCCCAGACTCTGGCAGAGACCTTCGGCGAGGACTCGCCTGAGTACTGCGCGATCCTGGCGGCGTAGGTTAAGTACAACCGCGAGCGCAACAACCGTGCAGACCGCCTGCGTCTGCAGATCCCGAAGCGCTGGTGGCAGTGGTGCTTTCCAGACTTCGCTGGCCACATCTCGTGCGAGACCGAAACGATGCTCGAGCCTTCGATGCTCCAGTATTCGTTCGAGAATTTGACTTGGGCTCCCAGGTCGGACAATTGGGTTTCGGAGTGCTTGGAGCTGGATGGACACCAGCCTTGGCGCAACTGTTGGGTGGATGTGCCGTCCGAGCACCCGTACAACACAACCTTCGCTCCATACAACCCCATGGTTCCACTCTTCGTTCCGCGTGGCATGACTGTTCGTGAAGTCGCGACAGCTATTACGGTCAACCCAGTGCTGGACCCTCGCCGTGTTACGGCTCCGTGGGTGCGCGAGTTCACGAACTTTCACGGGGATCCTTTCGGCTTGCAGGAGGACGGGCAGCCAGGTGAAGACGAAGTCTCGGAAGAGGAGGAAGTCGAGGAGCTGATCGGAGAGATCGAGTCTCCAGTTGCTGAAGAGTCTTCGGAAGAGGCTCAGGACGAGTCTCGCCGCGCCGTGGATGCTCAAGAGTCTTCGGACGAGACTACGCAAGCGCAAGGAGCTCAAGATGCAGCAATGGCCACAAGGGGCTCGGCTCAAGATCGCGTCGCGGCTTCGGAGGCCCCTGTTGAGGAGGCCCCAGCCAGCGAGACTCCTGCCGATGCGCCACGTTCCCCTTCACGTGATCCTGAACGCGCTGCCACATAGGGCGAAGCTTCACCGGTCACGCGTCTCCGCGTTTTGGCCAAGGTCGCGTCGTCTTCGGACGCCTAAGCTTCGTTCCAGTTCTCCATAATTCCTTCATGTTTAGGTCGAGCTAGATCAGGGTATCCAGACAGTTCGTTCGTAGTATAACTAGCTCGCCCATGCAATTTAGTAGTCGTTTGTCCCTCTTCAGTTGTTCTCCATAGTTTCTCCACTCGTGATCTCCGCATCCTAAAGTCGTCCACTTCAACATACAAATGTACAAACTTCTTTCCGCAGTAACATGTTTCGTCTGCTGGGGCAGGCTGCGTAGCCCTGCCGGCAGTTCATCATTGTGAGAGGGGTGCAACTAGTCCTCGTCAGCGACTTGAACCATTCGCAACCTTCGGTCACGTCGTTTCTCGCGTAGATAGTCATACACCAGTCCGCCACAAGACAGATTCGACGCGGGCTCCGACGAGGGTTAGTCATAGCCGACCCACTTCACCTTGAACTCTCGGTCGGCTCGCTCAGTGCTCGTCGAGAGGGGAATTCGGTCACCCAAGATGGCTTCAACCTCATACTCGCCTGCCAGGTGGTCGGGTTCCCAACTATCTTCCGGGAGTAACTCCTCGTCGAAATCCAGTCGCGTCTCCTCGGATACTTCAGCAGCAAGTCGAGCCTTCGGCCGATCGCCAAACTCGTTGACCGCCTTCAGCCGGGACACATGCACTACCGGGTAGAATCGGTAACCACTCTTGTCAGACAAATCCAACTCGTACGCATACTCGTCAACCTTCTGCTTGATGCGGAAGGGATTATGCTATCGATGAGCCAACTTCTTGGTCAATCACGTTCCATGTAAAGCCACGCACGATCACCAGGCTGGAAGAGAGACTTCGGTGCGGGACCTGGTGTGTCGCCCTCACCCTCTGCACCTGTCGGATCATCTTCCGAGGTTTCACCAGTCGCGGAAGGTGGAAGCGCAGCACGTTCCGCTCGGCTCAAAGCCTCGTTATGTTTTTGGGCACGCCGAGCTTTCTCGACTGCTTGGTACTCTTTAGCCATTTCCAACGCAACCTCCTGTTGCCTGTTGACCTCTCGGCGCCACGCCAACGCATCGGACTGTCGCCCGACACCACGCTTCAGTGATGAGGACATTGCTCGGAGGGTGGACCTTGCGTCCCATCTTGCGTCCCATCCGTGCACCAAGTAAAAGGGCGTGTCCTTCCTCGTGGCGTCCTGCGAGTGGTTAATCGCAAAGATCAACTTCTCCACAATCTCATCCCAGTCTTGTTGCAGCGGGTCCTCCGCACTGATTGCACTACGGTCTTGACCAAGCGTTCCTGCTGGCCGTTAGCCTGCGGCCGATAGCTTAACGTAGCCCTAGATCTCGACTGCATCATCTCGGCGAAGGTTTGGAAGACCTCGCTCATGAAGCGCGGGTCTCGGTCATGCCTGATCAGAGACGGCGCTCCGAACCTTCGGTACACGCACTCTTCGAATGCTTGTGCTACACAGAGTGCAGATGTGTCCGCCATCGCCTTGCCCATGACGAATCTAGTGAACGCACACTGAAAGAGTAGCAGTGCGGTATTGCCCCGCCGAGGCTTCGGTAGGGGTATCACGAAATCCATCGAGACAATTTGTAGCGGACGCTCGGCCAGAATGTTGCCTGGGGAGTACCCACGTAACTGCGGGCGACTCTTGCTTGAGCTACAGTCTGGACACGAGCGTACGTGCTTCTCCACACCGGCAAATAAGCCAATCCAATAGTAGTCAGCTTTGACGCGGTGGTAGGTTCGGACGATACCTTGGTGACCGCACTCCAACTAGTCATGACAGTTCTGTAGGATCTCCTGAACCATCGCTGTTGGCACCACTAGACGTAGTGTCGTCTCCTCGGCCCGGTCGCGACCCCACCGACGGTTCGCACCAAGGAAATACAGCAAGCCATCTTCGCTTAACACGAACTTGTCAGCCATCTTCCAGGCCTCGCGTGCAGCTTTGTAGCCAAGCTTCGCTTCTTCTCCCCTTAGCACCGTCTTGAGGTTTGACCACCGGAGCTCCTCATCCTGAGCTGTGCCAATGCGCCTGCGCCGTTCTTCCTGCACAACTAGCGGGTCGATGTCGTCAGCACTCGGTTCATGGACCACCGTTGCGTCAGGTCTCGGTTGGTCCGGAAGTTCGTTAGACTCTTCGTTGCTGATGTGGTGGAGTCCCTCAGATAGGAACTAATAAACTCCCACACGTGTCCTGCCACGCAACTACGGGGGGGGGGGGTTACCCCTGCAAGCCAAATACCCAAAGACAACGAGAACTAGTCCCGAGATCTCTAGGCCTCACCTTGTGTACCCTTGTAGCAAGACTCGGATCTTTATCTAGCGTAATTCCTAGAAGACGTGTACTATGAAGGGGTGAATATGGGGTTCCTTACACTCGCAGGCAGAGACTTAGGTTAACTCTGTCGCGGATGCACTTGTACAGCGAGGTAACTCTTCCCACTGTACGACAACTTGTTGTACAATATGTACGAGATATACTGGAGATCTCCTGCCGCAGCTAGTCTGCAGGTCCAAACCAAAGTGCGAGACGCACACCAATACCTTACTAAACCGTTTAGAGTGTCCTACTGTCGAACACTGAGAGCTGATCTCCTGAGTCCAGACAATGCAACACACTACGCTACTAGAAGGTTACCGGGGAGGCCAAATCAATCCAGAACCCCGAGTACACTTTGCAAGTAGGTAGGAAACAGTCACAGTACACACGTAGGCGCTAACCGAACAACACAAAGACTAATATGAAGAAGTACCTTGTCTCGTTGTTGGAAATTCTGAACTGAACTGCCTATCTACCGGCGGCTCGTCTGCCGGCCAACCAACCAACCAGTATGCTGCACGCTTTTATCTCATGACGTCATCTGCTGTGTCATCGTCCTTGTTACGGGCCTCCCCGTTCTGGATCTCCATAAACACAATCCTTCAACCCGCATTACGACACACTCCTGTCTAAGATTACGACAAGATGGGTGCAAGTGTTCATGGAAAAACACCGAATCGTCCTGCAAGCACACACCGGAAGGCGCCAGGTCAGCCCGGAAAAACAAGAGCAGATTGAGCGCGAAGTTGCCTCCCATCTCGGCGAGTTGAAGCGCGACTTCGAGAGCGGTAGGCTGGACGAGAACATCGTTGAGAACATTGACGAAACCCACTTCGTCACTGATTTTGATAAAGGAAAGACGCTCGGATTTGTCGCGGAGAAACAAGTGAAGTACGCCGATGTCGTCTCAGGTGGCGAGGGTATGACAATGGTTGTCCGCATCTCGGGTGGTGCGAGCGGCTACATCCATCCACCAATGTTGATCTTTACGAACGCAAACCGGAGTTACCCGATTCGAGGAGTTGGTGACGATGTCAATGGAGTCTGCTATCGGACGGGGCCGAAGGGATGAATGGACAAGCGGCTTTTCCGAGAGTACCTTCAAGAAAGAAGAGCTCTAGCGGCAGATCCTCGTGGACGTCAGACGGTCATCTTTCTCGACAATTGCTCCGGCCATTTAGATGAATCCGATTGTGAAGACGAGCTCCACCGTCTGAATGGGCGTCTGCGTTATTTGCCACTCAACGCCACTGATCTGTGCCAGCCCGCCGACTCCTTTGTCATTGCCAAGATCAAAGACGTGTGGTTGCGCATGTGGAGCGAGAAGAAGATTGAGCTGATTGAAGATAAAGAATGGCAGAATAAGGCAAGAAAAGATGACAGCTACTCGGTAAAGCTGAAGAATCCAGGCAAGAAGTTTTTCTTGGAGCTGGCTGCTGCTGCTGTAAAGGAAGTCAACGGAAAGAGAGACAAGAATGGGATCAATTGCGCCATAAAAGCGATGATGCGCTGTGGTTTATCCCTTGGTGTTGATGGGAATTGGCGCACAACCCAGTTGTTCTCACACTTACAGGAGATCGTGAAGAAGTATTCGACTGAGTTTGAAGGTAAGGTCAACTCTGCAGAGCGCGGCGGCGTGGCATCGGAGAGCGAGGAGAAGAAAAGCGCGCCTCCAACATTTCAGCAGTAATGAACAGTGCGTGCAATGAAGCGCTTGTTTAGCTTACTTGAATACATTTTGGTAATGTCGGACTTTGTTCAGAATTAGTTTGTCAATATTTGTTCAGAATTGGTGTGTGTTCAAAATTAGTATGTGTAAGCTGATGACAGACTATTTAGTGTGAGCTCGTAAAAAAACTGCTTACACAAATTAGTATGTGACATACTAATTGCTGTAACCACTGTACCGCGCTATTGTTTTGTATGGGAAATGACCCATACAAACGTCAAGTCAAAAGACATAGTGAAAAAAATGCCAAAGCTGCAAACCCTAGCACATATTGAAAGCAAGTGATTTGGCGATCCATACAATTTCTAGTCACTTGGGGTTTAGCATAGAGCGGACATTTAAGGGATTTCAGCCAATAGAAAGCTATATTGGCTAAAACAGAGATCTATTGGCTAAAAATTTAGGAGGGTACATTTTTGACGACGCAGAATACAGTCGTACCACTCTCGTGTGCCATAGACAGGCGCAACAGCCAATAATACTAACTTTACCGCTTTTGCGAATTTCGAGCTGAAAACTTGGTGTCTCACGTTTGGGAACATGCTGCATTCAGTGGTACCACTATCAAGTGCCAGAGACAGGACAAACAGCTTCATTCTAGCTCCTCTATACATCCTGCATTCTGCACACGCCGGCGTCAGTTTTAAGTCGCGCAAGCTAAAAACTTGGGGTCACACGTTTTGAAAGACGTTGAATTCAGACAGCCATGTGTAGTAGCAGCGGTACGCCCCTGAAGACGCCTCTGATCACGTTTTCGAATATTGCGTGTGTGCGGCAGATACGATTGTCGTTACCCTTCTGTTTTCTGTGGCTGGGTTAAAATAGCGCACAAGGGACGTATTTACTAGTGGCATGTGTCAGAGTCGAGTCAGTTATCCATTATTTGATAGCTGCTAGTTTCGGGCATACGAAGGTTACGCTTTGGGAGCCGAAAGTTAATCCATTTTGAACACAAGTGTAGTAGATTATGAGAAGTGGAGTACATAATCGTACACGAGGAAAATGTGGTAGTATACATGGTGTAAGTATACATTGATGGGTAACAGTGGTAACAAACCAAATGATCTACTTTTTAGTCGATAATAAACCAAATTATGCACTATAATCCAAAATATCTATTAATGTGTAATTTGATTTAGGTATGTTGAAGT